ACAGTCAATGTGTCCTCTGCCGCGTGTTATTGTCCTGGTGTAGATGCCTTAGCATTCAGCAATGCGCCTCCATAGTCTCCTTCGCGCCGTGCAATTATGCCATACCGTCGCTCCACGTAGGTGCCGTCCAACCGCCTTCTCTTGCGCGCGATTCAAGTCAAGCCGCAGCGTTGCAAGTTTTGGTCCGAGTTGAGGACGAGGTTCTACCTCTTTCGGGCCGCCGTCTGCTGTGAGCGAGCTGTTCGAACCTACCACCCACAGGGAAAAGTTCACTGAGAACGATGCTATTGCGGTGTTGATGTACGTGCGCCATTTGTCTGTTCAGTGATATATTCTCTTCTATCGTTCTGCACAGATCGGGGTGGCATTGATCTCGTAGCCTACGTGCCTTTCTGTGCACTTCTACCGTAGGTTGTCTGTCTTCAATTCAACATCGTCTGGGGTGCCTTCGCCCGACGAACTACTGATACCTTCAGCATCCCCTCAGATCCATTCTCTCGAGCGTCAAGTACCTGCACGACCACGACATCGTCCAGAGATCTCAAGTACGCGACGTTTCATGCACATGTATCTCCACGTCCGACTAATTGCGCGGATCTATCAACAGACCAAGGACGTCCTCTTGCGTCAAGGACTCGCGGTCGGACATCGTGGTTGCCGAGTTCGGCATGCAAGTGCTACGTACAGTATAATGCGTCATTCATGCTGGCGACGCTTTGTGGGCACTGATGGGTGTTGATGCAGTGCGAAACTTTTAGTAACGATGGTCAGGAAGCCGCGGTATAGCGTGCCGACTTTGATGTTATACCACTGACCCATCGATAGTCAGGGTGGGCGGCGCCGGTGAGACGTAGCTCTAACGTACTCTGTGTTTGGGTTTTCCGCGCGCTGACAGTCTGAAGGTTTGCCTTCGGGTTGTTGCTGATATGTACCACATTCTCGTGAGTGATATCAATCGGTGTCACAATGATCTATGCCTAAGTAACGCCCCCGCATCCCAGCTATGGAGTCCGTTCGCCGTCATTCATCTATCTACGTTGCATCGCCTCTTCAGGCTGGGTTCCTGTTGTATCTGTCTTCTTGATTGATAGATAGATGCTTGAAGAGGCCGATAGCTACACTGCCTCAGCGTTCAACGGCCAATATTTGGCGCGCTTGGCTAAAGTTCCGGGAGGAGGAGGAAGAGGAACGGGCCATCTATATGTGATGCAAACCGCCCGGAAATTCGACGGTATGTTGCATTCCAGGCGACACGATTCTTGCTGGCTTCTGCGCTGGCGTCAGCAATGGTAAACGTTGTATAACCCGTTTCCTCAAACCCAAAACGTCTCGGGCACCGCCAGGGCGCTCCTAACAACGCACTGATTTCTCGCTCCTTTTGTCAGGCTGTTGACCTCATGATGTACTGACATATGGTTCTTCATGACATCTGTCAAGCAGTCATGATGTGCTGTCTGCATACTGATGTATGCTTCTTCATGTAGATGAACAATCCACTGGCCGATTGTCGTTGCCTGACACACAACTACAGCCATCCTCCGAGCCCGAGCTTTTACGGTGTTGACTCAAAATGGATGAAGCTCTCCTTCCATCAGTTCTTCCAAAAGATGTACTGCACGCTGTCAGTCCTGGCAGATTGACGCTACTTAACGGTCAAGTAAAGGAAGCGACTGGAAAGCCCATTTCCATGTCCCGACCCTCCATTTTTTGTCTCCCTCTACGGCGCTCCCATTGGCAGATATTTGCAGATATGCGTTTGGGAACGCTGGCGCGTCCTGTCAGTATAATCCTCCATGCTCTCCTTTCCATAGCGCATGCTGTGCTCCTGTGCATTTGGGCACGTGGAGCTGAGCACTCGATCGTCCTGACTCCTGTACGAGCCCAAAGGATGCCAACGGAAACATCACTCGTGTTACAAGCCATCATCATCGTGAGTGAAGTAGCTTTGAATTGATTAGTGTTGTCTTTGATCCAGGACGCGCCGACAGCCCTACACCGCTTTCCTTGTCCTGCTAACTCAATACATGGCATTGCGGAGTTTGCTTGCGGGCAAACACACTCTTACAGCTGTGCAGGATGTCGCGAGCGCATGGACGGGACTGGGAGCTGCACTAGTGAACATGTGGAGACAATTCTCATCTCCGTCTTCTTTCCTGGGGATAATCACAGTAACCGTCTACCTCGTGTGCATCTCTACTCTGCACGTCACGACGCCCTCCCTGCTCTCCGTGCAATCATTCAATTTGACGGACGCAGACACGGTTCCAGTGACCGTTGGTATGCCTGTGGTGAATACCTCGTGAGTTATCGGTCGCTTGTCTTCGTGTGCTCTGTACATAGGAACTATCCAGGGCGTCTCCAGATTCCCAATCACTATTGTGGGAACAGGCGGCTCCGTTCCTCCAGTACGGCGACACCAAAATCCAATATTTGTCGACTATAGGACTCGCCAATAGTACGATATACGACACCATCCGCCCTGAAGGTGGCCTAGTCGAAGTCACCGTGAATGCAACTACCGCGAATGTTACCTGCGGATGCATACCAAACGCAACAGCCACACTAGTGTCGGAAAATCTAATGATGGTGGACGCTGTATACGGCCGTTATCACTTCACTGCTTACATGGACCCGTTGGGTGAGATACACAAGGTCGTGATGAATTGTATATATCGCTGATCAAAGCCTGACTTAGATCTCAATGATGGGCCCGAGACTGGTCTGGTGTACGTGACAATGCTCAACTACAACTTGACGGCACTGTTAAACGAGACAGCCTTGTCTGTACCTATGGTGCGTAGTATATTTGATATCTCCTCAGCAAAGCCGAACAATCGGGCCAGGGACGCAGTGCGCTAGTTTTTACGACTCTGGATGTGACCGATGACGAAGACCAGGCAATCTCGACTGTCAAAGGCAGGTGCTACATATCGCACGTGCGTCGTGCGGGGAGTATGAATTCTCACTGATACTATATGAAGGGAACTACAATGGATCTTCCAGCTTACCTCTTCAGTTCCTAGGGTGCACTTTAGGGTGGACGAGCGGACTCCTTGTGGTTGATGGCGCCACAAGGCAACCTGCCGCATCGCTCAGTGGCACAAATTTCGACCCAGATAACAGACCTTCGATACGTACTACATGGGAGCCTGATTTAATGACCGATTCGACGCAGGTTGATGACTCCGATTCGGTACGCACTCTGACGTTTTCACTCTGCAACTGCACTGAATTACCAAAGTGGGCTTCCATGTTGTTTTATTCTGGGCCCGAAGTATACAATGAGGGGCTAGACCCGTTACATGGCCTAATTCCGAATCCCACTGAGTCGACATCCTATCAACCGGGCAGTTTTGCTGTTCCGTAGGTTACCATGGACAATGGACACAGTGGTAAAACTCATTGTCTTGCAGATACTTAAAAGAAGTGCTCGGACTTGCAACTTCCAACGGGACGCAGGCAGTCAGATTGACGGCATTTGAGGCGTCTTTGAGTGAGTGTCTCTTTCATCATGCTGCATACACACCGAACGGGCTTCTCATGACGTGTAGGCAAGATGACAGCTGCTACATATTGGTCTGGTACGAGGCCTCAAGCTGGAGTGGAATACGAACCAACTAACGCAAGACGTTCATCCCTTACTAGCCGCACATTTGGTGGACGCAAGTAGCCAAGCAGACACCTTGACAATCTCTTCCGGCACCGCCCGGGGTTCGATAGTCATGTTTCATCTCAATGTGAGTGGCTCGATCATGTTCATAACTCTACGTGATCTGCAACATTTTGATAATCGGGCACACCAGATAAATGTCGCACAAGTCAGTCCCAATCACGATGTTACATTGTAGGATCATTCACGACGCATTCAGGTCGCAGTCGGCCTCGGAGCCTCGACCATGATGTTGATAATTGCGACGATCCTAGCTCTGAGAACTGCAAGGAGTAAACCGCTTGTCGACGAATTCGGTCCCATGCACATCATGTGGCTTGTCGCAACAAATACGACACTAAACCAAAGAATAGCCGGGGTGGAGGTACCATCCACGGACCTTCTGAGGGAAGCGGGAATGACGGATCTGGGATCCTTCAATCAGCCCGCCGTACGCACGGAGAACGACATGTCGGAGCAATGGCAGGACGGTGACTCGTATACGTTGAGTCAGAGTCAATTTGAAAGCAGAGGACGCAGGGAGGTCTGGGTGTATACAGCCCTACGGTGATACGGTGTGAAGGCCACGCCCGGGCCGGGCCCGCGTATATATGCATTTGTATAGTAGCCCCGGAGTATGGTACTTACCGTCTACACTCCTTGATTACCACTTTCCATACGGTGCGTAGTGATCTTAGAGTGGTGACAAGCATCGCCAGCAATGGTCAGACTGGGTACCATTGTCGTCGATCCTCCCGTCCTTAATTCATCCTGTCTCTGGGCTTCAGATATCGCGCAGCTCCGCGATCTGTATGCTTGTCCTCACACAGGCGCGGTCACGATTCGCACCGCGACGCTACACGGCTTCAAAGAGAACGAATCGAATGCTGTGAGTCGTGTCTCTTATTATCTATTGCAGGCTTGTACAACGGATCGTGACGGCGCCGACATGATCAGGTGGTGTTCACCGCGGACAGGCTCTCCACGCTCAACTCGTACGGATACTCCCCGTACCCGCTCTCGCAGTATCTGGAATGGGTCCGTGAGCTGTTGACCAGTCCTCCACCAGCCGGAGGGTCGCAGAGCCACGCGAAGCCAGTCATCCTGAGCATCACCGCGTCCAAGGCAGACGACCTCGCGCAGATGGTCCAGGACATCCAGAGCTTCCGCGCAGACCTACGCAGCAAGTCTCCCTCATCTACCCCCTCGACCTAGCGAACCTCATCGCCATCGAGCTCAACACCTCCTGCCCAAACATCCCCTCCGCGCCGCCGCCGTGCTACCACCTCCCCGCGCTCCGACCACACCTCGACGTGCTCGCAGCTGCAGCGCGCGCAGACCCGTCGCTCACCATCGGCCTCAAGCTCTCGCCCTACCCCGACGTCACGCGCATCCGCGACGTCGTCGACTGCCTCGCGGAGTACACCATCGCCGAGCCGGGCTCTGAGTCGGAGGACGCGCGGAGCCCATTCGCGTTCCTGACGTGCACGAACACGCTAGGCGGCAGCGTGCTCTTCGCGGGGGAGATCGACGCAGCGTCCGCCCCGCCGTCCTTGGGCGCCGACCCCGCCCCGACGGCGTTCGCGCTGCCGACCCCCCTGGGTGGAATTGGTGGCGAGCGGCTGCATGCGCTTGCGCTCGGGACGGTGTTGGGGTTTTCGCGCGCGTTGGCGGCTCATCCGACCCCTGCGATGCGCGCGATCAAGGTGATTGGGGTGGGTGGTGTGAAGGACCGGGCGTCGGCGGATAGGATGCGGGCGGCGGGGGCGAGCGCAGTGGCGTGTGCGACTGCGTTGGGGCGGGAGGGCCTGAAGGCGTTCGAGAGGATTGCGATGGATGCGTGAGGGAGGACGAGCGACCACGAGGTGGTGTAAGATGAGTGCCGCGTCTGTGCTCTAGATGATTGATTCGTGTGACTGACCGTTCTGAGACGTGTAACGATATGTTGACCGTCTATTCGGGGGCCGTGTATGTTAGCTGTAGGTGTGCGGTGTTCCCTCACTCTGTTGCGAATACCCTATCTGACGTCAGTTCCCTCGCAGGATAGCCAGTGAAGTACAATCTAGTATTGTCGCGGGCAAACTCTAGTGTTACAAGTGAATTGTGTGCGTATCGAAGATGCAGCAATGCGAACGAAGAGACGAATAGTGTATACACGCGCGGCCTACTGATAGGTCGCGGCGAGTAATGAATGCGAACGATAACGATATTCACGAAGAACGAAGAACGAAGGGAGTCCAAGCGGAGGGAAGAAGCGAGACGCAGCGTGCGGGGTCAACCCATGTAGCCCTTCAGAACGTTCTCGTTCATCAACGAGTCGTACAGCCCAAGACCTTCCATCCCGTTCTCCCCCTCGATGCCCATCCCCTGGAGCTCGGCGGGCGTCCCAAGCCACACGTCGTCACCCGCTGCTGACGGCGACGACATCGCGTTGGCGTACATGCCCTCGCTAGGGTAGAAGTGCGAGGCGCTAAGCGCGGAGGCGTCGAACGGGCTGTGAGGCTTGAACGGCGATGCGTGTATGGGCGAGGAGGCGACGGTCGGTGAGGGGATGAACGGCGGAGGAAAGTGCTGGGGCGGCGTCGAGGGGGTCGACGAGGTGGCGGGTGAGGACGCGGGGGGCGACGAGGAGGAAGACCCCGTCGGGGTGCTCGCGTCGAAGAGGCTCGGGGACGTCGGGAACCACGCCCAGTCTTCGTCCAGGCTGGACGCGTCGGCGAGGAGGGTGCTGTACGCCCAGGGGATCGGCGCGAGCCTGTCCGCAGGGATGGGCAGCGGAGTGGGGAAGGTGGGGGGAGAGGGCGTGGACGGGAGGAAGAGCGCTTCGGGCTCGGGCTGGGGGTTATGCTTGATTGAAGGGAAGTCGAGAGGCAGAGCGGGGGTGCTCTGTGGTGGAACGTGCGTTCAAGACGTGCACCGGAAAGTGATGGGTGCGATACACTTACAATTGGCTCAATCTTCGCTGACTTGTCATCTGGGTAGAAAATCAAGCACGAGGAGAAGGCCCCGATAGGCTGCTTGATCGGCGTCGGCGGGGCGCAGAAGGACTTGCTCGCAGGCGACCATTCCGCTACGTCGGGATACCGATGTGTGGCCCGGAGAGGCGGGGCGTGGAGGGCTGAGGCGTAGAGGCGTCGGTCGTGTCGCAAGGATCGCAAAGCGTGAGGTCGAAGATGCTCGTGGAGTAATTCTCTGACACGGGTATGCCGAGCTCGCTCGCGCCCTTGCCAGCCCCGCCGTCCTCGCGCATGGTCGCGTCGATGCGCTTCGCCTCGCGCTCGAGCTCGTGGATGTCCCTCCCCTGCGCGATGAGCTTGCCGAGGCGGCGGCAGCGCTCTTTGTCCTTGGGCCCGTTGCGCTTGACGTTGCGCTTGCGCGGCTTGTCCATGCGCACGACGGGGCTGAACCGGTAGTTGGGATACTTCTGCGTGTGTGCTTCCTTCAGGTCCGCGGCTTGCTTGTACCAGACCTCCTTGTCGGCCGCACCAAGCTCCGCCCAGGTCGTGGAGATGATCTGGGAGAAGAGCCGCTGGTCGTGCTCGATGGCGCCTTCCTTGAGTTGCTTGAAGAGCGTCTGGCGGAAGAGGATGAACGCGTTCGGAGGGCGTGGGATGTAGTCGGGGCCCTTGCGCCTGCGAGCGGCCGGCGAGACGAGATGAGGGGCACTGGTGGACGCGGAGGAGGTGCTCGTGTGATCCGGAGAGGGCACGACGGAGGGAGGAGACCAGAGGCGCGTCGGGATGGAGACTCTGCTGCGGGTACGCGGGGGAGAAAGGTCGGTGGTGGTCTTGTCGCGGACGGCTGGCATGGTGGAGAAGTCTGTGTACGAGTGCAATGTATGTTCGACGAAGTACACAAAGAGCACGGGCGGGGACGCACGCTAAGTGTTGCGGGCGCGCGGAGAGCGAGGCAAGAGGAGACGTCGAGGGGAGGAGCCCCGGGCGTGCTGGCTTTATAGACTTGGCGTGCATGACGGGCCTTTGTGCAGCTGGAGAGGGCACGGTTGGCTGAGCAGAGGCCTGATCCAGTGCGTCGGTGCGCCTTGGGCGGCGTAGCGCCCAGAAACTACGCGCTACAATCACACTGCTGCACACCTCTCTTCACCCCGATCCATCTGCGCTTCTAATCGCGTGGCTTCGCACCTTCGTCCGCTCGGCAGGGCCTCGGCACGGCGACCGGAGCCCCATTCGAGCAACTGGTTCCGCGAGTGTGACCCGGACGATCGATCTAGGCCGATATGGAAGGCAGACAGAGCCCATTGACCTCCGTCCAAATCCGGACGACAATGGCCCCCGCCATGCATTCTCGTCCGTCCCTGCGCGCGGCACCGCTTCCCGCGAGCCTATCTGCAGCCCTGTGTGTGTATCGATGAGTGCGACTGGTGGCGAGTGGAGGTCCTGGTTCACTCACGAGGCTGGCTGCCCGTTCTCGACGTCGCCCTGGATCCCCGGGTGCCGCTCCGAGTGGCTCGGCCCTGGCGCTTCGTCCCACGCAACTCTACGGTGAGAAGCTTCCCGCCGTGCCTTGTCGACTGCGGGGCACCTAAAAGTCAGTGTGGAGAGCCTAATGTTTGCAACATCTAACTCACCGTTCTCCTGACCCCTGCGAGCGTATACTTGAATGCGTAGAGAGACGGCGAAAGGTCAGGCCGTGCGCGACTCGGATGTCTGTCCTGCTGCTGCATTGTGCAGGCGGAGGAACCGTCATTGAATGCGGGCAGTCGCAAGAAGACATACGAGGCAGGAGCTGATCTTGCCTCATGGCTCGACAAAGTATGGAATGACGCGTTGCGCGTGACTGCAGCCAGACAGTGGCACAAAGCATTGTCAGTCTTCCTCTGCAGTGGCAAATGAATTACCTCAGCCACTGCATACCTCTGCATACGGAGTCTCTCAAAATATAACTTTTGATATACCGACTTCTTGTAAGTGAACAACATCAATCTGTCGTCGTTATGGATGCTCTGTCAGTGCGGACATCTCAGTATGACGCGCGTCGCGTCGCGCGACGCGCTACATGCGTTTCACGTGACCGCGTTCCATTGGCCCAGTCTGACCGCCCGGGCTTGCAATTCTCACTCATATACCAGCAGTCTCTGCGACACTCGTGCACAGACCCTGTGAAAAATCAAAGCACTGGATTAGAGGTGTCTCTGATGGAAAGGCTGTATCACCGCCATATTCGTCACTGGCCCCTTTCTAACACAACTGATGCCGCGGAAGCAAAAGTGCGCATATCTTGATTACGACTCGGGGTGGTATCATTGAATCTGAAAGCCTTTCGTAGCGTCTCATTCCATCAATTCAAACTCGGAGATACTTGCTGGACACTCACTCCCTGGATAACTCCAACTCGTTGGCCCAGACGTCGCGGCTGCATGCGCATACAAGTATTACTATCTGCAAAACCGTCACGTCGGGTATTCCTTGTGGGACGGTACAGGTCAGGGCTCACCGTAAGCGCGGTGCAGATCGTTATTACCGACTATCCGCACGCCCTCGGTACATCTTGAAACTGTCTGCAGACAGAAACACGATCCCGAACTGCATAAAAAGCCCCTACCGCGGAACACCCTCTCTCACTCCTTACCCCGCACCACCGCCTTCTGCACTCTCCCACACGCGACCTTCCTATACTCCCCACTCCCCGTCCATCTCCGTCATGTCTTCTACCGTGTTCACTTGGCCCGCTCTGGTCTCCCGCCCGCTCAAGAAGTCGGGGCGGAGAGCAGGCCGCCGCACGGGTAAGCAGCCGCCCGTCTCGCACATTGGCAGCCCCGACGTCGCCGCGCTCGAGTGCCCGCGTACATCTACACGCAGGGCCAGATGCTGCGCCTCGTGCCTCTGAAGGAGGCGCAGGGCGACGACACGATTCGGTGCCGTGGGTTCTGAGCGTCGGAATGGGTGTCGTTGCGCGCGCGTGATGATGGCGATGATGTCCGAGCTGTTCGAGCTGTTTGGTGGGACGTCGTATGCCGCGGACTGCCGACTAATAGGTGGGCGGGTGCGACGTCCGATACAGCGGCCGGCAAAGTTGAGGACCCCAGTAAGCGTGCGGGAGAGCTTCAGGGTTGCTGGGCGCTGGCGCGCATTGCCCTGGTGTTTCGAACCTCGTTGCTGGTCGAGACTGAAACTGGCCGTTGGCAATTGGACTGTGCGATCTACGGGGTGGTGGTCGCCAGTCAGAAAAGCCAGGATTGGGTGTTGGACTGGGGTGTGGAGCGAACCGTCGAGATAATCCTAGGCCTCGACGGGTCGCAGAAGCCTCCGAGAAAGCACTTCGTCCTGGTATTTGGGTGCGCGGAGACACCATGGTCTACCGCCGCGCTCTGGGTTTCGAGTTCGTGTTCGTGTTTCGGTTTTGGAATAGATCACAAAAGAGAAAAACAGTTCAAAATACTAAACAGAAAAAGAGTGCCCGTACCGTCTTCGTCTGCGTTGATCTTTGCGTTTCAGTTCCAGGATTCCTCTTCAACTTCAAGGCTAGGGACGGTGTGCTGCTCAAGACCAGGACGAAGACCGGACCGGGACCGGGACCAGGAGGCGGCGGTCAAGTATAGCCAACGGATCTGGCGGAGTGTTGACTCGGGAGTCATGCCCCGAGTTACCTCCTGCCTACATCCCGCGGATTTCCTTTGAATCTCATCGTAACGTACCTCTTCACAGGGCTTCGACTAACATCGAGTTCTTCGAAAGACGAGTCCGTTTCGTTCTCATTATTTGTTGTTCACTCACTGACCTCTTTGCTCTCTTTCATTTCAGGTCGTGCATGGCGAGGGGTGGCTTGAGGCCGGTCGACGGTGGATGCGGGGGAGGATGGGTCGGCGAGGCGGCCGCATGCGATTGGCCAGTCGTATTGCGTTCGCCTCCTGACTCTGATACCTGCGCATCCTCCGCCGCTCGACGGGGGAGGAGAGGAAGGGCGTCTACGAAGAAGGTGAGTCTTCTGCTTTGTACGGGGTTGAGAACACTTCACTGACTGCCTTGTGTGCTCCCTCCTAGGTTCCTCAAGTTTTCGACATCTCAAGGCGTGTTCGGTGCATGGCCAAGTACCCCTTCGTTTCATCTCGTTCAGTCCGACTACTGACCAGTGCCTGTAGACCTCAACGACCGTCTGTCAACCTCTGTCAAGACCGATGCACAACAAAGAGTAGTGGTCTCAATTTGTTTCACCTATCCTCACTGACGTTCTGCGCAGGTCTTCCGGAGCGTTTGCGGGACCGGGAGGGGATCGGGGGTGTAGGTGGCGTGGACGGGTAGGCGGCTGCCTTGCAAGCGGCCACTTGCAGTGCAATCGTTTCTCAGTCCTCGTCATCTTGGGGGAGGAGAGGGGGTGGACGGGTGAGGACTGGACGGGTGAGAGTTGGATGGGTGAGAGCTGGACGGGTGAGGGCTGGACGGGTGAAGGATGGACGGGTGAGCGCTAGCAGAAGGTAAGTGCTTTCCCTTCATCGTTACCTCGAATACTGACTTGATTTAGGCTCTCGCGCGTTGCAGGGCATTCAGGTTCAAGTCGTGGTTGGAACGGTGAGTCCACTTTGCTATTGCTTGCTTCGCTCGCTAACTTCTGTCACAGATCATCGACCGACCTGGGATACGGGCGCGTCGGAGTCCAGGAGCCGGCCGTGTTGCGAGCTGGCCACTCGCAGCACGTTCGATTCCTGGATGATGACGTCTCCAGATCCCTCGTCGGTCGATCCCCGACGGGGCCCAGAAGATGAGTGCTTTCGTTTGACCTTCCTCACAGCGCTCCGTACTGACTTTCCGTTCTCTTCCAGGTGCTCTCTCTCTCGGCTTCCATGACGGTGAGTGTTCCGAGGCTTCTCGTGTCTGCTGACTCGGACGTTACATAGGTGTCAGCCTGCCGCGCGAACGAATGCTAGGTAGTTTTTTCTCCACTGACTCTGCTAGCGCTCACTGACAATACCCCTTAGGGCGTCGCCCGGCGGAGGACGGAGGCGGGAGGGAAGGTGCCGAAAGTGGATGAGCGGCTGTGTTGCAAGGTGGCCACTTGCAACACAATCGCCCATCCTTCTGCGGCATCTGGAGCGGGTGGGTTGACGGAGGAGCTGTAGACAGAGGGTAAGCGAACCACCTTTCATTGTCACCAGCATAGGAGGACTGACCGTTCGTCCTTAGGCCTACTTTTGTCCGGAAGGTGGGTCCCGTTCGCCTCTCATGGTGACTGCGCTTTACAGGGTTATCGGCGACTGGCGTTCGGGGATGCCCGAGACCAGGAGCCGGTCGCGTTGCGAGGTGGCCACTCGCAACACGCTCGATTCCTGGGGGACGGCATCCTCGCACTGTCGGTCGATCCGAGGGTGAGACAAGGGTGAGTTTTCCTTGTTCATTTCCGCCACAGGATGCGAGACTGACTTTTGGACGTTTTCCAGGTCCCATTTCTCGGCTCTGACCATACGAGGTAAGTGCCTGATCGCTTTCTGCTTCCAACGTTGTGACACGCTGACGCTACTGACCGCCTCTTCTTGCGAGTACTGCAGGCTTATCACAGAGGATAAGGAGCTTTCCCTTATCTTCCTGTATCGTTTTCACTGACGTAGGTGTTTGTGTGACGGTGGCGGGCGGGGCCGGGGGGTGGCGGTGCCGATGACGAGCAGGCAGATGTGTTGCAAGTTGGCCACTTGTAACACAGTTGCCTGTTCGTCTTCAGACTCGGCGACGGGATAGTGGGTAAGGATAGCGGATGGTAATGGTTTGGTGTCGATTGGCTGTCCAGGTTGCGTGTCCGTGGCGGTAAAGCTCGAGAGGTAAGTATTACTAACTGGTGTGTGAGTGAATAGGTGAGCGTGCTCGGTTCGAGGACGACATCGTGCCGTCGTTTGAGGATCGTTCTCGTCGCGATCATTCTTGAGCACTTGAGTAACGGCACTTGCGCGTCCCCATAGCAAGATACCGACAACGTGACTACGGAGCTATCTGACCCGTAGTGAGTCGCGACTGAATTCTCTTCATTTCTGTAGATCTAATAATTAGCTTGCGCGAGACAACCGGGGGCTGGGTGCGTAGGAGGGTACGTGTCAAGGGCGGGTAGGCGGCGGTACTGCGAACTGGCCGCTCGCAGTGCACTCGCTTCCCCGTTCTTGAGATCTGAGGGTGAGTAGGGGGCAACGCGACGGGCGAGCAGGAGGTGAGCAACCCGTCTCCTCCGTAAGACTTCACCCGGAAACCGCCGTTGTTCGCTGGGCTGCGACGCTCCGCCAACCGGCCTATAGTACGGTAAGCCTCCACTCGCATTCCTACCACTCCCTCCGACAGGCAGCGACTCGACGAGGGACGTCCGACCGAGGGTGTGGAGACGCCGTGGCCGGGAGGCGGCCGCGATGCGGACTGGCCATTCGCAGTGCGTTCAGGACCGCTCCGTCAACGTCGACATCTCCACACCTTGAGTTGGTCGGCGGGGGCTGTGGAGAGCGTACTCCCGAGGGCGAGTGCCCTTTTTTGTTTTGCGGTTTGGGTAGGTCCGTATAGTCTTGATGCGCGTAGCACGCTGCTCGGGTGAAGCTGAGCGGGCTCCTGTGGACTCGCGGTCGTTGGCGACATTGCCGCGCTCGAATCGCCGGGCCTGATCACGTCTGTTTGTCTTGTCTTCGCCCACCGTAGTTCCTTTCCATGACAGACGCGAGCTGGCAGCCTGCGACGCTATCACGATTTCTTGGCGACAACTCAGCATCTCCACACGGTGAAGGGGGGAAGGGGGGAAGGACGTTCACTACACCGTACCGGGGAAGGCCAGTAGATGGCTTGATTACTTTTCGTCCGTTTCCGCGCATACGGTGGGCGTTGTCTGTCGGATGCTAGCGTCCGCACTTGTCAGTATTTGGACACACCTATGACGAGAGGGAGGCTTGTTTGTCGATGTCGAAAGCGGCCTATGTACAACGGCACTCAGTAGTGTCGTCGCCAGAGATCAATTGAGCAGCCTGAGTCAAGCACATCCCGTTTCATTGTGTATCGTGGCGTGCACGCTACCATACATGCGCACTGGGACGCCGCCACCCAGGAGTCACGCTCGCCCACTCCGGCCAGCGTCTCCGCAAGGCCGCACACATAAGATGCAAGTAGCCTCAGCAGTCGTCGCGCAAACACCACATAGCACACGACGTATCTCCGTCGCGGCATGCCCAAGACAGGAAGGTCATCCGTCACCGGTCACCGATCGCTCCTTGCCCCCAGCTGGACAGCAAGCCCTCTCCAGCCCGCCACGTCCTCCCGTGCACGCCCAGGTTGAGTCAACCGACGATGCGGCCCCTGTCAGATGCAGAGCCCAGAGCCCGGCTGCGCGCCCACGCTCACGTCTTGAGCGCCTCCTCGCGGTCGAGAACCGACTTTCGAGCTTGATGAGGACCGTGGTGCGGTTGGGCACTGGTCCGTGGGCGTGTTGTGCGCGGTCACGCGGGCGGGCTGCCAGCGGAGCGGAGAGTTCGACGTTTGCATGGGCTGCGGTCAGCGGCGGACGCGTGGACGGAGGGCGAGGGGCGACTCACGAAGCCCAGGCCGTCGAGGACGGCCTCGACGACGCCGGCGGTGAAGGAGGAGCAGCTGAGCTGGCTCATGTCCCGCGGGACGGAGATGTTGCGTGTGATGGCGGGGTCGTTGTCGATGATCATGTCTGCGGGTGCGTGAGTGGGGCGCGAGGGCGAGGGGAGCGGGGCGCACATTCGTCGGCGTTCTCGACGCTCTTCTCGATGGCGTCCGCGGGCTTGCCGAAGACGGCGCGCCAGACCTGGGTGTGGATGGACATGAGGGCGGGGAGGAAGCGGATCTCGCGCTTGGGGGCTTTGGCGGTGGCCTCGTTGCGCCAGGACATGAGCTCGAGGACGCGCATGCCTACCCGGTAGCCGAGCGTGTTCAGCCTGGAGCGCGCGGTTCAGAGCTTCTGTGGTCAGTCGGATGCGGCAGACACGCACCTCCGTTCGAGGTCGTTGATGCCGTTGACGCGTTTCTGGGTGTACTGCACGACCTCGGAGAAGAGGAAGGCAAACGCGCTCGCGCTGACCTCCCCTGCGCGCGTCTTGTTGAGGGGCCGGTCGTAGATTGTCTGGCGGGGCGCGGCAGGCTTGGATGCACCAGCATTGGTGCTGATGGAGGGCGCGGAGGGGAGGGAGAAGCGGGTGGACGACGCGGCGGGGGACAGGTGCTCGTTGCTCTGGAGTGCGGAGGCGGAGAGGACGGAGAAGCGGGGATGCGGTGCGGCGTGCATGGCTCGTCGCTGGCGGCGGGAGGAGGGGTCGGTGCGATCGGTGAGGCAGAGGCAGGCGCCGGCGACCAGATGGCGGGCTGGCGGGCCGGACTTCCAGATGGGGCAAGTGTGCGGTGCCGGCGGGAGACTTGGAGTCGGGCGGGGACGGCGTGGAGACGACTCGGAGGCGTGCGCACTGCGCTCAGAGCCTCTCCCGGCCAGCAAGGTGCGAGTCCGGCGCCGGTAGCATAATCGCCTCGGCTTGGCAAGCGATTGCTCAGCACTGCAGTGAGTCTACTGCCCGACTAAATACCACCCCGCCATGGACCATCCACGCTTTCCCTCGTCCTCGCACCACACCCACACCCAGGCCTCGCCCAGTCGCGGTCACGCCCCTACTTCCTCCGCCCATCCCCCGCCTACTAATACCCCGCTCTCCCGCCTCGCCATCCCCTATTCCGCCTCCCTGCCCTCACTCCGCAAACAAGCCCTGTCTCCCGCTCCCGGGGCAGACGACCAAGACATGGCTGGCAGCCTCGCCGTCGCGTCTCCGACCCGCGGCGCGTCGCCTGCCGATCTCCAAAATCATCTATACCAGTCATTCTTGACGCGCAAGACAGCAGATGTCGCGTTGCGAATCCGGGGATCGTGGCACGCGATCTATAGGCTTCATAGGGTGGTGCTCATCCAGGCTGTGAGTGTCGTGACCTGCCCGCATGGAACAGACATTGACGTATGCCGTCGCGGCAAGGGCTACTTCCAGTCCCTCTTCACTGCAGGCTTCGCAGAGAGCAAGTCCAAGCTCTGGGGGAGACACTTTGAACTGGACGTGATCGACATCGTCTTCGATGACCCGAATATTACGCGTGCAGGTGAGTCTCGCGCCCCAGTGCTCGTCTCATCCGTGGGTCTGTGACGGGTGATTGTCGGTCGTGGGTGGGTATGTGGTCATGACGGACCTCCGTGCGAGGAGCCCGGAACCTTCTGTGGGGGAACGCTTTGCGTCTGCATGTCCCACAGTCTTTCGCGTTTCAAAGTTGGAACATACTTGGTGGAAGCCCTGGTGTACAACTCGGTCATTGGTGACGGAACCGCTGATGCCTGTTTCTGACACCGACCATCACGATTTGCTTGTTCGGGCGGAGCCAATGTGCGAGCAGAGCCGGTTCGGATGTCAACGGCGTCAGGCATGACAGATGCTGCCGAAATAGAGCAGATGTCTGCGACTGGTATGTATGGAGGTGAATTACATGGTGCTGGCCGTGTGTCTGCCCGAGGACTGCTGCTCGTTTACTGTGTAGCTCATCTCTGTGCATGTAGTCTAAGACGTCAGCAATACATCCCATTTCACCATCGGCGTGTCAGATCGTCAGAATACGAGGAACTGCACCCACCCGCGACCGATATATACAAGGCGACATCAGTTTGTTGTGCATATCACTAACATATCCTGCAATTTCCACTAGCATTCGAGTAAGTGCAGTCTTAGCTCCGGCATTGGCCCCCACTGAGTCCTACGCCGGCAGAGTCTGCGTCGCCCGACTATACGGCGGCGGCCCGCCCCTCCACCTCTCCCCCGACTACATCCCCACCCCCTCCCAGCCCCTCACGTCCGCCTTCAACCTCCCCTCCCCGTCCTCCTCCACCAATCCAGCGCCCTCCACACCATCCCCAACCCCCGCAGGCCACCAGCCGGCCACCCCGCGCTTCCTCCTCTCCCTCCTCGCGACCGCGTCCTTCCTCGGCATGCCCGCCGCAGCCGCGCACGCGCTCCAGCTCGTCCTCGCGAGCGTCGGGCCCCATACCGCCGTGCGCTACCTCGACTTCGCGGTGGGCAGGGGCATCGGGCCGCCGGACGACCTAGCGGCGGGCGGGGACGGGCCGGCGGTGGGGCTGGAGGGCGTCGCGGAGAGCGTCCTGGACTCGGAGGACGAGCGGGCGCAGCCCGAGCACGAGCAGAAGGAGAAGCACGAGCAGCGGGAGCGGGAGAAGGACACGGAGACGATCGCCGCAAAGCTCTCCGCGCTGTCCGCTGACACGGAGGCGGACGTCGAGACGCCGCTGCCCTCGCCGTCGATCAAGAAGGAGGCGCCGGCGTCGCCGCGCTCCGAGCTGTCCTCCATGGACCTCGGCACGCCGGCCTCCGCGACGCCCGAGCCCGCGCCGCCGCTGGAGCCGCACTACTACTACGGCGCGGTGAGCGACAAGGTCGGCGAGGCGGCGGCGTGCTGGCTCGCGCGCTGGGGCGGGGACGTGCTCGCGTGCGAGGTCGAGGTGGTTGGTGGGAAGGACGCGGAGGCGAGAGGGCCGGTGGTGCGGTGGCAGGGCGAGGAGGGGAGGGAGGGAAGGAGCGGGGGACGAGGAAGCGGGGGCTGACGGCGCCGTCGAGGTTCGCGCCGCCTGAGGGGGCCGGGAAGGGGAAGGAGCGCGCGGGGGGCGAGGACGGGGTGGAGACGCGGTGTGCGGTGCCGGTGGTGTGGCGCCGGGGAGGGCTGAGTGCGCGGTGGGCGCGCGGGGTGCTGTCGAGCGACGCGCTGTTCGTGAAGGGCGAGCGCGAAAGGTACGACATGGCGAAGGCGGTCGTGGAGATGCGGAGGGGCGTACCGCTGGAGGAGCCGGAGGACGCGGACGTCGAGGAGCGGGAGTGGGAGGAGCTCTTCCGGACGGGGATATACTACGAGAACATGGTGCGTGTGTTATGGCTTGGGCAGGTCGGGTTGGATTCTCATGGAACGCAGAGCCTCGACGACATGATCGCAATATCCAAGGACGTGTCCCCGAGCACGGTTCAGCCGTACGTGCCGCTGTCCGTCCTCCAGTCTGCGCACTGGAACCAGGACGTCCTCCGCCATCGCATCACGTCTCGTCCGCGCGGCGGTGGCTCGTCGTCGTCGTCCCCGCCGCTTTCCCCGTCTGCGCGCGACAAGGAGCTCGGGCTCGGTGTGTCCAGCACAGACTTGCAGAAGCAGACGGAGGAGGGCGCGTGGTACCCTGTGCCTGGCGACTCTTCCGTGCGCATAGGAGATAGCACCGGCGTGGAGGGCGCGAATACGGAGCAGCACCTCCTCGAGCTCGTCAGCCCGCCGACGCTCGACGCGGGCAAGAAGGGTGCGCGGACGTGCGAGGAGAACTTCTTCGGTCTGCAGCAACAGCGCTACTCCGCCGCGTCCGCATCTGCGCACGGGGAGGGCGCGAGCAAGTTCACGCCGCATCCGCCATTCAGGTTCGGCGTCGAGTTCTGGGACGTGGACACGCTGAAGGAGAAGAGCCGTCTGCACAGCCACACGGTGTGGTATGCTGGAAGCTTGTACAATGTATACGTGCAGGTTGTGCGCAAGAAGGGCGTCCAGCTCGGGGTGTACCTCCACAGACAGAGCTCGGTGGATCCATTGCCGCCGTGCTCTGCACCTGCAATACCCACACCGGCGAGCTCGACGGGAGGGAGGACGCCAGCGCAGATGGCAGCACATTCGGGGAGACCGGCAAGCTCAAGCGTGAGTGGCAGCATCGTGTCGTCGCCGAGGCCGACTTCGATGCATTCCTCGACTGTGGGGTACTCGTCCTCCGGCCTGCCAACCCTCCCGCTCTCGCGAAGCACCACGCCTGTTTCGTCGCCCGCCTCCCCCGGGCTCGCATCGTCGCTCCCCTCGAGCAGTACCAGCAGCATCCTCGCTTCTGCGCCTGCGCAGCCACTCACGCTCCCTGCTACGGCACATGCCTCGGCGCCGCAGCAACCTTATCGCGACCCGCGCCCTGCGGTGAGCGCGTACTTCGCCATTTCGTGTGCGAGCGCGACGGGAGCCAGCCTGACGAGGTTCACGAGCGCGCCGGACGTGTTCAGCATAAGCCAGAGCTGGGGCTGGAAGAGCAGCAGTCTGCGGACGGATGAGTACCTGGAGGTGGGTCGGGACGGGATGCCGAGGAGTGCGGCGAGGCGTCTGCGCGGACGGAGGTGAGCCTGCGGGCGACGGTTGTACTTGGTGTGGTGTAGTTGGGAGTGCTGTTGTGTCGATTATCTGCAGGCTCGCTGGTATGTATTGGAGGAAGGATCCGGATCTATATGCTACCATGACACATACTACTTGCTTATCCTCACCCCTCTTACTATTCTCTGCTGCTTTCGTGCTCTGCCGGTTTTGCGTACTGTACGCGTCGTGTTATTGTACCTAGTCGAGCCTCTTTATATCACGAACTACATAATATCCCCCGCGAGTGATCGGGTTACTCGGAAGCTGAAGAGTGATCGAGCGCTGGCGCCTCGCTGTGGGCAGGCGCGAGAAAGTCTTTTGCTTCCGTGGCAAGGTTTCGACCACTCTCCTACACAGCCCGTCGCTGCCTGCTCGCTTCCTATCCACCACCACCAGCCGCAGGCCCACCCACCATGCCCGCAGCGACGACGAAGCAAGACTCGGCGGGCGAGGCTCCGCCCCCGCCGCCCCTGCCCAACCCGTCCACGGCAGCGCGAACCCTGCTGCGTCCCTGCCCGCTCTGTGGGGCTACTTGCAGCCCGCGCTCGACCACATGGTCCGTTCGCCCACGAACAACCCGTCCAAGGCCCCTGCGATCGAGGTCAGCTACCACATGGGCGTGCACACCGCCGTGTACAACTACTTCACGTCCCAGTCCGAGCAGGTGCCGCCCTCGCCCGGCCCGGTCTGGGGGCCGGGCTGCGCATACCCGCCAGGACAAGGGCAAGGCGAGCGGGACGGACTTGTACGACCAGCTCGACCGCTACTACGCAGACGCCGCGCGCGAGATCTTCCTCGGTGCGCCCACGGACGACAGCTCGCTCGTGCACTACCTCGTCCCCTGCTTCAACCGCTACTCCGCCGGCGCGCAGGCGGTCAGCCGCCTGCTCAACTACGTCAACCGTCACTACGTCAAGCGTGCCGTGGACGAGGACCGCGGCTGGCTCCGCCTCGCGGACGTCCTCGACGCCGTCGCGCGCACGATCCAGGAGGACGACACGCGCGAGAAGATCCAGCGCCGCCTGCGCGAGCGGCGCACGGAGGAGCTGAAGAAGTTTGGGTTCGTCGAGGGGGCGTCGCCCGCGGACATCGCGTGTATCGAGGAGTACGCGGAGGCGGCGAGCCCGCCCGACCGCGTCGTCCACCTTTCCGCCGTCGCCTACCGCCGCTTCCGCATCGAGGTCCTCGACCCTCTGCTCGCGGTTCCGAAGTCAAGGGGAAGGCGAAGAAGAAAAAGCCCCCACAGACGGGGGACAAACCGTCTATGCCGAAGGGCCGTCTCGCGCGGTCGGTGAAGGAGCTGCTGGAGTCGGAGGGTGGAGACGAGGAGGAGAGACGACGACTCGGGGGCGGTTTGGCCATCGCCATGAGAACATGCGGTATAAAGGTCGACCATCCACTCCGCAAGAAGCTCGATAAATACATACCGCCTGCTCAGCCTACTGCGACATAGTGAGTTTGTGTGTACTGACTGGGACTGTTGATCATCTGCCTCGGTATCGTGATTCATTGTCTGTACGCTTCTATCGTTGGATCAACTTGATGTTGTGCTTTGCTCATCGATGGCACTCGTTCGATGTTTGGTTCACGTCCATGCAGAGTCGGGCCGCGAGAAGTACAACGAAGACCTCAAAATAAGATGCACGATAGTGATGATGATAATACATTTGAGATGCATGAATACAATTCCTACACCATAACCCATCCCCGACAACCTTCTGCGCCGCACTTACACCGCGTCGCGCCTTCTGGTACCCTGGACTTGCCCTTCGATTTGCCCTGCTTGTGCGCAACCGCGTCCCGAGGGTTGTAGTCGATCGTGAGCTCCGTACGAGCGCGCACAGCCTTCGTCGTGACGAACGCGAGGTATGGCTGGTTGAGCTCGGCGACCGTGTCCCACACCACGGGATATACCTTCATGTTGGGCTCGCAGGAATGACTGCGAGCGCGGATTAGCCCTGGGCTGCATTGATCGCCGCTCCGTACTCACTTTATAAACCTCGACCAGTTGCCTACGACGAGCCTCAATCAGCTTTCGTTCTGCGTCTGAAGGGAGGACACTCACCATATTGGTAGGAGTCAACGGAATACCGCACCGTGCTCGCGTCCTCGTCACCCGACTCAAGCATGTCGAGATCGAATATGTAAGATCTGTGCTCGTCCGACAAGTTGTCGGCATCTTCGCGACGTCTACAGCTCACGTCGTCAGCGAATCCTGACAGTCCGGTCAGCTAGTAGACATCCGTACATAAGCTTCCTAGTGGCATAGACGGTGGCCGTGAGCTGAGATTTGGGCCATGATGGTGGCAGACGCACCCTGTGTATACCCCGAGGACCTTGCCTACGGGAAGATCAGTCGTCGCACGAACGCCCCAGCCGCAGTCGCCGGTGTAGAAGACCTCCATCGGAACATCCCGCGGTCGCTGTGCGACGCGGTTCTGGCACGTTTGGGGGCATGTACAGCCCTGTACGATATGAGTACGGCGCATGATACAGGGGATTTGGAACTCACCTCGTTGCATTCAATGACCACCACACCTGGGCGGAGGTTGAACTTGAATATCTCCTGCACAGCGGTCAAAGGACGAGTAGACGTACGACGCTCCAAAGGACCAACCTCGCTGTTATAGGCATACTTTCTCTCTCCGGCTTCATTGACGAGCTCTGATGCGAGCTGGCAATCACACCTTTGTGCGCTCCTGCAACCAGTTGTGCAGTCGCAAATAGCAAGGAAGGAGGGGTCCGGTGGACCAGGAACCCCCTCAGCTCTGAGCAGCAATGAGCTTCAAGGTTGCCAGGAATCTTCGACGAGCGTCAGACGTACCTCACGTAGTGCTGCTCGCAATACTCGAAACCCTCCAGCCCGGGAGGGACGTCCTGAGCATTGGACCCGGTGACGATGTACAGAGGAGCTGCGCGCGCGAATTTTATTGCACGGTTCCATTCCGCTTGGAGCTCCTTTCGCCGGTCTCTCCGCCTTACCTGATTGACCTCAGGATCAGGCTGCGACTGAGGCCGCAGCTCTGGCCTGACTGGCCTGTTCGCTGACGGGGGGTTGGGAACTGACCCGCCTTCCGACCTCACTGAAGATAGGTTTCAGCGAGTGAGGCTAGCACCTGAGCATAAGCTTACCAGATACACCATCGCTGTCGCTGTCGCTGTCAGTGACATGCTTGATGTTCTGCCAGTGCATGTAATCTCTGAGCCCTCGTCTGTCGCGCTCAGCAAGCTTTTCGATGTATGCATCCTCCCACTCGACTGTCGCGTCTTCGTGCCAGGGCTGGTCAGGCTCAATGCCGATCTTGATGGCGAGGCTTTCTTTAGCCTTCTCTGCACGCTTGTCAGTTCGGTCATTATCCCACTTCCTTTCAACCTGCGTCATGTCGTGGTTCGTTCTCTGCCAGGTCGTGTTGGTTCCTGCAGCATCCTTACGTTGCCAGCCGGGCCATTTCACCTGTAGCAAGTTCAGCAGCCACCCCGGTTGTCTCGTGCCACCCTACACACCTCGTAGCTACATATCGTCAGGAGCCGTCGATGGACACGAGAGGTCGCACGCACCATGACATGCGATATGCATCCATCTCTTGGTTCACGATTCCCCAGTACTCCCACTCTCCATCCCCCCAGTCCTCGGATGGCGGTGGCGAAGGGTTCCATATACGTCTCAAATCTTGTGCAGACATTGTTATACAGACTGAGAGCAGAAAGATGCGTATGTATGATGGGGCAGAAGGCGCAGCCAAGCAGCCTGAGAGGTGACCGCGATTGACAATGAACCCGCAATCCAGTGAACGCGCTGGTTGAGACGCGTCGCCACACGGTCACGCGGTCTACGCGCTGCAACTGCAAGTGGTTTGCCGCATCTTCATCTTGGCCGCATCCCTCTGTCGCCGCTAGCATCTGCATGTACCACCCCTCCGGAAGAAACGTATGTAACATTCCAGAGGTCGCATCAAGGCTCATCGGGACGTGATCGTAACGCGGCGGCCTCTCACTAGACCTCACTGCTCAAATGCTTGGCTCGGGGAGGATGTCTCGGGAGTCAATGTTATTCTGCATGTCCATCATCATTCTGATGACCTCCCGGCTTATCCAAGGCTGAATGCAGCCTGCGTGCAGCCAACATGCAGCCTATAGCGGCGGATATGAACACTCGCCGACGCTAGTACGAGTTAGAGCATCGCGTCTAAACGTGCTGAAACCGTCTGGCATCACGATGGGCGCCCGACCTGCGCTCGAAGAGGTCTTCAATATTCAATTGTCAAGGGCATCCAAGTACATCGTTTCCTCTGTCACCGCCTCAGCTCGCTCTAACATAGATAGGAGGATGCCGCGTGCCAATATGCTACTTCTCTTCGCAACCGGTGCGGTACCACAGTAGTACATATACCGTTATTCCACCCTGCTTGCCCTAGCACGGCTTGGTATGTCTTCCCTGAATATCGCGGCGACTTTGCACACGCACATGAAGCAGGATGTATCCTTGATGAGGTATGCATATTCTTTCGACTTCACACACGTTGTTCAACCTACGACTACGACTCATGTAGTGCCGAGACGGTCAGTACCAGCTCAGTCTCATCTGCTCTTCGCTTCTCACGTCCACGTTGATACAGGCCGTGGAGAAACTACTCACCTCATGCATCGCATTTGTTCGCGGTGTTCAGGAGAGCCCTTGTCCTATAAACCGGCTTCCACCAGAGTTGCTGAACCACGTCTTCGACTACATCCCCACTAGGCCCCAGATACCAGTTACACCCACCAGAGACGCGTCTACGGCCTTTCGGATATGGGGACCCACAGTCCTTGACACCAGGAGCTCGGTCGTTCTCTCGCAAGTCTGTTGGTATTGGCGCGATGTATGCTTGCAGTCATCTACAATGTGGGCCCATATCCTTGATTCGCAGCCTTTCGAGCTCGACACTTTGCTGGAGCGGTCCCGGGAGCTCCCTCTGAAAGTTCTGATGACATTTTCAGAGCTTCGCTCGCTGCAATTCTTGTCGGAGCAGAGCCACGGCATACAGGAGCTACACTGGATACAGCTCGACATGCAGCGCAGCGGTGCTTGTCTGAGCTTCCCCGCTCCCGCGCTGCGTACCCTGACACTCACCGGGCCGCGCTCTTCAACGAGCTACCACGGCGCGGATTCGTACCTTGACGACAGCTGTCCCATCCTCTTCAGCAATCAGACCACGGCCCTCGCACACCTCTCGCTCTGCAGCCTCCCCTGGCTCCCGCACAACCGCTTCGACAACCTCACATGCCTCTACATCGACAGCTGCCACGGACCCAATCTGCTCATCCGCCTCCTCAGCCTCCTCAGCGGCTGCCCCCTCCTAGAGCACCTCGTCCTCTCCGCGCTCTCCGACCTCGCGCCCGCCCGGGCCGACGACGTCGTCGCCCTCGGCGCGCTGCGCACCCTCGTGCTAAAGCAAGTCTCTGCAGACGACGGCGCACTGCTCCTCAGACACCTTGCGCTCCCCGCGTCGACCGCGCTCCGCCTCGCGGACATCTTCCCCTGCGCTGCGTCCCTCCCTGAAGCGCTCGCGGTGCTGCCGCCCGTCAGCGGGGTCACGCGGCTCGCGCTGGACCTGACCGCGGGGAGACCATGCGTGTGTGCGGTGGGCGAGGAGTCGGGCGTGCGCGTCGATGAGTACACGTCGTGGTTCCACTACGAGTTCTGGCTGGGGACCGCTCCCGTGCTCGTGTCCCGGGCGCAGGTCAGGGAGCTGTGGCTGAGGGCGAGCGGGCCTGTCGACAGGAAGCACGGCGCGGCATTACACAGTCTGATCAAGGCACTGCCGGAGCTCGAGCTCCTCGTCGTCAACGACGATGTTGTAGAGCTATTGAGCTCGATGCAGGGCACGGTCCCGACGTGCTCCGGTCTCACATCTATACACGTACATTGCGAGGGCCGCATCGCTGCGCGGTCGATCGTCGACGGCCTGCTCGCCAACAAGACACAGCTGGCGGGCAAGAGTGTGGTCGTGTGCTGCATGCCGGCGTTTCGGTTCGTGCGCGAGGAGTGGAAGGAGCTGGACAAATGCTTTCGTTCTGTGGAGTATAGGTTCTGCGAGAGCACCCCGGAGATGGCGATGCCTACGGTATGTAGCGTTGCTGGACATATGCTCTGGCCATCCTGGCGTGAGGCGTAGCGGGTGTCGTCTGGGCGATAGGTCAGGGTAGGCTGAGAAGTGTACATACCGCGTTAAATTGGCAGCTAAGCCGTTTCCTGGCTCTTTCTTGGGGGGAAGTAAATCATATCATGATGATTGATGTCGTCAATATGTTCTGAATCCGACCTACGGGTAGTGTTCGATATTCCTGGCGTTTACACCCGTGTGCCCGTGCACGGAGTGCGATATGACAGGTTTCCAGTGAGACGCAATCACTAGTCCTTAACCTGTTCCTCGAGCCAACCCCACAGCTTCTCGCCCAACGCATCATCATACGCTTCTGACCTGCACTGGCCTACCCTCGCCCAGGGAATGAGATACTGTCAGGGTGTGTGAGCCGCAAGCACGCCTAGTGAATGACCACCCGCCTACCTTGCCGTTGTAATCCAGCGTCTCTGGCATGGTGCCCGCCCAGAGTTGGGTGAGTGCGCCGTAAGGCGCGTCGTACAGAACGAGATTCTGCGGCTGTCAGGGATGGGATGTGTGTAGGGAGATAATTAGTGACGTACCATAATCTTACGGAGGATCGTGGGAGCGTAGCGTTGCAGCTCGGTTTGGATGTTCCCTAAGGAGCACAGAAACTGTGAGCAGTGCTCTGGCCTCGCCGTATGGCTCGTGTGTTACCTGGATTGCACGACGTAGACACGATGCCTTGGTCTGCATACCGCTTTGCAAACTCGCGAGCAACCACAACGTTGCCCTGCAACGCGGTCCGTCAGCAACACACCCGGACGCCTCGCAATGGCACGCACGAATTTGCTCTGCGAGTACAACGTGGTCGTTATCATCCGCCGTCGAGCTGGGCTGTCCCTGAACGCGTCGAAGTTGAGCGTGTAGCCGTAGGCCGCGCTTGAGGACGTGGTGACGACTCGAGCGTGGTGGTCGGGCGAGGTATCTTTGCCGGCGACGAGTGCTGGGATGAGGAGCTTTGTGAATAAGAAATGGCCTAGGCATCGTTAGGGTATGCAATGTGGATTGGAGGGTAGAAGGCTCACCGAGGACGTTCGTGCCGAATTGCAGATCGTAGCCGTCTGCGGTGAGCAGCTCACGCGGAGGCCACATAACGCCCCTGCAACCCGATATCATGGCGTGTCGTCAAAAGTCACAGTAGAGAGCACATACGCGTTATTGAAGAGAATGTGTAGCTCTTTCTCCTTGCTGCCATATTCAGACCGTATCAGTGCATGCCTCAGGGCTTCCGACTTCTGGGTAGTGGGCACCTCATAAATTCTTCTGCCGACTTTCGAACGGAAGCAAGGCTGCTCAAGTCAAGCTCGAGGAATATGGCCTCCTTGCCTGTTTGCTGCACAAGCTCCTTGATCGCAGCGTCCGCCTTTTCCTTGCTCCTGGACGCCATGTATACCTTCGCGTTGTGCTCGAGAAGGGCCTAGAGCGCATGAGTTCGCTTTCCAGACTGAACCCTGGTGGCAGACATACCTTGATCGTTTCCTTGCCGATGCCAACATTTCCTCCTGGGTCGATAGTTCGTCAGGCGTTAGCATACACAACGCGCATGCGTATACAGACCTGTGACGATTACGACCCGTCCAGTCAAGTCCGGCATCTGCTCGGGAGTAAACGCCGACTTTGGCGGGAAGGCCTGAGCCAGGGCCGCGAGCTGGTTTCCCATTCTTGTTCAGCGCAGATGGCGACAATGGCAGTGGATGAGAGACAGTGCGGTGAGTGGACGATGTCGGTAGCTATGGGAGCCTCACGGGCGACGACGGTGCTGCGCGAGGATGGGCGTGCGAATAGGGCATGGCGACAGTATTCGGATTCCCAGTGGATGTACTATTCTCGGTAGACCAGTCAAATCCGTGGCAGCCGGCCTCGATAGCAGTGGGAACAGCCAAGTTGAATGAGCGAGCAAGCGTGCGCGACGCCGAGCCTCGACGAAGCTTGACGCGCCGAGGTCGTGACCGTGAGTCGGAAAGCTTGACCGCTGGCCACCTTCAGGAGGATCCTACTGCAACTTCTCACTGCCTGGCTCGATACAAGTCCTACTGTTCCACCGACTTTCAGCTTAGGTTGTGCTCTCTGTTCCAAGAGAAATATGCATGCCATGAGTCGGACTTAGTGTGCTTGCAATGGCTGATGCTCACAATTCAGATCCAAGTTCAAGCTGCATGCTACCCAAATGCTACCGCTCAGGCTCCGCCGCGTTACTCTGACGATAATATGTACAGATGGGCCGCAAGGGAACTTGCTTGAAGTGCCTGCTGGGGACTCCCGGATCCAGGCCTGCATAGCCGTTACGAGGTACGCTACGGCCATTTGGAATGCGAGGCGTGCTAGACAAGCGCAGAATGATTGAACGATTGGGGACACAGGGCGTGGCGCCGATGTGGCCGCTTGTGTGTGCCTCAGTAGGTGCGCGCGGGTGACGGACGACATGTGTGTGTGTGACAGAATGCACACTTATAATGTGCCGTGCGGCACCCGCCTTCAACATAGCGTCCGTTACTAATTCGTAGTAGAAGAGACCGCTCCTTTCCCTTCACTACCACTGCTGCTCCTCCTGATTACTGAGTAGCCGCGTTCACTTATAGGCACTATGGGCTCATCACAATCGAGGAGCATAGTATCGGACCCAGACAAGTTCGCGCAGCGTGTTCAACACGAGTCGGGGAACTTGAAAACACCAACCCGTCAGTATGACTACATCATAGTTGGAGGAGGTACGTCGTTGTATGACACCGTAAATCGTTGTCACCGAAGTTGACTGCATCATTTCAGGCACTGCAGGATGTGTCCTTGCCTCTCGGCTATCTGAGGACCTGAACACCACTGTCTTGCTTATCGAGGCAGGCAAGAGGTGCGTGAGGGAATTGATCAAAAGTATGACCCACTCAACCTGTATTAGCCATGAAGGAGACCTACTCAGCCGCATCCCGCTTGCATATAGCAAGATGTTTCAGACATCTGTCGACTGGAGCTACCAAACCACGTGCGCAATGCTGCTGGCTCTGGGTGTGTGTGTGTGGCTAACATAGATCTAGGCCACAGCAGAAGATGTATGGTCGACGAGTGAACTGGCACAGAGGGAAGATACTGGGCGGTACGAGGTTCGCAGCAACTTGCAGTTACCTTGCATGCTTCACTCACAAACAAGTTACAACCTGTAGCGCCCTGAACTCCATGATTTGCCATCGTTGTGCACCTGAAGGTACGTTTCAACTGCCTGCGTGTTTGCGCCACACCTATGAATACAGTCTCGGATAGATTTCAACGAGTGGGAAAAACTTGGTGCGAATGGGTGGGGATATGCTGATCTTCGACCGTAATACGAAACTTTCTCCGGCAGAACTCGCACGTTAAGTGTATTTCTATTCCACAGGTACTTTGACAAAGCCGAGCGATACTGCGCCAGCTCGCTATTTCCAGGAGTCAAACGAGAAGAACACGGATTAAACGGTCCATGGCCCATGACACATAACACTCAGGCCGCGGTAGGTTGGGGGATTCTTTAAATCCAGGATATTTATTGACGCCTTCCAGCCTGTCGTGAATGCAGCCACCGACGCTTGCGTAGCGATGGGCATGCCGTACAACCCGTGAGTTCAATCGACCACAGCGACATACTCCTAAATGTCAGATATGGTCCAGAGACATGAACTCCCCCCGCGGAACAATGGGAGTTGGTCCTTTCGTGGGCCACATCGACGAGACAGGCCAACGTAAGCTAGCCTATGGGATAATTCATTCAAATTGCCTCTAGCTGTCACTTACCGACTCTCAGGGAGCTCAGCCGCGGCAGCATATCTCACACCAGATGTGCTGTCGAGACTAAATTTGACTATCGCCGTTGAGACCATGGTAGAAAAGATCATATTCTCGCAAGACCCGGGAGAAGAGCCTCGCGCGATCGCCGTGGAAGTGTCGAAAAGCCGTACCTCGCCGCGCTACCGTGCCGATGCTACGTGCGAGATAATACTATGTGGCGGGGCGATCGCCAGCCCACAACTCCTGCTCCTGTCTGGGATCGGGCCTGCAGACGACCTGCAAAGACTCGGAATTCCGGTCGTACAGGACCTCCCTCGGGTAGGGAAGAACCTCACGGACGTTCGTGTTCTCGAATCAGATCGGCGGGATTTTACTTATCATTTTTCTTGCTGCAGCATATCGCCTCAGGCCCGCTTCGTTTCCGTGCCAAACCGGCCGCGACCTGGGACCATTACAACAACCCTCTTCCCGGCGCGTTGGCCATGCTCAGATGGCTCATCACGGGAGGAGGCCCACTCGCCGCGCTCGGCACCTCGTCGGGAGCATTCTTGCGCTCCTTCGAGCCGGAGTGAGTCTTGACGTTCGTCGCAGGACCATCGTTGACGTTCACCCAGGGTCGCAGCGCTATCAGGTTCCTCGGAGAACCTTGCGATCAGGGACTTGACATCTGGACCTGGCGCACCAGACTTGGAACTGGTGTGGGCTCCCGTTAGCTTCTCGGTAGACAACGGTCTTGTCATACCCACTCCGGGGGCGTCTGGAATCACAACGGTGTGTTGGATCTACTGATTTTATGGACATCGCGTCACCCGCTGATATTATGCAAGGGCGCGGTCTGCCTCAAGCCTGAGAGCACCGGCCAAATCACACTGGCGTCCAATAGCGTTTGGGACAAACCCCTGATCGAGGCGAAGTGAGTTTATGACCCGATGGTACGCGCAGAGCCAACCCTTGACTAGCCCTGGGTAGCTACTTCCAGTCTGAGAGTGATCTGAATGTCGTGCTTCGCGGAACGAGGATACTACTACAGGTGGCACGCACTGAGCCGCTCGCTTCTCTGCTCGAGACGACCACAGTCACGGATCAGGAAGACACATTCTGGCCAGGACATGCTGACCCCGACAAGGCTGGTGGTCTTCGGCTCTGACCATGTCCGTTGATTCTGAATCCGCTATAGGTCACTGACGACGAGTTGAAGGCATGGATACGCCGTAGCGCCGAACCTACCTACCACGCGGTCAGTACGCACCCCACGTCTGTATATGCCACGCATCTCACTGTCTTCGTCGCTTTGCAGGTGTCGACCGCCCGGATTGGACGGGACCGGGGAACCAGTGTGGTCGACACTAAGCTTCGGGTGCACGGAGTCCAAGGCCTGCGGGTTGTAGATGCATCGGTCTTTCCTTCCCAAGTATCCGGTCACCCAGTCGCTATCGTTGTTGCCATTGCTGAAAAGGCGGCCGATCTTATAAAGTCTACTGGACGCTAGGCAGTCCGCGGCACGAGAATTCATTGTACCATGTCTGTATTTGGTCTGCCTCGAATATTGTTACTCGCTCCAAATGGTCTCAATGTGATCATCGATGCGCTTCTGACTCAACGACACTGTTCATTACTAGCTCCTTCGCTCGCTCCGACCGCACCCGAATGTCGCACTTGAAGGGAAGTGGGAATCTGTATTGACAGTGACGTGAGCTGAGGTTCACGAATAGAGGCAGCCATATGACTGACATCATTCCTCCATCGCTATACTCGCCGGTCGGATTCACGAGATTGCCTTGCTCATCCCTCGGGATAGCGATATTGAACGCCGCCAACGTAGTCGCGATGGCGGTGAACAACAAGGACTCGGCGAGGTGGCGGCCAGGGCATGCGCTTTTCGGCGCAGCGTCAGTACTTCGTTTTTGGCATGGTTGACATTCGACGTACCGCCGACCAAATCCAAATATAACTTCCAACGGGTCCGTGTTGTCATCCGCATCCCGTGAGAGCCAGCGTTCTGGCCTGAACTCGTCAGGCTCGTCGTACCGACTTTTGTCGTGAAGCATGGCCCTAGTTGGCGTGATCACTAGTCCATGACTGGGATTACCATCATGGCACTCACCAGAAGTTCACAATGACGATAGTCCCCTTCGGAACGAGATATCCCCGGTGGACGTCGTCTTCTGCTGGGGTCCTGACAACTACATAAGTGAGCCAACGTAAAGCAACTCAAGGATGTGACGGGGCTCACCGGCAGGTATGGGCGGACAGCAACGTAAGAGCTCTTTGAGGAGGGCCTCTACATAGGGTAGCTGCGGTCGATCGGCATACTCGGGCAGGCGTTCGTTGCCAATGACCTCATCGATCTCTTGTTGAGCTCGGCGTTGGATGTCAGGATGCATCATCATCATGAGGAAGAAAGAAGAAAGCGTCGATGTACTCTGCTTATGATCAGCTTTCGGGCTTTGAACAAAAGACGGACACGCTTACGGTGTCTGCTCCGCCTATTTGGTAGTTGTGCGTCAGCACGGCGGATTCGATCAGAGCGAATGCTGCCCTCTCACCCGTGTACAACTGCGTGGCTGTGAACATGATGATTTCCCGTTCATCCTTCAGGTCAGACACCAGGGCCGCAGACGTCAAAGACGGCTTGGCCGACCCCATAGCCTATGCGCGAGTTCAGTATCGTCTCCGCGTCACACAGTCATTGCGCGTACAATCTTCGATTCCACGTACTGATGTCCCCTTTCAGCCAGATCGGTGTATTGCTGCCGCCATCCCAGTGCGAGTTTCTTGAAATGCATGCCTGGCAGAAACGCAGGCAGCTTGGCGACTGCCTGAGAATTAGCAGTCAATCCGAGCAGATTCCCTCTACCCATGCTTACGAAACGGGATCCAGTCAACAAGGAAGCCACCGGAGACGCTAGCCTGGGCGAAATTCTGCACGGTGATATCTGCCATTTCCACATACGGGTCGTGCTCTCCCTCGACTTCGTAGCCATGCGACATGAACAGAGTGATCCCAGCCGTGAGCCTGAACGCAGCAAGTTAGTTGGGACAGACCGGACCGCGCATACAATGACGTACTTTCTGATATGCGCCATTAGCTTGTCCGGGCTACGCAAAAGGCCGTACAAAAGCATGTCGTTCTTCTTGGCTAACATAGGGTCGAACTGTCTGAGCTCTCGTGGTTGGAGGACCAGATGGAGCAGCTTCCTGGCTTTGCGGAGACGGAGAGGGTCGCCTTCAAACACGACTCCGCGATCCATACCGGCACTTAAAGAGCGTGTTACGTTTGCACTTCCTCCAAGACTGGGTCTGGCACGTACAGTGATACCATCTGGGGAATCGGGCGACCGGAGTAGAGGTGCGACTTTCCTTCCAGGATGTCTCGAGCTTCGCTGGCCGAGTTGAGTACAAGCATGTGCGTGTGCAGAACACGCAGCGAGTATACGGGACCTGATACGGACCGGTCAGCGAAACGATTTAGTAACGCGTCTACACACCACGCACCATATTGCTCGCTATACGCTGTGAGCGTGAGCCACATTCGCTTAAACGGCAAGATATTCCCGATTAGAGGTATAGCCTTCGGGCCAGGAAACAGAGGTGGGCGTGCGTGGCGTGCCTTGACGGACAGCGACCACGCTGAAATAATAAATAGCGCTATACACGAAAGCGTGAGTATCATAGTGGCAATCGTCCAGCTCGAGGCTAAGGGTGTTGTCGGGAGCCGAACGTCGCAGGTCTAGCCAGTGTGTGTTTGCTTGAGCTTCAGGAGGTCCGGGGTGAGGGGAGTTCAGCACTGTCCAAGTCGTCTGGAGTTGGTTCCTCGTGGAGGAGGGGGCCGTGGACGTAGTAGCGCCCACCAGCATCTTGCCAACATGACAGCGCTCAGTACTTGAGTTGCGACAGATGCCCTCGGGTACGGCCGCTGAAATGGAACTTTATGAACGCTGGGCCCTGTGAGGCTGCGGTCGGAGGAGGCAGGAGGTTATCGCCATTCAGCGCGAAGTAAGTTACCGACGACAAGGGCCGGCGCTGTGGCGTGTGCTATTATTTGAGTGATGGCCCGGGTCCCGAACTGCGCAACATAGTGGACTAGCTTAAAACATATTTAGCCTGTTTGCGCTGTACAGACAGCGTTGAGCCGCTGTACTACCATGACATGAGTACTTACCAGTAATAGTATGGTGGAGGAGGACATCGACGCCGACTCCGGCCGGGCCAGCGCTAACTCTAATCACAAGTACCCCCACTGAACGTTGAACGCTAGCCTGCAGTACGCGGCACGAGGAACTAGGATGATTCGTCGCAAATTGCTACCAACCATTGTTTGTATTCGTTCTGCATCAAAAATCATTCTTCGCCCCGAATGGTCTCAATGCAATCGTTGGTGTCACGGTCTGACTACTAAGCGACACTGTTCGTTACCAGCTCTTTCGCTCGCTCCGACCGCACCCGAATGTCGCACTCGAAGGGAAGTGGGAATCTGTATTGGCAGTGACGTGAGCTGAGGTTCATGATAGAGGCAGCGATGTGACTGACATCATCCCACCAACGCTATATTCGCCGGTCGGGTTCACGAGTCTGCCCTGTTCATCCCTTGGTATGGCAATATTGAAGGCCGCCAACGTGGTCACGATGGCGGTGAACAACAGCGTCTCGGCGAGGTGGCGCCCGGGACACACGCTTTCCGGTGCAGCGTCAATACATTGTCGGCATGGGTGTCATTGAACGTACTATCACTGTACCAGAAGTGCAACTTTCGCGTTTTTTCCTCTCTGCAGGCCGACCCACTCACCGGAAGCTCTCGGAGTTTGCATTGACGGATTCCTGAGGTCTGAAGATATGCTGTATGATTTTACAGGCCTTGTCCAGGGAGTATGAGGGGGATGCCGAGAGGGAGCAAGGATTGGAACAGTAATGCAACTCTTCTCCGAGGCTCGTCACAGCTCCTGTCACGCTGCCGAGTATTGCCGTGGGTTGCCGACTGTGGCTATTGTGGCTGCACGGCGATACAGCAATGCAACCAACGTGTTCATGCCACCTTGTGCTATCCCAAACACCCTGTTTAGTTTCCGGAGATGCCGTGGACGTATCTATCTTATTTAGATGATACTCATAGGACTGGCATCCCTTACAGTATCGAAAGCCATAATGTTGAGAAGCCATAAATATAATGAGTCGACTACTTCGACTCTTCTGGAGATACTAAACACCAATTTCTCCTCCGTTCACAAGTTCAAGTGTACTTCAGTGATTAACAGCTCTCCGCCTGTCAAGTTTAGGGTGGCATGGCTATCAATGCCTGCAATGCCTTGTCCAGCGGTCGAGCAACAGTAGTGCAACTGCTGCGATCGTAACCGTATATGGTAATTGATAAGGAGCGGAGTTGAGATTGCTGATCTTGGGTGGCTTTCCGTCACGCTCTGACCACCTCTCAGACGTCTTTCCTTCTCAGAAGTCGCAACAAGAGACGGAAGGCTTCGGAAAAATATGAGGAGCATACTAGATGGCAATTCAATGCACTTTTGAGACCCACAGGCGAAGCGCCCAAGAGATGCGGTCAGCCGAGATTGCACCAGTGCCATTTTGAGGCGCGGAAGGCATTCACCGATTTCTTCTCCTCGAATGTGCTACACATTCAATTCATAAAAATGTACACAAACATTGAGCACGAAGTAAAGAACATTGTACGAAAATCCCAGAATATTTGGCGTGACGGATGAAGCAGGAGTTGAGTAATTGCATTACTGTCGCGATTGCATTGCAGGGCCACTGATAGTACCGCCGACCAAACCCGAATGTAACTTCCAACGGGTCTGTGTTATCATCCGCGTCTCGTGAGAGCCAGCGTTCTGGCCTGAACTCGTCAGGCTCGTCGTACCGACTTTTGTCGTGAAGCATGGCCCTGGTTGGTGTGACCACCGATTCACCAATGGAGGCAACGTCATGGCACTCACCAGAAGTTCACAATGACGATAGTCCCTTTCGGGACGAGATACCCTCGGTGGACGTCGTCTTCTGCTGGGGTCCTGGCAACTACGTAAGTGAGCCTACGTCAGGCAACTCAAGGATATGACGGGGCTCACCGGCAGGTATGGGCGGACAGCAACGCAAGAGCTCTTTGAGAAGGGCCTCGACATAGGGTAACCGCGGTCGATCCGCGTACTCGGGCAGGCGTTCATCGCCAATGACCTCATCAATCTCTTGCTGGGCCCGGCGTTGGACGTCAGGATGCATCATCATCATGAGGAAGAAAGACGAAAGCGTCGATGTACTCTGATCATGATCAGCTTTGGCTTGTGAACAAAAGACGAACACGCCTACCGTGTCTGCTCCGCCTATTTGGTAGTTGTGCGTCAGCGCGGCGGATTCAATCAGAGCGAATCCTGCACTCACCCGTGTACACCTGCGTCGCCGTGAACATGATGATATCGCGTTCGTCTTTCAAGTATGAATCTAGGGCCGTAGACGTCAATGACGGCTTAGCCGATCCCATAGCCTTTGCACGAGGTGAGTAACATTTTGGTGTTGCAGACGATTTACGCACGCACAAAGTTTGATTCCACGTACTCTTGTCCTTTTTCCGCCATATCGGTATATTGTTGCCTCCAGCTCAGCCCAAGCCTCTTAAAGTGCATGCCAGGTAAAAATGCAGGCAGCTTGGCCACTGCTAGACGGTGAGTACCAATGCCAAATGAATGCGCTTTGAATAGGCTCACGTAAGGGGATCCAGTCAACCAGAAAACGGCCCAATGCGCTGGCCTGGGCGAAATTCTGCACGTTGATGTCTGCCATCTCTACATACGGATCGTGCTCTCCCTTGACTTCGTAGCCGTGCGACATGGAAAGCGTGATCCCCGCCGAGAGTCTGAACGCAGCAAGTCAGTCTGGCCAAGCTGGTGCAGAAGTCAACGCCGTACTTTCTGATGTGCGCCACTAGCTTATCCGGAGTGCGCAGAAGGTCGTTCAAGAAGACATTGTTTCTCTCCACCAGTATTGGATTGAAACGTCTGAGCTCCCGCGGCTGAAGAACCAGATGGAGCAGCTTCCTGGCCTTGCGGAGGCGAAGAGGGTCGCCCTCGAAAAGGACTCCGCGATCCATACCGGCACTACAGTGGTAGGGCATGAGTACTTGCACTTCCCAAAGGAAGTGGGGTTAGTACGTACAGCAGAACCATCGGAGGAATCGGACGGATAAAGTACAGATTCGATTTGCCTTCTAGGAGGTCCCGAGCTTCGGCAGCAGAGTTTAGTACAAGTATGTGCTTTTGGAGAACACGCAGTGAGTACATGGGTCCTGATGCGGAGCGGTCAACAAAGCACTGGAGCGACGCATCCACACACTACGCACCATGCTTCTCACTGTGTTCTGCGAGCGCGAGCCACATTCGCCTGGATGGCAGGATATTCCCGATGAGAGGCAGGCCCTTTGGTCCTGGGAAGCGAGGTGGACGAGCACAATACGCCCTGACGGACAGCGACCATGCTGAGATAACAAATAGCACTATGCATAGTAGCGGGAGTATCATAACGGCAATCGTCCAGTTATACCTTGAATATGTTGTCAAGAGCCAGACGTCCGAGTCAGTCGCAGAGCCGGCGTATGTGCAGTGGAACACCAGGGTGAGGTAGGTGCAGCACCGTCCGACTGGGGATCGTCTTAAGTGGGGCCGTCTGGCGTTGGTTCTTGGCGCCAGCGGAGACGTTCATCACGGCATTGGCATGTAGCTGCACAAAGATCGAAAGGTCTATCCTGGTGGCCTGTTCGGTAACGAGTTAGAGATCGAGTCAGCGGTATTTCTTGCCCTTTTTTGGTAACGAAATCGTCTATGGGCAAGAAATTGCGGTAACTCGCCTCAACTTCGTTACCGAACAGGCCTCTTAAAGTAAACATTGATGAGTCCATTTCAGATCCGAGTAAGTTACCGACGACAGGGAGCGCTCTAGTGGCGCCGCGATGGGTGCTACATACCTTTGAGTCCATGAGGATGTTCGAATACTTAGAGTCCTCCGTGGCACGCCGCAGGCCCTCATTGAGATGCAACGTGCTGGCTGCCGTACAGACAGCACTGACTCGGCGCACAGACGCCGACGCTACCACAGCACTCCAACCGCGTGCATACTTCCATCCAGGGTACGTTTCGAACCAATAGCTTGCATACACCCCACGACGGGGTCACAAGATCGGATGAACCTACTGTATCCCCCATGCGGGTCTGTCGCCTCCATCCTCTGAGCCTCGGAAGTTCCAAGAATATGCAGCGGTGCTACCTGTTGAAGTCTGTCATCTGCTATACGTTGACACTGTATGTACATACCAACACACCTGACAACGCAATCAATGCACTAGTGAACGGCACGCGTTTCATCTACTGAACGACCTTGTCGTGGACCTCAACCATGAACGGACCATCCATGAATGGCGCGAGCGCATCGATGGACTTCCTCACACCAGGATGAACAGGTATGAAATCAAAGTCACAGAGAAGTCCCGCAAAGATGGCGGTAAACTCGTATGTCATGAGTTGCATGGCGGGGCTGAATTTGTGTGTTATAGACGCTCCACGTCAGTCATCGGTGCACCGTTACGACTTGAGTACGGGTCGACGTACCACGCCCTCGGCCCACTCCCGAAACTGTGGAAGCGGGGAGTGTCGGGTTTCACGAAGCGGCCGTCTTCGCCTAGATGGCGACGCGGATTGAATTCCTTTGCATCGGGACCCCATACCTATGTTTTGCGCGGTCAGTGAAGGCTGCGCGGGCTAAGTTGCCAGGAAGACCGACATCCTCGTTACGCATCATCGCCATATCCGACCAGAGCAGGAAGTCACCCTTGTTCACTCTCACCGCGGGCAGGCCCTTCTCGGGGATCGCGGGTAGTACATCGTCCTCTGTAGCGAGACGTGCATTCTTGGGCAGGCCAGGCCAGAGGCGGAGCGTCTCGAAGAAAACGGCCAGGTGGATCGGGTAGTTCTGAACGTGAGCTTCAGCGGACATGGTGATTGAAAGAGTAACGGAGGAGGACGAGCCTGCAGTTCGCCGAATGTTATGATGCCTTCCGCGCCTTTGGGCGGCCGCGATGCCACCTCTTCCCTCATGAGTGAGATCCAACCCGGGCTGCGTGTGAGTTCGTACAGAGCCCACAAAATGACGTTCTGCGTGCTATCTCGTCCGGCGAAGAACAAGGTCATCAGCGTATCGCGTGTCGACGATAGATCTTGCTCCGCCGTGCTCGCTAACAGGGCTGTGAGATAATCCGTACTCTCCTCCGCGTCGAAGCCGCCAGGGTGAGAGCGGTCACGGATGAGATCGTCCACGATGGCGGATAATCGAGCTTTTGCTGCGTCGAACCGACTCCGCGTACCATCGAACTGTCGCCCAACATGAGCATTGCCATCCAGGCTGAAAAGTGGAGGCAACGCACCCGTTCGGTGATTCTCCAAGCCGGATTGAATAGGCGGCTAGGAAAATCTCAGTACTAGTGTTGGACACAGCATGGTTGAGCAACCGACTGACTCGGCTGTTATCACGCCCAGAGTGGTCAGCGTGTCCGATAAGACGTTTGTGAGCTTCAAACACGACAGCTCAGTGGTGAGCATATCTGTCGACACATCGAACGCCATCTTGCAGAAGATGCCTAAGGCCAGTCGTCCAGAGAGATCTTTGCACCGTGCGGTGTTGATTAATACGCTGTATACTCTCCAATCAGTCCAGACACGCACCTTTCCAATCAACAGCCACATTCTGGCGGCACGCCGCTCTCAGCAAGGTTCTGACTGTCGGAACTATCTAATGAACAAGACGGAAATCAGAGGCGGGTGAGGGTGAGACACGAATACACGTACCTCGCACATCGCCTTGGAGGCGTGAGTATTGACTGCTTTTGCGGCAAATATGGGTCTATCAAGGGCGAGCATAAACATGGACGTTCGGACTGATGGTACTTAGATTTGAGGCACGACACTCACTGCACCAATCTGCGAGCATCCTTCCAGGCGGACCCGTCCGTGGATATGGGCGTGGTTGTCCCGGCGAATTGACTGAAAACATCTCGCACGACCTTGCCTTTGGCGTATATGGTCGTATCACCTAGGATCACCCGGGCATCAGACGCAGATCGACACAGGACCTGTGAGCAGGCAATCACCCTTGCGCATGTGCTCCAGCCATTCCGGCCTATTGATGACGATATTGCGACCCAAGCTCGGGAGCGTGAATGTGAACAGCGGGCCGTACGTCGCTTCCATGTTGTCCAAGAACTTGAGCATGCCATTGCGGTTCTGGAAGACGAGCAGCAAGTTTCCTATCAGCGGTAAACCTCGCGGGCCTGGCAGGTCGGGTCGATCCACTGTGCCGATGCATCTGTTCGGATAGCTGTAGGCGAGGAGAGCGACACTCGCCAAGAGGGCGGCGAGAGATGCGCAGAAGTCGAATAAGGTGAACATCGTGTACAGACGTGTGCTTCCTGGGAAGCGGGGAGAAGACGTCTATGAAGTCGCGATGGACATAAGACGGGTAGCATATGCGGGCTAACCCTGCCTGTGTATCGCCGCAGATGCCTGCCACCGACGTGCGGTTGGGCGCTGCCTACCTTACGCACCAATGAGTTGCTCCTCCCTGACACCGACGAAGTGGCATTCAATTCGTTAGTTCTCTCCTGTCGCACATGATGTCAGTGCACCATGATATGAAAGTGTGGCACTATGCATACCAAATAGCAGCGTTGCAAATGACCGGCACAGGCTGGTCCGAGTAGGGAAGTAGGTAACACGACCTTCCTCCGCAGCGTAGTCGAAGACGTGATCATATGCTTGCCTACTTGATAACACTGATCATCCTATACAACTCAAGTGCATGTTCTGTGTTGACCCAGATCTCAAGGGCAAACGCGGGACCGGGACACGAGATCAGCAACAGCACAAGACAGCGGAAGAAGGAACGACTAGCGTAGTTTTCGTGCGACAAGGAGCGAGACGCGGCGAACAAAGATCGGCCTCCACAGCGTGTCCCTCGCATTCTCTTCACATTGTCCGGCAAGCCTGGATTAGACACGGAGATCTGAATGCTCCGCTGCAAGGACAATCAGCATTAGCAAATGCAGCGTGGGCGGGAATGGCATTGCGAGCTAGTGCATGCGCTGGGGATGCGGGAATAGACTGACAAATGAGACATCCCGGTCAAGACGAGCCTGAAGCACTTTACCTCTGTCGTACCGTCAACCCTTTCCGTCTTCGAGACTACTGTACTGGAGCCTACACGCACACCCAACTGTGGGTCTATAGGATCGGCGCGCGGACTCATGACTGCAGCGTTCTTTCGATGCGAATGCATGTCAGTACCAGTCAATGTCCAAGTACGATGACACTCACATTTCGGGAACATGACGACTGGCGCTCGCTGTGTCACACTAAAGCACCCCAAGTGAGGTGCCGCTGTCGAGTTGCTCCTTCTTGCTGTACGCTGTCAGTGTGAGCCGCAGTCGCCTGAATAGCAACTTGAAGATAGCCAGGAACAACGGCAAGAGGTGGTCCGTAGCATTCCAAGTTCCCCCTTAGCCAGAAGCCACAGCGTTGAAACGATGACTGTATGTGACTTATTTCAGATGATTGCGCGCTGGCCGACACTTGGACATCAATTCTGGTGTGTTAAGGAGCAAACCTGAGCCGCAGAATGGTGGTGGTAACTTTGAAGGAGGGACGTCGTCGTGGTAATACAGAGTCAGACGCGCGCCGACTCGGACGATCTGAACAAGATCTGAATGTCTCGCCACGCCATTGCCAGTCTCACAGCACATCCGCGCGTACTATTAGTACACCCTCGGTTGATTCATGTAATCATGTAACGAAGGATGCAGATCGCCTACTTCGTGGCCGTGCATGTCTTGAGATTGGGACGGTCAGTCAACTTGAAAGCCTTCGCGATTGCCACCAGAGGCTGACATGACTTCCAGTGTCCCGAGGTGCCCGAGCATATGTACAGGTGTCGTCGACTCCTGTATGGCAGCGAGCTAGTAGCTCAGCCTATAGCTGGCAGCATCATGTCACCGGCTGTGCGACTCAGTTCGTTAGCTGCGGCCAAGCTACGGCACGCATATTTCAATTGCAGTCCACAGAGTTTGATCTTGTCGAGGACGCGTGCCTTCTCGGAGCATCCATGCACGAAGGTGTTGGTCAAGCGTCCGGCGCGACACCGTCAGATGTCGGTGTCAGTGTCATGGTCTGCGATACGCTCCTCGCTGGCATAGCCGCCGCCTTACCGCCCTTCGGTGCCTACTGCGAACTCACCGGACTATGTCCATGGAATCCGTTGCCACCGTCCCTCGACAGTCCTCCAGTAATCCCTCGGATAATGACGCCGACTCGCCCATCGTCGATGACTCCGCTGCTGCGAGGCCGCAGGCGAGAGGATTCAAGTTCTGGATGTCGTTCTTGTCGATATGCTCCGCCCTTGGACTTTTTGCTCTTGAGCTCACTTCGGTCTCTACGGCTCTTCCCACCATCGTGAAAGAGCTCCATGCGACCGACTTCGTTTGGATTGGGGCATCGTATGCTCTGGCATCCACCGCTTTCCTACCTATGGTTGGCGGTCTGTCTCAAACATTTGGCCGAAAACCAGTTCTTGTCGGTTCTATTCTCCTCTTTGCCCTAGGAAGCGCTCTGTGTGGCGCAGCGAATAGCAACGCCATGTTGGTTGCTGGACGAACGGTCCAGGGCACTGGAGGCGGAGCCATCGTCAACCTTTCAGATATTGTCCTCGGAGACCTAGTTCCCTTACGCGATCGCGGGTTCTTCTTTGGACTTATTGGACTGTACGTACGTGGTGATCGCTCCTGGTGTTCATATTAACATGTTGGTCGCGACAGGACCTGGGCATTGTTTTGTGCCATTGGTCCTGTAGTAGGCGGTGGTCTCGCCTCGGCCGGAGCGTGGAGATGGCTCTTCTGTACGTACTTTGTAGCTTCCTCTACCCCTGGTCGCTTGAAGCCGATGTCTCGCGCAGATCTCAACCTACCAATATGCGGGTTTTGTATCTTCGTCACAGTCTTCTTCATGGAGCTCCGGGCCCCGCGGTTGACCTTCAGCGAGAAGATGGCACGTATGGACTGGGGGTGAGAGCGTAGCACTCTGACTATATCCTATTTGCTGAGATATTGCAGAGGAAACCTCATCGTTGTTGGCAGCTCCGCCGCATGCGCACTCGGCCTCACATGGGGCGGTATCGAATACTCATGGGGATCTGCACAAGTCCTGGTGCCACTATGCATCGGGTTGGCGGGCCTGTTGCTATTCTTCGTCTACGAAAGCCGTTGGGCGACAGAACCTATTGTATGTTTTCTCAGTCCGTGCGATCTCCATCCATTCAACGAAGTTTAGATCCCGTATTACCTGATGTCAGATCGGACAAGTGCTAGTGGGTGCGTCACTTTCACAGATCGCGCGTCCTTTTCCCCGACGGTGACCATGTCTAGATATTTGCAGAACTTCTTTTCGCCAGTACTCGCTCTCGCCGCAGTCTGTGAGTTGAAGATCACCCGCGTTCTCTCCGAAGATCCTCACTACGCTACGACTAGACTTCATCCCCATCTATTACCAAGCCTGCAAAGGTTCTTCTCCCCTCTTATCCGGTGTCCAGACTCTCGGACTCGCTGCCATCGCCCCGGCCGCCATAGTTGGAGGAGTGATGGTTGGAATCAGCCAGAAATACCGACCACCGCTGTGGGCCGGCTGGTGTCTGACCATCATAGGGTTTGGGCTCCTGACAACTATCACCGCCAACGACCCGAGCGCGCGCACGATCGGCTTCAGCGTAATCGCGGGATCCGGTATTGGGTGCGTCAGAAATATGAAAGACATCGAATTGATGATTGTTTTCTCATGCAGAACATACAGTGTCATCTACTCTGTCGCTCAATTCCCCGTGCAAGCGCCCCACCCGACCTCAGAGAACGCACGCTCCATGACATTCTACGCGTTCGTCCGCGCCTTCGCAAGCGTGAGTGACGTCCTCTGCCCAGCGCCCACACCCATTCGTGACGCTGACTCGCCGCAGATCTGGGGCATCACCATGGGCAACGCCATACTGCAGAACGAGCTGCGCCGGCGGCTCCCCGCCGCCTACATCGCGCAGTTCCCCAACGGCGTCGCGCTCGCGTACGCCATCATACCCGAGCTGTCGACGCTCACGCCGTCGCTGAGAGAGGAGGTGCGCCTCGCGTTCGCGGAGAGCCTCGCCATATTGTGGAAGGCGCTGACGGGCGTCGCGGGCGTTGGGCTGCTCTCGTCTTTGCTGATGCGGGAGATACCGCTCCATACTGAGACTGACAAGGACTGGGACCTGACGGCCCAGGACGAAAAGGACGTTGAAAAGATAGCTTTGAACCCTATTTAGTGGGTCGCAGGTAACTTATTGTGTGTGTACGATAGGGATGCGATGAGAATGTGTACTTCATCCTTCCTTGATCATAAGTCTCAGATCTTGAGGTGACGGCACGTGTTCAATGGTACTGGTATACAGCTATTGTGTGGTGAGGCTTCTTGAGTGGTCCGTCGCCTTATGGATGTGGTTCAGCGAACAGTCTTGATGACCATTGCAATACCAACCTATCACCGCAGGAAGAAGCGTACTGCACCCGGTACCATATGCCAAGGTTCGAAGGGGCACGCAGGCTCGAGGGTTCGTGTACACATTTAGCAAGGTTCAGCCAGTGTTTGCAGCTTCGGAACACACCCGACCGCACACACGCACCACGTAGCGCGTTATGTAGGTTTGTGCGATTGCAACCAGAAGGCTCCGAAACAGCTTGCAGAGCGGAGTCGGCGTTCTACCTGAGATAATCACCAGTTTCCATTGATGGGTATGTAGCGAGTCGCGCTCCGATTTTATCCGAGTCGGTGTCGTTTGGTGTCCGAGTCGACGTCCCTGCGACGTCGCTCTTCGTCGAGACTCGACGCGCGATGTCGATGAAGGTCTATTTCAAGTCTGTTCTGCGGCGTCCTACACGCACATGGCTGTATCTGTGACAGCTGCAGGCACGCGCCCGGATACCAATCGTGAGCGATCTTTAGGTTTGCTCAGTACGCGCTCATCCGTCAGAAGTTCAATTTCAAGTTATAGCAGCTCTCAGGCTACCACCGCACGCAATGGCAAGAGATACGAGTCGGCGCGGGCGCCAGCAACGATTGTGCCAATCTAATTACAGCATGTCAACCCAGGAACACCGTGATAGTGGCTGGTGCGATGCTTGGATTGGTATAGACGAGTTGTCAGTCCGAGACATAGAGCGTCAGGCCCTCGGAGTGGGTGCGTCTACAAGCCCACGTACTATGTCAGCGAGTAGTGGGCAATTCGACAGTGTTACCTCGGTAGCCTAGTGGCAGACATTCGCACCGAAGGATGGCGGTAGCAGTCGCAACCCACGCCGTCTTGAAGCTTGTGGCCGAACGGCAGCGTACCGCATGCATGAACAAGTGAGCATATGCCAGCTTCTCTCGACGGTGGATAGGCTTCGTCAGCCTCATCTCCGACCCGCCCGACAGTGGACCAAGCAGGTAAAGTGCTTCAGGCTCGTTCGTGACAGGACGTCTCAGTTGCTTGTCCATTCTTACATCTGGTTACTGGTGCGGCACGTCTCACATCTCACTGGTTCGCAACCATATCAGAGGAGCTCCGACGGGACCGTTTTACACGCGCCAACCCTGCGTTTGTTAAGGCGGCCAGACCTGCAGCCGGGACTGACCATCGGAGCCCATACTGATCTGACGACATGGCCTTCGAACCTTTCGCGTTCGTAGAGAATCTCTTCCTCTTCACCAAATCAGACATCAAGACCATATTGATACCAATTGTGAGTTTGACTCATCAGTATCTATTCAGGTAGCCTGCTCTGACTGAAATTCGTACAGACGGTTTTTGGCTGCCTCTCCGCGCCAAGTACAGGATTCGCTCGCCTCCTGCACACCATCGCCTGGGTGTGGCTTAACCTACTGCAATTTTGCGTGTCCAACCAAAGTTTGCCGGACAGTGTCGAGGAGGATGTGAGGAACAAGCCGTGGAGGCCGATCCCCGCTCATCGTGTTTCGCTTCTCGCTGCACGGAAATTGCGTTGGGCACTGCTTCCCCTCTGTCTTGCGATATCGTTGGGATATCATGTCGGATACCCCGGTCTCGCGCTCGCGCTTGGGATTTGGGTGAACAACGAACTCGCACTGGATTCACACTGGATAACGCGTAATTTGTGCTGTGCCTTGGGATATGCCGCATTCAATGCCGGGGCAACGTATGTTGCGTGTGGTGAGTCTGCTTTGGCTTTCCTCAATTCATACTCAAGCGAATTCAAGGACCTCGCACATGCCACCTCGGTTCTACAACTGTCGCTACGCACGTCAATGCGGCGCTCATCGTCCTGACCACGATACACGCGCAGGACTTCGAGGACATAGCTGGAGACCGGTTGAGCAAACGCAAGACTCTGCCTATCGTTTACCCGTACGCGAGCCGCGTCTCGATGGCCGTCGCCCTTCCCGCATGGTCCATAGCAATCTGCGTGATATGGGGCGCCACAGCCCTGCAAGCCATTGTGCTGACCGGGCTTGCGAGCTATCTTGGGTGGCGGTTCCATTTCTTGCGCTCGCCGACCGCCGACCGCCGGTCTTACATTATCTACAACGTGCGTGCATGTGTTACGTTACGACGGAGATGAGGAACTGACACCTTGTTCGTAGCTCTGGCTCTGTTTTGCCCAGGGGTTCCCGTTCCTAGTGCAGCATCACGCCAGCGTATAGGACATCACCTCAGACAGTGTGCTGCATCTCGTGTAGGAACTACTAGTAGAGAGACCGATCGTAGTGAGTTGAGGCATCCTTCGTGTTGACTACATATATAACTTTACCTTCCTAACCGCAGATGATATATTGTATCTCGGCCGCCATGGACAGGGAAGCTGTTGTCTGAACGCAGAATCGTGATGATATGGAGTGTGATTATGTTCATGTTTCACAAGTGTCACAACAATGATACGTTGATGACTCCGAGCACACGCCGTCGGAGGCAGGCCATATCCCCTGCCCGGATGCACATCTGTGCGGTTCCAAGTGCTTCGCCGCGTGATAATTGAATATGTGGCATGTCAAACCTAATACAGCCGCGGGCCGTCAATTATGGTTCGTCAACGTCTTCGATAATATGAATAACAAATGATGTAACTTACCACTCCGTCGGTTTTAGTGAACGCTAACTCGCGGGTGCGCTTGTGTACTACGACAGCGTTCAACCGCATGTCGACGGCAGGCACCTGCGCTGATGCACTGACGGGGTCAAATCACATTTCCTAGTACTTCCCCTGCGCAGTGCGAATTCGTCGTACGCGTCCTCCCCCCACTCCCCAGGGAGCACACAGTTGTGAACAATGATCTCTCTGCTCGACCTCTCTGCGTGTCTCGCGGCGCTGTTGGCGGTTGTTGCTCTCCTCGCATACAACTATCCTAACAGATGCATTGGCACTGTGGACAGACCCGACCTGCCAGGCCCGCGAGGCTTGCCACTGTTGGGGAACATGCTACTCGTCTTTCAGAATCGCAATGGCATGCTCAGGTTCTTGGACAACATGGAAGCGACGTACGGCCCACTGTTTACGTTCACGCTCCCGAACTGGGGCCGCAACATCGTCATCAATAGGCCGGAATGGCTGGAGCACATGAGGAAGGGTATGTCTGCTCAGCTATTCTGTGTTTTGCTGCGTCTCAATAATGCTAGGCGACACTACCATATACGCTAAGGGCGAGGTTGTGCGAGACGTGTTCAGTCAATTTCCTGGATCAACTACGCCCATATCCACCGATGGGCCAGCCTGGAAGTATGCCCGCAGAATAATGCAGTGAGTGTCGTACTCTCTCAAGTCCATCGTCAGCTCGAATGTTCAGTCGCGACGTCGACTTCGGCTGATGTGTACCTTTCTTCCAGACCCATATTTGGCGCAAAAGCAGTCAACACTCACGCTTCGAAGGCTATGTGCGAGGTACGAGGGTATTCGCGCCTTAACCTCATTCGCCTCTCAGTTCATCGCATGGATTAGATAGTTCCGACGGTCAGAAGTTTATTGAGAACGGCAAGCCTCCAGAATGTGGCGATTGATTGGAAGGGTGCGCTTCTGGGTCGATATTGACCGCATACAGTCCATTAAATACCGCACGATACGAAGATCTCTCCGGACGACTGGCTTTGAGTATCTTCTGCAAGATGGCGTTCGATATGCCAACAGACATGCTCACCACCGAGCTCTCATGTTTGAAGCAGACCAACGTCCTGTCGGACACGCTCAGCACTCTGAGCGTGATCACAGCCGAGTCAGTCGTTTGCTCAACCCAGCTGTGTCACCGCTGATCTTTCTTCAGCCGATTATTCAACCCGGCATGGAGATTGACCGAACGGGTGCGTTGCCTTACCCCTTCAGGATGACGAGGCTCATCTTTAGAGATAGTTTGACGGTACGCGGAATCGCTTCAACGCAGCAAAGGCTCGATTATCCGCCATCGTGGACGACCTCATCCGCGACCACTCTAGCTCCGGAGGCTTCAATGCGGAAGAGAGTACCGATTACCTCACCGCATTGCTGGCAAGCACGGGAGAGCAAGACCTATCTTCGACACGCGACACGCTGATGACCTTATTCTTCGCCGGACGAGACAGCACGCAGAACGCCATTCTGTGGGCGCTGTACGAACTGACACGCAGTCCGGGCTGGATTACCCTCATGAGGGAAGAACTGGCTTCGCGGCCACCTAAAGGTGCAGATGGCATCATGACATTCGGCGAGCTGCAGGTCCGTCTTTGTAATGTGTTTCATTACAATGACGACTGAAGCAGACGTTCAGAACTACCCAGTCCACCTGGCCGTTTTTTTCGAGACGCTCCGCCTTTGGCCCGGCTTGCCCAAGAATGCGCGTGTCGCTACAGAAGACGACGTACTGCCCGCGATCCCCGAGAAGGGCTTACCTGCGGTGAAGGTGAACAAGGGCGACTTCCTGCTTTGGTCGGACATGGCGATGATGCGTAATGAGGATGTCGGTCTTTCTAGCAACCTGTTCGGTTTTCGCTTCACTGACCGTTCGGCAAAACAGATATGGGGCCCCGATGCGAAGGAGTTCAATCCGCGTCGCCATCTTAGCGATGACGGTCACTTCCTGAAACCTGACACTCCCCGCTTCCACAGCTTCGGAAGCGGGCCTAGGGCATGGTGCGTCAACCCATACTGGAGTCGCGACAGAACACTTACGCTTGATCCAAATTCAGCCCTGCTATGCAACTCTCGACATACGAGTTCACAGCCATCTTTGCAGGACTGATCTGTGACTTCGATTTCATTCCTGTTCACCCGGGGTGAGGAAATCCGTGGATGCATTCGCGCCATTCATGGACGGTCCTTTCATGTTGGAAGTCCGCGAGAGGGTGGTTTAGTAGAGGATATGTTAAGTTTGTTTTTCACGTTCAGATCTTTTATTGTACTGTCACGACAATCGCCTCAGTATCCAAGGTAATACTCGTCACGGATCGAACATCTCTGAGAAGATCATACAAGCCGAATCATCCCTTGCACGCACCCATCAAATTCCTTGTGTCTGTGCCTCGAGCCAATCCCACAGCTTCCCCCAGCGGACGGATCCAACAGATCCTTCCGCGCTGAACCGACCCTCGCGAATGGGATGAGATACTGCGCAAAATGACGGTCTCTAAGTAACACTCGTCTGTTTGAACTATGAATGATTACGTACCTTTCCGTTTAAGTCTTCGGCCTCCGGGGCTGTTCCGGCGAAGAGTTGTGTGAGCACTCCAACCGCTTTGTCATAGAGAACGTAGTCCTACAAAACGGAGCTACTTATCAGTGTGTCACTTCGCCATATTCTTTATATCCTACCAGAATTTTCGCCTGAAGGCCAACAACGTAACGTTGGATACCAGTGCGGATATTACCTAAAAATATTCGCTTCTCATGAGGGGTGCGCGGGGATGATATGGAGGAGCGTACACACCAGGATTCAACGATATCGACACTATCCCACGGTCGCCGTAACGTCTCGCGAGCTCAGTAGAGAATATCACAGTACCCTACGCACAGGGCACTCCATCACTGCGGAATCAAACAACTGAAGTCTCGGGGCGTACCGCCTTGGCCTGTTGATACAGCTTGACGTTATCGAACTTCCGTCGCGCGGGTCCATCGACGAGCGTGTCGTAGTTGATACCTCCAGAGGGCGCCAGCAGCATTGCTGACGAGCTCGTATTCACGACGCGCGCCTTGCCGCCTGTCTCATTGGACACCGTCGCGAGCATGGCTGGCAGGAGCAGTTTGGTGAGGTAGTAGTGGCCGATCACGTTCACCCGAATTGCAGGTCTTGTCCTTGCTTCGTCAATTCGCTCATCGGGGGAAACATGATACCGCTGGTTCCGAGTCAGCGATTGCACCCGAGTTCGAACAGCCGGACTGACGCATTGTTGAACAGTATGTGGAGCTGCGTCTCTTTGCTGTACATGTGCCGCAGTCAAGCTCCATCGATCTAGGCGCACGGATGCGCGACGGATGAGCTCACCTGAGGAAGTTCTCCGCCGCCGCCTTGACTGACCGAAGGTCAGAGAGATCACACTGAATCAAAAACACCTCCGCATTGTTTGACGTCCGCTTCAGCTCATCTATCGCGTCTGACCCACGCTGTTCATCCCGGCTCGTGATGTAGACCTTCGCGTTCTTTGCGACGAGAGCCTGCAAACGGTTAGCGCACTGAGAGGGTGTAAGTATGATCGTGAAGATATACTTTTGCCGTCTCGAGCCCTGCGCTCGGTCAGTCATGCGACGACTTGAGGCTGAGGGACGAAGCCATACCTAGTCCCGTGTTGCCTCCTGTGATGAGGACAACCTTTCCTGTTTGGTCCGGAATATCTTTCACCGACCACCGTGGCTTGGGAGGGAATGACTGCTGGTATAGGCTGAAGACGGTGCCCATCGTTGTGCCTAGCGGAGGACCTGCAGCAAGAACCGTTCACGGGAAAAAGGCAAGCACCGCAAGGGGAATGGCCTCGGCCTGTCAAGCACGGTGCATCAAAGTCTATTCTGGGAAGCGAAGTAATGTGTGTGGTTGCATCGCGCCCGGGTGTGTAGGGCATTCCTTCGGAGATAGCTGCATACTAGAATCAGTACTGAAACGTTGTGACACTGCGCCTGTGCTTCTATCGGTGAGGCACAGGCCACAATGGATGACTGATGTGATTGAGAAGACCGTCAGCGCCGCTGTATCATTCACGGAAGCTCGGAAGATGACCAGCTGTCGACCTGCCTGTTAGGAGCCGCGAAAGGGCACGAAGTTAGCTGCAGACCACTTGGACCCTCGAACGTTGCAAGGTACGCACAGTCACTGGCCAACTTTGCTTGAAGTTCGGACTTCACTGCATCCGACTGCACGCGCGCACTATAAAGATCATCAGCAGTACAGCCTGCAGTGATCGCATTTGAAGTGGAGCAAAGGCCCTCAGCTACGAAGATGGTTTCTGAATGTTGAAAACGTTTCAGTTTAACCAGGTCCAGTGTCGGGCGTCGACGTTTGGTCACCGACGTCGACGTCGACGTTCGAGCGAATGGCCGACACGCGCGCTTAAGACATGCTGTGCCACGGTGGCGCGCGCTAGACCTCCTGCAAGCCTCCTCGGACGACGCACTTGACACGGAGTCCGGGATATCATCGACTCAGTACTGCTAGTGGCATGATGGTATGTTCCAAATGCCACTGACGTTTCAATTGAATCAGCAACATGAGCTCATGCAGGCTGCCAATGCAGAGCCGCAGTCGATTGTACTACACGGTCAACCCGGGACTCATTGCAAATGATTGGACAGCTCTCCGGATCCATGGCGGCCATGACAGTCTAAGTGTATACGATGTTGATTGTGTGCACTGGCATGTGTACGAGCTGTGGCACCTGCCACTGGATAAGTATACGTATCATTCTTCCCAACGAAGTCATCTCGCCGTGCTACGTCTGTGGACAGTCCAGCTGAGTCGTCAGATTCCGAAGCGCACTTCCTGGATAGAGGCCGCTAGGTTGCTCAACTAGACATTCTTGCCCATGTCGTCCGTGCTTCTGAGTGCCGAGCAGTATGTGGTAGCCACCCGATACCTGTCAGGTACGCAGTGGACACAATCTTGACTACTCTCGCATAGTGTGCTAACACGTAGTTCTCTAGCTGCGGCTCTCAGCTGCTCCTTGTATGACCACGCAATCAACGCTGCAAGAGAAATTGAATTGGTCTGGCGCCAACAGTGGTCTCGCCTTCAGATCATTGTCATGCTGAACACGTACTTGATGGAAGCCAGCCTTATAATTATTGCCTACGGTACGTTCAGCGTTCTGCCAACTCACTGCTGGCGTACCTACCGATCATCATCACACCTCAAGCCTTCGGAGATCTACGCCCTGCCCTGGATTCAAAGGTGCGTATTTGTTCCGTCTCATTCTTACAACGGCTAACACCTTGGCATGGCAGACGTGAGTTGACCAAAGGTATCCTGAGATCACAGGATGTCACTCATCGAGACAGATGCGAGGCCTTCGTCATCTTTATAGGAACCTTTTCAACTCTGAGCAGTGGCTGCCAGGAATGTGAGTCGCCAGAGCATGTGTGATATAGGCGCATTGAATGTTTGGCCAGTCGCGCTTTTACTGCATGTATATGCGCTATGGGATAGCAGGAAACAAGCGAAATATGCGCTCATCGCCGGGTTCATCGTATGTTATGGAGCGTCCGTAGCATTCACTCTGGTCACTATGATTCAACTCTCGGGTGAGCGAATCCGTGGACGCTATGCCGATTGCTTCTGAGCCTTCCACAGGCAAGATGCAATACAATTCGGACCTACAGTCTTGTGTTGTTCCCGAAAAACCCACCTTTTTGTCTGGTGCTTGGGCAGGGATGGTGAGTGTGGCACACTCCAGAACGGCGACTGAAGAGGTTTGCTGATATCGTTCAGGTGGCATACGATGTATATGTCTTCGTCCTGACGGTGTTAAATGCCCTCAATCGACCACGCAAGAAGAATGTCGAGATCGTGAGTCGTCTCAAGCGCGACGGCGTGGTGACATTCCTGGTTCGTGAACTCCGCCTTGCCATGTCTATCGGCCGTTGACCTCTCTTTGCACCTCAGGGGCTATTTGGTATGTGGACGCTTCGTCGATGCCTTCGGCGACAGCAGTAACCCGATTACCCTTAGTACTTCGCATGGCCAAACTTCTCCCAAGTATCTTCGTCGGTGTACGTACCCACATAGTCCGGGCTTCCTTTCTGAGGCCTGAGGGCTCATTCGTTCTAGGCTTCAGGAACATTTCTCATGCCTGTGTACGAACCCGAATCTGACTCGTCTTGCGGGTCTGACGTGCTAACGTTGTACACAGCATCACATGGGCGTTCGATACGAGGCTGATGTACAGACTCTTCCTCAAGATACAGAAAGCAGAGCTGCGTGCGCCTCGTAGTTGGAGGCCCGGGTGTGGACCACAAACGGTCCTCGTGTCAGAAGAGGTCGAGATGATATACATATGATGCTCGACATCTTGCACGTATCATGGTAGCATACTTATCCTTATTATCTGCCAGAGGCTGTCCTCCGACCGGCATATTGTAATAATTAATCACTGGGAAGACGGAGTTCAGCTCGTCACAGGCTGAATCAGATCTTAGTTATATAACAGCGTGTCCAACAATTCAGCAAGGCGCGGTACAGAATGATGTTTGGGAGAGACCTTCCATGTGATCGAAGGGTGCTTCATTCTGCTAGCATGCAGTCTCCCAGGCATGGTTCAACCAGCGATCAATGAGGCTCACTCACCTGTTGCCCCAAAGGAACCGCGTCCCAGCACAGGATCAGACAAGGACATCCTGAGGCATGAAGGTTTAAGGAATCGTCTGCGTCTGCCTGGGAGGGCTAAGCACAGGTACGCATACGCTATCGCGCGTCTGGGCTGCCGCCTGCATGTCGTACCACAATCAGCGTTAACCTAAATTGACGAATGGCTCCGTGAATAGCCCGGGCCCACCGTAATCTGTCTCAGGTCAAACGTCCGAGTCAACGTTCAGCGTTTGCGACCGACTTGAATCGATGTGTATAGCGTCTGTGAAGAGGGCATGGAGGTGAATCGTCACGACTTCTGAAGCCGGGACAAGCTCAGTGTTGCTCGAAACCATCTTACTGCCAGTGGTGCATCACAAGCTGAGATACGGGGTCGTACTGAGGCGGTGACGAGGATGATATATCAGTACAGTTACAAAGTTCCTGCAATACGTACTGCCTTATCAATGGATGTTGGGAAAGAAGATGTACACAGCATTGGCCTTGCGCGCCGTATGTTGATGAGCAACGACATCCTGGCAGAGTGTGGTCCCTAGTCAAAGGAGGACAGCCTGAGCCTGAGCCTGAGAGTATCGCGCGGGGGCGGCTCGGGGACGCACCAATATCCACTGTATCTGCACAATTGCAAGCGCCATTCCTGTGCAAACGTACCAGTCAGTGGCGATGTCCTCCGTCTCAGAAGCACTGGCGAATGAATGGTGACACTGTTCTAGTAGATCGTGGCAATGAGCGTCAGTAGGAGGACTGGCGGACTTGTTGGGGGGGGGCGGCCCGGGCAAGATTCCGCCACTAAATTTCCCTCCCAAGCCTCCTCCATCGAGCGTACACATCGAACAATGAAACATCGACGCTTCAACACTCTGAAGTGATCCATTGTTCTATGAATTCTCGCTCATTCAGTCCATCGTGACACCGGAAGCCCTTCGCACCTGACACGCGCAAGGTCATCACCACGACTAATCCAAACCTACAGTCCCTCAAAGTCATAAGCTTCAACTTCTGCTCCGAGCCTTTGTCGCTTGTCATCAAAGCCTTGCGTGTGCGGGGATTCGCGATGCCTAGCCCAGGTGCTAAGTTAGATGGCGCGCATCGGCTTCAAATAGGGGGACCCGTGGTCAGAATGCATCTACGTCGGATCTATCATCGTGCGTGGTGCGCCGGTCGCTGCCATTGTGAGACTTATGTCCAACTCTTTGATTATGATGACCATCTGTCCATAAATGAACGTTTGAACCGTCCCAAGTCAAGCGTTAGCTGGAAAAAGTGAGTTGCATTGTTGGTCTTTCGAGCTCAGGTATTGACGGATCATGCGTCTTCAGTAAGTCGTTGATATTTGACGTGCATGGTACCTGCGGGTTCCGTGGCGTGGTACTCGTGAGCGAGTCGCAATCGTGCAGCGGACCCGGGACAAGTAATGCTGTGCCAGGTCTACCAAATCCATCCGGTGAACAGCCCCTTGTTGGCATAACATGTTAAATACTCGTGCTATCCCGCGGCTGACCGCGCTGACCGTTCTGTCCTACTCTAGGTGAGGTTGCATACCGTGCCCGTAGCACCGCGACATCGGGTACGTAGCGACAGAGTACTGTCTCCCGGTTCAACACTTCGGAAGCAAATGACGACTCAAGTAATTCGTGCGGTATATGACTATGTACTCGCGACTCGATACCTATCAGGTTAGCAGTGGCCAACTCCCACAATCTGCACTCAAAGCAGTTGTTCTGAGAATGCTCTTCGACTAGGTGCCGCCATCACTTGCTCCTTATATGATCACGCGCTATGCATTGGAGCGGAAATCAGAGTATTTTGGCAGCAAAAACGGTCCTTCCTTCCGATACTCGTCGTCCTGAGCACATATCTCATGGAGGCATCCACAATAGTCATTGCATATAGTGTGTACCGTTGACCCCAGCTACCGTCGGTGCGCCTCAATTTCTGGTTTCTCCGCAGCTTTTGGCGATCTACGGCCGCCTCTTGGAACCAAGGTATGTAGTGCCATCTCGGTTCAGTCTGCAACAACTGATGAGATTGCGCAGTCGTGAGCTCAAGTCGTCCGAGAAGTCGCCCTGTCGTCTGGCGATGCTGAACGGCGCTGACAATCCTAGGTGTGAAGCGCTCATTATCGTCATAGGGGTTTCCACAACTATGGTCGCCGGCTGTCAGGAACGTGAGTCGTCGATGCCTTGCCTCCATACACACACAAGATGTCAATCGTCGCTTATGCTCCAGTCGTACTTTTCTTGCGCGTACATACAATCTGGGACAACCGCAAGGAAGTAAAATATGCCTTGCTCTTCGGCTTCGTGGTGTGCTATGGGGTCTCCATCGCATTTGCTCTTGTCACCATGCTTGACCTGGCAGGTAAGGCCACTGTTCAGTGTGCCGTGTCGTCTTTCTGATTTGTCACAGGCAAATTGCAGTACAATGGACAGCTCAAGTCTTGTACACTCCCCGAAAAACCGAAGTACATGCCAGGAGTCTGGGGGGCAATGGTAAAGTCAACTCTCCATTTTGGCAGAAAGGGCCAAATAGGATCGCTCACGATTTGAGGCCAGATAGCATACGACATATATGTGTTCGCCCTGATAGTGTTGAATGCGCTAAACCAGCCGCGCAAGCGAAATATCGAGATTTTAGACAATCTCCGGCGTGACGGTCTGATGGTGCTTACGGTTTGTGGCTCATGCCTCATCCAACAGTCGCGCGGACGTTAATTTTCTGTGCTACAGGCAATCTTCTGTACGTAGCAGGCTTCTGCTTTCGCGCAACCCAGTGACGCCTATTCGTCTTTAGTCCTGCGCATTAGTAAACTATCTGTGAGCATTGTCGGTAATGTAAGTAGCGTCACTAGATATCCACAGAATTTGCTAGCTGATTAGTGCTATATAGGCTTCAGAAACGTTTCTCCTGCCTGTGTATGAATTCACTTCTGAATCAATTGATGCTCATGAAGCACTGACACCGCATGCAGAATTAGCTGGGCCTTCGAGACGAGGATGATGTATAGGCTCTTTCTCAAGGTCAGGGAAGCTGAGCTGAGCCTACCCCATGGATGGAAACCGGTGATGAACCACCGGTCGGTCTTTGTTTCGGAAGAAGTAGAGATGATTTACATATGACACTGCCTTGGTACGTCCTTGCGCCGTCTGTGTCCTGTGTTTTACAAATACTAATAACCTTGTCCATAGAGGCTCGCACTAGCGTCAATTATGAATATCTAACATATGGTCCTTGGACCAAGGTTCTTGATATATATGAAGGAACGATCAGACCCACTTTACCTTGACTCACAACATCGACATACCGGCAACGAACTCGTAGGCAGACTCCAAAAGCGACTTTCTTGAGTGCGGGAGGGCTCAGTCCAAGACCGTCCACGCAACATTGAACCGTACAAGCGTATTGCTTTCCGTGTCGTACACAGGGCTTTGCGTAGTACTGTCGCCGTGAAACTGGCAGGGGAGCAACCCATCACCATCATCAGAGTTACTATCCTGAGATACTTGCAAGCATTAATCGATGACTTCTGAGTATACGCTGTTTTGTGTGGTGTATAGGGCCGCCTTGCATGGGGCAAGAATACGTGAAGTTGGGAGTCCCTTTGAGCCCCGTGGTATGTACGATCAAATTCACATTCAAATAGATCGGGTGGTTGATCTCCACCTCCGATCGTAGTGTGTTCACACCGTGACACTAGTCCTCTCAGTCGCCATTGGCACTCTACCACCTGGTCCGTTGAACATTGGAACTTGAGTCTATTTTCTCTCGCGCAAGAAACACTGAAACACCTTTACGCACGCAATGTCCGACGTATACGAGAGTCTTCTGCCAAAGCTAGTTGCAATCCTCGAGGCCACGCAGCAGGCTGCAGTGGGTGCACCTACGCAGCAGGGAAAGCAAGCGTTGGTACATGCGGTGCGTCTCTTGCGATAAGTCCCTGAGCTCGCCATGTTGACTGGACTCTACCCAGACAAACGATTTCAAAGACACTCTCAAACAGGCGAAGGAACTGGCGAGTACACTCCCTGGAGGCGAATTGTCGGTGGAAGAACAGGACGAAGTGATTGCGATGCTTGAGAGGCTGAAAGAAAGGAAACAGTGCGTCTCAGTTCTGACTGACCGGTGGCAGAACTTGACCTCTTGGGGCAACTCAGGCAACAACTGGCGAAGTTCTCCGCAGACGTAGATGCCATTTCCACGACCACGACGCAGCTGAGGATGGAAGTTGATTCCACTGCATCTACTCCTGCTATGTGATTATAAGGTCTCTATCCCGTCGTTTGAGCTACTCTGAGGTATACTGTGACGACTCGGACCTGCGTTCTACCAGAAGAGTGGTCAAAATCACAATCATCCTCGCAAACCGACTGGTCGTCAGCCGCGGTATTTCTTTCTGCCTCCTTCCAGCCCGTCGCTGAACGAAGCCTGGACAGCGTCAAATCCCCTCAGGCTGGCCCTGCTACTGTTCATTCACCTCTCAACATGCGCAGGCGTATCCCTGTCGACCAGTTCCTGGGCCCACTTCCTCTGATAGTGAACTTGGCTTACCGGGTCCAAGCCGGCGCCGTCACTTGGATCAGTCCCTCCGCAGGCGACGCACACAAGTCTGGCGATACTATCGTGGCACAGTGGACTGCAGATGGCTCTTTCTCTTCACCTTCTTTTAGTTTGTGTACCTCCGGGAGCAATGATAGCGACGACGAGACTTCCGCCGACTGCGGGAGCGCGGTGTGGCCAACTATTGAACAGAATGGCAAAGCTAATCTGACTCGTCTGTACGTCGAAGTCATCGAATCGCTGTCTGCTCATACTCAGACGTATTGCCTAACATAGGTCTCTTCCAACCACGCCGTCTGCCGCGACCTTTTTCATCCAGATGTCCGACTCAGAGTCAGGCGAGAGTGCCAACTCACCGTCATTCTCACTCAATCGTAAGTTTTAGCTCCCTCGCGTCTGACTCGTACTCACCATCGTTCCTCAGCTGCATCGCTTGTACCTGTATCCTCCGCTCACTTCCCTGTGGACGTCCCGGCAACCGCAGTTTCCCAATCTGCGCCGCATCAGACCTCCGTCTCGTCGTCTATCCAGCCTCTTCCAGACTACAACGAGGTTTCTAGGCCGACCCCAACAGCAGCGTATGCTGTCCCCCTCTCGTTGGTGGCCGTCGTACTCCTCGTAGCGGGTGCGCTTGGTGTACATCACCGGCGAAAGCTGCGCCAGGAGCTATCATCAGAAGACAAGAGACCTGGAAGACCTGGGTATGCACGAGCCTCTGGCAGCTATACCCGCTTTCCTGAGCGGCGTACCAAGGGGTACGAAAGTAGCCTCGGGTCTCGAGCGTCCACGCCTACGGCGAGTGTGGTGGGGTCGCATCACGGTTCGAAGCATTATGAAGACGATCAGCGTACTGACGACGATGACCGTCGGTCGCTGTACTCCGCCGCCTCGCTCAAGAGACAGCCGATGGTGCGGCGAATGACACGAGAGCCGTACTACCGCGGGTCTCGCCCAACGGGCGGTACCTATGGTCGGGGACGGGCTACGAAGATGGCTGCCGGGGCTTTCCGAGCGGGGGTATCGCCTATACCCCCCACGCTCTCTCGGTTCTCCTCTGCACGGTCCGACGCGAGCACTATCAGGAGGGAGAAAGCCAGAGCGAGGCTGGAACGGTCTGCTCGGGAGATGGATGACGGCTTCGACTTCGTTGAACGCTATTTCCATCCGTCGCCGATACCGCCTTCACTCTCGCCTCGTCTGTCTCAGCCGGACAGGCTTCACACTCGACGGAGCGCGGCGAGCTATGCTGGCTTAGGGCATGACAAGCCTCTGCCGCGTTGCCCGAGGCAGCTGTATGACGAGGTCGTGAGACGTGTGTCGGGACAGGAGTTCACGCGTAGAAGGGCTTCGGGACGTCGATGATGCCTATCGTCAAGTACTGGCTGCCGCATACGTTGCTAGCTGTCGCTGTCCAGGACCCATCGCTATCACAATGTTTATGTCTCATAGTCCATGTGCATGAATTCTCATGTCGCCCCCTTCTTGAACCCTTCTACGCATCCGCCCTGGCTGAAGGCTGAGTGGGGTGTTGGGCGGGCACGTAATTTTGTGTCTTGCGAGGGTGCGTCCAAAGCTCCGTATGTACAGAGCAACTTCGGCAACGTGTGGCTGAATCGCACTCGTAACAGATGTTCTAGACTGGTCCATGACGGTACTCGATTGATCAAACACCGAACCACATCAGCAAAAGTGCAGGACGCCGATCTGCACAGAAAAGAACGGGCTGACTCACCACTGAATGAAAGCGAAAGACAGTCGCAGATAACGGGTTTTCTGAGCGACGAATGATTGTCTTCAATCATCCCAGCGAGATAGACTTGACATACGTACCATAGACAGATATCAACAGCTAATTGCAGCTTGTCTTGCCACTGTGTGTCAGTCGCCAGAAATTGTGAAGATCATAGAGCCAGCTGGCAGACGCGGCCACTCTGAGTCGCACGGCGACGCGACTCGGAGAGGTAGGCGCCCGGGCGTGGACTCGCGCCCGAGCGAAAGTCAATTATCCTCCTTCGTTCCTCAGCATAACTGAGCCGGAAAATTCACAATACCCATTGTATACCATCTATTGTCATAAGAAAACCTTCGGACTGAGCAGATATGTGCAAGAAAGGTGTGTGAGCTGCAGGTCCTCCGTGAGAACTTCCGAGTGAATGAGCGCCGGGACCGGGTACCGTCCTCGAAAAGCGTTCAGTGAGGCTCTTCCCGTCTGGAATGAAGGGCGGAGAGCTAGGCGAGTCGGCGGGTAGAATACTAAAACGATTTTTGAGATTTGTTCGGGCTACCCCTATGTCATGGTCATCGAGTTGGGGCTCACCTTCTACAGGGGTGCATACTCGTCCTCGTCCTCCCAGGGATCATCCGCTACATCTGGATCAACAAAATCCTGTTCTTCGTCATCTCCGCCCTCGTCCTCGCCCTCGCCCTCGTCCTCGCCCTCGCCCTCGCCCTCTCTGCCCTCGCCCTCATCGCGTGTTCCGTCCTCCTCGGCGTCTTCTAGGTCCTCAGCATAATCCCATTCATAGCCGAAATCGTCCTCGTCACTCGGAACATCTTCGCCTTCGTCTTCATTTGGTACGTCTTCATTTCCGGGGACTGGAACGTCTTCATTGCCTGTGGCCGCCTCGCCTGTAGCTGCCTTGCCATCCTGCTGTGGCTCGTCTGCATGCTGATATGGGGCGATGTCTTCGTGTGTTCATCCCTATGCCATTGAGATGTTGTGACTCACCTGTGCCCAGAGTTCGTCTAGCAAGACAGAGTTCAACGTATCTTGAGGATATCGGGGGCTCTGTGTCTGCTTGCTTCGTGAGAGATATTTTGTCACTGCAGAAAGGAGTGATTTTGCAGTGATTCTGTTCGATGGTAAGCCTTTGTGGCCTATTGCACCGCCCAGATAGCGCATGAGCATGTCGCGGTCAACAAACCTGCTCCATCTGCTCAGTGTGCAGACAGAGAACATGTGAGGAGTAGTACGCACATTCCAATGTAGTGGTATACATAGTCTTCATCGCCTTCATCGGGTTGTCGCGCGATCGACGGTGGAAGGTACTCACGAGTCCGACCATGAGCAAAGGCTGGCATGATGTGACAGGCTCGGAGTACTTGCTTTGGGTCAAGGAACCCGAACGCGTTCGGCGCCTCATAGTCAATAAAGCCAACACGATGGAGACGCGAGGTCTCAAACCCGCCAGGAGCACTGTTATCACGACCAAACCACCGGATCCAGAGTATGTCCATCCGCTGGGCGGACTTTGTTTTCGATAGGAAGCCGCTGTGCTTGACATTCACATGAAATATTCCAATGATACGTGCGTACCAGTATGGGTGTGCATTCGCATTAGCATCACCATCGTCTTCAGCAGGTGCGAGCATCATGACGTCGGACTGGGTGCGGGGATTAATGGTGTCCTGTGCGCGTCGCATGTCGTATGTCGTGTAGTTGATACGAAGGGCCTTGTGAAGGTAGATGCGGTCGTTCACGAACTTGATTGTGTCATGTTCGTCAAGGCCAAAGCTGTCTTCGTCGCCATCGTACTCCCGGTCCGTGAGTCGTGAGAGCAGGTGATCCTTGAGCATGGGGATAAAGTCCTGTGCAATATTGGCAACCATCGGGAAGCAAATCATACGTACTTACTTTGAATGCAGGATCGTTCTTGTGGCTCGGAGTATTGACCCACTGGAGTATGTTGTGATGGTGCCGTTCCGAGTCGGACATGTGATAGCGTTCTCTCGGTGACGTATGAGATGGAAGTGGGTCCTGCTCTGATAAATCAAGAGCTGCTCCTCGCCGTCGTAGGGTGCCTGTATCGTCAAGAGCATGTAATGTACCATTTCTAGGGCGATCTACGTTGAGATGACCTGGCTGACTTGGAGGTGCAGGTTCAGTGACCTCTCTCGCGGCTGCCAGCTCTGCACGTCGTTTGCGATCTAGAGCCAGCATCCTCTGGAGATGCTGCTCCCGGCGTTGACGTCGTGCGATCTGTCGTGCTGCCTTGTTCTTATTTGTGCGCGTGTAGAACCGCTTCACACGGCGATGCTCCATCTCGCCCTAGTTGGCCGTTCCCGACTCTTAATGAGCTGCCCTACGTCATGAGAGTTTGAAGCTCGCACCTGTTGTGTATTGACGCCATCGAGGGTACCAAACCACGGTATTGTGTAGGCATAGTGGATGAGAGAATGCCACTTGTACGTTAGAAGGTTCAGCATCTTGCGCTTAGGGCCGGCGCTTGCGGTGGCAGATGCTTGCTGTTTACGCGGCTTGCGTGAGGCCTTTGCTCCTTGTTTTGCAACCATCGCAGCTGTGCGGCGACCACGAGCTGCTTCCTCTCGAGGGAGCTCCCGGGTATCATATGCTTCACAAGTCTTCCGAAGAAACTTGCGCACGATCTTCCCAAGGTCTCGAGTTACTGCATGGAAGATCGCGACTGTTTCTTCGGAGTGCAACCTAAGCTTGGCTAGGCCATGCCAGTAGGCGATCGTGAAGACTAGGGTCTGTACAAGCTCGTCATGTGGCGGTGGGAGGAGGCCTTCGAAAACAGGTATGATACACTGATGCAACATGTTACCGTAATGTCTGCACACGGACTACAAGGTTACACACCTGCAGTATGTCCTCGAAGTCTCTACCAGCCATCTGCTTGAGGCCGGATACATTTTTTGCGAATCGGCGGATAGTACTACGTCCAAAGGTAGGGATGTGACGGAAGCTAGGTACATGAGTAAACATGACTTATCTTCGTGAGTGTATTATATATCACTGAGACGTACCGTTCATTCATTATCTGAATGCGGTCCTTTCCCTCGGCATGCAGTATCCTAAGGAGGTGGATGAAGATCGCTTTCCACACTCCTAACTCGACTTCATGCAAGATGTCGGGCACAAAGAGGGAGTAGAAGTTGAACCCGGTATCCGCAAGCCGCGTTGAGAAGGCACTCTGTTTCGGAGTCCATAAACAAAGCTGCACATAAAGGGAGGATGGACATGACGTACCCGGGTAGGTAGGACGGAAATAGGGTCCATTACCTGTCCAATTATCTTGCTTGTCAGGGAATATCCAGACTTGAATATCCATCGTCGTACGCGAGCAATGATCGACCGGAGGCGTGAGCTGTCGACACGAATGCTTTCCCATGTTTTCGAGAAGCCCGTTTTGAGTATGTCAGCTTTCTGAACAAGGCATCGCGGACATGGACAACGTCCGAGGAAGCGGATGCAGGCAAGTAAGGCCCTGTACAGCTTGGTCAGCTTGGTTGGAGAATTACAGGAGAAATGGTACTGTACTTCTCGGGATAGTCTGCAGAGTAGGTGAAGAAGCGAGGGAATATTCGGCGCAGTATACCGTCCCCACACTTCACAAGCATACCCTCATGATACGCCTTCATGAACTCGTCATCCATGATATAGCACCAGATAACATGCATGAGCTCCTTCTTGCAGAAGCGAAGGACGTCGGCAGTCGCAGATATGCCATATACCTTTTGATACCAGTCCTGTATTGATTCCGGAAGCTGAGAATGTGCAAATTAGTCAACCAGACTCGATAGACGGTCTGTTCTAACTTCTCAGCTGACTCACTGATGGTAAATATGCCAGGTGGTGAGCAGCAAAGGACGTAGGACAGCCCCGGACATACTTCGAGAGCCATCCAAAGTAGAGGTAGATTGGCCATAGGTGTGCACCGCCGAAATTCGTCAAGTGCGTAGAGTCCGACCAGACCATGAGAGGCGCCATGACGTACTCGACCTCCGGTCCATCTGCAGCGTTGCGGGGCAGTGCGCGGATCCGTGCATCCTCCTCCAGCATCGCGTCACTATTCGGAAGATCGGAAAAGAGGCGAATGTTCTCAAATTGATGTTCATTGTGACCGGCATCAGACGTCTCTGAACTGTCGGACCCAGAGTTGGATCCAGGAGCCTCGTACTTGCGACGTCGCCAGTACTGCCGGAAAGGTAGCCAGTTGAAACGGTCTGCGTCGACTGCCTCTGCTGCCGAGCGGACAAGCTCCGTGAGTTTTCGGACGTATACTTCAGGGACCTCGAACATAGGGGCATCTGCCTCTGATGCGAACTTCGTGCGTTCCTTCGGAACACTGATCTTGACTGACACTTCATGCCATCCATCTGTGCTTGCGAAGACATTGCCCGGCTTGTCAAGGCTGTCAAGGCGCTCGAGTTCCTTCGTAACGCGGAAGCGGCGCAGGTCCTCACGGTCGAAGTCCTCAGCGAGGAGGACCTCGTCAACAAGGCGTTGCACCTCGGCATCAGACTTAAGGTTCGAGCCCGTGTTGGCCCATGCCATGAGCCGGAAGACGGTCACATTGAGGAATGGGAAAAACCACTCCTTGGCTTTCTCGATGCCATCCTGAAGTGTCTGCACAACACTTGGACCGAATCCGCTCACGGCTGGTGATTCGGTAGTAGTTGCAAGTGGAGGACGGAGAGTAGAGGCGTCAGAGAGGTCGGAAAGGGTGTGCGCCTCCTGTGGCTGGGCATGGGGACGAGTAGTATAGCAGCGAAAGACTCCGAATTCATCTGGTTCAGTTTGGAAGAACGCAGGACGGTCAGTCACAGGAATAACATCCTGGTGGCTGCCTGAGGCAGCAGCGGAGTCCGCGCCAGATTGTGTATCACACACAGCCTGAGGAGAGCCCGGCGGAGGGACCGGATCGTCTTCAAAGACTAGGGGAGTCGGTATATGGGCTGGGATACCGATAGACGTCGTGGGCAGGAAGTCTTTCAGACGTTGTGGCGCCTTTCGCTGTCGTCCAGCACGACTTCGGGATTCAATGGGAGCGGGATGCTGTACTATTTCTGGGTGCTGTCCTAGATTATTCTCCATAGCTGACATCTCATGAATCTGTTGATTGTCGGTGAACATGTGGATGCGAACTGAGCGAATGACGCTACGCACCTCATTTGCCTCCTCTCGGATGTGCTCCTTCTCTCTCCGACTAACTGCCTCATCATCAACCCTTGCGACCTTTGCTTTTCCGGGTCCAGCCACTCCATCGTCCAACTTGCGCTTTTGAAGCGAACTTGCAGTGAATGTTGCGTTTTTCTTGCAGCGACGCTGATGGCCCTTCAGTGCGCGAGAGTCGTCGAAACCTTCATTGCATCCTAGGCACCGTGTCGACAGAGAGGACATAAGAGCGAACAGTGAAGCAAAGCAAAGCAATACAAGCAGCAAGCGCATAGCATGACACGGCCCAGGAAGATGTACAGGGCTTGAAGAGACAATGAAGAGGCCAAGGATCGCTCCAAGTGTCTCGGTCACATGACATGAAGCTGTCGCGTCGCTGCAAGTCGCGTCAAGTCGCGTCATGGACGTTGGCTTTCTACCTCTTACCTTCATTACCTCCTACCTCGCCTCTAACCTCCATCACATACCTCATCTCTCTGCACCAAATGGGAAAGTCCAAGAAATCGGACAAGTCCAGTCGCTCCAGGTCCAGGTCCAGATCACTGAGTCCAGAGAAGGAGAAGACGAAGAAATCGAGTTCCAAACGCAAGGAGGCTCCAACGTCAAGCTCTAGCCACCGAAACAATTCCGGGAAATCTAGCTCGGATTCCAGCTCAGAAAGCGAGCCTGAGACCGAGCCTGAGAAGGAGCCTCCACGCAAGAAACGGATAAGCCGCCGCAACCAGGAGTCCGACTCGGAGCAGCCTGTCCAGACTAACGCTATACAGGCAACAGTCAGCCTCCCCGAGACCGCGCCTGTGGCAGCACAAGATGCACGAGAAGAAGGAAATATGGCGCTCACCATTGCCGTCCGACCGAGCCACATCAGGAAAATCCAGATTCGCAAATGAGAACACATGATGCGAAATGAGGCATAATCGTGCAAAATGTCACCTAATTAGCCGCATTAGAGATTAGATCACTTTACGTTGCCCCCTTCCTAATTAGATCTAAACGACACTCATGGCGAACGAATTTTCACTACTTCATGGAAGATATGGTCTCAGCGAGGCCATGTTATCTCACAAAATTGCACACTATTTCATACTATAAGCACGATATATACTTCTCACAAATCGTGGTGTAGCAGCTGTAGTGACGTCGCATCACAAGGTTTAGGATCATACTAATCAATTGGGTGCTAAAGTACTGATAGTAATCAAGTTCGGTATTCAACGTGTAGGTATGTGTAGCTCCCGCCGCCAACACTGCCAGTGGTAGCGCCTGTGCGTACCCACCATCGACTCGCGCGTCGCAGCGAGCCTTTCGCCCATGCGTCTTCCCGTCTTCCCGCCCTGCGTCCCGTCTGCACGCGCAGCCCGCGAGCCCTCCCGTTTGCTCGTTGGTGTGCCTACACCCACCCTTCGCTTGACGCTCATCAGCCATGCCTGCGCTCGTGGTCGATATGCGTGCGGTGCTGACTCACCTGCGCGTACGTTCGTCAAGCGGTGTTCTGCGCGCAGTTGCCGTGCGCGTCACTGCCTGCTGACCGCCCGCCCGCCTATCGGCCATGACTGCGCAGGGCATCCACCCTCCTCTGTTCCCGCTTGCCTACTTCCCTGCCCAACGTCCCATCCGCCCGCGAGCTCTCCAGTCCGCCTGCCTGACCATCTACTCGTTCACTTTCCCGCTCGTCCGTTCGGTCGCTCGTCCGCCCGTCCGCGCGCTCGCAATCCCACTTGTCCGCCCGCTGTCCCGCTCGCCTGCCTGTGCGCTCGTGTTCCCACTGGCCCGCCCGCCTGCATGTGCGTTCGCCGGCCGTGTCTGCATGCTGGGCATTCACCCAGCACGCTCATGGTTGACGTGCTTGTGTTGTTAGTCCGCGCCAGTCGCCGCCCGTTGTTGCTAACGCTCATCCGCCCGCCGACACACTCGCTCGCTCGCCGTCCCGCTCGCTTGCCGTTCTGTTCGCACGCCCGCCCGTCCACCCGTCCGCCCGATGGCTCCTGACTGTTTGTCGGCCTTGTATGCATGCTCGCGGTCGTCGTACGTGTCGCGCAGCACGTCGACGCGTCCTGCGCCTGCCGTTAGTGAGCCCACGCGTGTATGCCTGTACTCACCTGCAGACCCTCGCCCTCGCCCTCATCGCGCCCGCGCCCTTGTCGCGCCCTCGCCCTCGCCTCGCTCTCGCCCGTCCCCGCACTCCGCTCGTCCATGCCAGCCGTTCGGTCGTCGCTGCGCCCAGGCCCATGGTGTGTTCGTGTGATCATGCCTGGTAGCACGGTCACGATGCAGGCGTCGTTTTGTGCCCCCAGGCCCGAGGAGATTGTCCTCGTGCACCAATAGGATGTGAACACGACGCAGAGCACATCCTTCCCGAGCACTTCCCGGAGCAACTTCCACTCGGCTAAGAAACAGTGCGTGAGTACGGGTGGGTGGACAAGAACAGGCGGGCAGTCGAGAAGCTGCGAGCGAGTGTACAGGCAAGAGGCAGGCTCTGAACCGAGGGTGGGCGCGAGAAGTCGAGGGCGCGGGCACGAGAAGGACGGTGTGCTACAGGTTACCTAGTATGAGGGTGATGACAAGCAGTTAAGAACAGGTGGATGTGTGAGATAGCAAGATGGCGAAGAAGGGCGGGTAGTAGGCGAGGCGAGGGAGGGCAACGAGTGCGGGCGGACTGGCAAGCTGGCAGATGAGCCGGCAGATGAGCGAACAAGCAGGGGAGTATGCCGGTGGGCAAGACGGCGGCGGACGGCGGCGGACAGGCAAGAGAGTGGACGAGCGAGTTGGCGAGAAGGCGAGCCTGAGCAGATGAGAGCGGGCAACCGAGTGGGCGAGCGAGCAGGCGTGTGAGAGCAACGGCGAGTAGGCAAGGACGAGTAATCGGGCGAGAGCGGGAGGGAGGGTGAACGAGCATGAAGGCGAGGGCAGCAGGCGAGACAGTCGGCGAGGACAGGCAAGCAAAAACGCTAGTTAGGGCAGGCAGGCATGAACGGGCGGGCGTGAGAGGGCCAACGGATGGGAAGCACAAATACGCGGGATGCGCAGACGAGCAGGCAAGTAGGCACCGCGAGCTCGTTGCTCATTGATGCACCTACTCACACAGCGAAGAGTTGGGAACAAGAATCATCAGTGAGTGCGCTGAAGACTCACCTTCAAGTATTTTTCGTGCCTCCGCATTCCTTTTGTTCACCACTCCAACCCCTCGTCCTCCGCTTCCTTTGTCTGCGCTCATTGCGGCGTGTCGTCTCGGGGCCGTTAAATCTTCAGCTTCAGCTTTTGAATGCTGTGGCGAAGGTTAGGATGAGAGGATGGGCGCAAACGTCGTCGCGCCGTGAGAGCACAAAGTCCCAAGCGCCGGTTCCGGCCTTTCCCGCGCATACGTGGCTCGCGCTAGCAGCAAGCGCCGGCGCAAGTTCTGAGCCAGCCACGACGCCTCACGACGCCTGCCCAACCGCACCTCAAGAGACTTGTGGTCTATCTCAGCAGATCTACTGCGCGCTCGACCGCCTCTTCTCGAACCTGCGTGTCTCTGGGGCATGCAACTTGGCCAGGCGAACTCGGGCTCGCGCGATGCGCATCTAACGTGACGAGCGTGGGATGGAAGGGACAGCAAGACGAAGGACGAGGAGGGGCGGCAGATTGAATGACGAATACGAGGAGAGGGATGACCATAGCAAGGGTGCGCACAACAGCTTGTAAGTCAGAGGTACGTACGCCTTTGTTGACTCCTGACTCGGACTCTAATACTCCCCGCCCTACTTGTCACAGTTCCCTAGTGCTGCCCGTGCGCCCGTGCGACCCGGCATATCGACGAACAGTCAATTCATCGCGCCTACTCGCCACCGGCCAGTGTGCCTGCTCGTCTGGTTACCCGCAGCCTTTTGATGGTCTGCTCACTCGTTCGCCGGCATTTACCCACTCGCTCGCTCTGCCTATCTACCTACTCGCCTGCCCCTTCCTCACTCATATGGATGCCTTTTTGCCTGCCGCATTGTTTGCCCTCCCGCCTGCCTCTTCGTTCGACTAGTACCCGGCACTTGTTGACCTCCTGATCATAGTTCTACTCTGTCTGCACAACCATCTTCCCCCCCGTCACGTCCCCGCCACACTCCTCACGTCCAAATCTACTCGTCCGCGCCCGCCTCCTGTCATATCCGATACAACACTGCCTAATCCGGTCCGTCTCGCCATCCCGAAAATGGATGGCGACCGCTCGCCACCCTCCGCCCTCGACACTCTCCCTACCTCCCTCACGCCATCTTCGACCGTCTACTCGCTCCCGAGTCCTGGCTTCTACCTGGCGTCTCTTCTCACTCCGTTCGTCGTCCCGTCGCAGTCTCACGTCCCCGCGCCCTGCCCACCAGCAGCCACGATGCGCGACTGCATCCCCGTCTCACACCGTCCGCCGCCTCATCAGAGTTTGGACCCACACACGGCCACATCGCACAGGTCTCCTGTCGCCCTCCCTGCCAACATCTCACGTCCCCGCACCCCATCCGCCAGCAGCCACAGTGCGCCACTCACTCGCCCGCCCGCCTGCTGCCTGTCCAGTCGTGCGTCTGTCTACGCATCTACTCATCCACAACTTGCTCATCGTAGTATCACTCCACTTACTTCCCTGGCTTGCCCGTCCATTCTCCGGCCTACTCATGCACTTGCCTATCCACCTGCCCACATATTTGCACGCCCGCCTGCATGCTTGCCTACCCTACCCACCTGCGTATTGACCTGACCACGCGCCGGAATATCCGCTACCGCCCGCGCGCCCGCATACTCATTTGTGCATCCCCCATGTGTACGAACCTGGCGCCCATTAACCCCACTCGTGGTTTGCATGACCCGCACTCGTGTGTGATCTGTATGGTTACCGTCACGAGTAATGGCTTGGGTGTGAGATGCTATGGGGATTCGTAGAATAGCTAACACATAGGAGTTGTCGTTATTATGTTGAAGATGGCCTTGTCGACCATTGACTGTTGCGTTGCTTAGTGTAGCATACAGCATTTGTATTCAGTCATACCACACAGCAATAGAATCATTGTTGAACTACTCGTAACAAGCATCGTGCACGTTGTATGATGTACCACTTTAGCAACAATTAGGGAACAACCTCGTCGCTGTGTCTAATAGGATCATACATGTACTAATACTGTATCCAGTAGATGTTATTATCACAGAATTAGCTCGCAGAGTTCGGTGAGTACTCATGAGACGTGTTAGCAACAATTTGACACAATTTATTACACATTGTGGAATCTGGATTTTCCTGATGGCCAGGCCATGGCTGTCCGAACTGTGACTCCAAGTCTCAGGCCTATGAATGAAGCGGAGTATGCGAAGTACATGCCAGAGCTTCGCTTGAGCATAGGTGGCAAGGCAAAACCCATTGTGTGAGTGTTTGAAATCCCACAACGACTCTTCCTCATCCGTATATGCTACATAGTAAGCCTTTCTGGGACGCTGCTCGCTTCATTCCACGGGCCTTTGGGCCTTTCGTAAACATGGAGCACATTCTCCGCCTTGGTCTCATCATCTCCAACAACCCAGATATCGACTTAGACGACAACGGCCCGCCTATATGTGACGCAGAGTTACAGCAAATGTAAGTCCATATGCATATACACCGCGCAAAGTGCATATATGCATGTCATGCCGCATATACGCACTCTGTGCTGGTGTACTATCTTCGCCACACAATGGTGCTGCGACACTGCTCACGCATCACATACCTATCCGTACAGCGAGAAATGTGAACTGCGAGATGCATTCACTACATACAACAAGCTGCTTACCCTCTGTCCGACTCTCAAGCAACTCTTGCCCCATGCTCAAATGAATGCGGAGGACTTCAAATCAGTTGGCGAGTTTGTACGTAGCCGTGCACAGCTCAGTACTACATATGCTTACTAATACAACATCACAGTTGGACCAGGCGAACCGTAATGCGCGCACAGATGACATATCTCGTCTCCGAGATAATGTCATGAAATACATTTATGAAGTGAAGGGGATACAGATCCCCGACAGCGGACTCGACAAAGTCAAACGTGGCTGGAACTGTGAAGCCACTGCACGGATGCTCTGTCCGCGCAACCTGCGAGACGAATTTGACGCTGACCCCAAGAAGTAAGTGTTTCTGACGCCTGGTTCCGACACTCACATACTTTGTAGGTTTTGCCAAGAAGTTCGGAATGATCGGCGTCTGGTGGATCATGATGAGTGGCCAACACTCGCGTACAGCGAGACTGAGTATGACCCGGACAATCTTGACTGGGGATTGCTCAAGTCACCGTTTTTGGTGAAGGTAAGTTCAATCTCGCTGTCGTAAAAATCACTCGCTCACCCCACCGGACATTGAATCCCAGTGCTGGAAGGCCACCTTCAAGGGACCGAGCAGTGTGAACGCCGAGGCAGGGCCCACCAGCGGAAGGAAAGGCGGCCGGAAAACACTCTCAAAGGCATATGGGATCACAACGGTCAACGAGTACAGTATAATGTATGTTACAATCCTCGTAAGTATTTCTGTCTTTGCGCATCACTAGCAACATACTCAGTGTAGTTGGTACATGGCGTCCACACTGGCAGGCACGCTTCTCCCTCTCCGGAGTCGCGTCGTGGGTTACCAACGATCACGACGGCCCATACACCGGGTCTGAGTTCTTCAAGAATCTTCTCTTCCTCTTCGAAGACGAGGAATGGCGCAAGGACACCCTTGCATGGTGGAACACGTATGTAATATCTTTTTGTGTGCAATGTTGCGTAGTACTCAGCTCTGCCTTAGCCAAGTCTTCGGCATCAAAGCCCCTGGAAGCAGCTCAGACACAACTACCCGCGCCGGACCTTCTTCCCTTGCGCGTCTCAAGGAGCAACGCGCAGCGCGCGGCCGCCAACTTGGAGTCCAGCGTCGGAACTCAAACGTAGTGGAATGATTAAAGGTACGCAGTCACTGTGGCTGTGACATCTATTGACTACTAGTAATGCCTCGCAAGTTGAACAACACGGCGCCTCCGAGCTATTCAACAAAGCCTAGTACAGTTCCTTGTTACTTCCGGTACGTACGGTATTGACTCTGGTGGTCGGCGAGCTAGTTAGCTCACTCGCTTTCATTAGCATACCCTCATTCTCTCGACGTATCTCGCCTCTCAGAAACCCATTCATCTTGCGGCTTCGACTCTGTTAGTGGTCGTGGCTCCTGTCGCCGTCTGCTGCCAGCTGTGATCTTCCAGCACCCATGCTCTCTGGCTCGCGGACGGACTCTGTCATGGACCCCTCACTAACTCGCTTTTCTCGCCATCTCTGCCTCGCCCAACTGCAATCGTCTTACTGCTCGCCCAGCGCCCGCTCGCCTTTCCCGAGGTCACGCGGCACGCCGTCGCTCTCCAATCGCTGTCTTCAAGTTCACGCCTTTCCGATCGACTTCGAGTTGGTCTCCAGGCTGAGTACCAGAACCATTCTCTGCTCTGCTTTCGTCCACGCATGTATGAGTATACCCCAGAGTACATCGTGGCGATGTAATATTATGTGCAATGTCAAGCAAATTACCCGGTATGAAAACAAACTGACCGCCGAAATTCTGAGACGATGTGTTTAAGATTACCTCCAGTCGAGTGACTGGCTCTGGTATGTCTGACCACTGCTGACGATTGTCTGACCTTTCGACTTCATGGCATAGCCTCGCAGCAGTTGCCCCGCCGGCCGGTATGTTGGCGGCTATGAAATGCGTCGCCAATCGCAAAGTGGTCCCAGAATGGATGGATATCTGCGTGATAGGTATTGAATACTCAGACTTGTATTATAATCACAGATCGGCCGCCTGCACTTTCGGCGATGCAGAACAACGGCCGTCGAAGCTATGCGGCTGCCACTTAGGGTCAGCCTCAGATTGTTTGGCTGGTGTGTGCTGACGCCACATGGCAGGTGCGTCGTCTCGATTAGGCACCTCAGTTGAACATAGAAGATGTCAGCCGATGTCAGTAACTTTGGGTGGTCAGCCTCACCAGCCTCTATAGCATATAAGGCCGCATACACGCCCGCCATCTCCTCATCTTGTTCCATATCGTCCACAGTCATGGCGTCCGAGACGTTATTGCTCCATCTTACCTCGACTATCCTACTATGGTGCACTCTCATATACAGGCCGAATGCTCCTCGACTCTGGCTCAAAGCTCTTATCGCCCTCCACGTTCTACGGATGGTGGTGGACCTCGTGCCTGTCGTGACAGTCCTTTTTATCAACATATCCCACCACATTGTAGCATTCCCTAGCTTCGGCAACCTCATCGTCGTACTGCTTGCCATGGCTATCCTCGTGTCTCGCGGGTATGCTCTCCGCCCCAAGATCACGGTTCGCCTCCCGATCAGGACATTTGCTGGTGCCATTCTGAACGCTTTGCACACCCGTCTCAGCTTCGGCTTCCAGGTCATTCTGTCTGGGTTCTCCGCGCTCTGGTCCAGCCCAGATGGTCTCACCCTCAGTCGACTTCTTCCGTGGCCTTTCCGCGCCGTCCGTAGGTCGATCGACAAGTCTAACAGCGTTGTTTCTGCAGTCCTCGAGCTTGTACCTTCTCTCACCTTCAGCACTATGGGTCTCACGTTGGTGCCACTCAAGGGAGCGGTGACGTCTAGCCTCACCACTGGAGAGTCGCTCGTGTCCATCGTCTCGAGTGCCGTTGGAGACCTCGCATTGGTACCCTTCGAGAGTTCCGGAACCTCTACCTTGGTCAGTACGGGGTCTCTTGCTTCTCTGGCATCGTATGTCACCGAAGAGCTAGCGCTGGTTCCATACAAGGGTGCTGTCGGCTCTACCCTGGCTGCTACGAAGTCCCTCGCGTCCGCGGCATTTGATGTCGTTCACAATCTGGCGCTGGTCCCCTTCAAAGGAGCGGTCAATTCTACCATCGTTGGCGCGGATTCTCTGACATTCGTCCCGTCTGGCGCCGTCGAAGAGGTCTCCGAGTTCTGGGAAGCCGAACTGCTTGAGATTTGGTCCCTCATCACCACGGCCTGGTTTCAGGACGGTCTCTGGCTCGTCGTCCAGCACATGTACGTCCCGCACTGGCCCTGGGACATCGGCGACATGCCAGTCATCGGTACCCGAGCGGAGACGAACATCATGCGCCTCAACGCTGTGGACATCGGTTATGACTCGCAAGGCTTCTTCTGCAGTACGTTATGCGCATTTCATAACGCGTATGCGCCATTGACTTTACCCTGGCAGTGCTATGCGAGATCGTGAACTACCCGGGGAACTTTCAAACAGTCCCGTTGAGCAGTCTCTCGATAGTAGTCAACAAGGCCGCTCTTCCCGAACAATGGTTCATGTGGTTCGCTGGTCTCTTCTGGTCTGCACGCGGCGTATCTGTTCCAAACGTCGTCAAGACCTCGGACCCTCGTCTTGCTCTCGTCACCATCGGACATCGACCCGCCACCGTTCAGTTTCTGGATCGTCTGCACCGATACGTCTCCCAGCGACTCGAACAAATGCGCCTCAAGACGCGACTTCAAGTTGCGATCGAAGACGCCGAGTCTGCGATGGTCAAGCTTCCATTCCGCACCAAGTTCAGGCCCGCCCTTGCCCTTGCGATGTCCAAGGTCATGGACACTTTCGCGAGCGACGTCGGGCTCGTCATTTCGACCGCCGAGGTCCCATTCGGCACATCTAGCGATGCGCCCCTTGCCAATGTTATCGTCAAGCTGCCCCGTGCCAACGCAACTGAAGCACAGGGGCAGCAGCGCAAGGGGCGCCGCGGGTGCCCGGGACCTCGAGGGAAGCGCGAGAGCACAGTGAACATGACCCCTGCGGTCGGCGACGGTAAATTGCTATGTTTTATTTTCCTCGACGCTGTTGATGACATGGATTATCCAGACAAGGAGAACGTCCCGGTTTCTGCTGCGAGCTCGGCCAAGAAGGACGCCAAGCAGACCCGTGGCTCACCACAAATCACCGAGGGCGGTATGCGCTTGCTCAACAGGACGGTTGCCAGCGCACTCTTCCACAACCGCCGCCGTCGATGATTCACGCACGATTCGCTGCGAGTCTGCATTCAACCGACGTCCAGGGATGTGCTTCCGGGACTCACCTTCATTCCGATTCGCCAGATGTCTTGCCTATATTCGTGCTTGCGGAGTACTCCCAAATCAAAGCGGCATAGTTGCACGGCATCCCAGCAAACCCATCCAGCACCTAAGTCCCATCGTCATCGAACATTCGCATCCTAACACAAGACATACTGGCTTACACAATCATCTGCATAATTCTTAGACACTCGCAACTACCCAACATCCATCGAGTACACAGTCAATACTTTGACTGACCTCGTGCAGAGGCCGGTCGAAGCCTTGACGGTGCACTCGTATGTACATTGTACTCGACCTGATATCGGCATATCTAGCTGCGTGATATATAGAAGAACTATGTAACTGCCGTACCGTGTATTATTGATATTCATTCTGAACATATCATGCACACATACATTGATTCGATGTCGTCAACGTAAAATGCACTACACAGTCACAGCAGTGAGTGCTTGAGTGCTTGAGTAACCTGTACATGAGTAAGTTGTTTCTTGACCGCTGCTTCACGCCACAGAACCACGTGAGGCTCGCGCGAAGTGGAACGGCCCGAGTGTCCGCCAACTAACTTCAACGCAGACCACATCCTGGTGAGGGAGTCCCCCGTATCCCAGAGTGCCAGAGATCCATCTCTTGTACACACCGAGAGGAGGTAACGCCCAGCTGGCAGACAGTTTAAACGATGGATCAGCAAGCAATCCAGCTCGGGGACCACATCCTACAACGTCTATGCGCGTGAGCTACAAGCCCACTTCTCGCATCCGGAAGCGCAGCTCATCCGAGCTCGTACAGCACAGCCTCTACGGAACGCATACTCATAGGCCTCGCGGGCGTGCCTGCCTCGGGGAAGTCGACTCTCGCGCAACTCATCGTCGACCATGTCAACAAGACGACCCGGCGCGAACACGCTGGAGTGGACCATCGCGACATCGCGGTGCTGATCGGCCTGGACGGGTGGCACCTCTCGCGCGCGCAACTCGACGCGATGCCGGACCCGAAGCTCGCGAGGGATCGCCGTGGAGCCCATTGGACGTTCGATGGCGAGGCGTATGTAGACTTCGTGCGTGCGCTCCGGAAGCCGCATACCGATCCAGCGTCCGCTGTTGGGGAGTCCGACGCGGTTTACGCACCTTCGTTTGACCATGCTGTCAAGGACCCTATGCCCCGCGCTGTCGCTGTCCACCCGTACCACCGCGTCGTGCTGATCGAGGGCTTGTATGGGTTCCTCGGCGTCCCTCCATGGCGAGAAGCGGCGGAGATGCTGGACGAAAGGTGGTGGTTGGAGGTAAGTGAGGAGGAGGCGGAACAGAGACTGGTAGCGAGGCATGTGCGTAGCGGGGTTGCAAAGGACCTTGAGGAGGCTATATGGAGGTCAAGGGAGAATGACGCACCCAGTGAGTCCCTAGCGCGAAGATCGCATTCGTGGTATCGAATTTGTGACACTCTGGTAGATGGCAGGTTCATCAAGAAGAATCTTTTGGAGCCCACACGAACCATACAGAGTGTAGAGGACCCTGTGCATGCGAGCGTATGAAGGCCTCGAGCGGACCGACTCCGCGCTACAATGACAGGAGGGTAGCGAATGCTTGCTGCGAGGAGCATAGATGGCAGTCCATGTGAAGGCGCTAATGACGTTTCGAGCTGTACCGTCACCATTGGGTCGAACTGGCTGATACGGGATCCAGAGTGTGTTGCAAGCAGGCACATAGAATACAAGCACCAAGGACGGCAGGTATACACGGGGGAGTGGTATCGATACAAAACTGTGTACTTTTGAAAGCGCAGTGTCACCTCGGAGCATTGGCGTTCGCTTTGCGTTCGGCGGTGACTACAATTGAAGTCAGTAAAAGACATCATACCCGTGACTAGCGAAGCGTACCCCATGGTCGTCTGTCCATTGGACACTGTTGTTTGGATGCAGATGTTGATATCCATTGCAGTAGGCAATGCATGTGGAAGACGTGGCTGCATTCTCCCCAGACTACGAGTGCTTTGGTCAGCGAGGTGGGGAGAGTAGACGAGGGGTGACATACTCAGCGGACAGTCATCGCCAGGCATCTTGCAAGATGGACAGCATCCCTCGTACGGAACGCGACAGATACCGCACACGTCGCCCTCGCCGTCGTCATCCATGTCGGAGGCACCCGTGTCCCACCGCCACTGCGCGATAGCGTGCCAGTTCTTGACGTGCACCTTCATAGCGTGTAGAGTGGCGGCAGAGGCAAGCAAGCACACAGGACTTCAGTGTACTGGATTCCGAGGCTGCTGTGGACGGGCTACACGCGGGGTGATTGAAGACAGGTCAAGGGGAATGTTTGTGCTTATGTACGCGTCACCCGCGTCCGAAACTGGGGCGCGTTGGTCACGGGACTGCAATAGACGCGTCCCACCCGGGCCACACTGAGCGCAGTGTCCGCAGGAGGCGATGGGCAGCACTTTGTTCGTTTCCATCACGCATCCGTCTAGTCATACATTTATTTCTTGGTTAGCTGCGTTTACAGTTCTCCCAACCATGGCCCTCTCGTCTGCCGACGCTCACGGCCGGATGCTCAAACGAGCAGACCCCTCGACCATCCAGAATAAATTCATGGTTGGGTATCAGGGATGGTTCACCTGCCCTGGCGATGGCCCACCTCTGGATCCCCACCATCATGGCTGGCTGCACTGGTTCAACTACCCCATCCCCGACGGAGGTCGTCCCAACACTGACCTCTGGCCGGATCTCTCAGAGTACTCTCCGTCCGAGCTGTACCCAGCCCCTGGCGTCAAGTATCCTTCCGGCGAGCAGGCCTTCCTCTTTTCCTCACGGCATCCAAAGACCGTCGAGCGCCATTTTCACTGGATGGCGCAGCATGGCGTAGACGGTGCTTTCCTGCAGCGCTTTGCGGGTCAGACCGATCTCGAGGCGGGAAATGAGGCCATTCGAAACCAACGCGACGAAGTGGGAGACCGCGTCAGAGAGGCTGCCGAGAAAGCGGGTCGGGTCTTCGCAATCATGCAGGTGTCCTGCACCCTTGCGTCCAGCGCGAAACCTAATAGCCCCACAGGTACGACGTCTCGGGCGTGGCGCCTGAGCGCATACAGCGGGTGATTGAGCATGACTGGATGCACCTCATTCACGACAAGGGTGTCCTTGACAGCCCGAACTATCTCAGGGAACACGGCAAGGCCGTCGTGACCTTTTGGGGCTTCGGATTCGCGGACTCGCGCCACGATCCCGCTGTCGTTCGAGCCATCACGAAGTTCGTTCGAGAGAACACACCGGGCGGTGCATACATTATGGCGGGGACGCCTGCCCACTGGCGAACATCAGTGAGTGACGCGGATCCAAACCCCGACTTCGTGAACGTTTGGCTGGATGAGTTCGACGCCATCTCCCCGTGGACAATCGGGCGGTATCACAACGAGGAGTCTGCGGACTGGTTCGAGAAGGAGAAGATTGCCGGCGACGTCCAGTTGATCAATGAGAGAAACCAGCGCTGGGAGCAGACTCAAGTCGGGCGCAAAGTCGACTACATTCCTGTAGTCTTCCCAGGTGGTTCTGTGCGTACCTCGTCGACAGAGACTGTCTACGAAGAACTTGACCTTCCGTATGACAGGGCCACAATCTTTCCGAAGGCAAGTGGGGATGGAACGATGCCCCGCGCCAGGGTGGGCGGTTCCTGTGGAGGCAACTGTACAATATCCGCCGTCATGGCGTCCGCATTGCCTACGGAGCTATGTGGGATGAGTGAGTGACATATGCTCTCCCGTGGAATAGCGCTGAGTCTATTGTCAGATACGACGAAGGGACTGCATACCTTCCCGTTGTGTCCCACAAAAGCCAGCTGCCTACCCTTAGCACGCACAAATTCATGGCGCTTGATGAAGATGGATACGATCTACCTCCAGATTGGTGAGTCGAGAACCATCTTTTCATTGTGTCTGTGATCGCCGCTGACGGCGTTTACGCAGGTACATGCGGATATCTGGCTTCGCCGCCGAGGGTCTGCGAGGGGAACGGATCATCCACGATACCTTCCCTCAGAAGGAGCTGCAGGACTATTGGTCCACGCACCCCCAGTTCGAGGACAAGCGCGGAGATCCGATGGCCTCTGGTAGCCATTCGTATTCTGGCTTTGATCCGGGCAAGACGGACGTCGTGGACGATCTTCCCCCTCCTCCGCCATACACCCTGGAGGATGAGAGCGCTGGCACTGGCACTTCAGCGACGTCTTCTCAGCCCTCAGTCTCCCGCCATGCGAGCGCGGGTCCGCCGCTGCCCCCGAAATCGACTAGACCGCATGATGTGCCTGGCGACCTTTCTCTGTCAAGAGCGGCGTCTGTGGGGTCCTCATCGACCTCATCACGACCAGAAGGACCTCCTGTCAACTCAAGGTCCCGACCCCAGGCCGTGCCACCTCCTGTGCCGAGTGACGCGAGACGCCCGGTGTCCGCGCACTCCATCGATGCGCTCGCCAATCAGTTCGACAGACAGTCCTCGATACATGGACCTCATGCACCACGTCCTGCACCGCCGCCAGGGCATCCTGCCCACCCGCCGGTGCCACATCCGCACGGACCTTCTCCATCGTCGCCGTCAGCATATGCGCCGTCCTGGGCGCCCCCAAGTCCTCCACCGCCTGGAGGATGGTCACAGGCTCCGTGGCCTCCTCCTCAATGGGGTGTAGGGCCTCCCCCTCCTCAACCCCACGGCCCGCCAAGCGGATGGTCCTACCCTGGCGAGGCGTATCGGGATCAGCATGCCTATGGATACGAACAACCCCCGGGACCAGGCTACGGTACGCCGAATGCGCCCCCGCCTCTCAAGCCTCGACCAAGCGTTTCCTCGCATTCATCGGGCAAGCCTTCGGTGTCGGAAGAAGGTAGTGATTTCCCTATGCCATTCCGGCCGCCGTCGCCATACAGACCCTCTGGAGGCTTCCCACTTGGTCCTGCTCATGCTTCTTTTCCAGTCCCCGATGCTAGCCCGCCGCACAGCTTCGCGCAGCCCCAAGCGCACGCACCTTATGGGAGCTATCCGCAAGGACCAGGTACGTCTTCCCCAGGCCGCCGCTAGTGGAGCTCGAACGCATCCTAAGCTGAACTTCTTTGTGTGTCTTGTCCAGTATATTACCCTAGTTATGCCGTAGGCCATTCCCGTGAGTAGTCTTCTGGTCAGTCGGGCGAGTGAGAGACGCGGCGTACTGACGTGATCGGTCCGCTTTAGCTCCTCCGCACTTCCCATCGCCTCCTCCTGGCTCACCTGGACAGCCCGCGCTGGCATATGGTGGGCCGCCTCCCCCACGTCCGGCGCCACCGGGCTCGTATCCGTCTGCGGGCGGCTCGTCATTGTCCACGCGACCGTCCATATCATCGAACCCTATCGCGTATGCGAAGACCAAGGTCAGCGAAGGCGAGGGGCATCTGCAGCATCTGACACAAGGTCAGTCGATCGATTGCATTTCCGGTGTATCTGCGACCCTGACGATGTCTGCATCTTTGGGACATACGATGCCGGCAGCCGGATCGAAGCTGTGGAACAAGTACGCGCGATAACGATCCTACCTATTCCTTGCTTCATTTATGTAGACAACATCCGTGTATCGATGGACCATGTAGCCCTAGTACCAAATTCTCGTTTTGCAATTGGGTGGTCTGACACAGCGTGGATTGAGTGGGTATAACGCGCTGCGTGTGTGCATCGCGTGTTCTATCGCATTGTGCATGGAGTTCTCTGGATTCTGCGCAGCGAACAGACGAATAGTATTGAATAGATCGGGAGCAGTGATGAGTCGGACAAATTCGAATCACCCAAACGGTCCAACTCGGTATATAGTACCTACATAAATGAATGCAATAGTGTCACTGATGAACGTATGCCAGGGCATTAGATATACTCATGAATCCCAGCACATACGGTGGTACAACGCGATCCTTATAGACGTTACTTGAGACACGCTGGCACGTAAGTAAATACCGGCCGATATTAGGTTCTACAGAGGAGATGCTGCAACAGCCCAGTCAGTTCAAGCGGCATCGAGAGCCGCGGTACGACTCACCCATAGATTTCGCGTGTATGCAACGCAGCGAATGCTAAAATATCAACAGCCTCCCGCTACTGGCCACACTGCCGCCGGCGTCCATCAGCCCGGGGCCGGGCAGCCTGCCCATCCAGCCGCGAGGATGATACGGAGTGTCGTGGACGTCCGGGTTGTACGAGTCGCGCTCCTCGAGCACCTTCCCGTTGGAGTCGACGAACGGGCGCACAGAGGGGAGGGGGACGGGCGTCGCTTTGTTCGTGAGCGTGAGGTCGTAGAGTTTCAGGGAGTCGGGCACCCAGCGCATGGGCGATTTCTTCCGCCGTGGACGTCTCTCCTTCCGAGAGACTTCGCCAGCCTGGTCGTCTGGGCCGCCTTCCATCGGCGGAGCAGCTTTGCGTTTGCGACCTCGTGTTTGCTCTGAGGGAGCGCTTATCACTTGGAGGGCGATAGCGGAGGTCGACGCGGAGGATGGGCCTGCCGCCTCGGTTGCGAGTTCAACTGGGGCAGCTACTTCTGCATAAGTAGTTCCCTCTGCCGCCGAAGACCCGGGCACCGCGGCTTGCGCTGACGCTCCTTGATTCACCGGTCGCTGCGCGCATTTCTTGGCGTGTCTGTTCAAGTTGGACTGGACACCGAACCGACGACCGCATGTGTCACATGCAAAAGCTGAGGCGAGGATCGTCAGCCACAACTCAGTTCTAACGACGCAGAGTTGGAGGGACAAGATTACCCCACCTTTGTGCCCCGTGTGCACCAGGAGGTGCTGCGCGCGAGCCACGTTCTATTTCAAGCACTGGTGATGTTGACCAGACTGAACAACTCACCTTCCGTAACGTTGACGGCCTAGCAGTGATGGAAAGATTATGAACAGCTCTCTACATATGAAAGCAAGGATCTACCTGTCGAAGCTTTTGTGGCACATCCAACATGGATGCATCTTCTTCTCACTGCTCTTCGACCTGTCAGCGGCCTCATCTTGAGACGGAGGTGTAGTCGTGCGTTCGTTTCGCACATCCTGCTCTCCTGGTGAAACAGCTTCCTCTATGGAGGGGGGGCGACTGTAAGCCAGCGCAGGTGTTGCGGAGGGTTGTGCGAGTGGATGTTCGATAGCCATCGTGGGGATATTGCGTTCTCTCCCTGCTCTCGCATCCCGACTTTTAACTGGCGACGTCAACACCACATTGCGAGAGGGTGGTGTCTCGAGAGGGCCTGGTGGAAAGGCCGTGACTGAACGAGTATACGGATGGCTGACCGCGGAATACATCGATCCGGTGGCGTCGCTGCAGGAGGTAGGGTCGCTGAATTGCAGTGTCGCATGTGCGCCGGTGGACGATCCCATTGAGAAGAAGACAGGCGTTCCGTAAGCATTCCAGGAATGGTATTGGCCATCCTGTAGAGGCAGTGGCGCTGCTGGCGCCATCCAGGGAGGCCAGTGCGGCGCCGGATGGTGAGACTGCATCCCTGTGGCCTCCGACTGCAGGACGAGAGAGGCGCGATCGCACGCCGGCCTGGCGATATATATGAGAGTGGAGCATCAGGCGTGCACGTCTGATGACACATACGTACAAACTCGACATCGCGCCGGTCTGCGACTGCCACCGGACCAGGAACCTCAATCAGTCCAAGCGCGAGGGACGCACCTGCCATCCAGCCACACAACTCGATCTTCCGCGACGAGCTCTGCCCCCTCCTACACTTCGAAGCTCGCTGTTCCTCCGTTCGCGCGTTCATATCAGATTGCGAAGACCCGCGATCTGCTCCCACACCCTCGGCGCCTCGCCTGGTCAAGGTTTGCCGACCAGGCCATCCCGGCTCCGCCGCACACGCATGGCCCTCAACGGGAATGCGCACACCTCTGCACTTGCAGCTGGCGGCAATGCCTCAAACGTCAACTTGCACGCCTCTGCGCAACGTCCGGGGATCCGCCGTGGCGCACTCCCGGTATGGGAGCCTACGACTCGGAGAGCGCGCTGTGCTAAGGAGCACGCAGGTTGCTATCGGTGCCTTGCCCACGCCGCACAACGTCCTATTTCCGGGTGGATGTATGAGTGAGCGTCCGCGGGATGCCGCCAGACCGCCTTCGAAAGCACACTTATCAGCACGTTGATCAACGACCGTGCTTCCCTTGCAGAGAGAACCCGACAGGTCTGAGCACTGTATCGCACGCATAGGGGATAGGGCTTACCACCATCGACCGTGTCCGGCACTCATATCTCGGACCTCGAAGGAGATCTGACCCGGTCCTGTCAGGGGTTCAGCGCACCGGCGGTCCTACGCCCATATGAACTGCACTCCATCATTGCCCTAGCTGGGCAGCATCCCCTACCACACCATCGCGTGCCGCTAGTACACGACCACGCTGCATGCCTGAGCTCCGAAGCTGCGCGAAGAGGTTGCACAGCATTCTCGGGCTGCATGGCGTTGGCACGGTGAACAACGATCGTCGAGACTTAATCCAGACCTGATGATCACCCGAATAGTAGCCTGTCGTGGCTCTTCCAACACGCGAGTAGACGCAAAATTGATCGTGCTTGTGACTCGAATTGAATGTGGCGCTTTCAAGCCGGCGAGCTAAGAGGAATGGCGGCACGGCAACCAAGAAGTCAGCATTGGGGTCCGATGAGACGTACTGTGAACTCTGCCAATGATTGCCATCAGCGATGCTAGCGAGCTCACGTCTGGGTCGGAATGCATGCGGAAGGCGAGACCACTTCTGCAGTATGCCCTGATTCTGGGAAGAGCCTGACAGTGCGCAGAGTAGTGTCGATGAGATTACTGGGCAGTCGCCTCGCCTAGTCGGGGTGATCATCCTGTCAAAGCATGAGCATAGACTCGCCAAATGCCAACACGCAGTCAAGCAGCTAGGCATTCATACTGGCATGACAGTCCACCGTTATGTGAAAAGTAGAGCACGCGCATATAGTACATGCCCACCTAGCCGCAACTGCGAGTTCATGCTATAGTACGTACCATGATTAACGCGCTTCAGACGGTCACAACTGTGAGCATGTTGTCGTTAAATCCCGTCATCAACAGATTTGCTGTCGTCATGTTCATCGAACGCATCAAAGTCGGTGTTATAGGGTGAAATGACATGGGTTGTGTAGAGGAGTCGGTCATTGGCATCAAGCGTCTACCGAACTTGGTGTATCGCGAGCCCACGTGACGTGTACCCCGTTTCGCGTTCGCGGCGTCGCGGGTCCTCGCCACACTTGCCTTCCCTTCAGCTTCAGACGCTCACTATCTTGTATACCTGGACTATTGCTCTGTCGGAATAGCATCACAATATGCCCCTGTCGGCCGCGTTGAAACATGACATTGAAGAAGTCATAACGGCACTTCTGAATGCAATGAGTTCCCGCAACAAACGACGACTAGCGGACATGTTTATGGATCTTCCGGACAGGACAGCCTGGGCTGAGTACTATGAGGTATGTGCTAGTCGCTGCGTCTTGTGGTCAGCGCGTCATCAGTAACCGGCACTCTAGATCATACCACAGCCCCGCTGTATCAAAGGCATTCAAAACAACCTAGCAAAGAATAAGTACAGGGATCCGCTAGACGTCTTCACAGACCTGGACCTCGTCTTCATGAATGCACTCTACTACAACGAAGACGGAAGTCAGATTGCGAAGGATGCCAAGACTTTGAAAGTCGGTCTGCTTGCCGTCTGCCAATCTTTCACAGCTCTCACGCCTACCGCACACAGGCTATGCTCGAGACAGAATGGAAACGACGATCAGGTCTCCCAACACCCCGCGCGTCTCCGCCCGCTTCTTCAGCACAGAAGACTCACGCAGCAGCTGCGGCCTCCAAGGTGCTCAGCAACCGCCCACGACCAAGGCTACGGCGCGACCAACCGTGGTCCACCCCCACAGCCGCCGCGGCCACGCCTGCCCCTTCGACGCAAGGGAAAGCTGCTTCGCGCGCCAAAAGCCTAGAACGGCACTCTTCACCTGACATGGACGTTGACATTGGGGGGACTCCGGAACCGGAGGGCCCCTCACACGATGGGACCAGAGACGCGGAGCTGATGACATTGTGAGACAGTGAGAAGGGCTTACCGAGATGGGAGGGCTTCGGCGACATGGGATGGATGACTGAGGTTGATCCGGTGAGTAGCCACGGAATGTACAGAACAAGTGACGCTAAGGTTGTGGCAGAGTCGCCATATCGATATTGTGCAAGCCGTTTCTGGTCATCAGGATGCTAGGCGAGTAACCATACACACATGATGTCATCAATGAGCGTGAACAGTATGTTGTCAGCGGTGTACGCCTTGCTGCAAGCTTGGAAGCAATTCCTGAAGAAGTTGCGGGGTTGCCTTTCAACGTATGTATTGCTCCTACCGCACATCACCTCTTCTTGACTCGCATGATTACAGTTCCCGCTGTCGCTCTCTTTGATTGAGGTGAGTAACCATGATGCGACTACTAAGACGCAACCGCCAATTCTTCGACTGATAGAGTAGAGTACGGAGCAAGCAATATGCATCGTCGAAGGCATTTGACAAGGAGATGTCAGAGCTTTTCACTATGGGCCGTCGCATATATGAACCCGGTAGCGCAGAGTACGGACATATCCTCATTCTCCAGGTGAGTACCCAGGAAGTACGCTTTTCATCGTCGGTTGACCATTCCAACTGCAGAGGCTCTACCAAGCGTTGGCATCCTCGAACCCTCCATCGGGTCCTCCGTACACCACGACGACCAACTTTGCATCAGTGCGCGCCGGCCCAGGAACAGCGAAGCCTCTCCACACGAGCGCGGAGACGGAAGGCATCTTTGGCGTAACGACGTACCGCGTCTCCACCAAAGATAGAGAATTCGTCAATGAGGTGCATTTCAAGGGGTGGACTGTCCGTCTAGCCGATTGGTTGCACATGAGCAACCCGGATGACCCTAGTAGGCCCATTGTAGGCCAGGTCTTCCGCTGTTATGTCTGGGACGCTGCGTATGTCGTATTGAACATGCATCGTCGTTTTTGAGCTGGACTGAAACTTGGTATAGCAGTGGCAGGAAGGGACAGCCGGGTGTCACGGTCTGCTGGTATTATCGGCCCGAACAAGTAGGTTAGTTTTTCGTACACAGCTTGCTCACGTTGTCTGCTAGACATTTCATCCTGCGCACCGCCAATTCTGGGAGGGCGAAGTCTTCAAAACAAGTACGTGGGCATCCGTGTATGTGCGGAAGGCTATGTTGACAACATCTTAGGTCATTTCGCTGACCATCCACTGGAGGACATTATCGAGAAGATCGCCGTCCAATTCACTGCGCGACACATCCGAGGTCGTCCACGTCCCCCCTACTGGAATCTGGGCTGGCCTCTCTACGTGTGTGATTCGCGTACAACGATCGCGAACGCATCTTCGTCAAGATCAAGAACTGGAACTCGTGCGTTCCGGAGGAAGTCCGGAAGAGCACCGAGTTCATGCCGATATATCCCTTCGAACGGTCTGTCTTCCCTAGAAGGTTCAATAGCCCCTTCCTCACCGGGCGAGTCAAGGGCCCGGGTGGTATTGCTGAGGCTGTAGAGAAAGCGGAGGGCGAGCGGATCGAGGGCGGCGGCACTGGAAGGAAGCGTCCGAAGCGCAGCGCTGGGGCGACGTCAACACCAAGTCGCACGGAACAGACGGATCGCGCGGGTCCTAGCAAGGGGCTCTTCGTCGCAACGCCTGTCGCCCCATCAGGGCCGTCGACATCTACATACCAATATCCACAAAGCGCGCAAAATCCACGAGATCCGTCCACCCAAGAGACCACCGACAGGTCGATCCTCACATCGGTTGGGCTCAGCTCTTGGGCGGGAACGTTTGACGGAGAAGCTTCCTTCGGAAACAGGTGAGTGTCGTGTAGTAAACTGCTGCTCGCATTGACCGACACCGTGATGCAGCTAAACACTTCGATCGCGATCCGGATACGAATGAAGTACTCTGGTTCGCGGCGCCACCCGTTGATAGAGCCCACACGAAGCCACCTCAACATAGTTAGCGTATCTCACTTCCTTGCAAAGAAACGCAAGAACTCACACGACGACGGGCGGGCCATGGATGTGGACGACGCAACGTCGGAAGAGTCACCTCAGAAAAGGTTCAGAGTGCAGCCGACCGTAACTGAGACCTAGGATCGATGCTGGTCGATCTGGCTGCCGACCTTGATTCGCCTAGAGCTGGCTAACGTCTGCCCTTTGGTAGTAACGTGTAGTTACAGCCATGCCACTGCCCTACTTATGGCTATATCTGTATTGGTTGCAAGTGTAGTGTACTCAACATAATTTTCGGTGACCAATTTTGCCTGTCCTGTCTTCGAAACGAGTGTTCTGCGACACAGAACGACTCTGCACGGATATAACAGACCACTATGTCCAGAGAGGACATCAGATCGTTATCTGGCGTACTTGTTCGTGTTGACCAACACCTTCCGTTTCTAACAAGTACAAATAACAGCGGGTGGCTGTTACACCTTGCGTAAGTCGTGCATGGCACACGCCGTTCCTCCTCCATCGCGCGCGATCTACACAGGACTATCACGCACACGACTATACCAAGATGGAGCTGGGCACAACATGGCGCTAAATGAGCCCTTTCTGCTCATGTCCAAGGCTGCGAAAGGCGCGGCTGCGGCTAAGCTCATCCAGGACGCCACTTCCGCATCTGGGTCTTCGTATTCGCTGAGCTCCTCGAGCTGCCTAACATCAAGAGGTACGCTGTGCGATACTCTGCAGTGTGGAACACGAGTGAACGAATTTGGAACCCGTGCGGTAGCTAGCAAACAGCGAACAGTACGCACAGCACTATTCACTCCTGCAGCTCTTCGCGTACAAGACGTACCAGGATTATCTTCGTTGAGTGGATTCTTCGCCGCCGCCTACTGAATCCCACTCATGGAGTACTCAGAGCACAAGGATGTATTGCCCAGCCTCAATCAGGCTCAAATCACGAAGCTGAAGCACCTCTCATTGGTGTCTTTGGCAATGGAGAGCCGGGTACGTCCGACCACAATGTCATCTAACTATGTAGCTGAGGCTCCTGTGTTGACCAGAAACTACCCTACTCGCAACTGCTTCAGCAGCTGGAGATGCCAACCATCCGTGAGCTCGAGATCTCATCATCGACGCCTTCTACCTCGAGATCATCCGGGGTAAGCTCGACCAGAAGGAGCAGCAGTTCGACGTCGAGTACACTGTCGGGAGGGATGTGGAGCCGGGAAAGATAGAGTCTTTGCTGGCCTCGCTCAAGAACTGGTACGTTTCCCTTGCAGAGTCGGAGGCGCAGCCTGATTTATGCTTCCGCGCAGGGCTGAGACGACGTCTGCCGTCATGACCACTCTCGACGAGAGGCTTGCTGCGCTCACACAGGAGGCCGCGCAGACGAAGGCGAAGCAAGACGCTTACGACCAGCGGTACCAGACGACGCTCAAGGAGGTGCTGGACAAGCAGAAGGAGGCCAAGGCGAAGCAAAGGGCCGCAGCCTACCCCGGCCAGACAGGTCTTACCCCCGCAGGTATCGCGGAGAGAGACAGGCAGCGTGAGCGTGAGAGGCAAGAGAGGGAGGAACAGGAGAGGCGGCAGCGGGAGAAGGAGCAAGGCAAGGACACCGACAAAGACACCGAGGATGATGGCAAGGGTGACAGCATGGATGTGGATGACCCGCCTGAAAGTGGCAAGGGCAAGAAGAAGTGAGTCTTCTGAGGACGATCCTCTAGTGCTGGTGTCCTCATGTGCATGATTACTCTTCGCAGGGCGCCCCACTCGGATGCAGCTCAACGGCAGCAAAGGAAACGCAACAGGCCGTGAGCAGCTTCGCGGCAGCGCCGATGACCTTCATATGCTGTGCACCCCTTCATATGAAATGTACCGTGCTATCCGGTTGTGCCATTGCTTTGTACGCTCGCCTCGTGTCTGTCTGTATAGTATCAGGATGCGGCCTCGCAGATCGTATATAGACCCGACATCCTTCTGGAAGTCAATGGCAACGCATGCAAGAGAAGTTGAATGCACGCGGGATGCTCTGCCGCCTGAGTCGATGCTTCAACACACATGACGCTGTCCTTGAGCCGGGTCCTAGCTCCCTCCGACACTGCGGTGTCCGTGCTGTGCTGAATGAGCTCTGAGAGTAAAATTTGCATACATGCCCCATCGGGTACGCTACGACACGCCGCTAGCCATTCTATCAAGCAGCCTTTCCCTAAGTTGAATGAGATTCATTTGCTCGTCTTGTGCTTTGCGCAGCTCGTGCCGAGCGAGCTCGATATTCTGGAAGAGGGGTTCAACACTCCATCGGCGACTTCGGGTCTGCATGGTAGGCAATCGCGAACTCACAGGAGGAAGGCCCTGGAATGCCGCCACCTTCGCTCGTTTCTCCGCAAGTGTCTTGTCCCTGGCTTTAATTTGCTTATGGAGAGCCGCAAGCTCCGTCACAGTGACTACCGACTCTGCAGGTAGCTCCCTCTGAGACCGGTATGAGCACAGGCCACGGATGCTCATCGATGAAAGCATACCTTGAGGGTCTCCTCTTCCGCCCGGTATTCTTTGATCTTGGCTGCAAGGACAGCTCTCCGCCGTTCCATGGCTGGTACGCTAGCATCCGATGTGGCTCCCCTGTGATGGTATTCTTCCAACTGTAGACGCGTTCGATGCTCAATTCGCGCCAGGAAATGCCAACGACTCACTGTTGTATAAGCGCCTCTTCGTGGCGCATGGAGGCTAAGTGATTCACAAGCTCTGTTCTGCGTGGTGCAGGCGAAGCGACGACCGTCTCGCGGTTAGCTCCTCCATGGATAATGTGTGCATAGCGGCTGAATAGCTAGACATTGGTCAGTCCCTAGAACCTCTTTGATAGTAGCATTTCAGCGGCTTGCCTCGAGAATGACAAGTCATCTACACCAAGCGCATCTGCTATGTCTGTGAGGATTGCTAGATATTGCTGGACCTCGTCGGAGAGCGCACGGTCCTCAGGATTAACGGCGAGCTCTATGACTGTGTTACAGAAAGTCAAATCTCCAAAAATCAGAGCAATTCAATACTGAACGCTCACGTTTCTTCTTGTAGTACTGCGTCTCCTTTTCATCAACCGAGCCACCTGAGTGTTCCGTTTTGTTGAACATCGTGGGCAGAGGGCACGGGAATAATACTCGTATGTACTAGAAAAAGCGTAGGGTCAGTGCGACGCCCTGAGTTCCCAAATACTTGGTGCGAGGCGAATGTATCGTCTACTGCAGTGTTGGCTCATTGGTGTAACCAAGAGCAGGCACTGGCGACGCGTAAGGACGACGCGTTGGAATGGCGCACGTGATCGAGATGATCTCCAGATCGAGGAACGCGAGCGGGGCGCCCGGCTCGGTCGAGGCTACTGTACACTCGCAAACCGACGTCGGTCGTGGACCTCTCCTTAACGAGCGAACAAGCCCTTCTCTGTACTGCCTCTCTGTCACCCTCGCGAAAGCCCTCTAACTCCTCAGGCGTCTGTACCAGCTGGCTCTGTCTAGTCGCCCAAGAACTCAGCGCTTTGTACTATTCGTGTGAGTGTGAACTCGACCGCGCTGGCGCATCCGCAGATTCACACCGGTCCTCCCCCGTCTCCAGTGCTTGTATCCTTCCTGCTGTAGTCGTATGAACTAGACATGACAGAAACGCTCAACGTTGACGAAGCCATCCGTGTCGTAGTCGCGCCGTCGCAGGCCTCCTACTTCGCCGGCGAACCCTTCTCAGTGACAGTCACCTTCACCAACACCCGTACCCCCGATGCGGTCACTCCCCGTTCTGCTTCGCATGCGCACAAACGGAGTGCGCATTCCATTAGCTCTGTGCCTCTGGCCCGCCCTCCTACCTCCCCTGGCATGCTCCGAACCGCTCTACCGGCAGTGCCGACACGCAATGCCGAGTCCAGCGAGGCGTTGACCAGGAAAGGCTTCATAGGCAAGGGTCGCACGCTCAACGGACTGGGTGTCACTCCGGGGGTGGTGGCGGTGCCAGCCAGGAAACCATTGGTGAAGTCGCTCTCAATATCAATCACCTCACATGAACTAGAGGGCGAATCTGTAAAGGGGAAATCACCCCTCAACCCTTTCCGAACAAATGGCTCTCTCGCCGCATGTGAGTCTAGTGCCGATTATGAGAGCGTGTGCTGAATGTCCGTTAGCACCCTCCTCACCCCGCATACCGTCGCCGCTTGCGCGGTCTACCACGTTCCCCATCGCACCTTCTCACCCGCATGCTCGCAAGCAGTCAGTGTTGGACGGTCATGTCCAATTACAGGATGTCAAGCCGCCTGCTAGTCCATCACCTCTGTTTACATCGAGTAACCCATCAAGTTCTTCCCACTCACTATCTCTTGATCCCATAGCAGAGAGCAGCGGCTCTCCGACCACCCTCCCCGCGACGCCGTCGATCTCCTCTCCCGTTCTGCAGAGCGTCCCACCAACTATCCGCTCGCAGATACCTTCGACATCTGGTGCAAACGGCGTCGCGGCGAGTAGACCGCCACAGCGGCGGCCGCCACAGCTGGGGCACGGGCCTCCCCCACTATCAAATCCCTCCATCAACCTTCAACCTCCCCGAACCGCATTCTCCTCCTCATTCCCTGCAGCTAATAGAGAACTCATCCTGTACTCCTATGCACAACTCGTCGGGACGCTCTCGCTGACCCCAGCGCCGGGCGCGATTATGACACCCGAGTACGCCCGCACCCTCAATCACGTCCGGTCCAGCCTGCTCAAGCCGCAAGTGGTCGGGGGCGGGAGCATGGACATGACTCCGCTCCTCAGCCCACAGTCATTCTCGTCGGGACACCATCCATCGTCTAGCAGACCTCGACACGGGCGCAGCAATTCCGTGTCCTCGTCCATCTTCTCCCTCCTCTCGCCTACACCGGCGCCGCAAACCCCGGTGTGGAAGCCGTCGCACCGTGCGCAGGCCCCGTCCATGTTCTCGCTGTTTTCCTCCGCACAACCAGCAGCTCCCAGCGGAGTAGGTCTGGGGCTTGGGCTCGGAACAGGCGGGGCCCCGGCGGCGACGAGGACGTAGACCCGGAGACGCCGCTCCCGACATTCGACGTGCAGCCGTCCCTGCTCGCGGTCGACCTCAGCCTCGCCCCAGGCGAGTCTCGAAGCTGTGCGTGAGTTCTCTGCGCTGGGGACGTCTTTGTTTCGTGCGGCTGATGCTGACACGCGTGGCGGCGCGCAGATACATATAGCCTAGTGCTGCCAGAGAACCTCCCGCCTACGTTCAGGGGCCGGACGCTCAAGCTCTCATACCAGTTCATTCTGGGCGTGTGTCGCGCGGCGTCGAGTGGCCCGACGAGTCGCTCCGGGGCGACGAGCGCGAATAGCAGCAGCAGGGTGATGAAGGTGCCGATACGGCTGTATTGCCATGTCGCTGGTGAGGGTACTGCATAGCCGTGTGGTTCGCCTCGTGATGCTGACGTGCTACTGTATGTAGTTGGGAGGCCGCCTCGGCCATACGATCTACTCTGGCCAGTGGCATACTGGAAGTCGAAGGGGGCGCAGAGCACGGCAAAAGTCGTCGAAGAGCCAAAGCATCCATCCAAGAAACCCGACTTGGTACCTGGAGGTAATGATATTGTCTATCTAAGAGATCCCCATTTGTACCGTATTGACGATGTCCTATACAGCCCCGTCTCGGAGAGAGTGCAGAGACGGCAGCTTTGAGGAGCTGCAAGACTATGCGCAGCATCTCCTCTCATCTCTCCAAGATTCAGATCCGCGAATCAAGCTCCCTTGGAGGCGATCGAGCTTGAGCGGGACCGCGAGCGCGAGGAGGCCGGCGTACTCTCAGGTTGCAGGCAGGCGGTGGAGATCATCACGCGGAACCCCAGGAAGGGTAAGCCGCCCGTCACCATTCTTGCGCAGCGGTCATTCGTGTATTGAGTCGCTCCTGATGACCTGCCCACAGCATCTTATGACGTGAACAAGGACGGGGTGAAGGTCGCCGTATTGACATTCACGAAGTCGGCGTACCGCTTAGGGGAGACAGTGCTGGGAGTTGTGGAGCTCAATGAACGCCCGAGCCGTGCTCGCGTGCTCAAGGTTAGTGCGGTGCCGTCGAGCCACATGTTCGGAACCCTGACGAGTTGTGTCGTTGCCAGCTCTCCGCGATGCTCGAAGCGCACGAGTCGCTGCCGAGCGTGCTGTGTCCCGCGACGGCGTCGCGACAGATGCGGCGCGTGCACGCCGAGCATCACTCGTCGTTCCTGCCGTCGACGCTGCGAACAACGTTTTCGCTGGACATCCCGCCGGACGCGAGCCCCGCGTTCCAGGTCGACGTGGGCGCGGACCAGGGCGGGGGCACGCGCGCCGGCGGTCTCGAGTGGAAAGTCCGGCTGTGCCTGCTGGTGGCGGTTGCGTCTCCGACGGCGCGTGAGGGCCCAGACGGCGTGCGGCTGCGCCAGTTGGTACGCGATGGACCGGGGGGACAATGGGGCTCGTCGTGGAAGGCTGCGTCTAGTATTGCGCCCATGGAACGGCCGGATCTTCGCGCGGAGGCGGCGACGGGGGCCGGGGCGCAGAGCCCAGTCACGCCCAGCACGGCCGCGTCGTGGATATCGTACTTCACCGCGCCGCTAATGGGGCCGGCGTCGACGTTCCACGACGGGGACGAGGATGGGGATGGGAGCGACGAGGGAGGCACGGTGATCGGAGAGAGCGACGAGGGGTGGCGGGAGGTGAAGGCGGAGATGGTCGAGTGCGAGGTACCGATCAGGGTGTGGCCGGGAAACACCGCGTTCAAGGCTACGGAGGTTGTGTTCGATGTTTGACTGTGGACTCTTTTTTTTTTGTTTTTGTTTGTCTTGTTCGTCTGCCCCTGGATGGAATTCTGTGTGGTGGTGTCGTGCGAGCAGACTTGGCGAGTTAACGTTGCGCCGTGGGGAGAGCCGACATGTCGGAGACTCTGGTGTATACTCTGATGCTAGCGGTGCAGCTGCCCATTTCTGATATCCCCCGTCGCCGACACGTCATGTTAGAAGCGCAAGAAGGGGGTCAGCAGTATGGGCGTGTGAGGCCCCCGCGAACGAGCGTGTCCGTGCGCGTCGATGTGGGGGATAGCTCGGCCGTGCGTCTCACGGGCGATATGGAGTGGGTGGGCGTTGATTGAACGGGTCGGGCGAGCATGCTCTGGTGCGGTCAGCTGGTGGGCGGGGCCACGGGGGGCAAGGAGCAGCGAGCCTGACCAGCCTTCGTGCTATTGAGAATGATGCGGCCGTGGGAGCCGGTGCTGCAGCGACTGCTGGTCGAGTGCAGCCACCTGGACGCGCGAGCCTTGTGACCACCCGATGGCCCGATCGGGCTAAGGGGCGCCTGCGGGGGCAGCGACTGGTGACCCCGCCTGGTCTGCTCGCCGCCGCCCCGACATGCGCTCCTGACATTCCTATATCCTTCGCCCCCATAGACCTTGTAGCCCGACTCGCAGCTCCCGACGATTCCTGTAGCCCATCACTCAGCCCGTAGACGCGTCCCGCCACCTCGACCTCGTCTAGACTCTGCCCGGCCGCATAGACCTACCGCGCCCCGTCTCAACGTAACGTTAGAGCAAACTTTTCACGATCCCATTCCCAGTGCGAACCAGCCCGCCTGTGAGTTGCCTGAAGCGTCGTCAACGACCATCGTTCAACCATGGCTGACTCGTCTCTTGTGGACAGACGCGTTACCCCTGTACGCCTCACGAACCGAAGGGACATTGACTTGCAGGCCACTGCATACCCCCTGCATCAACCTTCCCGTTTGCACACCCGGTGACCACACAGATTGGGCACCAGCTTCCACGCTTCGGCAAAGCAGCGATGGCGTCCACGCAGGGCAATCACCAGCAGTACAGCTCAGACGACGCAGATCGCAAGAACCGCTTCCTCTCTGACCATGGCACGGACTCCCCTAACAGCCTCCGCGAGCGCGCAGCTAGTCAGCCGCCAAGAAGTACTAGTCAAGGGTTCACGTCTTCCCCTGTGCAGCCGACGAGGAACCCCTCTGGGACCGCCTGGCCTCGTCTTTCCGGTCTCAATCCTAACAGCATCAACGGTGCCCTTCCCTCCTCAGTTCCCACGCGAAGCGTATCGTTTTCTTCCTCTCCTCCCAGCCTCGCTTTCTCCTCCGCTATGCGTGACTCTCGCTTTGCCTCAACCTTCGAGGACGACGAGTCTGAGGCCCTGTCCGACATCCAGGACTACGACCCCTACGACCCGTACATCGACGATCCTTACCGCCGCGCCTCCATGTCCAACACGCGCGGGCGCACCTACGCGGCGGACTTGACGCGAAGCAGGTCGCAGTCACTCGCAACCGCGCGCCCGGGCGCATTGGGCGGCAGCCTGTCCGCCCATGGTCCGTCCGGCCTCTGGAGCCATAACTCGCTCAGCGGTGCGAAAGACATTCCCGGATCGCGGTACGGCGACTTGAAACCTCCAGGGAGCAGTCGCTACGGCTCGTTGGGAGCACTGGGTAGGTCTTCCTCCAGCGGCTACGGCTCAATAACAGACCCGTCGAACATGAGCCCCTTCCGCCGAGACGTGGGCCAGATCCTGCTGGACGACGGCTCCGCCTTTCGAGAGCTGTATTCGATGCACCCCCGCGCGACGAGAACGGCGGTGGGGGAAGCGGGACGACCAGCCGACGTCATAGTGTGAGCGTGGTCCAGCCGCGAAGGCCGACTATTGTTGGATTCAATGCGCCAGGTGGAGATGGGCCGGAGGAGATGTCCCGCCCCGGGCCTTTCCACTCTGCTTCCTTCGCAGGCGGTGGGGGCCTGCTGCTCACGGACGATGATCTCGCGAGCGACCTAAATATGCTCAACCTCCGCGACGAACCTCGCACGTCCTCGTCGATGCAGCCCCCCAGTCAACCGTCGTCGCTCCCCATATATGCGCCTCTCTCCCGCAGCCCACCCTCTGCCGACCGCCTCTCGCCGTACCAGCCGCTGCACCTCAACATCCCCGGCAACTCGTATGTGTCTCGCCAGTCGATGGGCTCCCCGAGCGAGAGCGGGCTCTCAGGCGGCAGTCCTGGCCGCGGGCATCTCGACAGCATCGGTCGGGACAGTGGGTACGCGAGCCTCTCCGGCGAGACCTCCCGCCAGGCGACGCAACTAGCACGGTTCATCCCCGGGCAAGGCATCCAGAACATCCCCGAGCAGAGCATGCTGCAGACGCCGCTCTCGCCCGTCGGCGTGCGCGCGAGCCACTACGCGGCGGCCCCGCAGATGCAGCGGCGCGGGTCGGACGCGGCGCCGGGCAAGGCGATGGCGGAGCTCGGGCGGGGCGTGCCGCTGCACGCCGTGCCGACGTCGTGGCCGCTGTACATCGTCGAGTTCAAGGCGGGGCGCACGGACCTGTTCTACAGCACGGACGTCGCGCCCGACATCCGCGCGGGCGACCTCGTCATCGTCGAGGCGGACCGCGGGAAGGACCTCGGCAAGGTCATCAACGACACGATCACCCTCGCGGAGGTGGAGGCGTTCCAGAAGCAGCAGAAGCTGATGAACTACGCGGACGTGCATGGGACCCCCACGAGCCCCACCGCGAGTGCGCCGCCCGCGGGCAAGGAGATCAACCCGAAGAGGATATACTGCAAGGCGCAGCCGCAGGATACGCAGTGAGTGTGGACTGTTCGCATGCGGAGCGTGAGGTGCTGAGTTGTCCCGCAGAGTGCTCGCGACGAAGCTACAGGACGAGAATAAGGCGCTGGAGCTCTGCAGGAACAAAGTGCGACAGAGGAAGCTGCCGATGGAGGTGGTCGACGCTGAGTACCAGTGGTATGCTCGCTTGCTTGTCTGTTGCTGGAAGAGTTGTGCTGAGGGGCATGCAGGGATCGCCGGAAGCTGACGTTCTACTTTGTCGCCGAAAAGAGGATCGACTTCCGTGAACTAGTTCGGGAGCTATTCCGGTACGTGTACGGACTCTGTCCCCTGCAAATCCTGCTGACGCGCGCTCGCAGATTGTACAAAACGCGGATCTGGATGGCCTCGCTCGGCGGTCCTGGAGGTTACGAACAGTGAGCAAGACATCCGAACGACCGTCCCGTCCGTGACGACAATATGTACGACAATCATCCATGTTCCCCCATCAAACCTATAGGCCGGCATCTAGATATGCACATATATATTGTATTGGGTTATACCTTCGCTTGCTGTCCAGTGTACACCCCTTTACCCGCTCGCCCCGCTGCGTCTCCTGCTGTGTCGTCTCGTACGCTTGCGCCTACCACACCCATTCAGACATGCCTGGACTCACCGTTTCGGGTTTCTCTTGTACAACAGTATTTATTGTCTGGTTTCCGTACATGGCGGCGGACACTGCAGAGACGTGCGGGCGGACCTGACCTGGAGTCCTACGGGCTGCCTGCAACAGAGTAAACGATGTATTTCTAGTGTACAATAAATGTCCAAATATCCTCGTCATAGTCAGTGCAGTGTGGTGTTGGCGCGAGCAGAATGGTTTGGCCTATAAGAGAATGAGAAAACATGCAGAAGGAGGCAGGTTAACAAGCCGGAGAGGGCCACCCTTCGAAAGCCGCACTTGCACAAAGATCAGGTAGCGTCATGCGGGGTTCCACCTTGCATGTTGTAGGTAACGGACTTGAAGTTCTGTTGGGGACCGGCACCGTCTTGAAGTTCGTCAGAGTGTCGTGGGTGATACGCAATGCGCACATCCATTGCAGAAAGATGGGCAGCTGAGAGCATTTCAGGACGGACGTCGCGGTCGCATGGCGCAGGATCACCTGTAGGGCTTTGGTGCGGCTGTATGAGCAGGCGTGGGCATCGCCAGATTGGTATGATGCTCAGTGAGGGACTCGGTGAGTTGATTGACACAGCCTTCGTGCACGACGAGGAGGTCCAGCGACGGCAGCTCCCCAGCAAACGACGCAGCTGCAGCGGGCCGCAAATAACCCGGTCCGTCCACCCCCCGCCTATCCATAATTCTCGTATCTGACGGTCGGAACTAGGTCGGGGAGGCTCAGCAGCGAGATGCCCTGAGGGTGCCGGGCGACATCTGGAGCCGAATGCCCGTGTGCGATCCGACCGCCATCAGAATCACGTCCCCCTCGGTGGTATAATTGATGCTCAGTTTCGACACGTCGCCGATCATGGGCAGATCGAGGAGCTTGACCGACAAGATACTCGGCCAGGACTTGTATCGAGTGATCCTGACGGCGGCTTGGGGGTTGAGCGCCACGCGCGCCAGGATCCAGTTGACGCAGGAGGCTGAGAGCCCCTCGAAGACCACCCTGCGTGCGTGATCGAGAGGTGCCCGGACGCTCGGGGGCGACGAGTTGTCGAGTTCCCCGTCCCATCTGCTCTCCTCGTACGGGTCCTCCAGACAGATGTCCACGAGAAGCGGACTGCTGCGCAGGAGGTGAACGAGGCCGTCAAGGACGGTGAGACTGAAGCAGTCGTTGATATGGAGGGAAGTCAGGAGAGGAAACTGGTTGGCGGGCATGCAGTATATCTCGTCGAGGGACAGGACGCGGAGTGTGAGGACCTCCAGGTTCGGGACAGGGAAGGTGGCGTGGAGCTTCAAATCCTCGACCGCGATGTTGTTCCAGTGCAGCTCCCGGAAGCGGGTGGAGTTGGAGGATATGAGAGTCGTCATGAAATGACTAGGCGAGTTCTCCAACGATACGTGCAGAGGAGCAGAAGCCGAGCGCTGGGAGAACATATGCCGCGTTCGTGTGCATGAATCGGAGATGCGATGCCAGAGCGTAGGCGTGTTGAGAGCGACCTCCCGCCAATGGCGGCAGACATGTGCCAACGTGATAACGCTTCTCGGCCGCAAGACCCACAGTCGAACAGATGGCAGGGGCCCGTGCGTTCGTATTCTATAATCGGGGCGTATTGGAAACCGTGGAGAGGATTTCCTCGGCAACACGTTGACGGGGCATCGTGAATTCCGGGCACGGCGGACGAGCGCACTTGACGATGCCAGGAAACGTTCCAGGTCTCCCAACTACATCGGGCATTCTAAGCGGGAACAGAGGCACTGCGCTGATATAACCTTACCGTCACATTGCTGCAGCATCTTCTAGAGTCATTCCTCAAGCTCGACGTCAGGTGCGTACCTCATAGTCCAAACGTCTTGCTCCAATCGGACCAACAGTATATTACCAACTGCTGTATCGTTACTTCGACTTCGGGACATCCTGGGAACCCAATTCGTGCTTCAGTGGCCATTTGCTGCGGCGATGATGTCAATCGACTACAACAGCGCCCCCTGGAGGGTAAGAGAACGTACCAACATATTGTTCCAACTCTTGAAAAGGCGCTGCTAAGGAGGCGATTCGCGAAGGCCAGAGGACTTCGCGGCAAGGATGGGATCAAGATTCCATCCAGGCGTCGTGATATAAGGCCTAGCGACCTACATGCTGTGAGCTCGGGCGCGGCCTTATTTGCGAAGACACAATCCGAGATTGCAAACCCTGTCTATCCACGCAGGCCCTCCTATGACCTTACCGCTGCCCTCCAAAATCACTGCCTGTTGGTCACTCCGTGAGAGGCGTCACATAGCAGGGGCAGGGATTGGAGACATCGTGGCTGATCCGCACGTCAAGATTAACACGAGTGTGGAGCACTGTTCTCAATCTTGACAGGCCGGCGACGCGCGGTCGTGCAAATCATGTCCCCGTTTGTCGGAGGCTCCAGTGGACCCGAGTGCAGTATGGTGCATCTGTCGGATGCGTCTTTGAGTAAGCCCGTTTGGCATGGATATCGCCGATGAGGCCAAGAGCATATCTGTGTTACGGCGGGTCAAGACCTGCGTCCAAGAATCTGCACGTACACTAAAGTGAATACATCAGCTGACAGGAGGCGATTGCATGCACGCACAGCTTGTGACGGGGAACACTTCGTCCACTGAGATCAATCTCATATTCACAGCGGCACAAAACCTGGATGCAGATACAATCAGAAATTACCCTGACAGAGAAAAGATATTTACGTGCAGTAAAGTCAATAGCGCTGCGCAGTGAGAACGTTCGAACAGAGAGCGGTACAGCATGGACCAGGAACTCCCGAAAGGCCTGCCAAATTCGCGTTCTCATGTCAATGTCAAGATGTCAGAGAGGCAATATACACCGGCGTGCGGCGGCGCTTAGTAGCACAACGACATACGGCTACATTCGACGAAAGACGTTCTCCAATGTGCAATGTCATGACAAGACTCGAGTGTTCTGTGGGGCAAGTTATGTATCTGTAGCCTGAGTACCGACTCACGGATGTCTCCGGCGAGTAGCTGGACTCCGCATTCCTGGAGGATCAATTGACGAATCACTTGGGACCAAGACATTCCGACGGCCACCGCTATGACTGGAAAGATCTTCGGAATCTCCCATGCACCATAATTGTCTCTGATTTGAATAGGCAAACTGAGCGCACCGGAACGCACATTACGAGTGCTGAGCTCCTAGGGCACTGAGCAGTTCATCGAGCTGGTCTCGGAGTCTCAGACCACGCTAGATACAGTTTTGTTCATACTAAGCTTAGGGCATTGTCTGTGAAGGTGCTCACCATGCACACTGCACTAGCACTAGCATTTGCACTGTTGCACAGGCACATGATCTACCTGAACGACCTGAACATTGTGACAGCCGCACGGTTGCCGGCGAAAGAGGCGCTCTTGACGCGGTCACCTGATCTATGGATGTGGCGCACTGCGCAGGCGCGTCCGTTTCCCCGTCAGCGCGCCGTACATATTGCCACCTGTTTGTAATGAAAACTGGTTGCCTCACGGTACCGATGTGAATTGCCACACAACGCTTACCCAGGCTATCAACGGCCAACATGGCACAAACACTAGTACACGACTCGGGGCCTAGAAACGCAGCTTTGGATTCCCAACGCTTCCAAACCCACTGAGTCTAAGTATGCGCACTAATCCGGGTTTCCACCCGCGTCACCGCTACTACTCCTACTACTAATATCTACTAAAGTACGACTACTCGGACAGCGGAACAAGGTATACAGCTGGCAATATTACGCGCGAAGGCAAATGAGGGTGAGAACGCTCCGCCAGGAGGAGTCGATATGGAGTCACTACTGTACACATAACAGACCGAATAACTGAAGAGAACGTGCGGATAACAGTAAGACCGCGAGAAAACGACGGTTGCGAGGTACAGTGGATGAGTGTTTGCAAAGAGAAAGAATGACAGGGAGCCCAACGGCTCCGATTTAAAGTTGCGGTAATAAGGATAACTTTGTTCGAACGACGAATTCCCTCGCGAGAAGAGATTTCGGGGAGCTGATTGCGAGGCGGTTGCAATAACGACAGAGCAGGCTCAGACGCTTTTCCGCGTCGACTCGACGCTCGATCTTGCGCTGAAGAACATGCCGGACTCGGTGCTGGACTCCGAAGTCCCCGTAGTGTGTCGGTCCCATTCGCCTTCAGCCTGCCCGATAGTGAGTGTCAGGTCAATATCTTCGAGGGGCTTCTTCCTGTGATCAACGACAGGCACGTCGACGCTCAGGAACGACCGCGTGGAGATGCTGGGCGGGGAGTAAGGGCGTCGTCGTCTGCGTCGAAGGCTCGGTGCTATACAGCAAAAAACACGCGCATTAGAATGTATCAAAACGCCGCGAACACGGAACGAACACACCTCTTCAGTAAGCAACGCCGACGCCGGGATCTGGATTCGCTCCATCTCCTCCCCCGACAGGACGAACGACTCTTCAAACGCCTCCGCATACTGCACATCGTCTTTCACGACAATTCCTGAGTACACACCGGAGTCCTCCACCGACTCGTCGCCCAGGGACGTCTCCACCGTCACCGGCCTTCGCGCCAAGCTGCCCATTCGGCGATCCGTCGCTCAACCCGCACACGAGCGGAAATGGCGACGAAGGGCGCTGAACTCTGGGAGACGGCTCGGACGCGGACGTACGCACCGACGCCTGGCGCTTGGTAGTCGCAACCGGGATGGACTCCGCGTAGCGGGCATACCGCGCGTGTGCAGACGGTGGGAGAGACGCACTCGTCGACGAGCGGAACACCGCGGCCTTTGGAGACGCGCCTACGTCCAGGGTGGCTCGTTTGCTGGGACTTCGCGGGGCGACATCGCGAGCAAGAGTGGCTCAGCGCTAGCGTCGGGCATCGGCGAACCGAATACGAACGTCGCGTCCACGTCCACATCTTTCAACCCCTGATGTTCCGCGGATTCGGTGAACGAAGAGCGTGACGATACGGACTCGGTCGACATGGAGAACCTCGATACAAGGTTAGCCCGGGTTCTTGCTGCTGGTCCGGCAAGGAGGGGAGACTGCGGGACGTCCGTTCCCCTGACAGGGTAGATCGAGCACGAAGATGGGAACTCGTATACGGGTGACCTCGGAGACGGCGACTCCATCAGAAACTCTGGGAGTCGTCTCCGTCCAATGGAGCCGCGTCCGCGAGCCCTCGAGTACACTTGAAGGACGTCTGCCTCCTCCGTCACGTCTTCCGGGCTTGCGTCCTTGAAGTCCCAGCCTTGCTGCGCGCTCCTCGCGTTCCTCGCGCTCCTATCGTCTTGCCGCGAGCCTCTGCGCGAGCCATACCTGGCAGCCGGTGAGATGGCCTTGGAGTCACGTCCGTGCTGAACCTCGCGATCGCTACATCGCCTTTGGCGAAAGGGTCCGGCTCCGGGGTCAGCACACGTCCGATCTTGGACGTATCCTCTTCGTACATGGCACCGTGTCCGTGCTCAGACGGCGTGTAGATACGCCCTACGGTCGATGAGGCGGGAAACGCAAAGCCTCCAGTAGGTGTTACAGGCGACCACGTGCGGCCGAGTCAGTCGACGACGGCGAAGAGTCGGCGGTGGCCGTCGTGATGGCGAGACTCAACTTGGAGCGGGCTCGCAACTTCGCCTTGGTCTGGAACATCGATGCGATGCGCTCGCTGAGACTCGATGTTGATCTCGTAGATGCCTGAGGATCCAAAGTCATCGTTAGAATCACGCCACGTCGGAGGTACAAAGAAATTGAAGACCATCTACATGCAGGTCAGACGCATACAGCCGGTGCTGATGCTCTGGTACCCGTCTATATGCGCCTGCACTGCCCATAGCATCCCGGGGCGACAAGAGGCAATGATCCTTGTTGTACAGTAAGAAAGCACGCAAAGGTTGTGTCAACGACAAGAAATTGCCATCTAGCCCATCTGACGGTTCAAGACACGATACCAGATGCCAAGACAGCGTGGCCGTCAGATGGCTTGACACCACCGGTCATCACGATCATAGTAAAGATGCAAACAGCATCCAACCCCAGTGTCGGTGAACACGAAGTGTCACTGTCCGGCATGCAATCGGAAACATGAGAGGTCCAAATACTCACCGTGGTACTCGTCGTGCATGTGCTCGTCGCACTGCCCCTCCTTTCGAATACGTATGCGGGGACATCCAACTCCCCGTCCTCATCCGCTCCGGAGTCTGGCCTACGGCCAGTCAGCGAACTTGGCAGCGGCGGGACGGGTGGCGGATCCCTCGGAGATGTGAAATACTCCTCCGTGTCCATCATCGTCCAGTCCAGAGCGACCTGCGGCTGGGCTCCTGCGGGGCCGTTCGCTCCCGTTGTACATCCGCCCTTGGACTTCTTCCCGCGGAAGATGCTCGTGGATGCGCTCTTCGCTTTGCGCAAAGGCGGGAGGCGCGTGTGTATGCGCGACTGCGCCTGAGCATTGGCCGGCGGGGCGGGCGTCGAGGGGCGGCTATATGCGGGTGGCAGCGGGCTCCGCTCAGAATATCCTGTCGCCTCGAAGAATGAGGGCAAGTCCTGGGTATCGGGTAGCGCGGGGGCGCTTGCCTGGGACGGACTTGCGGAAGAAGCGCCAGGTTCGCGCTTTGGTAATTTCAGAAATGAAATTGGGCCGGTGAGGCTCTTGGTGCGCGACCGGGAGCGGGAGAGAGCGAGATCTGGGAAAGGCGAACGCGTGCGTGGGGTGGGAATGGGAGTGGGCGGACGGGACAGGAACGCGTATGATGAAGCGGTCAGATTGGACTGCAGAGTGCGCTGAGAGCATATGCTGGGACGCGCAGAATGGTTGGCTCCCTCCGACGGCAGGGTGAGGTGGGTATTAGCCGGACGGAGGACAGCCGACGCGCGAGTGCGGACATGGCGCAGCACGCTGAGCGCGGAACGCGACTTGGGCGACTGCTCTGACGGCATTGGAGCCTTTGCGCTGGAACGCCTCGCCTTCCGCGGGGAACCCGCGAGGTGGCCGTCGTCCGTGTCAGCGTCGAAGCAGCTGGAGACAGGGGAGGGAGGCACGCCCGACGCGCCTTGCGAGAGGGGGAGAGACGAACCAGGCTGGAGGGCCAGGTCGGAGCGCGAGGAGGAGGGGGCGGGGACACAAGGTTAAAGGCAGTCGAAACGAGGTCAGAGAACTCCTGAATCGAGAAGTGTGACGGGCGTTCGCGCGAAGAGGGGTTTCTGGAAAGGGAGATCGAAGCCATGGTTTCAGGAAAGACTGGTGCTCTGATAACGACGGTGGGGGTGCGGACTAGTGGGATGGTGGTGGTGTAGAAGAAAGAGAGGTAGCTGGCGGCCGTCGTGCGACAGCGGCTTGATAAGTGGCGAGGGGAGGGAGGGGAGTGCCGAGCAGCGCAAGGAGCAGCGGGGGTTGGAAATGGGATGACGCCCGCCATTTCTTATGATGAAGGGAGAGCGCCGACGGATGACAGAGGCGTCCCGCCGGCATGGCCCACCGACGTCGCGCGCGGACACGGCCCATATCTGTCCACATTGCCCCTCTGCCACAGCTCGTCCCACGTCAACCCGATCTACAGCGCCTGCCATTCTCGGCGGTGGCGCACCCGTTTGCGGAAGGCGTGCTGCGACGCGAGTGGCTGCGTCACTCCCCACTCTGTGTCCCGCTGTCAATTTAGGCCCACTTCGGAGGAGAGTGCGCCGAATCCAGCCCCCGAAGCCGCCGAGTGGCGTCTTCTGCGCCGGGCTGCGAGATGTCCGGACGCCGTCCAGCGGATTCCGGCGATCGATCCTCCACCCTTGCGCGGTGCGCCATGCAGCAGAAGCGTCGCCCGCATTCCAGGCGCACCCTCCGTACAGAAGCACTCGCCCGCCTTGCTTCGCCGTCACCATACGCCTCGCAAAGCGGTCAGCAGTCAATCAATCGTCAGGCTGATACACACACACCATGAGACGACATTCTCACCGGTCGTTGGTACCATGTTTCCCTCGGCCTGGCCACCCGTCGCATGGTTTGTTTCAGCGCGCCGCGCAAGCGTTGTTACTCAGTCGTCGTCGTAATGTCGGACTAACATTGTCAAGTTCGTCAGTCGAGAGCACCGGCGGCAACGTCGATCGTTGACAGTTACATCGCCACGCGGATAATGGGGTCAAGCACAGAACAACCCCTGCATTTTGCCAGAAAAAGCGAATCAATGAACCCGCCCGTGGATCATGCATTACACCCAATATATGCGTCTTCCAGGCTGGCTTACTTACCTTGTGGTCAGTACTGTGGGTACACGTTGGACTTCGTCTGCACGAAGACCTCTTCCCTCACTTCTGATCCAGTTGCCATTACTCGCGGATCGTGAGCGGCGAGACGTCACGCGTCATGAGTCGATCTGCCAAATACTCTTCGAAAGACTGTTAACGGCTGCCAAAGCATAGCAGAGAGGAATACGTACATTGTCAGCGCTCGCTGCACACGGTTGCAACAAGCAGCGCACCACGGCCTCGGAGTGTTTGAGGACGTTGGCGCCGCAGCTACGCACAGGCAACTGAGCAGATAAGTTCCGGACGTTTGACCGCTGAACAGCCGTACATAAGTAACCGAGTCCGGCGCACAGCCAACGGAATTATGTGTCTCATCTCTCTCGTAACACCGCATTATGGATGGAAGAGCGTTGAAGCAAGTTGGGGCGACTTCGGTACGCGCAGACGTTTTCAGCGTTAGGTGTATCTTCGCTACGTTCTATGCTTACAGACAACGGATCACAGAAGCGAGTGAGAGTACCGTATAAGCGGAGGCTTCAGTGTTCGGACCGCTTTCGCGACACGGCAAATCACTTGCACAGACGACGGATCGGTAGAATGAATATCCGGATGCGAAGACTACTATACACAAGCTATACAAGATCCAGTGTACACCTGTGATGACATCAGCCACCTGCTAGCGAAGATGGAAGGGTCATACCTAGAGCGTGAGACAGGATGCGGGAGAACAGGATCATCATGAACCCATGCGAACTGGAATCAACAGCGCAAGTTAGCAAACGTATTCGAGACTCGGTCACGTGCACCACTTGAGAATGCCCGCCACCGCCTCCTCCAGCCGCAGAATGCTCATGTCGGAGGCACACCCAGCCACTCACCCTTTGCCTTCAGCGCATACATGAACGACGCGAGCGCATCCACCTCCTTCACCGTATGCTCCCTAAAATGCCTCTGCGCGACCTGCGCAAGGACACCGTGCACCTCATGCACGTCCGCCAGGACGGGCACGACAGGCTCCACGCCGCTGTCCTCGACCACCGCGCACTCCGCCTGCGCGCGGGCACCTCGCGCCGCGGACGGTTCGCAGGCGTGATGGGGAGCGACGGCGCGGGCGACGCGGTCGACGCGTGCCGCCGGGGCTGACTCCGCGGGCGAAGAAGCGCCGAGGGTGGCGAGGGGTCGTCCGGGCCCAGCGGCGAGGGCTCGACGTCGGGGACGAGGTCGTACTGCATGAGGTACTCGAATACCGCCGCCGACGGGAGCGCGAGAAGTCGATCTGCGCGAAGGGCGGTAAGCGGGCGGTCAGCGGAGACGTGGGGTGCGCACGCACCAGGTTGATTTTCCCCTCCCCGTTCGCCTGGTCCTTCTTCCCGCCGGTCAGCCCCGAGCTCCCGCTGGCACTGTGTCCCGCAGCACTCGACGCTGCGCCTGCGGTGGCGGAGGCGTCGACGCGCTTCCGCTTCGCCCGCGGCTCGCCGTCCGCCCGCTCTCCCGCCACCCGCTTCACCCCCACCGCGGACGCGGACGGTGGCGCATGATACGCTGCGTCGTCTGCGTGGAGTTCTTGCGTGACGCTTGTGGCCGAGAGCGGATGCTACGCTGACATGTTGGGGCAGCCCCAGAGGCGGGGGTCCCTGCGCCGCCGTGGGCTGCAGATGTGGGCGGTGCCATGCTTGGTTGTCTAGTGAGGCAGGCCTGTTTTTGTGAAGGCTTCGTTGTACGGGTGGGCGTGCGGTCTCGAAGTTCCCCAGATGGATATACTTGAGTGAGCGCGAGAGCATGCGGTGGGAGACGAGGCACGGGGAACTTCAAGTTGCAGCGCCGGATGTAGTCAGATCTAGATCGGGGAGCGCGTTGTGGCGCGTCTGGGCGCCAATAACTCCGATTGTCTTATTGAACGAACGGCCAGTGGTAGCCTCGTGAGGCTGCGAACGCCTGTACTCGTCTTTGGCGTAGGTTTATTACATATGTCCTCCTGTGCGACTACTCGCCGTTCCGCTCGGACGATCCGGCGGAGCTGATCCGCAGCGACTGCTGCGCGGGCTGAGTTCCACGAACGGTATTGGAGCAATATCTCAGAAGAAGGCGAGTGCTATGATGACTTCTATGGACATTCTCTCCAGAGGCATGCTGACGCGCCCTCTTTGTTGCAGCAAAGGATTTCAGTCGAGTGCTTCTCGACCCTGACCCAACTAAGCGGCCGACAGCGGAGCAGGCACGCAAGCACAAGGTAGAACCTCCATTGTCGATTATTCCCTTCATTACTCACTACACTGCCGTAGTGGCTCACATGACTCTTCGCTTCGTTCGAACACGATCTCTCTGGCCTGCGCGAGTCGTTCAACGTTCAATACTCAACCCCCGCGCGCGAGGGAAGGCCGCGATGAACAGGGCGGTTGCATTGCAGCGCCTCGGCACGCGCGCGAGCTCTGGCTCAGGCGGGTGGCGCATGACGAGCCGGGGCAGCACGCTGCTCGACAGCGACGGTGAGGACGATGTAGAAGTTCCCAGGCGACACGTCCTGCACAGTGCACTGGCCTGAGGCCTGAGCGCTGAGCCTCGAATATACGGCTCCTTTAAACGTGACAACGTCCGCCGCGCTGTTGCCCACCGGCAGTCGCTCTCCTCATAACGCATTCTCAGGCTCGGGCTTTGTCGACCTCTTGATGTACAGACGGTGCATCTCAACAACTGTCAAGCGGTCATGGTGTGCCACTGGCATGCGAGATAATTAGATGCATACCACGCATTTGCTGGAGAACTGAGTGCTGATCCCCATACGGCTCCGTCCCCAGATTGCAACCTCGTATGGTTCGGTCCAGAGAATCCCCGCTCCGAGAATGCCGGTCCGGAGATCACGTCTCCTTATGGAGGTCAAGCTGTTTTCTGATGAACAACAGCCAAAGTATCCTCCGAGTTTTCACAGTGTTGAGTCAAACCGGATGGCCGAATCGACACTACTTAAGGGTGAGGTGGAGATGCGGCTGGGAAACCTATGTCAAACCACATTCCGGCCCACTTATTTGTCTCCCCTCTGGAACTCCCGGATACTCTGACTCTCAGATATGCGTATGAGAACACTGGCTCGTCCTGCCAGTATAGTTCTCCATGCTCTCCTTGCCGTGCGCATGCTGTAACCTTGGGCATTTGGGCACTCAGGGCTGAACACTAATTGTCCTGACTCCTGTACGAGCCCAAACGATGCCAACGGACACATCGCTCGTGTTGCAAGCCATAATCATCGTGAGTAAAGAAGCTTCGAACAGACTAGTGTTGCCTTTGATCCTGGATGCACCGACAGCCTTACACTGCTTTGCTTGTCCTGCTGACTCAATACATGGCATTGCGGAGTTTGCTCACGGGCAAACACACTCTTACGGCTGTGCAGGATGTCGCGAGCGCTGGACAGGATTGGGAGCTGCGCTAGTGAACATGTGGAGACAATTCATCTCCGTCCTCTTTCCTGGGGATAATCACAGTAACCATCTACCTCGTGTGCATCTCTACTCTGCACATCACGACACCCTCCCTGCTTTCCGTGCAATCATTCAATCTTACGGACGCAGGCACGGTTCCGGTGACCGTTGGTATGCCTGTGGTAAACAACTCGTGAGTTTTCGGTCGTTCGTCTTCGTGCGCCTTGTAACTAGGACCATCCAGGGCATCTTCACAATCTCAAACACAATTATGGGGACAGGCGGCCTCGTTCCTCACGTACGGCAACACCAATATACAATATTTGTCGACTATAGGGCTCGCCAACAGTACGATATACGACACCATCCGCCCTGGAGGTGGCCTAGTCGAAGTCACCGTGAATGCAACTACCGCGAATGTTACCTGCGGATGCATACCAAACGCAACAGCCATACTAGTGTCGGACTATCTACTGATGGTGGACGCTGTATATGGCCGTTATCACTTCACTGTTTACACGGACCCTGGGGTAAGATACACAAATCGTGATGGATCGTAATTATCGCTGATGAAGCCTGGGGATTTGTTGAACAGATCTCAAGGATGGGCCCGGGGCTGGCCTGGTGTACGTGACAATGCTCAATACAACTTGACGGCACCGTGAACGAGACAGCCTTGTCTGTACCTATGTGCGTATCGTATATATAAATTTCATTGGCAAAGCCGAACATTCGGCCAGGGACGCAGTGCGCTATTTTTGACGACTCTGAATGTGACTGATGACGAAGAGCAGGCGATCTCGACTGTCAAAGGCAGGTGCTACATATCGCACGCAGGGAGTATTGAATCTCACTGATATGTAAGGGAACTACAATGGATCTTCCAGCTTACCTCTTCAGCTCCTAGGATGCACCTTAGGGTGGACAAAAGGAGTCGTTGTGGTTGATGGCGCCACAAGGCAACCTGCCGCATCGCTCAGTGGCACAAATTTCGACTTAGATAACCGACCTTCGATACGTACTACATGGGAGCCTGATTTAACGACCGATTCGACGCAGGTTGATGACTCCGATTCGGTACGCACTCTGACGTTTCACTTTGCAACTGCACTGAACCATGGAAGTGGGCTCTATGTTGTTCTATTCTGGGTCCGACTCAGTATTCATCGAGGGGCTAGGCCCGCTAGGGAGCCTAATGCCGATTTCCTCCGAGTCGATATCCTATCAAGAGGCACTTTGGCCGTTCCGTAGGTACATGGACAATGGACAGCGGCAAAACTCATGTCTCGCAGATACTTAGAAGAAGTGCTCGGACTTGCAACTTTCAACGGGACGCATGCAGTCAGATTGACGGCATTCGAGGCGGCTTTGAGTGAGTGTCTCTTTCATCGTGCAGCATACATCCGAACGGGCTGCTCATGACGTGTAGGCAAGATGACAGCTGTTACATATTGGTCTGGTACGAGGCCTCATGCTGGTGTGGATTACGAACCGACTAACGCAAGACATCTATCCCTTACTAGCCGCACATTTGGTGGACCCAAGCAGCCAAGCAGACCCTTGACGATCTCTTCGGCACCGCCAGGGGTTCATAGTATGTTCATCTCAATGTGAGTGGCTCATCGTGTTCATAGCTCTCTACGTGATATGCAACATTATGACAATCGGGCATACCAGATCAATGTCATACAAGTCAGTAACCCTCACGATGTTACATTACTGCATCATTCACGCCGCATTCAGGTCGCGGTCGGCCTCGGAGCCTCGAGCAAATGTTGATAATTACGATGATTCTAGCTCTGAGAACTGCAAGAAGTCACCGCTTGTCGACGAATTCGTCCCATGCACATCATCTGGCTCGTCACAACGAACCGACACTGAACCAAAGAATAGCGGGGATAGAGGTACCATCCACGGAGCTTCTAAGGGCAGCGGGATGACGGATCTGGGATCCTTCAGTCAGCCCGACGTACTCACGGAGACGGAGTACGACAAGTCGGAGCAATGGCAGGACGGTGACTCGCATATGTTGAGTCAGAGTCAGGGAAGGCACAGGGAGAACTGGGTGTATACAGCCGTACGTGATGCGTGAAGGTCATGGGCCGGCCGTGCACGCGCTAAATATATGCATCTGCATAGTAGCCCGGTACGGCACAGTACGGACGCGCGCGCACCGCGAATGAACTATGTTGAAGGACCTCAGGGTCGTCCATTGCGAGGTAGAAAAATCACTCGAAGGCAATATTAGACCATTGTTATGATTTCTTCTGATTTAAACGAGGAATCAGGTCCTAGCTTCCAGAACACCGTTCTCAGATGATCCCTCCACATACTCCCCATACCACCTCCGCTCGCGTCTATATCACTGCGGCCTATCTTCCTCTGCACTATGAGGCTCGGAACGACGGAGAAGCTTTCAGCTTGCCACTGAGGATGAGCCACGACAGTGCTTGATCGAGAGCCCGCGAGTATGCGAAGGGCGTGTGTCGGAGGTACAACAGCAGCCGGCGTGCACCCGTTCGTGTCAGCGCGTACGCATGAGTGCATTTCGGCGCGAAGGAAGGGTGGAGAGTGGTGCGAGAGTCGATGGGCCGGGTGAATGGTCTTTGGGGTTTGACACGGCAGGGTAGTAGCTCTCGTTCGACCAGCAATGCCCTTCGACAGATGCGGTGAGCGTGCTGTCGAAGGCAACGGTGACTTGGAAACATACCTAAGAATACGATATCCCAGTCCGTAGGCAATAGATCCCAGACTTCGCGCAGCTTCGCATGGATATCGCGCTCCATGTCAATATCATCTTCGAGTATGAGCGACACAGCGTCCACGTCCGAGGGATTTTCATGCGGCAGGACAGCCTCGTCCATTAGACGAACATCTGCGACGCGCCGTATGACTTTGAGGTGCGAATGCCAGCATGCCACCTTTGCAGGTGTCAGCAGCATATAGCCAGGGATACCAAGTTCGAACGGAGGACCATTGACGTAGTTGTTGCTGGCGCAGGTCATAGGTGCTGGGGAAGGTAAGGGCTCGCGTTGGGCCTGCGCGTTCGAAGAGACAAGAGACAGTCCAGGATAGGCAGCAGCGATACCGTCGGAGTCGGTTTCTGTCAACAGAGCAGCGCCAGTGGTATCGAGTACGGTAGACGGAGGACGAAGCGACCAGTAGTCCGAGTCGGACAGACCGAGAGGAGAAACAGAGTGTGCCATGGTGTTCACTGACGACGCGTCGGGCCACTCGAACGTGCGTCGAAGACTCCCATGGCGATGTCTTCCTCCGTCCTTGCGCGCCGCTCTTGAATGTGCGCGTATATGTTGCCGATCGTGTCCGCCTCGGATTCAATGGCACCACGTAGGTCCATCGCAGACCAAGGCTTTGTCTTAGTCGTTCCATGGATGTCCGGCGGTCAGCCCGACGCGGGAGCGACAAGACGTAGATGTTCGAGGCTATGCCCAGAGTTTCATTTCCAGGAGAAGAGTAGGAGGTATGGATAACGTCGTCTTCATCGGGTCTGACTTCGGGATGTTCTTGATGCGAATTGCCAGGATGGGTTGGAAATGTCCGCAGTTGCCCGCCGTCTTCCACAACAAATGATGCCATATCATGCAGCAGCATACTTGGGCTTAATTTGAAGCTGAGAGGACCGACCCGACGAAAGTCCAGACAGAGAGCGACAGGCCGATGAAAGCAGCACAGAGCATCAAGACGCGGCGTCGAGGGAGAGGAGCCATCATGCAAGACGTGAGCCAAAGTTTCGCGCACTGAGACTCGTAGACGTTGTGTGATCAAGCCTGCAGTCAGAGGAGTGTAAAAGGATCGACGAGGACGAGGCCGAGGAGGAGGTGGAGAAGGAGGAGGGGCGGGAGGCGAGTGTACTTCACGGTGCTGGCATACAAGGTTTGGTCAAGTCAAACCTTATTTAAATAACCTAACGGCCACCAAGCACCTGTATCCCGGGCAGTCAACACGTACGCACGTCTTTTCCAGTGCTTCAGATTACTTACGCTCTGCGGGACATGACAGGTCATGCAGAACGTTGTTCTTTCCGTCGGCAGGTCGACCTCGAGCCCCGAAACAGGCGATACCGCCGCTGCGCGCTCCTTCCCCAGGACCAAGACCACAGCGCACGACGAGAATGCTGATGGAGCTACACACGATGAAGGTGGCATTTCGCAAGGCGAAGATGATGCTGTGCGAGGCATAGGCCCGGGCGATGTTGTGCGAGACGAAGACGATGCCGCGCACGATGAAGCACGAGCACTCGCCACCGACATATCCGATCGCATTTCTATTGAAATCTACGAGAATGTCTTCGAACACATGGACCAGTCCACGCTGGCCACTGCTGCATTGGTTTCCCGGGCATGGTATCCTCGCGCCACTTCCTGCCTCTATTACACCGTCGTCATCGCATCGCGCGCGAGCTATGACTTGCTGGTCCAGCAGCTACGCACGTCGCCCCGTGTCCAGCGATGGCTACAGTCCACACATGAAGTGGCGCTCGGGTACGATCCGTACGAAATAGCCCTCGGATACGGGTTGAACGAAGTAACGTTTGGGTACGGGTCGAACCATTCCGAGGGTATCTCCTTCTGGACGCCTTCCCTCTGGTCTTCAGCCATGCATGTCCTGCCCTGCAGGTGCTCGACATCGGCCACATTCTACGCCCCAACATGCATCCGATTTTCCATCTTGCCCTGCGTCAGCTCCAGCACATCGTGTCGTTACGTCTGCATGATGTCGAACTGAGCAACAGTACCCAGCTGCAGCGGATTGTCTGTGCGTTCATGTGTTGGAGGAGCTTGTTTTGGACGATGTGCTACTCAAACCACAGCTACCCAGTGCTAGGCTGCAAGATGACCGTTTCCGGGGCCCCCAGTGCAACCTTCGGCTCAAGCGACTCCGAGTCGAAGCGTACTCCGACAACATAAAGGCGTTCGAACGGATGGCCAATTGGCTTGTATGCTCGGGGATCTGTAGCTCTCTGGTCCAACTGGTGACGGTCTTCCATGGCGAGGACACGGACCTTGCTACCGAGCATGTCAATCGGCTCCTCGAGACAACGGGTCACTCTCTGACCTCTTTCTACTGTCAAAGCTACCTGAATCTACGCCGTAAGTAGCCTCCCGATTCCGTATGCTGTGTTGATCACTGCTAAGCCCAGATCATTCACCAGATCGTTCCCCTTGCAACTTAGTGCATAACACGGCCTTACGCCACTTGACATTAAGGCTGAATGTCGACCCCTACCAGCGCCAGAGGACTCGGACTGGGCACAAGCAGCAAGCGAGCTTCGTGGGGCCTTTTCCACGATCCGAAGTTACCAGCTCAAGCATATCGCAATCCACTTCAGATTCGAGCTGACCGGCCCTCTGGACCAGGAGAACTTTAGCCAGTCTTGCAAGAAGCTCGAAGCCGACTCGCAAAGCCTGTACAATGTCGTGGTCGGGCCATACTTCGACGCATTGACGGACGTCAAGATTGAGATGCAGGTTGTGTATCATCCCGATGAGCATAGCATGGAGTTAGCGCACGACTTCGCCAGAGCGGTGGCCCCTTTGTTACGGCGAATGTTCATGCCGTGGCATGATCGTGGTTTATTAGCCAATGTCACCTACGCGACGAGTCAGTACTAGTCGGTCGTGGTCCTGAAGGGTCTTCGGTCTGAAACAGACAGCATCCGTGCGTGTTCCACTCATTTTCGGCCTTCCCACCAGACACTGACTTAATTTGCGACGACCCGGAGCAGGATCGTGCCTTGTATACACTTCATCAACTGTTGCAACCGTGAACACAATCGTGTACGAATCATTGACCTCATGCTCACCGGTGTTTAGTCGAGGTGCCTCAGATCCTTCGGACCCCTCCCCATCGGTCTTCGGCTCCCCACATATTTGATACCATGGACCACAGTTGGAGGGATAAGTGGCATGGCCATAACTATATCTAGTCGCACAGTATGTCCTTACAAGCTCTCAACCGTGTTCGTACATGGACTGTGTCGATGGATAAGTACGTTTATTATATTCGACACTCTACATCGTCGTCGGACCTCACTGGCAGACCCGAAGACAGAGTCAAGCCTGGAAGGTGGGCGAGACAGATGTGACAGGACGCATGTTCGAGATGTAGCGGAATCAAGCTCATGAGGGTGAGAGGGCAACACGACTAATAGCTGTGTACCAACTTGAATGGATTCAAGACGCGCCGCTCACAATTCGCTCACGTGATCGCGTATGTTCCTCAATCGTCGATCATCCTCAGATCTGACTTGCCGCAAATCCATTCACTTCCTGCACATGCTGTAATTGCCAGACGGCCGATTGTAGGTTTCTTCCGACGACCATTAACCTTGCAAAATAGGCCGCTTAGCGAGTCGCGTAACTAGGTGTAGCTACCATGAATGAGGCTCATTTCGAGTCTATCCTTGGAAGACTTTCAAGGGACCCGAGATCGGTGAGCATTCATATTTTCGTCCAATTTTCTTACTGTACACGCCCCTGCTTTTCTTTGTCGACGTCCGCTGACAGGGTCTTTAGGTGCTCTCTGCGGCTCGCAGGCGTTCGCCTGCAGAAAGCATAGTCATCGCCAACAGCTGGGAACCACAGCAAGGCTACATAACCGCCGACGAGGCCCTTGATCTTTTCCTTTCTTTTCTGAAGGAGGGCGAGGTTCCAAACAATGCGAGTCCCAGCACGACGTTCTGTGACACTGCCAATATAGCCTTTACCGGACTCCTGGGCATTAGCAAGGTCGCGCTAGCCCTGGACGATCCAAGGCTCCTGCGGCGCGTTGCCGACGCTTGGAGCGCGATCTTCAAGTGGAGTGTCTTCATTTTCTCGACGAGGATTGAGGGCCTTAGCAAGAACGACATGCGGAGGAAGAACGCGATCGATATTCTTTCCGCTGCGTGGTACGCACTGTGTGCCAGGGATCCGATCCGGGAGATGATGGTCGCGACGCCTATGTCAATCGAGATCGCGACGAGGTTATGGCTCGAAGAGGATGGCGGTCCGCCCACTCGTATAAACGCACCAGCCGGTACATGCCTTCTCGGTAACTTGTTGAAGAACGCGAAGAAGGAGCAATTGGATCGGGTCCTGAAGATGGCTGGGGGCAAAGCGGCCGAGATCGCGAAGCTATCGCTCTCCCGTCTCAAGACGACTCTGAAAGCGAGCCCGGTCAACGGGACCTACCTTACAATGTACCTCGACTTCATCAACTCACTATCGCGCGAGCCAGAACACCCGTTGCGCCACGCCCTCTTGGGTGCGAATGTCATATGGATCGTCACAAGCGCGCTCACCACTATCTCCATACAAGTGAACCTGGGGAGAGATCCCGCCTTCCTCGACGCTATGGTTGCCGCCTTGGGATACATAACGAACTGCCTCGACTCCACGGATGGTTTCACATGGGTCTCGCAGTCCATAGGGGCGGGCCTGCTGACGTCCTTCGTCGACTGCAGCCCGCATTTCTCTAAGCTGGATCCGGAGGACCTCGACATGGTGCTCCGCCTCGTGAAGAACATCCTTCCTCGTTACGCTGTGTATCGTTCCGTGCTGGAGGCCATGAATGCACCGATGCGCAAGATTGACAAGGGCCACAGAGGGATCGAGTGCGAAACAGCGTTGCGAAGGACGCGTGGATACCTTTCTTCGGCTTCTGCGCCGATAGGATGGAGTTGCTACATCATGCTGAAGCTATGAAAGGCAAATACATCACCTGCGATAACGTAAGGTACTGGCACATACCCATATTGCGGCTACTTACAGATGCTAATCTGTTTGTTTAGTGTCAGAAATTGGCACAAGAGAAGAGGTCCGGAGATGCTCAGCATGCCTCAATACGTTCTACTGTTCCCAGTATGTGCTAATGATGTAGCTCGGAGCTCCCTCATACGTCCACGTAGGTATGCCAAGCCGTCGCGTGGAAGAGGGCGACCACAAGAACGTCTGCAAGATGAAGCAGCGAGAGAGGACCGGTGCGTTTCTTTCCAAGGCTCTTCAACTTGCACTGACACTCCGAAGAGGGGAAAGCGAGCAGGATTGAAGCGCGACCTCGCCTTCTTCCACAACATCTCCATGTACGAGCACGCAAGAACATCGTGAAGCTCAGCAGGCAAGCAGAACAGGAGCACCCCGGAAAATACGCTCCCATCTAGTCGTCTGCATCGACTACTGCGTCTTTCCGGTCACCTACGGCCTCACCCCATCGAGCAATACGACACAGGCCCGCACTCGGGGTCCACGAACGCGCAGGCCCGGAACGAGGCCATGATAGACAAGGTCAAGATCACCCGGGGAAGTACACCTGATCGAAGCGCGGATAGCCAACGGGCAGGGCATGCAAGCCATCCTGACCCTCGCGACGGGGAAACTTTGGGAATGGGACCCGAAGGACTACCAGCGGCAGAAGCTCATTGATTCGCAGTTCATCCTGCGCCAGCTCGTATCTCGGTTCGAGGAGCACCTTCCTGATTCTCAGAAGTCGCCGATCTTGACCGACCCTATCCGGACGGATTTCCCGGACGACATGTTGATGGCGCTTCAGGACATGTCGGATACAGGGGAATTCATGGACGAAGATGATGACTTTGACTAGTGGCCGTTCCGTTGGCGGGTAAGGTGGTCTATATCTGGAAGGAATTCTGTTTACATATTTCATTGGCCTGAACAGCGTTGCGGATGGTCCTAAGTATGAACGTCGGTGGTTACGTATCCTGCAGACTCTCGGTGGCCTGTAGTAACATCACTAGGATCTTGCGGCTCTCAGATCTCAGGTCTCACCTATGCTTGTATATCCTTGAATTTCTCCCAGATTCTTTGTATCGCTAGCCTTCGTTGTCTTTCCACCCAAATTTTAATCTGCAACAAGCATCTCAGGTCCGCATTCCGGGTGTAGCCCGAATGTTTGTGCAGGGTTCGTGACAATAGCGACAGAATTCGCAGCATCACTGAGACATGCGATGGAGAGCAAAATGCGTAAGCATGCGAAGAACATGATACTATGTAACATAGTGATGTACAAGTCCGAAGGAGAGCTCCGCATCAAGCATACTGTCAATGAGTCTGTCAGCCTACGACGAACAGGATAACGAACAAGAACAATTACTCACCCTGGTAAACGTGCCCATAGTCATAATGTCTCTTTCCTGCCATTCGGCTCGTACAGCGACTTAACCGCCTGACTCATCGTCGCCTTCCGCTTCACCTCCTCCTCCGCGAGACTCTGCGTAACAGCTCTACTGGCCGCAGCGATGCTCGGGTTCGTGCTGGGCATGGGTGATGTCTGCTTCTTTTTCTTCTTCTCCACCGGCTTGTTGCCCGCACCCTCCGCGTCCTCGGCCTTCGCTTTCCGCTTCTTGCCCTTCATCTTCGGTGGCTCCGCTGCCCGCCGCCGCTCCAAGGCTTCACGCATCTTTTCCTCCTCATCTGAGGGCGGGTTGAGCATGATCACGTCGGTCGTTCGGTCGTACTTGGCTCCGCACTGGGGGCACATGTCGAGCTGCTTGCCGTCGTCGTTTGCCCTTCTCCTTGCCCTTCGCGTCGGCGTCGGCATTGCCATGGGAACAGAACCCGTGACTGCCTTCAATCCGGACAGAGAGAAGACACAGCCGCATGTAAAGAGGTAGACAAAGGGCTGCGAGCCGTTCATCTCCTTGTAGTTCAGAGGACACATGAAGGATGCCCGGTCTGCGCTGTCAGACACCGGCGACTTGCTCGTGTTACGGGTGAGCTTGAGCGCTGTCAAATCCTACAACGATGTTTAGCCAGTGTGCCACAGCGACAGCGTACCCTGCACACCTTTCTTGACCTGATATGTCCGCATATCTCTTCGCCGTCCCCATAAGCGTTCCTGTCCAATAGATACTCTATCACCGCATCTTTGTTATACAGCTTGCCTAGTGGACAGGAGGCTATCGGCTCTTCCAGCGGGCGCTGCAATTCGGTATGAGTCTGACTGTGGAACAAAGTCGAGAGTCCGTGGAGACGTGCCTTGGATATTGCACAAAAGAACCATCTCGCTCGTGTCTGGTTAGCTTTGTCTGGCTGCTCTGCCTGAGATACAGGAGTCAGAGTTGTCGTTAGCAAGCAATAACGTGAGCGACAGTACCTTAGCTTTGTTCTTGACCAGGTCTCGACGGTCAGGGATACTTCCTCCATCATTACCCATGGTAATGCAGCGATTAGGTGATGAAGAAGTGAAGCAAGTTGAACTGGAGGAGGGAGAACGGGGCGGACAGCAAGGTCGAGCTCTGGTCGACGGGGGCTGGTTTGTGAAGCCGACGGGGCAGAGACAAGGCGGCTGCTGGAGTGATCGAGTCCGAGTCGCCACCGGCGTTCAGTACGCCCTCGGCATTCGCCGGCACCGCTATGGTTGTCGCACGTGCCGCCTTGTTCCGCCGCATGGGGTTCAGCCACAGACGCGATGTGCAGGTTTCCCGTCCCCCCTCTCCCTCTCATTCACCCAGGCAGCGTCATGCTGCAGGAACTTACTCATATGGACCGCATTACTCAACTGCAAGATGAGATTCAGCAGGTGCGGCTGTAACCTTACTGTACACTCGCTCGCGCGTGGCGGAACTGCTGACTTGCGGACGGTCGTGTTGCGGCTGGTAGCTCCTTACGATCATGTCAAACAGCATCGCATACCTCACCTCCCGTGCCAACTTCTCACAAGTCAGCCAGGACGTCCCCGTCACAAAACAGCGGAAAGCCGACAAGTTCGACCCGCCCGAGGTCCTCGAAGGTTGTCCCTGAGCCCTCGCTGTGCCGCTCGCCGCACTCACGCTCGGACTGTGTTCAGCGAACAAGCGGGAACTCGTGAATGACCTTGTCGTGAAAGCTAAGCAGGTCGACTATCTGATTCAGTCCCTACCGGAACCGGAAGCCGAGGAGGTGCAGGTAAGCCGTGTGCTTGAAGTCTAGGACTTTCGACGTGCTCATGCTTGATATCTATTGTCGTACCAGGCTACTCGCCTCCAGGAACTAGAGAACGAGATGGCAGAAGCAAATGCGGAGTATGCCCAAGCCGTGGCCCGTGCCAGTGCGTCCCCTATTCAACTTCGGACCCAAACGACTGAACCGTGGTTTATGCATGCACAGAGAGCTTATATGAACAAGTCTCAACCGTTCTGCGCACAATGCTAGACGACGTCGACTTGCCCGACGACTCGGACCTCGGCTGAATATCAAGTTCCGCGTCGCATCCCTGCCTAGAGGGCAGTGCGCCAGCATGGCCCTCATACGCCGAACGTACCATCCCCACCGTGGCCAGTCATCCCATCTGACCGTACTTTGGGCGAAACTCGACCGACCGACCGACGCCAGGGTGTGTAGGGAGGAGCTTGAGGAATTGTGCTCCATATGCCCTTCATCAGAAACGGCAACTGATTGTCGTCATATATATACATCCGTGCAGGGGCAAGTGCACGTCGCACGTTGCTCCTACTTACTTACATACCAAGGGATACGACGCGACGTGGCAATTTTGGCCGCGCGATCGCCGTGCAATACAGTTGTTCGCAACAGACGCGACGAGTGCTTACGCAGACAATGAATCGTCCAGCTGGACCGCCGTGACGCGTTGGTGTTGAAGCGACACCGGCTCTCCTGCATCCTCCCATATGATTGTGCACGAATCCTTGCGGACAGACTCGGGCTACAATCACAGGCAAGCTGGATATTGCATGATTGGACTGGCCCGCATCGTCACGCTCGCCCTCCTTGCAGAAAGTCGGATCCACGGGGAGAAACGTTCCCGGAACGGGGAACGCGGAACGCGGAACATCACGCACCGTGACGACGTGTGACACCTTCGTTTATAGTGCTGCCACTCTCCTGCGGTTGCATTATAGTAATCTATAGTAATTGACCGTTCGGATCTTTATACATAGTGGTTCGTAGTAATCACAATGTCTTGTGGGCCATTGTTTGGTTGTTAGGTCACAACGCACTACGCAGTGGATGTGGTTAGCCAATTAAGGGTATTTCCTGATATGGAGAATATGCCCAATCAGGCAATGCTCGCTGGGCCACATTGGATCACGTGCTGAGTGCTGTCCCCGCCAGTGAGTATGAACCTGTATGAACGTCAAGTTATTAATAGCTTGTGATTGATCTATGGCAGTGAAAATACACCTACTGGTATTCAGTAGTCTATACTCTGCTGATGCTAGCACGATTGGGTTTTTGCAGCTTTATGTGTGACAGAGTCGGGACTCGGTGTATTAGTAAGCATTCTAGTAAGTATCTAAGTCCGTACTATTGACTTCCGGGTTTGGCAATTCGTGCTTATGACATAGGCCACTACATACGCTTTGCCCTCTGTCACTATGTGACCAGCGTTCCTAGGGGCGTTCCGCAGAGGCGTTCCCGGAACGCGTTCCGGGAACGTATCTCCCAGTCGATCGGACGTTCTCCCTCCTTGGCGCGGACCGATGGTAGTAGCGCAGTGACTTGGTCAAGTGATGCCATTGCCAATGGCTAGGCTGGGTCTGTACTCGCGCGACCGAGTCTTGAGCCCAAATATGCATGAGCACTGTACAGCGTAGTAAACACTCTGAGAGAATGTGCAGTGTATACCAGAAGTGTGCGAGACCCAGCGTGGTAGCCATACATCTCAGCCTGAGGCAGCGCGGGAAGCAGCAATGAGCAGGCGCGAAGGCAAGGTCGGGCGATGTGCGTGCAATACAGTGCCCGCGCATTCGCACATGATTTCCCATCCCGGACATGACAAGCAGCTGAGCTCGCCCGGTGCACACGGCCCTCCCATCCTTCCACTCTACTCCCACCATCCTCCGCGTTCTTGCATTGACCGTACACAATGGCCGACCGTCTTGCGCAAGTCTCTGGGCACCTCACGAACACGTACGGGCGCGGTCTCCTAGTGGGCGAGGTCGCGATCATCACGGGTGAGTTATCTGCTGAGACTCCGAGTCTTGGGAACCTTCGCTGCGCGGCTGCTTCAACGCGTTGACGTCGGTGAAACGTCTATGAGCAGTGAGCTAACAATGGATTTACTACACAGGTGCTGCACAAGTGCGTATGCAAAAAGGATAAAGCGCTCGCAGCTATCTAAGCACAGACACTTAGGGAATTGGCCGCAGCGCTGCTCTGTTGTTCGCAAAGGAGGGTGCGAAGGTCGTCGTATCAGAGTGCGTTCCAGTTCCAATCCTTCCGTGAATCTGTCGAATTCTCACAGGCGGTCGGATTGCTTTCATCCCCCATACACATCACGTGACGTCATACTTGTAGTTTGGACGAGAAGAAAGCCCAGGTCGTCGTCGACGAGATCAAGGCGGCTGGCGGGGATGCCCTCGCAGTCGGTGGGGACGTCGGTGCGGAGGACTTCCCACAGAAGGTCCTGGAAGCCACCATCAAGTACGTTCTGATTCGCATTACGGCCGCACCTCGCACGCTAACACATTGTATTCACAGGAAGTACGGCAAGCTCAACCACATCGTGAACAATGCGGGATTCACCTTCGATCGCATGCTGCACACAACTCCGGACGACGCGTTCGACATCATCATTAAGGTGCACGTCCGAGCGCCATTCAGACTCGTCCGCGCTGCTGCTCCGTACATGCGTATCAAGGTCAGTTGGCAGCGTGTCCTCAATGCCCCTCATCTCTCACCTATGCGAACGCACTCTAGGGTAACACTGAGAATCGTCTATCATCAACGTCTCGTCTGTTTCCGGTCTGCACGGGAGCGTCGGTCAAATCAACTATGCGGCTGCGAAGTCGGGCGTCATCGGCATGACAAGACCATCTGCAAGGAATGGGGGTTGTTCGGCGTCCGCGCCAACACCGTCGCCTTTGGCTTCGTCCAGACGCGGTACGCCATCGTCAGCGATGTGATTCTCCGGGCCGTGTGTACTGAGACCGGGTATGGCAGGTTGACCCAGGCGAAGGAGGAAGGCGCGAGCATCGAGATTGACGGGAAGAAAGTCGCGCTCGGTATCCCGAAGGCACAGAGCGCGGGTGCAGGGACGTCGGCAATCCCTTTGGGGCGCGCCGCGACACCGGATGAGGCTGCTGCTGCGATGCTCTTGTGAGTGTCTTGATGACCCTGTGCCCTCATCAGACATTGATCAATCATGCGTCTAGCCTTGCATCCCCGCTGGCTTCCTATGTCTCTGGCCACACGCTCGAAGTCACCGGTGGGCAGGGTATCTAAATACGACTTGTTGCAAATTTGTTGTGTTGTTAGCCGCACTGTGTACTTACTCGGACTCCAGCGCATCGTGACAATATCTACAGAGGTCTCGGAGATCTTCTCGGGAGGAGTATTGCGCTGATCGCAAACGCAACACGATCGCAGTTGGCCGAAGCACGGCCGAAAACTGAATGACGGGGGCTTCGCGTCGCTTGGGAGGAGGATGTAACTGGTCTGGGATGGACTGGAAGATCATCATCTCGCTCGAAGGGGAAATTCTCCGATGCGGACGCAGTCGGCGATTTTTCCTCCCACACAGAGGCCAGCTGGTGAGAACGCTGGTGTCGCGAAGGGCCATGCAGGGTAGCAGTGGTAAGCCCTCCAATCCCAGAACGGGCCGCAACTGTGACGAGGATCACACATTCCGTTCCGAGCGCGGATGGAAAGGTGCGGCGGAAGCTCCCCAGCTGGGGCCGCTCCCGCGGGGCAGGCTCGGCACACGACTCGGCGTGTACTGAGAGCGAGAAATATAAGACGAGATGCGGCGTTGTGGGAAGGGTTCCCCTCCTCCTCTGAACATCGATCCCCCTTTGGTCCGTCGATGCGCCCGGATCCGTACATGCCTCCGGACAGAACCTTATATCCAGCTTGTATCCTGGAAGATGATGCCGACGCGGATGCTGCTCGTTCGGCGCGCCTGCAGCGCTCCGCTCGTGTGCTTGGAGGCCGGACGCCTTGCCTTCTCGGCCGCTGTGCTTCGACGTCTTGAGATCCATGCCGGTCGAACACTCAGCGTATGTGCGTCCATGCAATAAATTCCCGAGGCTCCGTGTCCAAGGACGCAAGACACCCCGACAGCTGCTTGCAACTCAAGCCGTGCTATTCGCCCAGACGGTCCACAGGCACACTACTAGCTGCTAGTAGCGCGCTACGGGGCACTGATGCGCGACCCCGAGCTATCATCCTAGCCTCCGCGCGACGTCGATCAACTAGCGGCGGGGAATTTAACTAGACGTACGCACCCCTGGTTGAGAACCGTTTAACCCAAGTTCACCCGCTAAAATAGCTCGTTCTGCCTCTTGGGGGCGGGGCGCGGAAACCCCGCATTCCAACCGGGACGACTCTAACTCGGTCAGAAGGCCGGGTAAAACAGTACTTAAGGGACATCATGGCTCGGGCAGGAGACTCGCGCCGCACAGTGGACGGATGGTTGCACGGTAAGCATAGATTATCCTGGATATCGAATATGGCCGGGCCCTGATTAAGTGCGGTATAGGTGTAGCATAATACGGGTGACTGACGACGCAGAAAGCAAGTTAACGGTAAGTAATAACTAACGGGCACGCAGAGCACGAAAACATCGCAGCGACAGCCAACCGTGGTCTGAGCGTCCGGTTCCGACAACAACGCATCCTTCCTACCCCGCGTCGGCGTCGCTCCGACAGGCACGGCCAGAGTTGACCCCGCATTGGCGTGCCCGGCCTTGGTATACAGGCTCCGGCGCGCCAGTACCAGCTGCACGCGGGTATGATCCCGGTGAAGTGCAAGCACGGATGCTGTCACAGCATGATTTCTCGGATCTAAAGGGATAGGGGGATGACGTGAGTTGGCAGAGGGACCGCGTGTGAACGAAAAGCGCACATTGTTGCTGATGATTGTGCTGGAGGCGGGAAGGGCGGGGCGGAGCGGAGCGCGGGGGCGGACGTTGTAAGAGGGTGTGAACGCGAGCACGAGGCATCGAGCCGAAGTGCGACAGTTCGTTGGACGAGGAGTTGCCCGTTCCGTGGTGTCCACATAGCGTAGTAGCGCACGAGTGAATAGACGCGTGTGATCGAATCAATCGAGTTCCGAATTGGGTTTGCAGTTGCATGGATCCAGCAGGAAAGAGACAATGATGAGTTGACGATGACCAAAGACAGTTATGGGAGATTACCAAAAAGAAAGAGCAAGATGTATCCACGACAAAACACAGAAAGCAAACAGTTCCATGCATCCAGTGTGAGGCCATAAAGATAGGGCCGCGCAGTCGCGCATTAACGGCGGGCTGATGAGATAGGTGACGGTGGGTGCATACTAGCGACCGAACATAATGGCATGAAGAGATCCGGATATATGATGGAGGGATAAATATGCAGCGAAAGCAAAGAGACTAGATGAGAGCCGCAGTTTGCAGGCTTTGGCGAAGGATGATGCTGATGTGTCGCAGTGGGAAGGGAAGGATATTAAGCATTGGTCCAGGGAAGAGCGCACGAAAGGGGGATTTGCGGGGACGAGAACAGAACGAAACACTCACTCTGGAGGGAAAATCATGATTAGTATGGACCGGCGAAATGGCAAAAACGCACGCACCTTCTACTGCGGCCATGACTACTCTTAGCATTTCGGTGTCTGTTGCGGTCGTCGTGCTTTCATACAACGACACTCAATCAGCAAAGCGATGCCAACCAGGCGCTAGGAGTGATATATGGAATAGATGACGCACTGGATGTACACTTCGCGCTCCTTTTGGTTCGCTTTTTGTGCCAGCCGTGCGAATCGCTTCTTGAAGTATTCTCGTCCTGCAGCCGCGTCATCGGATGGTCCGTCATAGTCCTGTGAGATATGGATTGGTATTGTGCAGGAAGAATACTCCGGGTGGGGAACATACGGGAAAGAAACTCCGAATGTCTGAGTGAATAACCTTCTTCTCGAACAGATCGTTCTTGTTGAGGAACAGGATCTGCACGACACGTTGCATCAATCCACACGATCGCCAATGAAATATTGCCCATGTACTTACGATAGACGTGTTCTTGAACCATTGCGAATGGCAAATCGAGTCCCAAATCGTCATTGCGTCTTGCATTTGATTCTTGACTCTCCAATCAGCATGCGCAACACAAGACTCCGGATATATGCGGCCTCAGTACACTTACCGCATCTCTGTCTTCTACAAGACATTGATCGTACCCACTAAGACTGACCAGGAACAGAATGCTGGTGACATCCTGGAAGCAGTGGATCCACTTCCGTCGCTCGCTCTTCTGCCCACCGACGTCCACCATGAGCATCTCGTGATCCCTTAGTGAGAACATCGTCTCCGTAATACCGATCGTGCGTGCACGGGCCTGAACGATGTCCTGCTCGTTCGGTATATACGAGGGGTCGAACAGCCGATCAAGGTCGCTAAAATAGTACACCAAGCTGCACGAGAGTGGTATGCTCGTGAGAGGGTCCGCGCAGCAGGGAAGAGGGCACACGCAACTTGTCCGGCAACGCAGCCTCGTTCCCGCGCTCCCATGCTTTCTGAACGCTCGGGTCCTCCCATAGCCTCTTCAGAGGCTCGTAGTAGTCGTTCGGGAAGGGCTCGCCGTCCTTGAGGTCAGCCGCGTCAATGACCATCTGCACGTTGTCTTCATTCTCGGGGAGGACCGTGAGCTCCATCTCCTCCATGGCGTCGATGACATACTTGATGCCGTGGGTGAGGTTGTTGAAGACGAGCTGGCGGTACGACTCGACCTCCTGTGACGAGAAGGGGACGCGGTGGATGAGGCGCATCTGCTTCAGGATGGTCGACTTGCCCGAGTCTCCGGAGCCCAGCAGGAGCACCTGGGTGCGCGCATGAGTGATGACGACGTGGGCGCGAGGGCGTGACTAGCTCACCTTGACCTGCTTGGACAGCCGTGCCTTTGCCTGGAGGGACGTCAACGGGGTCAGGGACGCAGCGGGCGGGCGGAAGCGCAGCGGGCGGTACGCGCCTCTCGGAGACTCTTCTCAGCCTCTCTGTGCCGCCTCTTGTCGTCCTCGGAGACATCTACGGGACCACTGGACATGCAGGCACCCATGGCTGCGTAAATAGGATGAAGAGAAGGAAGCTAAAGGAAAGGGCTCGCTGGGCGAGGGCTGTGAGAAGAGAGAAGGACGCGAGAGCGGCCGATGACGGTTCGAAGCCAACCACCTGCTTCAGGCGCTCTGGGTGATGATGGGCGGGCGTCCCGAGTGGATCAGCGCGAGGGGTCGGGGCGGGAGAGGGGGGAGATGGACGCACAGAACAAGGAGAGAGCGGATGCAGGGACAGAAGAAGAGAGATGGTGGCGACTTGACCGCACAGGGCGGATCCCGCCCTCGAAGCGCCGGCGTCGGGCACGCTGCGCCAGTTCACTCTGCCCACGATCATGCGCGATCATGCGGCAGGCACTTCCCCTTCGCAAGGCCCCCACGCCCGCTCATCCTCTGACGACCAGCCACACTCGCAGCCGTCCCACTCAGCTCGCAGCTCGCAGCTCTCCTATATTTTCCATATGCGGCGACTCATCATGCGCGCAAGCGGAGGAACGCAGGGTCGCGCTCGTTTGAGGCTCTGCCGGTTGCCACCAGCCACAGATCACCGTGAACTGGAACAGCACCCGCAAGGTCGCCGCTGAATGAATTCATTTAGCGCACATACCATTCAGCCGTCCCCGACCATTTCGGCCAGCCAGCGGCGCCTTTCCTACTTTGTGTAGGTACATACTTGTGTTCACCGCCCTGCACTAACTAACTTACAAGAAGCACGCCTGCCTCCTATCCGGGAGTTCAGCCACGTACAGCCCCCCGCTTGAGCCGAAGATCAGTTTATAGTTTATAAATGGCTTGCGTCTCGCCAGTTGGACGGTTATGAACTACATAACGTAGAGCTTGTTCCTTTTGATGGCCGCATCAGCGTCTCTCTCCGGCTGCAGTGAACGACGTCAACTCATTCGAAACATTCAATGAAGGGATCCGTGCTTGTGCGATTTGATGCTAGGTCATAAGGATAAGTGCTTTGGCGTAAGTAAATGCATCTTGAAACGCTGTCCACACCGTTCACAGTAAGTATACACCCCTCCAGGAAGGTGCCAGAGACAATTGAAGTGAGACGAGACAACAGCAGCGCGAACTGTGATGCTGACAGAGTGAGCGACGTCGCGGACAATCAACAGAACCTACAAACAGCATGGCAAATCAGCCCCCACCGTGTCAACACGACACAAGAATTGATGCCAACGCCCACGGGCGCACGCGCGAACCGAAGCAGAGCGCGATAACCACCTCCAATTTGACACGGTCGACGTACAGGACACACGCCCGCCAGAGAAAGAACGCAGCTACGACGTCTCGAGAGTACTCAAAACAGTGCCTGCTGATGCCTGATGATAGATGGTACAAAACAGAAGATGCGAGAACTTGATAGATGCGATGCGAATACAAACAGTGTGGAGCAGGGCGGGGATCGCGGAGGCACACCTAACAGACAACAGACACGGTACAGCCTCGCGCTCACACAGAGAGGGGTGTCCCCGCACTCATCGTGACACCTCTCAGCATGTCCACGCCGACCTTCAGGAACGACGACGGGGCGGGCAGATGCAGATGGGGCCGTCGCTGGTTGACCGACGGGCGGCGCTGACTCCTGGGGGATCCGCCGTAGTCCTCGTTCAAGGATGGCTGAGACGACGACGCCGTCACGATAGGTCTCGAAACACTCTGTGGTATCGGCACTGGGCTCGAGCTCAGCCCAAGAGCTCCTCCATAGGGGAATGCACCATTGTCGAAATCTCCCGGGGTGCGCGGACACGAGCGACGGCAGGGGACCCGAGCGCCCTCGCATTCCTGGCGCGGAGGCCTGTTGCAAGGAGGGAGGAGGCAAGATCGTCGTCGACCGGCGAAAAATCTGGTATATCGAAGAACCCATGCTCCGCGTCCGCAGAGACCGCCTTCGCGTGAAACGGTGCCTTGACAAGACGCCCGCTAGTGTCAGGCAACCGGGATGTGGACGCATTCCTTGATAGACTAGGCAACAGGGCGCCATCCTCGTCGTCCGTCTCCGCCAAAGGCACAGCCGGGAGGCGTGCACCCCTTGCCTTGCCGATCTTGTCGACCTCGTCTACTGCCAGGCCCCCGATGACGGCGTCGAACCCGGGCAAGGTATCGTAGAGCCTGCGATGCGCACTGAAGTCGCTCCTCGCGTCCGACGCGGATGCGCGCCTTCGCAAACGCAGTGCGCCGCGCGTGAAGTTTTCCTGCCAGTGCGTGCCCTGGCGAAGGCACGCCTCGGTCGATAAGATACAGTCTGGGCAGCAGGGGCGGAGGGGGACGGTGATGATCTGGGCGTTCGGGATCGGGTGCGATGAAGATGGTACAGACGCGGCTCGGAGAGGTCGGCGCCGAGTTTGAGGAAATGAGGATGGTGGAACCGTAGGGTCGGAAGTGTGATCGTGGTTGTGAACAAGGCAGGGCACAAGAGGCTGATGGGCGAGTTCAGCACGCGATGGAGAGCGCGTCCGGATGGCAATACTGTGCAGCCACGAGACGTCAACTCTTCTACACGGACCACGGAACACGCAGGGACGCGGATAAGAAGCAGAGCTCACCTTGGCACAGAGACTTTGAAGACGACGTGGCCGTCGTCGCGCATCTCAGTCTCGAGTCAGACACGGAACATGGCTCCTGGCTCTGGTTGCGCTTGCGCCAGAGCGGGACAGCATACGACTTTGTCACCAGACGGGGCATGCGGGAGACAGGGCTCGGGTCTGGGATGAGCACGCAGTCTGCCTCGAAGCGGACGCGCTGGCCGACGCATACAGGGCTGTCCTCAACCGCACTCTCGCCCGCGATGACTTCTAGCTCATGCGCCGCTGCGAGTGCGGGAGGGGTCGCGGGCGACGCGAGGGACTCGGGCGAGGACGAGAGGGACATGGTGGGGGGCGGTGCGAGGGAGGGCAGGGAGGATGAAAAGAGGGCGGGTGGATCAGTTGAGGAGCCATTTGTGCAGATGGCCGGTCACAGGAGCTTGTGTTGGAGAAGCGAGCGCGGCGGGCGAGACACAGCGCGGTCACTTTACCTTCCTTCCTTCCCTTTCTCGGCCTAGCGCCCACCTGGCTCGTTCCGCCCAGCGTCTTCCAGCCCCGTGCCGCCGGTACACCTGCCTCGAGCTCGGGTCCGACCTCCTTCCCCTTCTTCGCGCCCTGCCCCGCCAGTCTCAGACACGTCTCGGGCCCGAGCAGCAGGCCTCCGAATCCGATGGTCCCGACAAGTGTGCACGCACAATATCGCAGCGCGCTTCAGCACACAATGTCGTACGTTCACCTCTCGAATAAACAGTGCAATAGGAACGCCCCAGCACACTAAATTCGCGTACGCCCATAGCCAAGTTGACAGCACAAGCTTAAGCAACACAAGGACTGCTTCGCTTCGCTCCGCCAACGTATCTGTGGCGTCGGCGGAGGCACAGTACACACGACGGTTGATTAAGGCTACGAGCCTGACATATGAGGATGATCAATAGCAGCAGCGTCGAAAGTTCGGTTGCTTTGCATCCTCTGCTGATTGAGAGTAGTCCAATGCGACGGTGCGATTGCGCAAAGGACTGTCCTGGTCACTGGGATCTTGACGTAAGGTTAAGCAACATAAATGTACATGTTCATGTCGTCCTCGTCTCGCCGCAGGTACTCCTGCTCCACCAAGCTCGCAATCCGCTGCTTGATAACGCTCACCTCCGGCACGAAGTGGTTCTTCACCGCGTCGATCGTCGCCGCCTTCAGCTGCTCGTAGTGCAGCTCCTTGCGCGCCTTCATCACGCGCACGATCGCCGCATCCAGCGCGTGCTTCCGGTCGCCCTCGATGGCCGTCTGCGTCCGTTTGTTCTCCTCCGCCTGTGTCACACAGAGTGACGCCAAGCGCGGAGGATATGAATAGGTGAGAAGGGCTGCAGAGCAAATTGCATTTTACGTATACGCACCGTCTCCTTCACCTGGATAGAGTTGATGTGGACTTGATAGCGCGGATCACTAAAGTCCGCGTTGTAATGGAAGTCGTCGCCGTCGCCGACCTCCTTGCCCACGGGTACCTTGCGTAGCACGCGTTTCTTCCCAAGCGCAAGGCTCTGCAGGGTCCGCCGCAGTTCAGCATCATCTTTGAACCAACCGTAAGCAATGGCCTGTGTAACGCGGAAGTCGAAGTCAGGATAAACGCTCACCCATCCGTGTCTGGTCTTTGATCTCCTTGAACGACAGCTCCGCGCTCTCATTGAAGAGCAACAAGACGATGCCTTGGTACAGACTGACCGACAGCTCCTTGTCGCCGCTGTTGAACCTCGCCTTGAGCGTCGCTGTCCCAAGAGTGTGATCCCAGTCCAGTTTGCGACCCGAATGCTTGTTCTTGTAGAATGCCGTATACTTGGTGAGCTCAGCTTGCATCTAAGGATGTGGTCAGAATGCTCTCCGCCGGAGAAGCACCGGGACACTGACTGCTGGCGGAATGTCGACGTCGTACTGTCTCGCCGCGAAAGGCCAGAAGCTCCGCTGCAGCACCATCACAGAGAGCTTTTGCGTCGCTTCGCCGTAGCCAAGCCTCGTACGTTGTCCGTTGTATCCCTCATGAGGTCCCTCGACAGCGCGAGATCGTTGAACATATGATCACCCATGCCGAACTCCGGGTCGTATCCTGCGAAGAAGTCAGTGAACGGTCGTGAACCAGGTCGGAAAGGCCACTTACTCTCCTTCAACTTCTTCAGCATCGCCTTCTCAAAGTCGTCGCTCGCGCTTCGCTCCAACAGCAACCTCTTCGCCAACGCCCGATGGTAGAACGTCCTGAACACATCCTTGTCGTCCGTGAACCTGTACAGCCCCAGCGCCGCATCGAGTTCCGCCTGGAACTCCTCGTCGCGCTTGCCCTTCTGCCCCTTGCGCATCGCGCGATCGATGTACTTGGCGACCATCTCCGCAGGCTTGTTCCGCCGCGCCTTGAACCCGAGCGCGAACGCGTCGATCACTGCGTAGCTAAAGTCCTTGTTAAGATCCTTCCTCGTGGTAGGGACCGCAGCCTTGGACGAGGAGCCGGCTTTGGCGGGCGAGGCAGCTAGCTTGGAGGTGTCGGTGAATCCCTCCTTGACGATGTTCACGAAGGCGTCAGCACACAGCTTGTCGCAGAATGCCTTGAAGTCGAGCAATCTCTGGACCATCTCCTCGTCGCGCTCCTTGTCTTTCACGATACCCTTGACGGTATTCTGGGCGAGCCATCAGCGGGTGCGCAACGATCGAAAGATGATGCATCGACGAACCTGGACTGGAGCTTGAAAGCAGCACAGAGCACCTTCTGCCCCGCCACACGCGCGAAGAGCTGGTACATGACCGCTAGCCTCTGCGCGGCCTTGTCGTTCATGAGCCGACTCAGCGCTGCTGAGTGTCAACATCCTGCCCCGTTGAGTATCATAAAGCCTTACGCACCATCCTTCGCAAGCCAATCCAACCGGCCAGTCAGGAGCGCTTTGTCCGTCGTATGGACGATCTCTTGGCAACTCGACTCCGGCAGGACAGCCTTCGCGCGTTGCTCCTCTTCCTTGCGCCGCGCCTCGCAGTGCTTGAGGAAGTCCCGTGCGTCTCCACGTAGAACCTCAGCGCGCTCCGCAGACTCCGCTTCGTAATAGGGTTTCGTGATGTCGAGGAGGAAGGACTCGAATATCGGTAGGTACTGGTTGTGGCTCGAGAGGTGCCGCACGAGAGCGGGGATGTGTTCGCGCAGCTTGTGCGGCGCTCTGTGGGCTGCGTTTAGAGACATTCGCCAACAATGTTGACCTGAAGGAGTGTTACCTCTCCTTGCGTTCCCATTCAATCCACGTCCTGATACCAGTATGCAGCCGCTCGACTATGCTGGAGTTCTCGAAGATGCGCTCGGCAAAGAGGTTGGACACGAGACGTCTGCATACAATTAGCGAGAACGCACATGAACCCGCCTTCACATTTCTGCTTACTTGATGCTAGGAGTGTTCTTCTTGTGTACTATATATACCCGGTCAAGATAAGTGAGGACGGATTGCAAGATAGCCTTGGTCATGAATCAGCATCCTCCACACCGTCCAAGCGCGAGAGCCTACTGTTTGCTTGTCAAACCAAGCACAAGTCTCGTTGAAAGACAGCAACCATTCGACATCCCCTGATCTGTCCTGCAACAGCTCCTTCGCTAGACTGCCGACGCACTTCTCGAGCTCGAGCTTCACGTTCTCGTAGAGGCCCTCGCCGCGATTGTACACATCAACAGCGGAGCGACATGCCCTGTATATGTACTCGTAAGCGACGGGAAGACCGTCGCTGCTTTGCTTGTCCAGAAGGACCCGGACGCTCCGGGTGACGAGGGCGAAGTCCTTGTCGCCAGGACTGCCTGTAGACGGTTTGACTACAGAACATCAACCTCTGTGCCCCAGACAAAGCCGGTGGAAACACGCACTAGGGATCCCGAGCACCTTAATTGCGACACGCCCTCCCGCATCCGCCGCCACAGCTCGCGACCTAGATGCAGAAGCAGAGTCAGAGTCGCGGTCCAGACGGGGCACCTTGCGGAGAGGAGACGCGGACCCCTCTCGCTCGCTGATCCCGACTGCGGGAAGAGCACTGAACGCCTTGGAGGTCTTCGGGAGTGAGAGAAGGGTGAAGACGTCTGCCATTGTGGTAGAGGCAACCGACGACGATGGTCGTCGGTGAGAGCGATGTGTGAGCAGCCCACTCAGCTTCCGGGCCATGACGCAGGGTCAGGGTGATCGGTCGCGGCCCGGGACCCCCGAGGGCCGCACACACGAGGATAATCCCAGTCTGTAGCTCTCAGATGCAACAAAAATGGCTACCCAAGAGTCGGAGTATGCTGTTTCCAGATATATATAAACAACGCCGCGATATTTGCCTGCAAGCTACAAGAATCCACCGCTCTTGCCCGACCCAAACCTGTCTCCCAGACCTCTCGCCTCGCGGATGACCTTGTCGCGGGTCTTGTCGTCCACGAGCCTCCCTGACAGCGCCATATCCCTGCTGTGGTCCCAAATGACCGGAAGTTCATCGTCATCATCTTTCTCTTTACTGGTACTCGTGCGTGCATGCCGATCAACTAACGTTCCTCCACGAACTTTTTTCTGCACATAACTGTTAGCATGAGGCAATCCGTGACACAGACCCAAGACCTACCGTATGTTCCTCTACGCCTTTCCTGACCTCCTCTTCATACCTCCTCTTTTTCCTCAGCTCTCGCTCCTCTTCCGGATTCAGCGCACTGACGTCCGTGACGCGACGCCGTTTGCCTGCCACTTCGTCTGCGATGCGCTGCTGGCGTTCAGCGGGTGTCTCGGTCCACAGAGACGCATCTGCATCCCGCGGTGTCTGCGCTGTCGCTGCGAACTTGCGCGGCCGCTTGATCCGCGTAGGGTCAATCGCTGCGTACAAAGGATAAACGATGTTGCTAGGGACAGAATGCCCAAACTAGTACTCACAGCCTAAGAGGTCGGACTGTGATGGAGGGACAAGCATCCATTCTTCTCGCTGCAGTGCCTTGGGTTTGCTCGCTTCCTGTGGAATTCAGCACAGCGGTTAGTTGGCTCAGTGGTGATCGGTGCCTCAGTACGCCATATAGTACAAGCTGGGCAAGTGGCCCGAGAAGAACGCATGGAATGTGATGCGACAGTTGCATCTGGTTCGAAGATTGTACGCTGACATAGCACACGAAACATATGCCATAGCACCATGTACAAGCCCACGGCGCAGATGCTCAACCGTGCGCAAGCACTGTCCTGTCCTTGCCTTTCAGAGCGGCCCGCCGAGCATTGGCTTTACACAGCGCGAAACCAAGACTCACCTCAAGTTGCTTCTTCCTCCTCTCCTCCCTCTCCAGAAACTCCTCCACGCCGCTCTTCTCTCGCAAGGCGAATCCTGAAGGCAACGGTGTAGGACCATAGTCGTCGTCCTCGTCGTCCTCATCATATGCAGACCTCCGACTAGCTAGATGTGGTGGACGGGCAGGTCCAGCTACTCTCCTGCTTGTGGCACTTGCAGACTTGGCGCCTGAGCAGCTCCGGGTGCTTTTGCGGCTATCATGTCCGGAGGTAGCGCAGGTGCATAGTCCTCCTCTTCCTCTTCGCTGTCATCTTCCGGTGGTGGGTGCAGTCGCTTTCGTGAGGTTAGGTCAGGAGGTATCGCGGGCCCTACAGCTGCAGGCCCATGCTCTTCATTCGGCTCGGGATCGGAGTGGTCGACCTAGCAGAAGAGCCCAGGTGTGTTGGAATGGTAGGGCCTATTGTCGAGGCGTCTTGGCCCCGGTTTTCTTCTGTTTTAGCGGAGCGAGCAGAGGAAGAGGCGAGAAGGTGGGCAGGTAAGTCTGGCCCAATCATCGTTCGTGGCTGGAAGGTAAGTGCTTGAATTGGCGAATGACGAGCAGCCACCGTTGTGGAGTGCGTTGCGGATCCACGTGTTCTCAGATCTCGATGTGCGCCTCGATCAGATCGGACAGTACTGTCTCGGAGACGCCCACATGTACGTTTGTTCTCAAAATCTCTCTCAGCTTGTGCTGCTGCACTCACGAATCGACGAATACATACATCCGGCCTTCAGTCTACGAGTCATTCGGCCGAGCAACTGGTAGCGCACACACGGGCACCTAGATCCGGGATCACATCAACCTGAGCCTCAAACATACCTTGCTCGAAGTTTGCTTTCCCTCCGAATCGCATCGGACAGAAGGTAGTTCACTCACCTCCAGGCTCTGACATGTCGCAGCACAGTATTGCGGGCTTCGCGGCGGCGGCGCTCTCCAGCCTTACGCCCGGACAAGTCGATTTCCTTCGGACCCTCCCAAAGGCAGAACTTCACGCCCACCTTAATGGGTCAATCCCGCTTCCAGTTCTGCAAGATCTCTCGCGAGAATATCTCCAAGAGCACTCCTCACAAAACGATGCACGCGCTGAGGCTGTCCGCGCTGGCATCGAGCGACTCAGTCAAGGAGTCGTGCTAACGGAGATCCACGAATTCTTCGGGCTCTTCCCAGCAATATACACCCTGACTTCCACTCCCCAGTCGCTCGCCAAGGCTGCACGGGGGTTTTGCATCACTTCCTCTCCCCCTCTGACGACCGCCCACCCGAGGCAGCGTATCTCGAACTCCGATCAACTCCACGGGAGACACCTGCGATGAGCCGTCTACAATACATTGAAGCCGTGTTGGACGAGGTTGAGAAGTTCAGTGTAGAGCAAGCCGCTCTCATCGTCAGCCTGGACAGGAGGATGACTCCGGCCGTCGCTTCGGAGTGCGTGGGTTGTGCGATCAAGCTGAGAGATGCAGGAAGGAGAGTCGTCGGTGTAGACCTCTGCGGGGACGTCCAGGTCAGCCGCGACCGAAACTTAGATGCAACTGCGCTCAAAGTCAACCATTGCGTAGGCCGGAAATGTAGCCGATTTCGAAGCCCACTTCAGAAAAGCGAAGGCAGCGGGACTAGGTGTAACCTTGCACATCGCAGAGGTAGGACGACAGTTTTCGTGATCTTTGGCGAATGAGACGAGGAGATTTCGCCTTCCGCAGATACCAGAAACACCAGCAGACGAGATACAACAGCTTCTCTCCTACGAGCCCGATCGACTGGGACATGCAACCTTCTTGGACGAGACATCCAAAGAGCTCGTGCGCAATTCCAGTAGCTGCATAGAGATCTGCCTCTCGTCCAATCTGCTCTGCAAAACCGTCGACAACCTCGACGTGCATCACATCCGATACTACCTTCGTCACGACCATCCCATTGCCATCTGCGTAAGTGTTCTAGTCCGCGTACATTCGCAAGTGGAGTTCTGATCGGGACGCATTCACAGACGGACGACATACTGCCGTTCCGGAACTCCCTCCTAGGAGAGTACGCCTTGCTCATGGCAGCCCCGCCTCTAGGACTTGGCCTTTCCGAGAAAGAGATTGAGAAGGTCGCGCGAATGGGGATGGGGTGCCGATTTCCGGTGAAGTACCAGTAGCCGTCCGTGGAACGTAGACCACGCAGTACCGCAAGCACCGCTCACACAACACAGCATCTCCGCGCATTCATCGCATACTTGGTTTGCTATGCACACATACATGTCAACGGCTCTCCGCAGGCGAGTCACAGAGAATAATGAGAATGGCTGTGTAGCAGGAATGGTCAAGCATTGGCCAGCCTCGCAGACGCGCAATGCTCCCACGCTGCCTTGCTCGCCCCTGCCCTAAATCAGCGCGGTATATAAGCGGGCGTCGTGCTTATTTGCAACTCATTCTTGTGCTCGGGCACGTACTGTCGCCAGTGAGGTCTATACCGAGGCACAGTCTTTTGCTGATTGCAAATTACACATCCGAACACGTCGGTTGGCTTTGGCCTTCCGCAATTTTTGGAAAACCCTCTTCTCGAGGTGTCGATTTCATTCGTGTGGGAGGCGACGCGGGGAGGATAGGAAGTAGCATAGAAGTCGTAGTGTACTGGTGTAATGCGCGAGTTGTGTACTGAATATCATTGTTTACACTTCATGTCTACTGTGTTCTCTGTGTGGTTTTGAATGGTATGCGCAATTGAATGTTGAGAACACTGCTCGGTGTGAGCGTCGAGAAGAGGACCCTGGTCGGTTTGCCCTTGCATGAGTGATGTGGCACTCCAAGTTACTCAATGGTACATGACGACGTACACATGGAAGGTGTGCAGTCGGGAGATCTACTTCAGTCCTCCATGGTCGTAGCGTAACAGGATACACGGTATGCTAAGGTAATGGTATGCGAAAGCGTCCTGCGAACGAATGGCTACACGATGTCCGAACTCATTCAAAACCTGTCCGGCGGTGGCGGGTAGCCACGACCGCCATACAGCTGCTTGCCACTGACGCCACCAACCAAGCTGGCTGTGTTGCCACTGTGGTAGTTGCTGACGTCGTCGTCGTAGTCTCCGTTCGCGAGAAGTGGATCTTTGACCTCCCATACTGTTGCCTTGGAGCCAACAGAGAACTCGAGGTCCTCGCGCTATTGCAGCATCGGGTCAGATCGCACATTCCGGCGGCTGAGACGACACACGTACCGTGATACTGTCCCAGTACTTGTAGACCATCATTACGCTGAGGAGCATGCAGAGGGTGAAGAAGAACAGCCCATCGATGTAGTGTTTGATCGCGTTGCAGATGGTGACGCTGAACGCGAACAAGAGCACCTGCCCGATCGTGAAGAATGCGACGCCGAAGACGATGTCGCCGATAGGCCAACGATCCTCTAGTGTTTGCAGGACGAGCATGAGCTGCGAGATGGTGTAGACAATGACGCAGACCAGCGGCCAGATGATGTAGATAACCCAGAGGCCGATCGGCTTTGCGTAATTGAAACCAGCGAACTGCTTGAAGGTGGCGATGGCGATGAAGAAACAGACAGCGAAGATAACGAGCATGCATCCTCGGAGTAGCTGTGACAGGTTTATTGAATGGATCGAGTGTGCAGCACAAATATCACGACTTACCCATAACGAGATTGGAGTGCCATCTTCGGCGAATTGGAACCCGACGAAGCCGTTCACTAGGAGAGCGACGTATAGCGCAGCGACAAACCCGGTATACACCGCCGCAAACCACTAAATGTGCGAAGTCATGATATGCACCAAACTGAGTGGCGGGCGACTTACAGGATAGCTGACGTTCGACGTTGGAATGATACCGGAATCCAGGAACAGTCCCAACAACTCAATTATGGCGTAAAGGTAGAAGAAATGTAGGATCTCCTTCCGACCTGATATATTGTGAGTGCATGCACAGAGACGTCGCAACTATTGAGACGCACCGATGGCCGTGTATTTCCCCCGGATGTGGAAAATCATAATGGCAGTCATGACAATTGCTGCGACGTGGATGCAAAGGGTAGCTATGCACAAATGTGAGCTCTCCACGCTCAAGCCCGGAAACGGGGGTGTACGAGCACCACGCTCGGCAACATGTGCGATGGGAACATACCTGGCTGGAAGACGAGGGTCCCTGAGAACTCCACATTACGGCTGTAGCATGTTGGCTCTATGCCTTGGGCTGCGCCAACTAGAGGGCAGATTACGAGGGCTGCTGTTTGACATATCTCGTCGAAGGATCCGAATTGCACACCCATCTTGCAGGCGGAGGAAGGAGAGAAGGTAAGAGAGCGGACAGGTGCTTCACAATCAAAGAGACCAGGTTCCGGACGTAGTGAAGAGAGCTACTATCACGGAGTGAAAGCGTCGACAGGCGTAAAGTGGGGATTCCTGAGGATGCGAGCGACTGGATGCGCCCTGGCGGCGGCGACGACGACGAGCTCGAGTCCTGCCTCGACGACGACGGATGGAGAGGAAGCGTGACTTGTCACCATGCACGTGCGCGTGACGTCTCAACCAACAGTGACAATTCGCGCGACGCCAACGCCACGCACGCGCCTTCGCGGAACACCGAACAACACGCTGAGACGGACTGCTATGTGCTCGTACGCAGAAGCACTTACATAGTGCTGCTGGTGAGAGGGCGACAGAAGGTGCTTTGCACGTCTTGCCTCTATCCCCGCAACTGGCCCCGCATGGACGATCGAGGCCACGACCAGGAACAGCTACTACTCAAGGTCTCGAACTGGGCCGCTGTGGTGCACCGCTGCGGATCCTCCATTTGGCTGGCTTACCCCAACGCTATAGTTCGGGCTCACCTTCCTTGCCTGGGAGCCACAATCTTGTCTGCTCACGGTCTGTGGTATCTGGCTGCTACCCGAATGTTCTCAGCAGGGGAGCCGCTGTCCTTCGGCGCATAGCATCTCGACGTAAGTTTCAAACTGGTCGGAACACAGTTCTGACGATATCGATAGGCACACGAGAAGGGATGATGGACAGCAGAATGAGCGAAAACAAATGGGAGGTAGAATAGGGCAAGGTGCGACTCGTTCCTCGAACGCCCGATGATTGCGATACTAGCCTGGATCCCGCGAGGCATACTGTGGATGCCTTTCATCTGTTGCAGTTGATAGGTAAGCATGTCAATGGGTATAGCTGTAATTGGGGTGCACGCGGCCAATAGCCAAAGGCGATTGCAACCCGATCTTGGATTCCTCGGCTCTATCAGGCTGTCTCTTTAGCACCGGTCCTCAGATGCGTTGTACATCTCTTGGATCACACCTTCACCATCGACAACGTCCGGCGGTGATCAGACCATCCGCTGACAAGAACTTCTTCGCCCGAGTGTTCTAGCGGACGCTGTGGCCGTCTGCCATGCGGTCTGGCCATCCACCGTCGTTGTCCTGGCCGCACCTTTTCTTTGTTTTCATTTCACATAGTTGTGGTCACAACATGTGCCACACCGCACGGTTCATCATTCTTCCGCGCTCGTCAGAAGGTTGGTGTCTAACGTCTCTTCGTAATGACCTCCTACACTAGCCGCATGCATGATCGCTCTCAGACACTTGTTCTAACCTCGATGGTCGCCTTCATTAGATCTGAATGAGCGCGCGTGATGGTATGGTAACTTACCTGGATCCGTTTTGCTGCTAGGCTGAAGATCAAAGCAACATTTAGCTCGGCGTGGCTTGATAACGGATGGTGCTGTTCCCGAACAGGATAGCGTTTCAAGGACAATGTCCGACAAGCCCAAGTCAAGAGACTCAATGAAGGTAAGACTTGTGTAGTCCTCTCTCCCGCCGAATGACTCCGAACGTCGCCCACCATCCTGTCAGGTTATGTAGGTAAGTAGGCAGTATGTGCCGTGTTTGGCTAACTCGCGCACGGTGAGATATCTCGAAGATACTTACCGCTTCCCATGATAATCGCCCAATATAGAGCCCCATCGGGGCCTTGCTGAACAATCAACTATGTACCTTCCCGTGCGATGCCAACACGCAAGACACGGATGCGCACGCGACGTGATCAGAGAGATAGCCGCCGGAGAACACATCCTACACACCGACTCTCCGCGGCCGTTCATCGCTTGCAATAAACAGGTACGTGTATTTGTTGCACCTCGACTCCGAGCCGGCGCGGGCTCGGACAGCTTTGATCAGCAAACTCAACTGTGGCACGGTCGAGAATCGTAAGGTCCGTTACAAGGTTCGTGCACTTTCTCTATTGATAATTCACTTGTTCAACGTAAGAGCGGCTATCCCCGGCGCACCGAGTCGCGATTCGTTTTAACCGGTTATGGACGTTCTCCGTCGGAAGCGGCCTCCGCGACCGAGAGGGGTTGCTGAGCATCCGCAGCATAGCTATAGGCGACGGTTCCATCCATGGACGCGCGTCGATGAGTTGCGAGGAACGCTTCAATGAGGAACTCCGAAGGAATATCTGCATTGGAGCTACAATTGACACGATGACATTGTTCTCGGATGAACGGCATCGACATTAGGGCGGTGGCTAAGGTTAAGTACTTAAGTACTAATCGGAAGCACCTGAACACGAGGCGATGCTTATATCAAACCTTCAAGAAGCCGCATCCGCGCAAATTCGCCAGGGTTCTGTGCAGCTGCTCTCCATCGGTTTCTGCATGAAGGAAATCTTCCACCGCCGCCTGTAGTTTATGGCCGCAGCAACGCATATTGAAATTGCCACCGTCTGCGTAGCGTGTGTGCCTCCGGCCATCTCGTGCGCCCGCTTGTCCAAGGGGCCACCTACACTACGCGGATATGACACGTATGCGGCCCCTCCTTTAGGCCGTACAATTCGAGAGAGGCAAGCCTATTAGGATCCTTGGAAACCAGGGCGCCACACTGCTTCCGCCTGCCGGCAAGCAACGTCCCAGTAGTCTGGTGGGCCAAGGAGTTTCACTAATGAACGGAGTTGCGTGAGCGGCTGAGCTCACGTCATGGAGTCACCATTTGGTTGGTCCATTCTCACCAGATTGACTGTATTGGGATCCTGTACGGTCCGTCGTGGCGATTCGGAATCAAGTGTGTATCTGCGCTGTGTTCTCAGTTCCACGGTTGCGTATGGAACGATGAATCCTTCGGGCAACCTTCGGCGTTCACAGCAGTACGAACCGCTCACGACAGCTCGATAAACAAACATCAGTAAACGGCCGCAAATCAAACGACGCTGGAAGCGTAGAACAGCATGCGGTCATCATTTGTAAACTTTCCGAAAGCGGCGAGATGCTCGAGCGGCTCTGCTGCCTCCGTGCCAACAAGATGCGAGACACGCCCTTGCGGGAGATCCGAACAATCATACCGAAATGACAACCTGGGCTGGTGCCACTGATTTGACCTCTTCTGCGATGCGCCTAAGCCGTGTGGTGCAAGTTCTGTCGACCCTGCTTGGACGGAGCAACCAGAGTGGAACGCAAGGAGCCTACCTGCAAGAAGGCTCTGCCGAAACTCAGTCAATTATGACAAGGGAGCAATTGCATAGCTCTCGAAAGAGGAAGGGCCTGGCGACGTCAGACGGCCGTGGCGAGATTCGAACATTGCAGTCTGAACGTCTTATCCGCGCATGCCGTACTCGTGTAGGGCGGTCGCTTCAAGTTCAGTCCAGACTGCGCCGAGTGGCACAGGCGGAATGCAATGGCAGCTCGCGACGTCAGGCAGACGGCGACGGGGCGGCAGACCCCTGTTTCCAGCGCGCGCAGGTTCCGTAACGGCGAATCAGAACGACGGGCCGCAGGTGATAGGGAGGCCAAAGCGTTGGCGGGCGGATAGACCTGCAGCCGCTGCTCATTTGGGTGTAAGACCGCTTGGGAGACATGCTGGCATGCCGTTTCAGGACACGTCCTCTGGGAGACGTCTCATGAATCCGAACGGCGAACACCCACGGGCCGCGTGCACCTCCCCAAAGCGGCCAGCCGCCAAACAGCGCCCAAACAGCGAGGGGGTGTGTCCCTGACGGCCGATCTAGCCTCGCCAGCACGCCTGTCTGGATATGGCAACTCACCACACGCATTAGGCAAGTGTACTAAGAACGCAGCTTAGATCCTTTCAGGCACGTGCGCCCCGCCACCCGCCACGATCCACTCCTGCACGCTGCCCGGATGCGGACGACACTCGCCGATGCAATTTGCTTGACTGGAAAGGGGGCTCTGCGGCCCATCTGGTACGGTGACGGGAAAGCGTTCACGTCAAGATCGGTTCGCAAACGCGGGATACCCGGTGCTGGTTCTTGCTGGCGAGCGGACGCCACAGAAATGGGCACATGCCCGACGGACCAGGGGACGGAGGGCGAGATGAATACAACACGCCTGTGCAGAAACCGCTGGCACGGATCCACTCTGAAAGCCATCACGAAGAGGCAAGCGAGTGGCACGATAGGAGGCAGACGAGCTTGTGCTCAGCTTGTGCTCGAACCGCGTTGATGGCCCCCGATGGCCACCGAAAATTACCTTTGCGCGCCGGCCTCCTTTGCACAAAAGCCAATCTCGGGAGCGGCTCAGATCTGATCGCACGCCACAATAGGAGCGAGATCGGCGAGGACGAGGCCGTGACCTGCCGTCTTTGGCAGTCCCATCAGAGAACGTGACCGCGCCTGGCCAGATGGGGAGCGTGGGACGAAGACAAGGCTATGGGGAATCCCCCCGCCGAGGTGCCGCTGCTGAGTCAGAGGGGACGCGGGCGGCGGAGCGTAAAAAATAAGGAAAATGGCGTGGAAAAGGGCGGGGTGCGGCTGGGAGCCCTGGCCGGTTGTGGCGGCGGATGTGGGCGCAAGACGGTTAGGACGCGTTGAGGGCGGATGATGGCTTCTCGTTCGCGACACAACAGAATTGCCCGGTTTGTCTTTTCCGGTTATTTTCAACCCTGGCCGCTATTTTGCCCTACCGACCCCGGCCTGATCTTCACAACTGCACTATAATATGTCATCGCTACGCGAACATATTCCTCTCCTTTACACTCGCCTTTTTCGACGCCTGCCCTCCTCGTCTGCATGGCCCTTTATACACCACCGCCCTCTCTCCCTCGCACACCGCACTCGCATACCATGAACGCTCCCTTACCTCCTCTCCCCGTCGAACTCCTCTCCACCTGGTCCGACTGGCGCACGACCAAGCCCGAGCCACCCCTCACGCCTCCCTCTCCAATGTCTTCGCCAGACGCGTTCTGCCTCCGCACACTCAGCCAAAGCCTGTCTTGCCATCCATCTCGCACTTCGATCACGCGGCGGCTCGCGTTTCTCCAGGTATGTCGCGTCGCGCACGGCTGCACTACCATGCATGTACTGAGTGAGCCACCGCAGTGACGCCGCCACAGTTGGATGACTCGTACCAGTGGCAGAGCTATGGATCGCCTACACAGCGATCGCCTCGCGCGCACGCGCATACATCGACTACGCGCGTGGACGCGTCGCACGGCGCGCAGTATCTACCTTCGCCGCCTTTCGCTCTTGACTGGTTCACAATATCGTCGGACCGTCCGTCACAGTTCATTGCGGAGAAGACTTGCGAGATGATCTGTTACCTCTGGTTCTCGAGCTACTCGCAGTCGTCCTCCCCCTCAAAACGGAATCGTACCGCTCCGCAGGAGCACTCGCCTTATATTCCTCCTAGTAATTCCGCGACCGCGTCGCTCCAATTCACAGTATCTCCCGCGTTCGTCCGCTTCATGCAGAAAGTTCTCGACACTACGCAAGTTAGTCAGTCCGTCATCGTCCTCGCATTACACTACATCTATCGTATGAAAGCACGTAATCGTTTCACTACTGGTCACCCTGGCAGTGAATACCGCGTCGCCATTGCCGCACTCATGATGGCGAACAAATTCGTGGATGAGTGAGTACCCCGTCCTGACTGTTGTTGTATGCGCGTGACTTACGTTTTGAACAGCAACACGTACACGAACAAAACATGGTCAGAAGTCTCCGGGATCGAGTTGACCGAAGTAAACAAGATGGAGAAAGAGTTCCTGTTGGGCATCGACTTTGGCCTCTACGTCGACAAGTCGACCTACGAATCATGGTTAAACCTCCTGCAAGGTCTAGTCATGGCGAAGGAACGGGAATCGCAGCATTGGCGTCGATCTCGGCGGCCCGCGCGATCACTGCATCGTGTGCATCCAATTCGGCACTCTGCTTCCAGTCTTTCACGGTCGCAGGCGACTCCGTCACACCGCGCACGGTCCTCTTCCCCACGTCGGTGTCCCGCCGGCTTGCAACCCGGTTATCCGCAGCCTTCTCATGCAGCATACTCCAGTTACAGGGTTGACCAGCCCATCGCGCATGCTCATAGCGCGAAGCGTACCGCCTCCGAAGCCTTTGCTAGCGACACGCCGCCTTACGTGCCCTCTGCACCTGCCAGCGAGCCGCCGAGGCGGTCTATGGGTCTCACGTTGCAGATTCCGGAACTCGAGTACTCGAGTAGCCACTCCAGCGAGAGCTCGGCGTCTCCGCTGGAGCCGTTGCAAGGTTTCTCCAAGCTGTCACTGGGTGCATCGCCTGTTGACGTGGGGAACTCCTCGCCTTGGGCTTCGAGTATCGGTCAGAACGAAGTACCGCAAACGCTGGTGTCAGCGTATCGTCGGGATGATAGGCAGACGTATGCGACGCCCCAGGTATGTCGTTTGTCACTTGACATCTCGTCCAACGATCTGACGTACGATACTACAGCAACTGTACTTCTACACCCTGTCTTGCTCGCCCGCGCAGGAAGAGGATAGCATCTCGCGCAAAGGCCGACTCCGGTACCACCAGCCGCGGCCAGCGTATCCTGCGCCTGTCTCGCACATTCAGCCGCAGGTACCTATGGTCGTGCAGTCCGCCTCCGCGAGTCCCTACGACATGCACATGCCACTGCGCTCCGGTCCCACGCTGCCGCCTTTGTCCGAGCTCTCACGGAATTGGCCACGCACAGGCGCAGCCGTGACTCACTGCCATTCTGAATCGCCCGGTGGAAGCGAGCGGCCCGCGCAGGATCCCGTTCCTTCTGCGACCTTCGCAAACGCTGGCCCACCGGGGTACCAGTTTTACGCTACGTCCGCCCCGGCCCCTTCGCCTTACTATTACACCGCGCGGGGTCGGCGGCTTTAATGAACCTTCGTTTCAGTGTAATTGCGTTAATCGGCGCAGCTTTTCTGTGCCTTGTACATTCTTGTCATACATTGGGTCCACGTCCACCACGTCCACGTCCGCCGCAGTTCCACGGGCTTCTTATGCTGTTATGATTATAGCGTTCACGTTCGCATACATCCGCATCCACATCTGCATTCATCCATCATACCCTGCATACAGCTCGGACTATCCATTCAGCGCACGTCAACGTAGAAATACATCATCCTTCATCAGATAGTCGCAGCATTGAAATCACCTGTATATGTTTCTCTGTCGGGTACGCCGATGTATGTATCAAGTAGGCATAGCGGTTGTTGGGCGCCGGTGGCTGCCATATGAACAGAGCAGTCAGACGACGCGTCTAACACGAGCTTCCTGACCCTAGTCTCGCGTTTGAATGGTTCAAATCGGTGCTTATCCGCGTTCTGATGGGGGATAACAAAAGCCATAGCGAATCGACAATAGACGGATCAGGGCGCCGCTGTATGGGTAAAAAGCACACTGAATGACGGCGTAGGCTCGGAGTCGGAAGTAGCCCCGCTACGGCATCCATCATATAATTGAGGTGGGCCTGATCCAGGGGCAGATGCGCAACGCCCTTATATGATCCAGCTTCCAGGGCAGAGATCGTCACCACGGCCCTGCCAGTGGCCAGAAGGTTCGCTCACTTGCTCGCCCGGCGGGAAAAAGCAAGTCCAGTTGGGCTCGCAAGTCGCGGGCCACGTTTCGCCCTGTCGTGTTCAATTACGCTTGCGTGGCGGTTGCCAATACTTACTTACGTGGTGGCCCCTACCGCCCGGCGCTGCGCGGAAACCGATCGACGGGCTCCGGTTCAGCAAGCCTCTTATCACTCCGAGACCGGCGGTGAACCACGGAGTGCATGGAGAAGGGAATGGAGACCGCGTCGCAAACCACCTTCGCTTCGCCGACACGTACTTGATGCAATTAACTAAGTTAGGTCATGTCATAGATCCTTGCGTTGGTAGATCCTTCTCCTCAGCCATCTGTCAACCACACAGTGGCGGGGAGGCGCGACCATAGACGCACCTAGTTTACATAGAAGACATTTCACGAACATCTCACGACCGTGCAAGTTCCAGGGCCAGCCGAAGAGCGGCTCGAATCGACAACTCGTGAGTTGCAGCGCAGCAGTTGAGCCGGGCGCGATGGCCTCAGGCCTGCTTAGGCTTCCATCTCTCCGACGATCACTAGTGTGGTGTCATGTAAGCCGAGGCCATGCAGAAACTCACCTTTTTTGAGTCTCAGCCAGCCCGCCGCTCAAGGGCCGGAACGCCCTGTGTATTGACGAGGAAGTCCCGAGGCTCACCTTGGCCAGCGTCTGCTCAGCGTTCACGGCATGCTGAGCAATCCACAGCTTCAGCTTCAGCCCGCATTCCGGCATCTGCCATAGCTGAAATCAGACACCGCGCAGCGTATCAAAGTTATCGCATAGCAGTTCGTCATGGCATGCCAGACACCTAGCGGAGTGTCCCCGCCATACTACACATGTGGGCCGGATCATGCATCTTACCCGAGTTGGCACTGCACCGGGATCTTGCACGTCAACACCGAAGGTCGGAAATGGATGTATCTTACAGTAATTGTAAGTTTTGACGGGTGTCCACTTGGTCGCCCCATCCATCAACTGCTGTTTTCATTTGGTCGAGAGACCGTGGTGGTGAGACTCCCCAGCTCTGATTGTCGCCGCAATGCTAGCTCGGCGCGCAGACGAGCAAGATTGGAAGCGGTGAAGGCCTGGGTGAACTGCCAGCCGGAGAGCGCCCCCGTCACTGTGTTGGGTGGCAAGCGGTCAGCATCTTCGCAGGACGGTGAGAGGCCATCACTCACATACGCCGCAAATTATGGATGTGTTCCTATTGAACCTGAACAGCTTCGAACCTAGTATAGCTGGAAGATGCAAGGCCAACGCGGCTATGAGACTCATGACACCAAAGAATGGCGACCGGATATGGAGACCCACAGCCTACCAGACCAGCAGAAAGACCAGCGAAGATGCCGTCTTTCCTTGCTTCCTGAAGCACTCCAGCATCGTTGTGAGAAATGCTGCGTACAGAGTGGCTAGAAGTCGTTACCTTGGTGCATCTCGCTACCGCATCTGCGGGCAGGCCTGACGTATGGGCAGAGTCCGACATGGGGCGCCGTCCAGAGATACGACTCCAGGACACCCGGCGGATGGCCTGCGAGGCACGTGATGTCGACGCGCGTGTCACAGTGTGACAGGACGCGTCTTCCGCCTGCGCGTCTCGCGGCTCGCAGCGAATTCAGTCTCTGCTCCACGACTTACACGTCCCCGCCCGCACCAGCATGTCCCCAAACAAAAGGAAACTAACGTCCGGCCTCGCGGATACCTTCGAGACGATCAAAGGCAGGCTATATGCGGTCAATCTAGCACATTCAGACTCGTAACGGACCAATCTGCCCTCTGTAGGCTTGCTCATCACCATCAAACCTAAGCTGATCGATCCCTCCGCGAAACAACCCGGGTGGTCGACTATACACGCCGAGCTCCTCCACCTGTCTTCGCTTGCGGAATCATTCACAAAGCAACGCCCGCGCTCGAACAAGGAATGGATCTCAGTCGCTGATACCTTGGATCGCGAAGGTACGCGAATCTATTGTCCAGAAGGCCGTCCATCGTGGTTCACCCACCATCCATCCCTCATCTGTCATGTACAGGAGTGTGGCTCTGGAATGTAGCTGCCTCGATACCACCGGCACGCGATGACCACGCCGGACAGATCACTGCCGCCGGTAAGAGTTTCATTCTAATTCATGAGGTTGTACGACATGCCCCATACGGTGATGCAGCAAAATTGGCCGGCTTTCGCCTCGTAGAAGCAGGACTTGAACAGAAGCCGTCAGCTGAAAGTAACTGTGCATTAACTATGAATGGCCGTAACATCTTCTGAGCCAACGATCAGCTCTGATTCACGTTCTACATCTCGCAAGTAAAGCTGGTGCAAGTCTCTCAGGTAGGAAGCACATGACGCACGTGCCTCATTTTGTAGTATCTGGCTGAACTGAGGTTTCCCGTTGAACCATAGCGTCTGGGAACCATGATGCTGCCGGTAGCGTGCTGGGAAGCGCGGCCAAGGTATAGCTTTGACCACTAACATCTGTATCAAAGTTCACGCCACCGCAGTACGAAGATGCCCTAAAGAATGCCGAGGATCTCGAGCATTCCCAAGGACAAGCTCGAGCGCGCGTGGTTCTGCTGTATTACTCCAGCAGGATGGAAGCTGTAAGTACTCACATTGAGATCACCCGTTATGGTCCGTTTCAATACGCGCATGGGACGTTTCAGGCGTGGAGGGAGGGTAATGACGGCATCGCAGATTTTATGCTGTCGAAGATCGGTGTGCATCTCTTTACTGTATAGCTTCCAGTCTCTCACGTGGTACTTCCCGCAGATAGCGACCAGCTAAATTCCGTGATGCCACGCGACGTGAGATACCTCTGGATTCATATATCCCTCTTCAGCTCACTACTCGTATTCAAGAGGGAATTACTCGTTGCCAAGATGCTAGAGATAGGGAAGTCAGTCCTGAAAGCAGGATCTCAAGAGGGCAATCCTGCCGTTCGTGGGGCACGTGGACGTGACGCAGTGAAATGGTTGCAGAAAGCCTTCACCCTTTCGGAGCCATTGGAGGCCGCGGACAGCGGCTCAGCACGGCATTTAAAGGTTTGTCATGTCCAACCTTACTCCTTTGCCGCCCTGGCGTTGACATTCCATGCGACCCTGCGTTCGGTAGAGGTCCATTTTGCGAAGTCTCGGTGCGCACCAGCCGCATTGCCATCTAGTGTTTGAATTGTTCGGACTGACCGCTGACTAACCAGCGCGAGCGTATTTCCTGTCTTCTTCCGAAGAGCCGGAGAATCTGGTCCGCGCCGAGGCTTCGCTGAACGAGCTGATCTCGTCAATCGACTCTTCTGAGCATGTGCGTACGCCGACAGCCTGACCAGCCCGCAATCACCCTACCATATTACTGATATGAGTCGTATCTTTCAAGACGTCCGCTGAGTATCAGCAACTCCGATGGATGAGGATAGCCGTGCTGAAGAAGCGGAAGGCAGGACACGTACTTCTGCTCGAGGGTGGGTCACGACTTTCCCGTTGAAATCGAACATGATTTACCAACAGATATACCTAGCGTTTCAATCCATAATTGATCATATGGCCCCAACTGATAGCAGCATTACGGAGTACGTGTTAATCAACTCAGCGTTCACTCAGCTCTGTTGATATTGGATTTTCCGAGTATTCTCCAAGAGCTGAGAGGTCTGGGCGACGAACGGTCAGTTGTATTTCGTCACTCACCGGGCCGAAGGGATCTAAGTACCTTAATGGATGTTTTGCAGCACTCTCGTCGTTGCTGTTCATCAACGTTGCCTACAACGCGTGTTGGACACCGAAGGCGGTTCTCATGAAACCCATCTGGATCGTGTCATTTTGTCCCTGCTATTTCACTGCTCCAAAGGCATAGACCATGCCCAGTCCATGCGAGACATCTCCGCTGCATTCAAGGGTACCCTTCGCACATACCTCAATCAGACTGACTCTGACTTGGTTGCAGCTCTGACAGATGCCCGATTTGAATTGTCTAAGATTTCAGCAACCGCTTGTCTTACAGTAAGCACGGTATCACGGACTCGTTAGGATTTGATGCTCACAGTACTGCCCCTTTCAGCTACTCTGGCAATCTGGCGATCGACTGTACCAGAACAAGCGCTGGCAGGAGGCAGCCGACTGGTATCTGGCTGGGACTCACAAGGCTTTGGCTTCAATTTCCGGATTGGGCGACTCCAAGTGCCTTCGCAAGGCAGCACTTTGTTACATACAGCAAGGCGATTTCTCTCGAGCCTCCGTAACCATCCGCCGTTGCGCCGGTCAGGAAGCAGCAACGTATTACATTAAGCTCCTGATAGCTGTACGCCAAGGTAACGTGTTCCAGGCCCTGCATAACCCGTTGACTGCAATTTTCAGGATTAGGTTTCGAAGACGAAGGTAAGTTTCATTCAGTGTCTTCATAGCCGCTCTCATGTCCTTTGTGCCGTCTCAGCAATTGGCTTGGTTCGAGCGATGGTGAACGCGAGTGGATTCGACCGCAAAACCCTGATGTTAGCCACACAGCTAGCGAACGAATCGGACATGAAGAACCTGTTGCTTTCTGTGTTGGAAGCTCTGTTAGAGACTATGGGAACAAGTGGCGACGCACACAGTGACGCCGAGGCTCTCACGTTGTCGCGATGCATAATTAGGCTTATCTTGAAGCTCATGGGAGAGCCCGGCTCGAATCGGTGCGGCTGATGAGACTGACTTCATGACTATCAACGTACTGATATGCTGATTCCCTGTTCAGATCACCCTGGGTACGGGTACTCATCGGGCATTTTCGAACAGGTATGGCAGGTCGGATGAAATCCGACGATTCAATCCTCAACTGTACACAGCTATACTGCTCATCAAAAAGCTGGGAGAGTCTGCCAGCCTTGCACTGGTTACGAGAGACATCTCGTGGCTATGGCGCGCCGCCTACAATTGCGCGATTCAAGGATGCTCCGAGTGGGAGCACGCTGAAGCCAGTGTGTCTGACATATTTGATATCGCGAGGCAGGTCAGAGTTTTCCTGAACACATGTACACCTTTCATCCTGAGTATCGCCGCCACGTAGCTCCTAGAGTCATACCGCGACGCCTCGCTCACGGAGACGGGTGTGGAGATCTACCTTCACATTATTGACGCCTCGTTTGCTACGGTGGCGGGAAGAGGTACGAAGGTCAGTCACGTCACAAGCATATCGCAATAACCAAAGCGTCTGCAGTTTTCGAACTTCGGAAGCAGTTATCTAACGGGCATCAAATCGAGGTATTTGAGCACAGCTGTTCCGTGTTCACAATTGATAAGCAATTCATTCTATTCAGATCCGTAAAGAGGAGTCCTTGCGATCCTTGCTTCTGGACATCACTTCTTGCAGGGAGCGGATACGTGCGGTGACGGACTCCGCAAAACTGCTGGACGCTGAAGACATCTCCCGCTCGCAATCCTACGTGCATGTTCTGCGCGTCTTCGAGGTCGAGATGCTCTGTCATTTGAGAGATTGGGAACAACTTCTACAGGTCATCAATGTAGGTTCTCTACGGGCATGAACTCTGACATGTCGCATTGAGGGAATGGTCAGGAGACAATTCAATCAAAGCCAGGCGCGATGGATACATACGAAGCTATTACAGATGTCCTCGTGAGTTATCTTCTATCCTTTCTCCCTTATGTCCAGACGTAGACACAAAACAGTGGGTAGAGAAGGACTGTCCGGTCAACGGTAGGTTCGCTACATTCACCTATCCGGTACTAGCGGACTCAGGCGGTACTTTGCAGTGCTCTTCACTGCATTGGAGGTACGGAGTGCCTCGCCGCGGCCCGCCGACTACTTACCGGCCTGCTATAGGCTATCCTCCATGCAAGCCTCGACCGCGGCTCTCTATCGATAGAGAAATTCTCGAGATGGCTACGTGCGATATGTACAATGCTTCTCTCCCGCAATACAGCCGAGGACAGAACCAAAGCCATCGGATACGTCGAACAAGCTGTTAATGTTCTCGAAGATCACACAGACGGCGATGCACAGGTATGTCTCGAATTTGTTCACCGCAGGCCGGTCATCTGACGCTTCGAACTGCGTTAGGCTTATCCGATTGACGAGCGGCAGTGGTTGCTCGGGACCTCATACAATACAGGAATCGAGTGTTTACAGCGCGTGCCGTTCGCATTGGATATATGCTTGGTTGCTCACTGCTCTGATAGTGCGTCATTACTGGACGAGGCGAAGAGATGGTTCGAGGCCTCCACCACTATCTGTCGGTTCGTGCCGGATGGGGAAAGTCGAGCAAACAAGGTGAGCAGCTATGTTGCATCCGCAAAGCTTCTCGTTAGTCATTGGAGAAGATTTCGGAGACGTACACGCGTCTATTGGAACGATATGCAACTTATTCTGCGGCTTGACCCACGAAGACGTGACTTTTCCATTTTGTCTATTAGATGCCTCCATGGTCCACCGTCATGTTGTATGTCTGCTGATGCTCACGGGGACGGACCAGAGGCTTTGCCTGGATGTATTGCTGTGCCTGCTATGTGTCATATATGTAAATCTATCATGCATTGTTCCACCGGAGGTTAAGCGGCATGCACTTGTGAACGATGTCAACGACTGCAGCCGCTATTTTATGGCAGTACCGGACGGAGCAACATCCAAGACGTGATGTGCAACACACTGTGACAATGTTTGTTCGAGGCAACCCTAGCATGGATAAGCGCGAGCAAATGCTACTGGTCACTCCCGAATCACCTCACCGGTGCCGGCGATTACTTAACGAATGATACTCGAGGTCATAGTGCTAGTGTTACATGGTCTGATGGCTTTCAGCAATGTTTAGGCTGCATTACTACGCCGCAATCAGGTCCTGACCTCAAGGTGACTTTGACGAACAGCATCGTGGGCCGCTCGTATCCCGGTTCGCTCAGAGAAATTTACGGCAAGCGGGAAGCAGGCTGTTAGGCTCCAGTGGATAGTACTGAGTGGTCAGTCCACTTAGAGGCTGGGAAGCTCCAGTGTAATCGATAGGAGTCCTCGTGCTCTCAAAATAATCGCGCCAGGTCTGACGTCGACTGAAATTGAGACCGCTCAGCGATTTACTTGCCGTGTACATATGTTTAGTGACCCATTCTATGACTGATCTTCAGCGCGGTGTGGCGCAAATTCTATGACCACTCCAAGGTGAGTTGAATCGGGACCGAGACACCATCATACATTCGTCCCCTCCTCCCATGCGGAGTCTCAACAGTGCCAGTGAGGCCGACGATATAGCCGTTCAATCCCGACGACCCAGAAAATCGGAGCGGCCCTTGCAACCTGCTGTTGGAAGAGGATGCCGTAGACGCGCACGAATGAGACATCCCGCCTATCATGAATAGCATGTCTCCATAGGTCGTTGCTGTTGCTAGAGAATTTGATCTGCCCGAGGACATACATACCACGCTTTCCTGCCGCGCGGACCTTACTCTGCCCGTACAAGAGTTTTGGTTCAAATGTCGATCGGGTCCTCGGACTGTATCGCGGCTCGCATCGTAGAGATGAGTTGTGGGAGGGGACGAGGAGGGGAGACGACGGCTGCGGGGGTAAGTGTCGCTAGTCACAGTGTTTGATGCTGCTGGACCTCTTGAACAAGGGTATCGGAGTGAAAGGTTCCATGGTACGTACTGCATTCACCGTCCATTCCCCTGAATGATGACATATCCTCATGTTGTACCTAATAATTGTTTCGTTGATTCGCTTCTGTCAAAAACTGAGGTTCCCATGACCGCGTTGTGGGCAACGTTCAGACGTATGCAGCTCACTATTCAACTGCTGCCGTTATGTCACTGTCTGAGAGGCACACCGTGTGAGGGCATTCAAGTTCGACATTCGGAAGGACTCAGCCCGAGTATATAAACTGGAGGACCTATGTAATCTTGTCATTATCACCACAAGTTTGAAACACAGTACTATCAGCGGACACCACACACCAATCAACCACTACTCCTTCGACCAAACACTAGTATGCCGCCTCACCACTGCGTGTTCTGCCAGAAGGCCACCGTGAAAACCGGCGGCCAGTGTAAAACAAATGCGGACGATACGTCGCATGCGCCCAGAACTGTGGCAACTTTGTGGCCAAAGCTGGGACAACGTGCCCGGCCTGTGATGCGAAGCTGCAGGTTAGTACATGTTCACCGTTGTGATTGTGTTCCTCGTTCATGTAGTCTGCGAGTATAGCTGCGCGGGCGGAGAAGGCGAAAGGGAAAGGGAAATGAGGTGCGTCCGAACGGAGCGAGTTCGCAGATGTGCCTGTATTGAACTGTGCGATTGGGATGAGCATGATGGTGGATGCGAGCGGAATACTATTATGTACTACCAGTATACATGGCAGCTTCAAGGTCTTCATGTCATCTCAATGACGTTACCGCATAAATGGAAGCACGTGGCAAACCGCCCGCCGACGCTTGAGCTTGAGCTTGAGCGCTAGCGACAGTTCTTGGGGAATCCCAAGTATGCACTACTGAGTACTTTATTCGTTAACAGCGGGAGCGAGGACTCGGAGGCCACCCTACTCTCCTCTTGCCATCATGTCGACGTCGGGAAGTGCATCCTCTCTCGACTCTGATGATGCCGCGACGCTCTCCGCCACTAATTGGGACGTCATCCAGAAACTTGTGGGCACGATCCTAGGTGGCAAACAGACATCCTGGGGGCGTACCACGTCCGGCAGCTTCAACCTCGTTCGCTTCCTGCATGTGGAGGACCAGCCGGACGTCGTCGTGCGGGTTCCACTGAACCACGTTGAAACCCCCGAAAATGCCGTACGCGACGTTGTCGCGACCATGCAGTACTTCCACGAGAAAACCAAAGTCCCTATCCCGCGCATCATCTCTTACAGCTCCTCGGCTGACGAGGTCAGCCGTCCCTACGTCGTCACTACAGAAGCGCAAGGAGTCGCCCTTTCTGGGATCTGGGATAATATGCTTGACCACAGACGCGATATGATACTGCACCAGGTCGTCGAGCTGCTGCTCGAGATGTACTCGCATCGGTTCGATAAGATCGGGGCATTATCCCGCGAAGGAGATGCCGGGGCGTGGGTGATACGAGCATCCCAGGGTTCGGAACAGCAGAGTCGAGTGTACACCAGTGGCACAGACTACTGGATCGATCACGCCACACGCAGGCTCGCGAACATAGTAGACGAAGCGAATGGTGACTCTGCCATCTACGAGTACGCTCACGTGTGGTGGATGCGGTCCCTCGTCCCCGCACTCTACGACAATGCTCTCGACGAAGACGGATTCCCGCTCATGCACGGCGACTTCCACTCCCAAAACATCTTCGTCGTCGACGCCGAGACGGATAACCCGCGAATCAGCTCCGTCATCGACTGGGACAATACGGGGACCATCTGCACGAGCTCGTTCTCACAACCGCCGTTCTTCCTCGTCGACCATCCGCTCGCCGACCCTGACGGCGAGAAGACGCAGGCCGCAGCGAAGAGGAACGCGCGTGACCGCGAGGTCTTTGCGCGCCTGCTGCGGGAAGAGGAGCTCAGGCGTTTCCCGAACCGTCCGCCGAGGCTCTCGAAGGCGCACGAGAGCTGGGAGGGCGTGTACTTGTTCGAGCAGTGCGTGGATGGTGGCGTGATGTACAGTGCCCTATGGGATCACTTCGTGGAGCATATTGTGGGCGACAAGGCCGCTCATCAGGAGTACATCTTTGGGCTGATTGAGAAAGGTGTCCTCAAATCGGTTGCAGAGCGGATGGGACGTACCGGTGATACAGTTGACGAAGAGTAATACCTACGTCGTCAATATGCTGTTCTTCGTGCGATACCATGTGACTTGTGCCTTTGTCAAAATCGCTCTCCGTTTTGTAGTCGCCGGTTGATGAGATAGCTCGACAGCCGCTGTATTCCAGCCGAGAATCGTATCGACCTACTTACCCTTATCCATCTGCAAACCTACTGGATGCCACTGGCCGGATTCCACCGGTTAGGTCCACAGTAATACATCGGTTACATAATGAAGTGACCACTCACTTTCGGATGATACAGTTAATGGCCCAGACCGCCAGCCCAAGTTGGCTGTGACCGTGAGACCACATCGAAGGCACCCTCGGTGATACTAACTTACTAGTATCGGGCTGTGGACAGCATCACGGTCGGTTCTATGCATTCAGGGCCTCAATATCTCGAGCCGTGGAAGAGGACTGGGGAACGATCCGCACTGCCTGGTACGACGATGCGATGCCCGGGCCCCGAGTAACGCCGCCATACGCCAGGTGGTTCAATATTCGCCCTATGGAACTGGCAGATCTAGACGCGAGAAATCAGTGCACATCCTAAGATTCCAGCAGTAGAAGAGACCCTATTAGGTAGAGTGTGAGCGGTACGTTCCGGACCTTGTTCGTAGGCGTTTGGAGACACGTACTCACTACGAGCGCCGTCAAAGCCTAGGTCGGGTAGCCCCGTAATCCATCAGTGTCGTGGGCGACGACCTTGACCACGGATGGACGCCTTCCTCGATGCGGTCGCTCAGCGCACGGTCCCAGGTGGTATAGCTCCGTTCCCTGAGCGCGCGGCGAACCAGCGCCACAACTTCCATTAGACCGCAATTCACAGCGGAGCCCTTCATAAAGTGCATTGAGTACATACAGCAACAGTCAACGGAGCTGTTGGCTCTGACCAATACGTTGGCGACACGATTGGACTGTACGGGAAGATATCACAACACGGTCGACCACCGTGTTAGACACGTTCATCACATGTCATGCGCCGACAATGCGGGATGAGGCTGACAGTGTCTGTGCGGTGAATGGGGAGGTAAAGTTACATACTGTGTGGCTCCGGTCATTCAATTGAGCTCGGGTCTGGGATCTGAGAGACAAGATGGTGATCACCGCGCACGAAGCACGGATAGGACGTAACTTAGAGCTAAAGCATTGGATACATCCTCACCGATTGATCCGAATCACTGGTGTCCTGCAATCTCACTGTGAGCGGCTTGGACAAGCAAGTAAACAACGCTCTTGATCAGATGGCCAAGTCATCTGCGGTTTCGAACATCGCACGCACGCATGCAACTGTCCTCTCGAGTCTTGGCTCGTAAGAGAAAGGCGATCGCGCTCGGCGTAAACCCGGGGCGTGTGTAGGTGCGCTAGGTGTCCATGTCCACGCAGTATCAAAGGGTGGGGTGCCTGTGCCGGGTAGTTGAGTAATGAGAGGAAAGAACAGAGGGAGGACACTGGACAGTGGCGGACGTTGAAGCGGGCGCCCCGGCCCGGCCCCGATGTTATGCGGCGGAGAGGGTCGCCGGCGTATTCAATCCAGCAGTGTCGTCCATGGTCCTCCTACGCTTCGCGCCTTCACCCACCGGTGCTATCCACCTCGGTGGCCTCCGAACGGCTTTGTACAACTATCTCTACGCTCGGAAGTTGGGTGGACGATGGATCCTCAGAATCGAAGACACGGACGCGGTCAGTGGATTCGTGTTCGACGCGTCTACCACGCGTCGCCGAGAACTGGCTTCTGACATGTTTTTTTTGACTGTGTGCATGTAGACGCGTGCGGTGCCAGGTGCAGTCGAAGGAATTCGTGAAGCATTGGATTGGGCTGGACTGGAGTACGACTACGGTGAGTCTCGCCGCAGAGGTGTAGCCACGGAGACATAGAATAAGATACAGGTCCGGGAAAGCAGGGACCTCATGCTCCGTATTATCAGGTGAGAGAGCAGCGAATAAACTGACGTGGACCACAGATTATTCATCTCTGTCTCAAACAGTCTGAACGCCTGGACCTCTACCACCACTATGCTACAAACTACTCGAGGTACGCCGGGTCTAAGCTGAACATCAGCAAAATATCCATATGGAGTTGACGCATTACTTCGCAAAGTCTGGGCATGCATACCGCTGCTTCTGCTCTCCGGATAACCTAGCGACAAAACGTGAAAAGCTTGCACGCTCCGGGTCAAGCTCTACCTACGACAAAGCCTGCCTCAATCTCACAGAGGAAGAAGTGGCGAGACGGATGCGTGCGGGGGAAAAGTCTATAGTGCGACTGAACGTAAAGAGAGAGTCTCTTACGACCAGTGATTGTCACTGAAGCCGAAAATGCAGGATGGTCGACTGCCAACTCGGCCTAGTCCCTCTGACTTGATCTTCAAGCACCTTCGCGACGCACATGCCTCTCTCCCGACTGACCCAGTTCTGCTCAAGTCCGATCTATTCCCAACGTACCATCTTGCATCCGTAGTGGACGACCATGAGATGGGCATCACGCACGTCCTAAGGGGAGAGGCTAGTAATGTCTGTTTCTACGACGTAGCTGCGATTGACTTGCCCTTCAGGAATGGCTGCCGTCGTTACCATTGCATCTAGATTTATACGCGGCCTTGAAATTAGAGCCGCCGCAATTCGCACACCTCCCGCTATTACTCAACCCCGATGGGTCGAAAATGTCGAAACGGAAGGGCGACGTTCAAGTAATGGACTACAAGGTCGGTGGCCTTACTTATTGTGCTACGATCTGAGACACAAGCATGCTCGAAGAGACGTGGATGGGAACCTGCCGCTATCCTGAACTGGCTAGCCCTGGCGGGGTGGGGGGCAGCACATGACTCCGCGTCCGAGGTCAACTCCTCACCCAAAAAGCAGCCGCCAGACAGCACCACCGTACTGACGCTGGACGAGATGGTTCGCGAGGTGGGTCGCGCGCATATCATCTCCTTGCGTCGGAAGGTACTCATGCCGTGTGTGTAGTTCGATCTCACTCAGCTGACGCATAGACGGTCAATACTGGACCCGGTCAAGCTCGAATACCTCAACAAGCACCATCTCATGCAGACGATAACGACCTCGGAAGGGTTAACTGAGCTCGCCGAGCGTGTCCACACGCACGTCAAGGAAGCCTACCCACACAGGTACGTGTCCACCGATCGCCGACACCCCAACTCACCGGTGCTTCCGTTCTAGTCCGCATACATCAGTGGAATACATCAAAGATGTCATTGCGGTGATGCAGGTATGGCTTCGCCACATCTTGCCGTTGTAGTACTAACATATTCCTCTGACAAAACAAGAGCCGCCTGCTTTGCTTGACTGACCTTCCGGCACAGGGGTCATACATGTTCGTAGACCCTGACTATTCAACGGACGAAGCGCGGCGCATGCAAAAGGCCTTCCCGCCCGAAGTATATGACAAGGTTTTGCTCGATCTCAAGGACGTTTTGGCGAACACGGATGACCAGTGGAGCGAGCCAGCCCTGTCGACCATCGTCCACGACCGAATGCGGAATTCTGGTCTCAAGCCGAAGCAATACATGACAATTCTTCGGCACGTATTGACTGCATCGACTGTGAGTCAAGTCATCCATGTACTCATTCACGGAGATGAACGCGTATCCCAGGCGGGCCCGGGTGTCGTGTCCGTCATGCATGTGCTCGGGCGCGAGAGGACGCTAGAACGACTGCACAAGGCGCGCTCAACTTTAGCTTCGGCTTCGACGTAACTCGAAGGGGGTACCATTAGCTACATTACTTGAGTATGATACATGCGACATGCTACACAATACAGAATGCGGTGCTTCCTCCCGGCGCCAGTCCATGGATGCGATTGTGCTGTACATACATTCACTTCACAGTGTTTCCCAGCCTCCGCAATCTACGGTGCTTTCCAGACGTCTAGCAATCAGGGTGGGTACCCCTTGATTCAACCACACCTTCCTCACTTCTTCCCATCTTGCGTGGTGCAAGTACTGCCTCCGGCCTCGCCTGTACACGGGTTAGAACGTATTCTCGTCGACATGGGATGTGAAGACGAACCTCATGGATACATCTACCTCGCCGTGGATGTCTAGATATGGCGACTGTGTGAACGCCCCGTTGTTCGCATAAATATACAACAATGAGCTTCGCTTGACCAGGAAGAAGATCCCAATAGGACCTGCGCATCTTGGCGGACGTGAGCGTCCGTCGCTAGCCATGAACAAGAAGAAACTCACTCTCGCGTATGCATGTTACATTCCCCCGAGTTCCGTTCTCGTGGTCGGCGCAACAGTGACTCTGCAGACAGCAGGTTGCACCGCATATGAGACATATCGCCGCGTCCAACGGGACTGTTTTGCAGCGTTGGCACGTCATGATCTTGTCCTGGTCGAAATACAAGTGATCGAGTACCATTGGAAGTTTTGTCAGGCGGTACACCACCGGATAGTCTAGAACGACTCCGCAGTTGAGCTGCGATGCGGCGTGTGAGGTTCCGTAATGCTGACACCACACGGACAACGCAGTTTGCAGAGTATCTTGATTGGGTAGGTCGGACAACGGGGGGATGTCCAACATCGTCAACAGCCGTCTGTATTCGCAGACATCTTCCGAGACGGCAGGCGTGGGGAACGCCGCCGGGAGCATCGCGCGGCACAGAATGGCTGCTCTGCGCAGGAAGGGGAGCGTGAACATGTAGAGCAGCTTCTCTATGCGGGCTTCGCCAAAAGCCTGGCAGACCAGGTCCCCGGCTTGCTCGAATACGGGTGAGTGCCTAACCACCGACATGAAGAACATGCGAACGTCGCCGAAGAGGTCTGAATGGCGGCGTCGGGGGATCGCTGTGACGTGGTAGCTGCGAGTTTTGTTCAGTATGTAGACCAAGCCGATGACGGTCCGGGCGAGGCAAGCGTAGTACGCGAGGATGAGGACTTGTCGGAGCATGTCTGGCGCCACGGCAGCAGTCTCAATCAGGATGGTGAAGGGATCACGGAGGAGCAAGGGATATGTGAACGACGTCAATGAACCGCGACTCCATTCTGGTAGTAGCCGCTTCATGATGGCGTGGCGCATGGAATCGCGGCCCTCGTCGGGTCTATTCCTGAAACTGAATGCAACCAGCTTGGTGAGACACGTAACTAGACCTCGTATCATGCGCAGCTGAGGCTCCGAAATAGCGTCTGGCACCATGCGGCCTGGAGTACCCAAACCTCGTTGGGCAACCTCCATCGAGGAAATGGTATAACCGACCAAGTCCTCTGGAAGGTACAGCCCGCACCTCGGTCTCCGGGCTCTGGCTCTGGACGGTCGCGTAGATGTCGGGTCTGCTGAGAGATATTTCTTGCCACGACCATGATTGTATCGACCATCTTGTGCACTTCAATGGGATCCCTCTGCTCTGGAGCCCGTTGGAAGGACTGATACGCAGGGTCTTGAGCAGCCCAGAAGACGAACTCCCCAGAGCCATTTCGGAACTGTAACTGCTCTAGCACTGGGTCCGCCTTTGACTTCAGGATGCTGATTCCGGCTGCTCTGGTCCATTCCGTGAACGGCAGACCATTAAGCTCAGTGCTAATGGGTGAGGTAGCAACGGGTAGAATGACGTTTCCCAGACTCTTGCACAGCGGGCATATGTACTCCTTCCTTGGTATGCTCTCCGGGTGGTTTCTGGTCGCTTGCGCCCGGTGTCTCTGTCTGATAGATGCGCTGTAAACGGTAAAGCACTCCAAATGCATCATATGTGTGCATATTGACGAATGCAGACCGAAGCGGGTATATTGCGAAGGGAAGGGTCGAAATTGTGGGCACGGTGTTTTGTGTTCTTCATCTCTGGAACGGGTGGTGGGAAGACAGGGTTCGCGTCGCTGGGGGCGACACGGTCTAGATCATCTGGGCAAAGGACAGCTTCATTAGTGTAGGTGTGCTGGCCGTCTGGATGGCGTCGCAAGAGTCGACTCGGCTGCATGAACGCGAGGGAACCAAATGCCTTTGCGGTATTCAACTCCTCTTGGCAGACGATGCATGTCCCGTACGAGACCGGTACATCGGGCGTCTCGCCCATATCATCGTCCTCATCGTCGCCGAGGTCTTCAAAGTTGATGGCGAAGCTTGCTTGCTGCGCCTTCATCTGTCTCATAATAGCCTCTTGCCTCGCCTTCGCCGCCCTCTTTTTCGCATTGACCGGATCCGCAGTATCGTCCGGATGGTCCTCCACCAGACGCCTATGCAGGCGCACAGATTCGCGCTCGTAATTCTCCAAGCGGTCGAGAACCCATGCCACACGCGCATGATACGGCTTGAACTTGTCGTGGTGCTCGAAGTTGCACAGCACATCGAGTAATGTCTGCCCGTCCTCAAAGGTCTTTTGTACGGCTGCCTGGCTGAAGACCTTGGGCCTCTCGGTCAGCGCCACCATGATCAAGTGGACGAGCTGGTCCAGGATGGCCTCAGAAGACGGAGGAGTCGTCCCTTCCGCGTCCGTGATCATGATGATGTTGTAGATGCCGTAGAAGATGATCTGCAGCAGGACTTCCGACTCGAAGATCGCCGGGATTCTCGAAAAGGCACCGGTCTTGAAGTCGAGAGGTCTAGGAGTGAGGACCGGGTCCTCGACACCCGTCTTCCTCTTGAGCCGGTTGCGCAAGGCGGTCTCCACGTCCTCGCGCTTGTTCCGGGTGTAATGGAAGAAGAACGGGTTGACCTCATCAAACGCTTCGTCCTTCAGCTCGTATGTTCCGATGTCCGTGGTCGAATCCGGAGGCTTGAAGTTCGCGACCCCTCGGAGGACCGTTCAAAGGATACGTCGTCCACCATGCGCTCGACAGGCGTTTAGTTAGTCGGTGAAGGTGCAGGGCCCAACCGCGAGCGCGTGGACGATCTCGCGCCGGATCGCATCCTGCATGGACATCTTTGTCGCGCTGGCGTTTCGGTGAGGATCGTGATAACGATATAGAGTAGCTCTTCAACCATGCCTGGGAGATGCGTGTTTTCGAAGACGGGATGAAGGGTGGCGCCCGAAAATAGCCCATAAGTTGGAAGCGGTCGAGCATGCTGACGAAGACCAACTCTGGGCCTAATATCACCAACGCTGCTTGCAGGATAAAGAGATCCTGATCATAACACAGTTCTCGCAGCATGAAGTCGCGGTAATGCAAGAGCTGCCCTCGGATGGCGAAGCCGTTGCGAACCCAGAGACCCGTACGGATCTGCGCGATCATGGCCAAAACTATTCGCATGGTCAGACACAATTCGACACTGTACAGATCGAACAACTTGCCTCGCAGAGGGTAGTCGATTATTGTGAGTATCGCCTGCTCGCTCACGTTACGGAGGCACGCCTCCCGCAGATTATTCAGCCCAATTTCTCGCAGCGAGTCATCGCTCAGGATGTCGACATGCTTGAAGAGCTCGGCGAGCAACCACTGTAGAGAGTGGTGGAAGCTTACCCAGCCATCCATGACGTCGAAGTCGATGACTCTGTACGTCGTATCCGCGAACGCCACATCGTGGAAGAGTACCGGCGGGAATCTGGTGATGTCGCGATGTTCGTCCGCTACCGCCGTGGTCACAAGAGTGTGGTGCATGACCGTCGTGATCGCAGCGACCAATTCCGATACGGTCGCCCGAGAGAAGGCTCCTCCGTAGACTTTGATCACCCTGGACAACGAAAGAGTGACGTTGAACACACTGATCCACGCATCCGCCTCGTACTCGACGTGGTTAGCCGACGCCCGTTTGTTCGGGTTCACGCACATGAAGATCTGGCAGGTCTTCGAGAAGTGCGCGATGAACTCCCGATTATGGGCGATGAGCTGCTGTACGGGCTCGTTGTGGCACAGATAGCGTAGGTCGCTGAACACAGGCATGAACCGCTTCGACTTGAAAGGAAAGGTGTCGACATCGATGTCGGCGTTGGGGTCGGCGGGATGGATAATGCGTTTGTCCTGTATCTGGTTGGTAAAGAAGGCGGTTATGATGGACAGTAGGCGTGAGATCATGTTATGCTGTCGGACGATATACAACGCGACAGATGGAACGGTGAAGAGCTGCAATGCGAAGTACTTGATGGAGGTCTCCGCCTCTCGGTCGATGAGTAAATAAGCATCGATGATACGATGATACACGCTAGCAAAGTGGGACGCTATAACAGATGTTTGACTCAGATGACAAGTAGTGTTTGAATATACGCGACCTACCGACTGCTAGCTTGTGCTCGTGGCTCAGACTGAGTAGAGAAGCATATACCTCCTTGAGATTGAGGCGTGGCTTCTTCCAGAGCCTGCAATGATACAGGAACAACCAATCGATGCGGCAAGGGTCATGAACCTCGGCGAGGGACTTCGAGCTTCATGAGTGGGAATCAAAGAGTAGTTCTTCCTGGGCGCAAGAAGTTCTGCAGCAACCACCTCCCGTAAGATTAGCGTATCCGACCCCAGGCGGCTGCGAGTGAGGTCGAGGAGCCATTCGATAATGACGGTCACGATCTGTTCCCGGAATGTGTCATACGCCCTGCGGACAGTGACCCCCAGGTCGATGTGGGAGATCGTTTGCGCCATCTCCATGAGACGTGTGGAGTTGACGTGCATTTCCACCACTTCGCGTCCCTGCTCATCAATCCGGTCTGCAATTGCCCTGGCTTCGTCTTTCGTGCGCGGCGTCATATCGCGTAGCAATTGAACGATTTCTTCGATGGAATGTTTGTCGTCGTTCCAAATGACTACGCTGAATTGATCCCTGAGCATAGGATCGCCCGACGGCTGTGCCCGAAGGTCTTCCTCGTTCATAGGAGGGTTGGTGTCGTCGGGGGAGTAGTCCAGGGTATCGATGATGAAATCCAACGCATACGCGACAGTCCTCGCCATCGTGTCCCTCAAATCCGGCGTGACGGGGACCCGGAAGGGGAAATCGCGCACGGGAGGGACGTCCTGGCCTATCATGACTCTTGTACTCGCCCGAGGAGTGGCCTGAAGCGTCCTAAGAGCGAACGCGCTAAGATACTCGGTCGTCTCGTCCTTCGGAGGATGGTACGGGCAGTTGATGGGCGTGCGCCAAGCTTCGACGTCACCGCAGTCGCAGCATCCGCCGGATTGTTGAGCGATGAAGAAGCTGACGTTGTGGTCTACATGGTCGGTTGCCTCGAAGCACCGCGCACAGAGTACGCAGCTGTCGTCGAGGGCACAATCCCTGCAACGCGTTCGCAGATGTCAACGAACATCCACGCACGGAGTTACTAAGCACACTTACTTGCACCTGAAGCAGGCCTCTCCTTTCTTAAAGATGTAGCCACAGGGTCTCCCTGGAATGATCGGCTGCTCCCTGTGCAGCCCGGTAGCGACCTGCACTTCGCTGAGCGTTGCGTGCGGAGGAAGGCTCGAGAGTGAACTCGGCAGGAAGAGATGGGCGTGGGGGCCCCAGAACGCGTCGTATAGTTCAGAGAGGATCTCAGCACGCGTCGCAGGCGTGAAGACGTATTTCCGTGAGCCAGGCATAGTCTCCAAAGCGAAGCGGAGGCGTGCCAGAGGATCGGACGTCCTGTCGCGAGGATGGGTATGCATGGAGCCCAACAACCTGGACGGGAATAAGGAGGACAGGCCAGACATTATCGGCAGCTCGCAGATAGCAGAAATACGGTCTTCATCCGCCTCGAGTCTGAGGCTCCGAGATTACGACGAGTACAGGCTGAGAGAGGTCGTCAGACGTCGAGGTCCGGGTCAGACTGGGGTTAAGCGCTGGTCGCCAGTGCCACTTGAGCGCGCTCACCACCGCGTCTCTGTCACATACTACACTGCCTCGCTCGCCATGTCGTCCAGAACATCAATCCAAAATCCTGCAGCGGCAATAGCCTCGAGCTCGTCTATCCCAGGGCTCGCGGCCCTCGCAGATCCCCCCACTCGCCAGATAGACGCGGCGGCCATGGACTACTTCCTCATCGAGATGGTCAGCACCCTGCGCGCATCCTCTGCCGTCGCGGCTGCGCGAGCGAAGAAGCTCGAACAAGATATGATAGAGGCCGGCCTCATGCCCGCACCTTCGCACGTTCCCCCTACGCTCAAGGACACACAGCGAGACTCAGTGGGTAGCACCACATCGAGGACTTCGGGCGGGAAGCCCGCCCTGGACGATGAGGAAGAGGCCCTTCGGTCGCGCCTGGAGGCCATTGGCATGCATGTCGGGGCAAACGTCGCTGAGAGGTTGGTGCCGGAATATACTCCGGCGTGTCGTGTCTGAAGTGTGGTCGTGCTCTCAGGCTATGCCATGACCGAGGGATGTTCTCGGACACTCTCGACGCAGTCAAGTTCGTGTGCAAGGATCTCTGGGTAGCGTGCTGGGACAAACAAGTTGACAACCTGCGTACAAATCACCGCGTAGGCGTGTTCCGTATTCAGCTATGGCATGTTGACTATGCCCTTCAGGGGTATACGTATTGCAAGACAACGCGTTCCGACCTATCACACGGCTGTCTAGTGCGAGGGGCGTGCAGATGCCATACGAAAGCAAGACTGGTAAGAAATCACGGTCCGGGCGTTGAGAACTGACAGCCCCACAGTACGTCGCGATGCCGCAGGTATCCTTCGAGGCGCTCTGGTAGGCTAGGGTACCAAGCTGCCGTGGTCCCCGAGATCCTCAATTGCCACAATGTAAGGCAATACATGGTATCACAGTCAAAAAATCGCTGATCGTTGCACCGACAGGCTCGTTTCAACTGCGGCTGCCCAAAGGGCCATGATGCGACAAGCCCAAGTCTTGTCTATCATCCGTTTACAAGATTACACCTCCAGCCATTCGCAACCAGAGTTATTGTGCGCCGAAATCCTTGAGCTGGTACAAGAGGACACGGCCCCGGTTGTTCCCAATGGCGACATACTCGCTCCGCGCCGAGAAGTCTATGCTTGTGACATGCCCAAGGGGAGTGCTCGATGTCGGCCAGTTCGAGAACGCCGTGAGGTGGGCAGATGGATCTAGACGGAGCGGAGAGTTCAGCGATGCGAACTGAGTAGGTACTCTACAATGCATACCATGCGCATCTGATCCTTCTTGGTGTTGCTGGCTATTGCGAGCAGCTGCGAGTTGTGGTTGAAGCGCAGAGACGTGATGGCGGTCGTGAGGTTGCCAAGCGTCTTCAAAGGCTTCGGGCTGTTCGATCCCAAGGCGGAGACACCTTCAGATCCGTATACGTTGACCAAGCCTGTCCGAGATCTACGCGAAGGTCAGCGTATTCGCTCGGATCTCATACCCCATTCCACATACCCAGTCGCAAGGTACCTCCCCGCCTTGTCTCCACCATGAGGCGACTGCCAAAGCCCCCGTCGTCTTTCCACCGTTTCACGCATCTCCGCTCGCCACGTCCCAGACATAGACTTCGGAATCCTCCCCAAGGCTCATCATCTGGCCGCTACCGTCAGAAGCCCACCAGACGCTCTTCACGGCAGCGTTCATTTTCACGCTTCCGACGACCTGGCCCTGACCCGCACGCCAGTCGACCAGATGGATCTGGCCGCCGCGACCCGCGACGGCCAGGACCTCCCCCGACGGCTCGAACGCGCAGATCTCCATGCTTCCGTCCTGGGCGGCGACGTTGTTGTTGGCGAACGTCGTGCCCCACAGTCCACGCGGCGAGCGCAGGGCTGTACCGGACATGAGGTCGTATGTGTAGTAATACGGGCGGGGTCCCGTCAGAAGGATGGATGTGCCGCCCGGATGGAACATGGCGGTCGTCACAGGGAGATCCGGTATATGAACGGTTTGGAGATGTGGATTTGTGTGCCCGTTGATCTACAGGTATCGTCATTGTAATGGGGAGACGGTCAGAGACGGCGAATGACATACGTTGAACAGCCGGAGACGTCGATCTGCGCCCGCAACTAGAGGACGGGCACCTCAGGAGATGGGTGAAATGGACCGCCTTGACTTCGCCCTCGGACTTCGCAGCCAAGTTGGCGTCGCGCAGGCGCTCGATAGAGAGGATGCCTTGTGGTATGACATTGGCCTTTCGTCCCTGCTGCAGGACGCCCCGCGCATCGGCCAATACATCAGGGAGCCCCTCTTCCTCGTCGCTCTCCGACGTAGAAGATGTAGAAGGTCTTCTCCGCTTTGCCTTTGTAGGATGCAGCTTTTTCCGTGCGGAGGCAGCCCAGTCCGGTGTAGGGTTTATCTTCTCAAACTGCCGTCGCAATCGTCGTTCGTACTCCCGCCCTCCGACCATGTCCTCCGAGGCAGCATCTCGAAGCTTCCGTCTCCGTTTGTCCGCAACCAAGGATACCTGCAGTGCGGGGTCATCTGGGTCTGTCCATGCAGGGCCCTTCTTTTTCGGAGCAGTTAGGGCTTCCTCTTCACTTTCTTCTTCTCCTTCACTCCGCTCTTCATCTTCCTCCGAGGGACCCGCCCCGGCACTCTGTGCGGCATCCTCGTCGTCCGTGCGAGCTTCAGCATCGTCCTCGCCGTCAGACCCGCTCGCTTGTGGTTCCGGCTGAACATCCAATTCTGGCTGTTGACCTACGGGATCATCTACAAAGAATAGCTGCCGCTTCCACTCAGCATTCGTAGACTCAACGCGAAAGCACCAGAGACGCACATCCGTGTCCAACATATTTTGCAGTTCCTTCTCCCCCCTCTGGTCGACATCCTGGTCCTCGTCGTCCGAAATAATCAGTAGTTCCTCGCCTTTACTTGACGAGGGGGTGTACGCCGTGCCGAATAGCAGGCTTTCTAGCCTTCGCTCTTCATCATCTTTGCTCGAATCGTCTAGCAGCGACACTGCAGAGCCAAGTGGTCGTACATTGACAGGGTCAGGAGCATCCACCGCGGATTTGGTTGTCCTTTGCTTCTTGCGCGGATGCTTTGCCATGTGAGCGAATCAAGATGTGCAATGACGGTAATTCGTGAGGAGAATAGCAAGGAGTTTGCGAGGAAAGCACTTGCCAGTGGCAGCATCCCGGGCCGCCTTCGATACTGAAGCAGCTTTCTGTTTCGGAAGCGCCGAAGAAATTAGAACGTCATGTGATCGCCAATGTTCCTTTGCATCTCGAATCCTGCTCGAATCACCTCACTCGTTTGAGACTCAAGACTCGAGAGGTTGGATCTGAGGACATGCAATTCGTGTACCAATATTCAGAGGAGTGTAATGAGGGCCTCGCTGTGATGCCTATGAGGCAGGCCGACGCGCGACGTCACCTGTGGCTGATCCTGCGCGCCACCGGCTTTGGTCAAATCCACCACGCACACGGCGAATACAAAGTCTACTAGCTACCTAGTAGACTGTCCTGCCAGAAAGACGGCCACATCCTTTCTATTCGACGTCGCAACACCACACAACGCATGCATTCATGCTTGCAGGCCAACGCACATTTCTCCGTCTGCACACACTGCCACTCCACCGTCCTCTGAACTCTACCAGGACATCACTCGTGCGCCCGCGGCATGTCATAACCTCCAGCGCAACACGTAGATGCCAACACAGGCTCTATTCATCCGAGCCGCCAAAATCCTCAGGTGAGGGAAGCCAACCAGGGAGCGACCGAACACCTCTACACCGTACGTGTTCTCACCTGTTAACATCACACCGATGGCGAACTGACGAAAACCGGTCAGGAAGACTCTCGGATGCCTGGACACAGACCCCGACCAAGTGGTATCCTCTCCCCGTCGCTGTGGGTGCGCTCCTCCTCATCGTCCTCCAATATCGTAGGACCCGGAGGAGCGAGAAGGAGGTGCAGCTGGATGAGCAGGGGCAGGTCGTGAAATTAAAGGGCCCTTGGCAGGTGAGTCTTCCCTCTCGGTGGGCCCTTTCGTCATCGCAAACTATCATTCCTTTTGAATACCACATGAAGCTCCGGAGCCTTGAGAGAGAAGGCTGCCTGCAGTGCAATTTGCCATGTGTCTACCTCAGCACTAACATTATTTACTTCTTTAGGTCTACGTCCTCGGTGCACTGCCCCTCAACGGCCTCTCCCGGGTCTGGGGCTACCTCAACTCGCTCCAGCTGCCCGTCTGGTTCCGACCCTTCGGCTTTAAGCTTTATTCCCGTATATTCGGCTGCAACCTCGACGAGATCGACCCGCTCGACCTCACGCAGTACGCCAGCCTCGGCGACTTCTTCTACCGGAAGCTCAAGCCCGGCGTGCGACCCGTCGCAGACAGCGCCCTCGTACGTCCCTCCGTGCCCCCATTTAGCCCATGACAGACGCACATCTCACCGACGCTGCAGGTGAGCCCCGCGGACGGGCGCGTGCTGCACTTCGGCGTCATTCGCGACGGCCGCGTCGAGCAGATCAAGGGTGCGACGTACTCGCTCGACGCGCTACTCGGCGTCGACCGCCCTGACTCGCACCCGCCCGCCGCCGTCGAGTTCCAGGCGCGCGACCAGGCGGAGGTGCTCGACCGCACCTTCGCGGACATCAACGGCATACAGTACAGCCTGCACGACTTCCTCGGCACGCCGCACCCGCCTCCGACGGTGGGCAGGGGAAGGGAGACGGGGACGGGCAGGCGCTGCAGAAGCCGGTGCCAACGAAGCACGGCGAGCAGACGGATGCGTCGGTGAGCTCGGACGCGTCCTTGCAGGACGTCGTTGCGCACGAGGCGGGCGTTGCAGCGGAGATGGGCGTCCGCCCGTTCCTGGACCGTGCGCAGGGCCGCCCCGCGGGGAGCGTAAAGCCCGGGCACGCGCTGTTCTTCGCGGTGATCTACCTCGCGCCTGGGGACTACCACCGGTTCCATAGCCCGACGGCGTGGGTCGTGGAGAAGCGGCGACATTTCTTAGGTGAGTGGATGCGCTTTGGGTGTCGAGGCGTTGATGCTCGGGCGGGGCTGACACGGATGTGCAGGAGATCTCTTCTCGGTGTCGCCGTGGATGGTGGAAAAGCTGGCGGACGTGTTCGTGCTGAACGAGCGCGTCGCCCTGCTGGGGAGGTGGAAGCATGGCTTTTTCGGGATGGTCCCCGTCGGCGCGACGAACGTCGGGAGCATCAAGATCAACTTTGACCAGGTGAGTGCTACGGAACGTCTTCTCCACACTAGGCGAGTGACCTGACTGTCCGTTCGCCGCCAGGCCCTCCGCACGAATGTCAGGACGAGCCACCGACCACCAGTGGCACGTTCGAAGAGGCCGTCTACACGTCCGCGTCGCCCGTGCTCCGCGGCCAGCCCCTCGCGAAGGCGCAGGAGATGGGCGGCTTCTGCTGGGGAGTACGATCGTGCTCGTATTCGAGGCGCCGAACGATTTGAGTTCGCGGTGAGGGCGGGGCAGAAGATCAAGGTCGGCGAGAAGATGGGCGACCTCCACTCGAGTCTTGTCGAGAAGCAGTAGACGTAACCACTAATTCGCAGTTTAATGTCGGCTCCGTGCTCGTCTGAATTGGCTGTGGTGGGGTGTGCCATGTTCGTGCTTTCTGCATTGTGCTGTGCATTGTTTGCTTGTGTGCTGTCCTGGTCAGTGTCTCTGGTGTGCATCGAGAATGAACATCGATATCACGACAACATTAAGCGGTGTTGTATGGTACAGGTGTGTATAACATGAACGCAGTCCCTTGAACGATTGCAATGATAACCTAACAGCTATATGACCCACTCCCGATCCCCTGCTCGCCTCACCAGCCCTCCTCACACGTTGGCTGTCAGCCAACCAAACCAGCACCGCGCAATCACTGATCAGTCGTATCGCTGACGTTGCTCGGCGAACCGACGAACACGCTCCCGTACTGGTGCCCCGAGCCGTTCGCGGTTTTCGGGCTGACGACGAAGTCTCTAGCCTTCGTGCCGTCCAGGAGGCGCTGTTCAACGGTGGTGGGACCGTCCGCACCCTGCGGGTTGTGCTCGACGACCCCCGCACTACCTGGGCCCGGGCCTGGGCTGAGGAGGGGCGTGCGCTCGCCGATGGTGGGGACGGTGCTCTGGGAGCCGGCTCTGCTCGTGCGGCCGCGGTATTCGATGATGCTGCGGGGTGCAAGACAATCGTGAGTGGGTATAGAAGGGGAGAGAAGATGAGCTAGACTGACCCGCGCATGGCTTTGGCGTTGAACGGGCGCTTTGCGCGACGTTTGCTGTGGTTGTCCTCGTAGCGGTCCGTCTCGTCGATGATCTCTTCGGAGATGATTTCCTGGGGTTCGACGGGTCAGCTGATGAAGTTGGGAGGGCTGTGGCTGCACTCACTTCGATGATGTCTGTGTGCCCACGGTCAGTTGAATAGGTGGGAAGTAGGAAAGACCAACCTTCGAGCGTGACGACGCCAATGGCGCCGCCTTCAATGCCTGGCGTCGTGCTCAGGAGTAGTAGATGCGCACGGCCTGTCTGGCTAAGGTGGCAGTGTCAGCAATGGTGGACACACCCAAACGAGAGTCAGCGACAAACAAATAATCGAGAGCCTGGAAGCAGTTGATCGACGGATTTGCTTCGGGCAGGATTGACAGCGGGAACTTTGATACCGGCAGCGCTTCCTTCGGATCGTACACCGACAGCTATCAACCCCGCGTCAGCGCAGCGCGTCGATGTCTAGGAGAGGTGTTGACCTTCTTGATGAGTAACAACCCGACGAAGGCCATAGGCCGCCCAGGCTGGTGCACCGGAATGCGTGAGTACCGCTCCGGAGGCTGCGCCCCGGTCAGTCCTTGCCAAGTGACGTACAAGCACTCACATTAAGTCAACAGTGTCGTGGTCCAGAATCCTGTCTGTGCTGATCGTCACAACGTCCTATACAAGCGGTTTAAGTAAGTAGTAGGTTATAGGTACTCCGGCTGTAGGTCTCACCTGCATTGGGGTCATGAGTTCCTCGACATGTTTATTGTTCAGCTCCAGTACGCCGTTCAGGATGCTGATTTCGTCGTCGCGCAGCGGCTCCTCGCCCTGCCGATGGAACGCCAAGAAGGACCTGAGTGAGAACGGTCTTCAGCTGGGCCAAGAGCGTCTAGGATGCGGCAGCTCACTTAAGCTCAGCCTTCTTGTACGTGTGCGTGTCGTTAGCACCTAGAATCCAGTCGAGCAGCTTGGCGATCGGATAGGCTATAGGTGCTGTAAAGTGCCCAGCGTGAATCGTTAGAGGCCGTACAGGCAGGCGGCTCATGTCCGACTTACCGAAGAGGTACATCATGCCCAGGACAATAGGTGCGCAGGAGGCCCCTATCGAGAGGCCATACCGTACGCTGGCCGCCTGTGGGATGATTCTGGCATGGGTTTGAGCCACGTTGTTAGACAAGTCGGATATTGCAAGCTCACTCTCTGCACATGTAATAGCACCAAAGTCGCGGTCAGGGAGGACATACTACGCCAGACGAATCACGTACCCGAATATTACTGCGGCGTTGTTGAAACGCGTGAGACGCGCTCTCGGAAGACAAACAGCGGGGGCAGTTCACACTCACCAATCATAGTAGTGGAAATCGCCACTGCAGCAATACCCCCGCCGAGCTGCACAATTCACCTCAGTCACACCAAGCGACGTACCAAGGAGATACTCACGGCACTGTCTAAAAATATTGGCAAACTCTCGTTGACGATCTACAGGTCAAGTCAGAGGAAAACTGTGTTCTTTACGCCGTCGTACATACCACATTGCCCAACAAGAGGACCTGGTATGGTCAGCACGCAGAGCTGCACTTTCCAACGAGGACATACCACAAGGACCCAGTGGCGGCGGTTGGTCAAGAGCCGAAGAACTAGTGGCATCAGAGTCAGTCGGCAACAAGAGCTGATCAGTGCGAGAGAAACCTTTCTGTGCGTTCTTGCGCTCGACAGGATCGTCCGAGGAGGCTGAGAGCACGCGAAGGTGCAGCTCGTCGAGGCCCATGAGACCGAGGGTCAGGCTAGTTTGTGATGAGTATTCGTGCACATTGTAAGGTACATAGCATCGTTGCTCACCCCGCAAAGACACCCCCGAGAAGGACGAGGCCGATGCTAATGATGAGCTTGTACCAAAAGGAAGACGACCCGGGTGGTTCGCCCTCTTCGTTTGTAGGCAGTTCGTGACAGAAAGCGCAGGGGAAGCATGAGCGAGGGTGAAGGCAAGGAGGGCAAAAGAGAGGAGGGCAGGAGGCAGACGCATCGCTGGTGAAGTTGAGAGGAGGATGGCGGTGGCTGGAAGGCAGAGAAGTGGCTGAGATCGGCGACCGTGTGACGTCGGGGACGCGCCCGTCACGTGTAGCGCGTCCCGATCGTGCTGGCCAGTCGCTGCCCGCCCATTAAATATTAAATTCGACCCGCTGCTGCCTGTCGATGCTCGCCCGCCCGCTGCTAAGGTCTCTCTCCCTCGGCCATTCCCGCCCCCATCTGCTCCTCCTCGTCCACCTTCGTACATGCACACCCGCTGGCATGTCATCCGTCCGCCACTCCTCCGCAGAACCCGCCCCCGACCGTCCCGAGAAGAGACCCCGTCTGGACGACCCCGAGCCGGCCATGCACATCTCCATAGAACCATCCGCACCGGTTCCCGTCGACTCTGACGCCGTCGACATCGACTCGGGGCCAGCCGACTATGCGCGCAATCCTTCACCAGACTCGCGCCTGCCCGCACGGCCGGCGCACGGACAGGCACCCGAGAACTTATCGAAGAGAGCGAGAGCAAAGGCTAAGCGTAGGAAGAATAGGCATCTGCTTCCCGAACCCTATACCGGAGAGTGGATAGTAGCTCACGAGGTCGACAAGCTCCTCGGCGAGGACATCATCGACCAGGCTGTAGCCGAGTCGAGCGAGTGGGACTCCCGTTCCAGGACAAGAATTCTTGTGTGCTTGACGTCACTGTCTCGCGTCTCTCATCTACTGGTATGTCTTCCGTTCGTCAACACCCGCCTCTGGACACAAGTTCAATTCTCCTTCAGTCCTGCACTAATCTCCTTGACATCCCTCACATCTGACTGCCTCGTTTACTCCAGGCGACTCCCTCTCCATTGCACCTGCGCCTCACAAGCCATGGGTCATCGTCACACCTCATGCCCTCCCTGGCGAGAAGATCCGCGTCCGCGTTTACCGCCATAGTCGCATGGTATCTTACGCCGACCTGCTCGAGGTCATCGAGCCAAACCCGGAGTGGAGAGACATGTCTCGTGTGCGGTGTAAGTATTTCGGAAAATGCAGCGGGTGTCAGTATCAGGTATGTAACGTAAATCTGAAGCCGGTATGGTCGTTTCAACCGGTGTACGATCTAGATGCTCTCCTATGAGAAACAGCTCGAGCTGAAACGCGAGGTCGTCATCCGTGCATTTGAAACCTTCTCAGGTATGGTGCTCCGCCATTCACGAGTCTGACCAAGACCTGAGATTTGTGCACCTCGGACAGGCCTACCACCCTCCGCCGTGCCAACTGTGTCACCTACTTTCGGCTCGCCCCTGCAGTATAACTACCGCACCAAAATTACGCCTCACTTCGAGGCACCACCAAAGACTGCTCGAATGTAGCACACAAACCTGAAGTTGGCCATTCCAACCCTCCTGACTGGCTGAAGATTGGTTTCAATGTCGTCGGAACGCGGAAAGTCATGGATATCGAGGTAAGAACGGACGATGCCTGTGAGCGGACGACTGCCCGACATTGACACTGTATGCAGGAATGTTCCTTGGCGACGGAAACGATCAATGCAGCCTACAAGCCGATCCGCGAACAGGTTATAGAGTGAGCCGTTTCTTAGTCGCCCATACTTGCGTGCTGAACGATGTTTGCGTAGTAACATCTACCAGTACAAGAAGGGTGTATCCCTTTGTCTGCGGGATTCTCTGGAGCGTACACCTCTCCCGAGCGGTAGTCCTATACCATCTCGTAGCCCATCGCCGAGGCTGGTACCACTTGTCGTACAGCAGAACCTCCCCTCGCCCCACCATCACCCAGGCGCTCCGCTGTCCCGCCCGACGAAAAGCACATTTGCACCACGGACCACAAAGACATGGTGCGCGAGCGCGTCGGCGACAACTCTTCGAGTTCAACGCCTCGGCCTTCTTCCAAAACAACAACTCCATCCTCGTCCCCCTCACCTCCTATGTTAACTCCTCCATCTTCGACCGTATCGCGCCCGTCCCCTCCAGCTCCTCCGCGCCCGCTTCGCCACCCCGCCGCGTGCCGACGCACTTATTGACGCTACTGCGGCAGCGGCCTCTTCGCGATCACGCTCGCGCAGCGCTTCTACAGGGTCGCGGCATCGAGCTCGCGCCCGAGTCGATCGAGGCCGCAACGCAGAACGCGGCGCTGAACCGCCTCCGCCCCGCGCAGTGCACGTTCCTCAAGGGCGACGCGGCGGACATCTTCCGCACCGTCGCAGACTTCCGCGCGAGCGCACCGCGCTCGTCATCGACCCCCCGCGCAAGGGACCGACGAGCATTCATCGAGCAGATGCTCGCGTTCGGGTGCGAGACCGTCGTGTATGTGAGCTGCAACGTGCATACGCAGGCGCGGGACATCGGCATGATCCTGAGAAAGAGTGGGCAGAAGGGCGTGGGCCCGGACAAGAGAAAGTACGTGTTGGAGTCTTTGAGGGGCTTCGATCTCTTCCCCCAGACGGCGCACGTCGAGTCGGTAGCCGTACTGCGTCTTGTATAACCGCATTTCCACTGCGATCATTTTCAAGGCCGGGGCCAAATCACTCTTTCGTATACTTATCCTGGCATGCTGCCATTCGAGTCGCATAATGCATCAGGCACCGCTAGTTTACACCACATATAATTCGGCATCTGGTACCAATCTGGCACTGCTGGTCCTCATCGCGGGGAGCGTTCCTAGTGGTATATCAATTATACAGTCATGATGTGCGTAGGCTAGAGAACAGCTGGTGGTATCTAACAGTAGTGTATGAATGACATGCATGTGCGGATGAGTGCGGCGCGACCGGGAGGAGGGAGAGAGTATAAAAAGCAAAGGAATGGCGTGGGGTCAAAGTACGAATACAAACAAAAGTCACATCCTAGAACCTCCGCGGGGCCCCCACCAGGCCTTCTATCGATTGGTGCTCGAGGTCGTTCCGCGCCTTCAAGATCGTTGCATGCATATCCTTCATCGCATTGCCCAACTTAACACCGAACCGGCTGAGGATGTCCCGCTGCCACGCGTCGTACTTGGCGTTCACCCGCGCCTGCACCTGCTCGTAGTCGATTACGCACACGCCGAACGACTTCTGCGTCTCTGATGTGTCGAAGGTAGACCGCGCCTTCTTGATCTCCGTCAGCAGCTGCTGCCAGTTCGCGAGCGAGTCCCCGAGTCGCGAGAAGACGTATTCGGCTTCGAGGTCCCATAGCGACTGGAACTGCAGCCATTTCGCGACGTACTCCCTCAGTTGCTGAACTTTCTGCTCGATGAGCAGGAACGGTCTCTCCAAGGTTGCATCGGTGAAGTGCGTCAACTGCACAGGGAGCACATCAGAGGCGTTGTGTAGATGTAAGCTGCAGTACCAACCAGAGATGTGTATGTTGCTTCTGTTGTTGTGTGTCCCTGCATTTGCAATCCAATCTCGTACCGAGAGCTTTGAATTCTCCGAAGACGACACACGACGCCTGCACAATCCCCGTAAGCAATAGAATACTCGCGATGTTCAGCAGCATCAGCTACCTAGCCAGTCATGCAATTGCCGGGTCCAGTTCTGCCGCGCGTGTTCGATCGGTGGATCCAAGAAGATGAGTTGGTTTTGGATTCGGATTTCATGCACAATCGGCTTCAGGGTCAGGATTCCCTCGACAGGCTGATGTATGGTTCAGGAAGCTGAAAGCCAGAAGCAAGGGGTTTACTCACCTTCTCTTCTTTCACGCGCTTGTCCCCACGACGCTTGTTCGTGATGTCCCTCAATACCAAGGGTTCACGACGTCCATCCGCCTCTTCGTTCCTGTCGAACTCTGAGCACCAGAGTTGAATCGTTTGGACCAAACGCTGCAATAGGATTCCCTCAATGCGTTGATCGAGCTCAGCCACCCAGTGCTCGAGGTTGGCATATCCCTCGAGATTGAGTCGGTCGATCTAACCAATCATCAGCATGCAAGTAGGCTTATGCCTACGCGGGCCGCTTACCGCAGCTTGGATCTTGCTAAGGAGCTCACTAAAGCTTCGGTCGTGTAAGGCAGTCGAAAGCTCTTCCACGGCTCGCGTTATATCTTTGTACAGATCGATGACATTGTTTGTCTTGTCCTGTGGGCTGGTTGGTGCCGTATCATTCGTCACGATATCGAGGAGCTCACCTGCAAGATGACACAACACTAGCGAATTCTCGGACAAATTGGATGTGTCGGTTGTCTGAGCGTCCGACTCGAACATACCGCGCCGTGTCGTACTGATTGACAAAGTGATCCCAGCGAATGTTCATGCCTGTACGAATCATCAGTGTGGTCGTGCATCAATATAGTTGGCTACTCACCCCGTGTGACCATCCGCTGGGCTTCATTCCGATATTCAGCAACGAGCCACTCGATACCTTGTTGTTCTCGACGAGGTCGAGGGTCTGCCCGTACGTCCGAACTGTCTCCATAAGACTGACGGCATGGGGGTACACGCGTTCGCATCCTTGGCCATGTTTGTATCGCGTGAGGTACCTGGAAGTTCTGCCACAACAGATTCCTGACTTCCTTGAACAGCGTGATGATCTGCGGGTCGAAGTTGACTGCAAGTTGGAACCCCCCCACGTAACCGGACGATCTCGAACAACCGGCCGTTGACTCCCATGTCCCGTCGGTTGATGTCGTGCATCCAAGCGTCATAGACAGGCCGGGTGTCCAGCTTCTTGCGGAATGCTGCACTTTCCGACTGCAATTTTGACCCTCAGCGTACAGCTCCCAGCCCTTGCCCAAGACTCCTCGACACGCTTCATGTACGTCTGCAGTTGTCGATCAATTGGCGGCCCAGATAATGCGCCGGATATTGGTGGCAGGTCGCGCATCTGCGACATGTGTAGCTTCTGAGAAACGATATGTGTCTTGAACTGCAGCAGAGTCAGTCTGGCAACATAATACATAAGTAGGCGCGTACCTTATCGTGCAACGCTTGATGTCCTCCTTCACGAGTCGATCAGCTGTGTCTGGTACTCTTGAATGGCACCACGGATCTGAAAATACGGTCAGCGGGTTCCTTCGCGTTAACAGGGCCACTGACCTTCGGCCGCACGAACAATGCGTTGAACTTTGAGAAGACACGGAACATCTCATTGGCATTCCGCGCGGTCCCTAGCGATCACGCAATCGCGCGATATCTGGTTCTCGACGCGTGCGACACGCTCGTTGTACGCGTTCTCCGCTGCCACCCATATCTCGCTCCCTCTGCGCACAGTCAGCACCCTGACCACAACCTGAGACGACGGAATACTACGCACCGACAGAGACATCGAGGACATCAATCCGCTTCATGACCTCGTACGCCTCCTTGACTTCCGCCTCCATATCCACTCCGCCAATCTCCATACCGACACCTCCCAGGCCCTTCGTGGGGCCGGTCATGACGGCAAGCTGCTCGTGCTGCTTGCGCCAGTCTCTGAGGTACCGGCAGCGGTCCTGCAGCTTCGCGTGGGCAGGGACGACTTTGATGGGAATGAACCGCTCCATCCGTTTCCGGGTGACTTCACGGGCGACGTTGGTGAATTCCTTGATGTTGTCGTCCCATGTCCGGAAGATCTCCATGGTCTGCGAGAGCAGGCGTTCGAACGTCTCGTAGGGCATGTACAGCAGACGGTGCGAGGTGAGACTCGAAGGAGCTGGTCGTTGAAATCGCGGGAGATAGCTTCGACGAGAGGCAGCGCACGCCGAATGGGATAGGGGACAGCTTCAGCTTGCGGTTGATGTGGCCGAAGATCATGATGAGAGCTTCGTTGATCTTGTCTAGGTCAGTGGCGGACAGCAGTTCGTTCAACGGGAAATCCTTCATAGCTGATTGTACTTGTGGACTGCGGCAAGTGAGTTTCATATTAGGACGCTCGTAGGATAGGGCTTACCGGTGTCCGTTGCGTCTTCAAGCCTGTGTCCGTCATGAAACTGACCGTTGCATGGAACCGTTTGGCGTTACGCAGACACTCCATCACTATGTTGACCTCCTCACTCCGGAGCTGATTCTCGATGCCCTCGAGAGCCCTCTCTAGACTGAGCCAGAAATTGATCTCCTGGGAGGCGGTACCAGACGAGACATCTCGTGACAGCTTCGTCACGGTCTGAATAGACTTGATCCACTGGTTTACGTGCGAGTGAAGCGTGTTGAGGAAAGTGCTGTCGTTCAGTAGTTTTGACGGAATGTCGGAAATGCTCGGTCGCCGGCCGTCCGCTCGAGCCTGCTCGACGGTCCTTTGGATGATAGGATGGATGACGAGGTGTGTTTCGGGAATCTCGACGTTCTGCTGCAAATGAAGTAGAGATAGCTCCAGTTCCGCGAACTTCTTCTTGGTCATCGGGATACCTGACCTATCATCAGCAAGGGCGACTACACACCAGACGTGTACATACCCATCTTGGAGTCTCCGCCGTCTTTCCCTCCATGTCGAGCACCAACAAAGGCCTCGAACCAGGGCTTCACCGCGTAGCTAACTACGGAGTGCAAGCTCTCATACGGCGTATCTTCTCCACCGAAAAGGTTCAGAACATGCAACTGAGTTGAAAGCGACGCTGTGGCATCCAGGATGGGGCCCCGCTTGATGATAGCAATAGTCATAACATGAGTCGAGTCGTAAGTCATCTGCAGCGTTAGCTTGTATGTGTAGGTCGGCGGGGCGTCCTCTGCAGGCAATGGTTACACGAGCGAACGGGCTGAGCAACGCAGTCAGCGCACCTTCGGCCTCGTCTTTCTTCTTCACGACGTATATCACACCGCCCCCCTCGCCGGCAAACCGGTGAACGCGCTCGTCGAACTCGTCATCGAACAGCGACTCGAGCTCTACTGGGGATGCACCAATCATGGCTGGTAACAGGGCAAGCATGTACGTCCGGAGGACAGCGGGGTCAAACGTGGAAGCAGGACCGTCTGACAAGCCATCATGAAGGATCCCGTTGCCATTTCCATTCCCGTTAACGTGTGCGACGCCGTTGGGCGTGGAATAGGGCGGTATTGGAGACTCGATTGCGGCCATCGGCTGTGGCGGTTCCTTGGGCGCAAGGGACTCGTTGGACGAACCGAAAGCAGAAGATGGCCGGGACCGCGAAGACGAGCGACTGGACCAAGAAAAGACGCGGGGCAACGGCTTGCGATGGCCCGAGAAGTAGTGCTGCAGGGGATACATGTCGGTCAACAGGTCTGAACCACGGCCTGCAGCGCTTACTTACCTGCGAGGAGGTTGAGGGACACGCGCTGAGAGTATGGTACACGCGTGGGCGGGTTCTCCGGGGCGGGTGAAGAAGAGGAAGAGGGCGGCGGGGCAGGTGCTGGCGGAGGAGCTGCGAGCTGCAGAAAGAGGCAAGTTGCCCGACGCGTAGCGCGATCACACCTGCACCGCCGGCGCTAATCCCAGACGGGTCTCTTCGGGAACAGCGCGACTCTCTTCCCCCCGCTCACCCGCCATGCCTCGCAGACTAAAAGTGCCCCTCGGGCCCTCGCGCCTCTCGAAGGTCCTCGACATCCTCAAGAAGGAGCCACGCCCACAGCTCGACACCGTAAAGAGCCTGAGGCTCACGCTGGCGTTTCGGAATGACCACTTTGGGGCGAGGTGCGTTGGTATTCTGGACAGTCCTGTCTTGCTCGTACCATTCATGCATGAGCACCGCAGGCATTTTGTGAAGGAGGACCTGCGTAGAATACGCTTCGTGAACCCCAACATGGACATCCAGGTCAACAAGGTCCCAAAGACCCCCGAAGAGCAATGGCCACCGGAACTGCAGGTCGAGTTCCGTGAGTACTATGTCCATGGCAGCTAAACAGTGTTGTCGCCCTCCATGAGGTCTCTGGACTGACTGTACGATTATGTAGACAATGGGACCACTCAAACGATCAATATGGACAAGAAGTGGTCCTCTTCCATATTCCAGGAGCTTATGGATTTGGCGGGTGGTACTCCCTGGCAGCGGTGGAAGAAGAAAAGGACAGCAGCTGGTCTACCCATTGTCGACCCTCCGACGCCGAAGGCTCCAAAGCCACCAAAGAGTATCGAGGACATCCTCTTTGATCCTAACAGGCCGAAGACCGGCGCAGCTGCCATCCTTCCATAGCACCGTTCGTAATGCTACAGTATCATTGGTAATGGAGTCCATTGCATGCAAGACCGGGGTCGCATTAGTGTGGTTCTACACTGACTGTTCGTGGGGGTCGTGATATAAACGTCGCTCATTCGGCTATCCACCCTGCAATCCATATGAACAATCCTATCCCGACCAGCAAGCCTGCTATGTCGTCAAGGAATATTCCACCAATTTGCAGGTACGCCATGCCGTTCGTGATAATAGATGGCAGCGGAGGTGGTAAGTGCGGTAGCGCAAGGGCTAGCAGCATAGGCGGCTGCGGCGTATCCTGGATGCAAACAAGTCAAGCCGGGAGAGAGGACGGGGCACGGAGATGACACTCACCACCCTAGAGAATATCCGCCACGAATGTAGAGCGAGCGTGAGAGCACTGAAAGCCCAGAAGAAAGGCTTCGGAGGGTCAGTCTTCGTACAAGGATGCGCAAACGTTACATCGACTCACTACTGGCTGTACTCCCCACCCATCACTCGGACTCTTCCATCCCAGCTCCGCCCACCGTCTCCATACACTATCGGACAGCAGACGATGTGTCCGAGTCTCGAATACATCTGGCTCTCTCCAGAGCACAAAGTAGATGAGCAGCATCCACGCCGCCGTCAGGTGTATGAACGGCAAGAGCTTCTGCAGGCGCGTTTTGGGTTTGGCGGCGGCGACTTTCTGTTGCGGTATGCCAGGCATGCCACCAGGCTGAGTCATGCTGGCCATCATGGCAGCCAGCGGGTCCTCTCCCGGAGCAGAGGACGGTAGGGAAGGGAATGCGCCCGAAGCAGTCAGGGCTTCACGAAGCTGTCTCATCTGTTCCTCCTGCGAGGGAGGCAGCGGTGCACCAGCGCGGGTACCGGACGCCTGGGGCTTTGGTGCAGGTCGGGGAGCGGCTGCTGTCGATGTCGGCGTGGGCCTTGGCATGCTGGTTTGCTCCCCGACGAAGCTCTCCAGAGTGGGTCTGTTCGTGGGCAGCGGTGCCAGCGGAGGGTCTGTACATGTGGCGGGGATGAGGTGACGCGACAGGCGGGCCAGCGATGTATACATACCATCGTGCAGATAGGCAGACGCATCCTCGCCGCGCGCGGAGGAGGTGAGCCTTGCGAGACGGTCGCCGCCGCGAGCGAGGATGGCCTGTCTGCGAGCCTGTGCCTTGCTGCCGCGGATGACATGGTGGTTTCGTGCAGTCGTACACGGAGGACGAGCCGCCACCGCGCTGCAACAGCCACAAACAGCGCCCGTCCTCGCGCTCCCGCTCGCGTGCATAGCGTCCTCCAACGTGTTCCTTCATCTCCGCTACCACCATGGGTCGCGCCAGGACAAGGCCACGACTGAACGGCATGCAAAGACCCTGAGAGAGCTTCTCAAGCGGCCCGAAAACAAGGTCTGCGCCGACTGCAAACGCAACGGTGCGTTGCGGTGAGATGTCGGACGCGTCCCCGTACTGACACTTCGCCGCCAGACCCTCGATGGGCATCTTGGAACATGTACGGTTCGCCTTGTACTCACTTCTGAGCTATCCTGATTCATGCATACGGCAGTGGGGTCTTCTTGTGCATTCGCTGTTCGGGAATCCATCGATCCATGGGAACGCACATCAGCAAGGTCAAGTCCGTGGATCTCGATGTTTGGACTCTAGAGCAGATGGCAGTACGTAACCTCCGCCTCCTTCTCTCTCTCGATACTGAGAAGCACCACAAGTCCGTCCAAAAATGGGGTAACCGTCTCGCAAACTTGTACTGGGAAGCCCACCTCAAACCGGGGCACGTTCCGGCCGATCAGTAAGTGACCCTCCATTCCATGATCCCTGGTACAAGGCCCAATACGTGCTACAGTAAAATGGAGTCCTTCATCCGCTCAAAGTACGAGTCACGGAGATGGGCGATGGACGGTCCCCCGCCCTCAGATCCGTCCACGCTCGACGGCCAGTCTACTGGCACCGCAACACCCACGACAACGACCGCGCCTCAACTGCCATCAAGGACCGCGACTCCCGTCCAATCCAACGCGATTGCCTCCGCATCGAGATCGTCTATCACCAATAGGCAGCCGCAGCCGCACCAGCTCTTGAGCACGAGCGTCGCCAACCGCGCTCAGCAGAGTGCGCCGAAGGCGGCCCTCCCTGCTCCAGTCGCCCCCCAAGCACCGGCACCGCAAGCCCCAGCCGCTCCAGCGGTCTCGAACGACCTGTTTTCTCTGGACTTTCACGTACCGGTGGGCACGCCCCCCACCACCGCGACTCCGCCACCCAGGAAGGACGTCAAGCAGGACATCCTCTCACTCTTCTCCACGCCGGCGGCAGCACCCGCGGCGCAGTCTGCGGCATTTGGACAGTTCGCTCAGGCACCGGTGCAACAGGGCTGGGCCCCCGGAGCGCAAACACATTCGCCTGTAACAAGCATGGTCGGCAACCACGGGGTTGGGATGTGGGGCGCGAGCTCGGGGTGGAACCCCGCGCAAACAGCGCCCGCTCAGTCGAACTTGTGGGGCGCTCCCGCTGGACAACCTGTCATGCATCAGCAGCAGAGCTGTTCACGACGAGCGATGTGTGGGGAGCGTCTGCCGGTGCCGGCGGCGGTCCGGCGGGTGGGGATATGTTTGGTTCGTCGTTGCCCGCGATGCAGAAGAAAGACGACGCGTTCGGGGATATCTGGGGTGGTTTCAAGTAGGGTACCGCTACTGTAGATTCCTTTGTGTGCACGTTGTGTTTTGTCAGTCTCGTTCTTATATCAGTGGGATTGGATTCCCTGTCATTTGTTTGTATATTGCTACCACACTCAACGGGAGAGGATGTCCAAGTGGGAAATGCTCTCAACTGTACTTGCGTGAATCATGCTAAACCAAGATCCTACGCAGTTTCGATTGATGAGCTAGTTCCGTGGCCAGGAAATATGTCACCGTACCTTTTCGATGAGCCGCTCGCAATGGGATGATACGAATTCTTGCTCGCCGTGAAGTATTCACGGCCAGGTCCCGGTCGACCTTGCTGACGTCCCTAACACCGGGCGGCAGAACTTCATGCGTCCCTTGACGACGCCGGTGCCGTCCTCGCCCGTGACCCACTTGGCCGCCTCGGGCGCGAGCGTCTTCGCCGCGGACGACTGGGGTCGAGGAACGCGACCTCGTAGAAGCGCAGCCGGATCTCGGCGTTCGTCGTCGTGGAGAACTTGTAGAGGCTGCCGAGGAGCGTGACATGCGTGGCGGGCAGGGCGGGGTAGCTGTGGAGGCGTTCGAGGAAGACGACTATGCAGATGGGCCGCGCGTTAGCAAGAAGTCCGGTCATGGAAGGAAAGCGACACACCGATCTGGTTGGAGCCGAAGCCCTCGAGGTCGGACTCCGTGAAGGGCAGGTTCGATACGTCGCTGGTGTGCGTGAGGCATCCCATTGGCGGCGAGCGCGTACGATTGTTCGGCGAGCGTCACGTCGTACTGCATTTTGACGGGCAGTTCTGTGCCCTCTCCGTAAAGCCAGCCCTGACGGCCATGTCAGCACGACAGATCCGCCTACTGGTGACACAGAGACCCACATCCCAGTCGATGCTGTCCAACGCCTTGATCTTGTCTTTGTTGTGGGCCTCGTAGTAGCATACAATGCGACTTCCACTCGGCAGTGGTGATGCTCTTGCCCAGTACGTCGCCGCATAGTCGTAACATACGGAAGAAACATCCAGCCCGCCCAGAGTCTGTTCTGCAGCCCCATCCAATCTCAGAACCATGCCAAATCCCAGGCCGACGTACCAGGTGCAGAATCAGGTTCGACCCCTTCTCGTACGGGACTTTGCTGTACGCGTCATCCGGGTCCTCGCCCTTCTCGAAGTCAATCACAGGCGCTGGTACTTCGGCCGGTCCTTGTACAGCTCGAGGTCGTCCTTCAAAGACTTGTACCCGATCAGGTAGTTGAAGCCGCGCTCGGCGGGCCCGTGCAGCAGCTGCAGGATCAGCCGCTCCATCCACGTCGTCCAGCCTTCGTTCAGCCAGAAGTGGGTCGAGTGCGCTTGTCTATGTAAATGTCCAGTGGGTCAGTGAGACGCGTGAGTCGGGGTGACGGGGTTGTTACGTTACACCGTTGCCGAACCATGAGTGAGAGAGCTCGTGGACCACGACATCGACCTGCCAGTCCGTCAGCAACCACATTCGACCGTTAATCAAGGTGTTAGACGTACTAGCGAACGATCGCCGACGAGGAGTGCTGTAGAAGCTCATGTGAGGATGAGGCTAGAGCTTGGTAGATGAATCTTACTTGGCGTGAGGAACGTCAAACATGCGTTTTCCTGTAACCCTTGTCTGAACAAGCCGAGTATGCTGCGGAAGCCACTGCTACCATTCCACCGTACGGGAACGAAGGGGGCAGAACGAGTACGTCGTACACACCAAATCTGTACGGCGGAAGCACGGTCTCCGCCTTCAACATGAAGCTCGTGGTGTGTCAGACAAACGCTCGTGCTGACAAGACAGACGGCGGAGCGCACTTGTTGATCGCATCGCCGAACTCCCAGTACGCAGCGTCGACGAACTCGGGCTCGGCCACACCAGCGCCACTCTGCCTCGATCGTGGCACGCGGTAGCACATTGCCTGCCGCGATGGCATAAGTAGGACGGGCACTGGCTAGAAAGAGAAGGTTAGACGTCACTGTTGGTCCAGTCAGTCCGTCGGCCCGCGCCTTCAACACATGGCGAGTCAGCGGTTGATTGGACCGCCGGACGCAGTAGACTCGACGGCCAGCTGAGCCAGGCAGCGCGACTTTGGCTACGGCGGCCAGGAGCGGCACTTGTCCGGATCACTGGTCGACGTCCTATGGCACTTTTGTGCGGGCTAACAATAGATAGTGTGGATGCGCACCTGGTTGTAGGTGTAGGTCACGACGTCCTTGCCGATCACCTTCCCGTCGTGTGCGGGGCCGTCGGAGGGCGGCGAGGCGCGGATGGCGGAGAGGAGGACGGGGATGGTGGAGCTACGTTCGCGGAGTAGGTCTTGCCATAAATATCAGACCATAGCATCGCGCTGGAAGTCGCTGGATACGCACGATCTTCACGGACGGCGTGTCCTGCAGCGGCGCGAGGCTCCGCGCGTAGATGGGCTGGCACTGGCTGAAGAGGTAGGGGAAGGTCTTGCCTTGGGTTTGCCTGGCGAGTCGCTGGTCAATGCGGCACGACTTGAGGAAATCCACGTACTCCTTGTCCAGCCACTGGAGCGCCATGCAGTCCTTGGTGGTGCTGTAGTGGATCGTGCTCTTGACTGTGTTACCTACTTTGAGGCCGGACGGCAGGGGCACATGGAGCGCTGCGCCCATAACCGGATGGCTGGGACCCAGCGTGAACTACTTACAGGAAATCGAACTCAATGAGCGCTGTTCGCGGATGGACATTGTCGGACTGACCTTGACCTCTTGTCTCAACGAACGCCTTGTGCACATCCAGAGCGAGTGCATCCAGACTCAATGAAAGCGGCGCGTCAGTTATTGATGACTCATATACGACGGGTCGACGCATACACCAGCTCGTCCACGCCGTCCTCCCTCACTGTTAGAGTGTGGGTGACGGATCCGGAGATGACCTGCTTGGCCCAGTCGATGGTCCAGTCGAAGTGGACATGTTCTGAGGCGATGCTGGTGTAGTTCGCCTGGGTTGTAGGGTCGACGTCCACTGTCATGGCTTCGTTTTGTATGTCTGCTTCACCTGTTGGGTACGAGAGTAACAAGCAGACGGAGAGGGACTGGAGATCGCACGGCGAATCGATCTCCGATCACATGCATGCATCCCTCGATCACTCGCTGCCCGAACGCCACAGGAAACTTTGTTTGTCTATTAGCTCGAGCCCATCCCGTTCAGCATCCATCCACACGCCGCCCGCATGCCCAGGCTAGCCGAAAAGATAGGTGAGCGGTAGCCTCATGCCCTCCAGGAACCGCTACAAAAATTTCCCGTCCGCTAGGCTCGCTGCTGTTCTGCCCGGACTGTGGCACGCTGCTCAATCTGCCCGAGGATGAGGTCGTCTATGTCAAGTGCGAGCAGTGCGGACACGAAGAGCCGGCAAGCTGTGCGTAGGACTGATATGAGCTGTCTGGGGGTGGTTGGCTGATGCGCGGGCAGCGTATGAGAACATCGAGATCATAACGCGCTCGCACCCGGACGCGTTCCCGTCGCCGCTAAGACAGAAGGGCAAAACGCAGACGAAGGTTCACGAGGCGAACGACGCGCTGCTGAAGGTGACTGAGAAGTGTCCGGAGTGCGGGCACATGGAGGCCTATTCGCGGGAGATGCAGGTAAGGCGCGGAACTGCTCCTCAGTAGGCACTCATGCTGAACGCGCCCTTCTAGTTGCGGAGCGCAGACGAGGGGTCCACCATATTCTACACCGTAAGATCAATGGATTTCCCGGTTGTCGACCTGATGCTGACCAGTGTGTGACGGGCAGTGTGTCAAGTGTAAATACGGCTGGCGTGTCAACAACTGAGGAGGGCATGCGAGGCAGCAGGCGAGGGGTCTGGGGAACAATGACATACATACCCGGGTGCATCACGTATCCTGCCCGGCCATCTACACGTACACGCCTGCGGTACAGAACAGAGCGACAACACCGAAGCCACCGAGGACGCTGGCGAGGGACGCGACGCCGGCTTCGCGGATGGGGAGCTTGTCTTTTGGCAGTCTGTAGGTAGAATGGATGTACCGCATGAGCGTAGACTAGGCGTCATCAGGAACAGAGACGTACGTGGAGTAGTAGAACGCCAGGACGAAAGTGGCGGTGAGGAGGACGAAGGCGAGATACGGCAGGAGGCCGACTGGGACTGAGGGGCAAACTGAGGGAGGGCGGCGTGCCTCGCCTGTGAACGCAAGAGGTTAGAGAGCAGCTGCAGCAGCGAGGGAGAGACGCACTGCGATGGCGGCGTGGTCGGACATGGCTGGACTGGGAGGGGGTGGCTGGAGTGGCTGCGGGAGCGGGACTTGACGTGCGTGGCAGGCAAACACGCGTCATCAAACCCATATCAACCCGCCGCGCCCGCTCCTCCCTCCTCTCCTCAGCCAGAACCACCATCCCTCCCCCGTCTCAGTCCTCCTAAGTAACGCAAGGTACGTTCTCTCCTGTTCGCCAGCTCGTCTCTTTCTCATTCGCTGCCCTTGCACCGCAATTCGCGCCGTTCGCATCCGCCACGTCGCCACAACAGAAGCCATGTCTGCCCAAAACTTCCAGCAGCACCCTGCCGTTCGGACGGCCCAGGACAAGGCCAACTACTACCTGCACCAGCTGGACAAGGAGGTCAGTCGCCGTGCTCGCTTCCGCGCTGGCAGCGCCTCTGACGGTTTCGTCATCACACGACACGTAGCTGTCAAAATACTCGCTCTTCACCTCGTTCGAGCAGCGCACCCAGGTCCCCAAGAGCTACGCGTTCATCGGCGCCGTCGCCATCCTCGCCGTCTTCCACTCCATCAACGTCTCCGCCGCCCCCGTGTCCAACCTCATCGGCTGGGCGCTCCCCGCCTATCTCTCCGTCAAGGCTCTCGAGACGCCCGGTCACCAGGACGACATCCAGTGGCTCACCTACTGGGTCGTCTTTGGTTTCTTCAACTTCCTCGAGAGCTTTGCCCTCCGTGTTGTCCTCTACTACTTCCCCTGGTACTTTGCCACCAAGACCCTCTTCATCCTCTGGCTCCAGCTGCCTGCCTTCCGTGTATGTCTTCTTTCCCACGTGTCCCGCAGCCAGGCTCACTCATTTGTTCGCAGGGCGCACAAGCTCTGTATGGCACCGTCGTCAAGCCTGTGTTTGTCAACGTGCACCACAAGACGAGCTCAGCGACGACAACGAGCACGGAGCACGTTGCGGTCGCAGCGGAGTGATCTGCCTCGGTGCATCGTTCGGTTCCTTTCGCTGTTAACAAGTTCGTAGAGTGCTCGCTACCATGTCTTTCCGTTTCGCCACCTGGAGGCTTTTCTGTCTGGGTGTTGCGAGGAGTTGCAGGTGTGAAGGTGTTGGACGTCCTAGCCTGATTCGTATCATATGATGGTTGTGTATCTGACTGTTTACGAGTATTCACGATGTCATGACCCTGGACCGTATAGTGACTGAGACCGGATTCGCGTTAAGGCCGGCACTGCATGATGCAGACGCTGGGCTCGTGAGTTGGAAGCGGCGCGATCACGAACTGCTCGCGCGACGTCTTGTCCTTCTCGCGCGCGCTGGGCACAGTCCCCGCTGACGTTGTACAGATGCTTCGCGCCCTCAGCCAGAGGACCTGGACGGTCGCGCCGCAGATGCCCGAGGAGCCTGGAATGATCGACACCTTATGGAGGACAATATGGAGATGGGCGCGAGAAGCGCAGAGAATTGAAGGAAGGGCGAGCTAGGCTGGAAGCGGAGGCGTATTGGAGAGATGCTGGTATGTCCACCGCCCGCTGCCACACCGTCGCGGGGTCTCAGACGGCCTATCGCCGTGCAGTGCATCGCGGAAGGGCGACCGTGGCACAGCGGGTTCATATCGCTTGTCGGGCGGGTGGGGCAGCACATGGGTGGGGGACGAGCGGGCGCGCCGTTGGTCGCGGATAAGCCTGTGACCCTCCATCAAGCATCCCTGTCGCGCACGCACTATACGCTCGCCATCATATAACATGCGCATGGCCGCCCTCCCCCCATCCTCTTCCCCTTCGCACCCGCCCGCCCCTTCTCGCGCCAGACATGTCCCTGTCCGACCACTCCGAGAAGGACGCCGCCTCTGGCAGCGGCGTAGGCTCAGACGCAGGCCCCATGCTCTACGAGCGGCCGACCGGGCTCAAGGGCCTCTACTACCACCCCGTCGTCCAGGTCTTCTTCCTCGGCTTCGTCTGCTTCATGGGCCCTGGTCTCTTCAACGCTCTCAACGGCCTTGGCGGCGGCGGTCAGATCAGCAGCACCACCAGCGCCAATTCCAACAGTGCCCTCTACGCGACCTTCGCCTTTACCGCTTTCTTCGCCGGGTGCGTGCGCCGACGCCCTGCTCGCGTCGCTGGGTGCTTACCGCGATCCTCTAGCTCGATCAACAACGTCCTTGGCCCGCGCCTCACGCTTCTCATCGGGAGCAGCGGCTACGCCCTGTACATCGGCTCTTACCTGTGCGTCCTTCCCGTGTCTCCAACTGACCGGCCAGATTGACTGTCTGCAGCGCCATCAACATCCACCCTAATGCCGGCGGCTTCGTGATCGCGGCAGGCGCGGTCCTCGGCGTCTGCGCCGGGTTGCTCTGGACGGCCCAGGGATCGCTCATGTTGGCGTACCCGACCGAGGACCAGAAGGGTATCTTCATCGGCATCTTCTGGTCCGTATTCAACTTGGGCGGTGTAGTGGGCGCGTCCGTCTCTCTCGGTCAAAATTTCCACTCCAAGGTATGTTCCGCGCCGTTAGTATGCCTTGACGTTCGCTGACATGGATGTGATAGGCCGGTGGGGGTGCGTGCATATCTGCTCTGCCGTCCTGTCTGTACTGACCAGCCCGTGCTCATCTTCGCAGTCGGCAATGGCACCTATGTAAGTGCTTGGACGCGGTCCCGAAATGAAGCCTCACCTTTCGCTAGATCGGCTTCCTCATCCTCACGCTCATCGGAGTGCTCATCCCGATGCTCATGGCGAACCCCAACAAGATGATCCGCTCCGACGGCACGCGGGTCATGACCCTCCGCCACCCGTCCTGGAAGACCGAGTTCTACGGCCTCTGGGTCACCCTCCGCACGGACCCGCTCGTGATCATGCTCTTCCCCATGTTCTTCGCGTCCAACTGGTTCTACACATGGCGTGCGTCCCCGCGTAGCCCGCGCGTCCCCGGCTGACCCGCCCCGCAGAGTTCAACGACTACAACCTGGCGCTGTTCACCATCCGTGCGCGCGCGCTGAACAACCTCGTCTACTGGATGGCGCAGATCGTCGGCTCCGTCAGCATCGGCTTCCTGCTCGACCAGAAGGGCCTCACGCGCCGGTTCCGCGCGTACGCGGGCTGGGTCGTCCTGTTCCTCATGGTCTTCGTCGTCCACATCTGGGCGTACTTCTACCAAAAGTGAGCGCCGCCGTCTCGTGCGTCTGTTGGGTGTGCTGGACGACTGACGCCCCCCGCCGCAGGCACTACACCCGCGCGACGATCGCGCAGGAGACCAAGGACGACACCAAGATCGACATCTACGACAGCCAGTACGTCGGCCGCGTGTGGCTGTACATCATCTGCGGCATGCTCGACGCGATGTGGCAGACGACCGCGTACTGGATCATGGGCGCCATGTCCAACGACCCCGCGAAGCTCGCCAACCTGACCGGCTTCTGTGAGTGCGCTCGCGCCGTGTCTGACTGAGCGCATTTGACGGATGGCGTTCGACAGACAAGTCGCTGCAGTCGGCGGGTGCTGCCGGCGTCTGGCGCGCGGACGCGGTGAACATCCCGTACATGAACATCTTCGTCTCCACATGGGCTCTCCTTGTTGGCGGTCTCGTCTGCACCCTGCCCATGATCTACATGCGGGTGAAGGACCACACGGATGAGTCCGACGAGATCGACGGCATTCTGTATGTATCCCTGCAGTGTAACCGACGAGCCTTGAGATGCTGACGCAGTCACGCAGTGCCGAGATCGAAAACACCCCCTCTCACATACCCGCAGGGAAACCCGAGGCTTCCGCCTGATTTTTTCCTCTTTCCTGTTATGACACCGATACCGATACCGCCCGCTACCTTGTTGTAGATCCCGTCGTCAAGACACCCGTACCCTCGTTAGTGTTTGTTGCACATCTATGTTCTGATGTACCGTCCGTCGGACGCCTGTAATGCTTGGTTCTAGTAGGTTACTCTGTACACGAATGCAGTGTTACAAAGTGCTCGTTCTGGTCGGTGCGTGGGGCTACAGCGGGAATCATGCGAAGGGTATATAGACGGCTTACGAAGTAACGAAAGCGCGCTACGAGAACAGATGCCAATTCCATTTCCACATGGACGAGATCAAAAGATAGTCGCGAGTTCACCGTGGTCGTCCGAGCCCTCCAGCATAAACGCCTTGGAGTTCGGCCCGTTCTTCCCAAACGTGAAGCCGACCCACACGCCCCGCGCGAAGGGCTCCTCCTTCTCCCTGACGCGATCAACGTTGCGCTGCTTCTCGCGCACCTCGGCGTACTTCGCCATGTCCTCGGCCGACGTGAAGTCGTCGTAGTACCCCGTGTCGATCTCCGAGTCGAGCGCGGGGACGAACGGCGCCTTCACCGCGCGCAGGTTCTCCCATTGCAAGCCCTCGAAGAAGGGATGGTCCGCGACCTGGGAGAGCGTGGAGTACCGCGCGCTTGCGTGTGCGATGAGCCTGGTGAATCGCGGTCAGATCGTTTTTGCTAGGGCAGGAAAGAAAGTCACGTACTGCGTCACAGCATCCCAGGCGGTGTCGGTGAGGTTGAAGATGAGATCCTCTGGCTTGTCGTACTCGGGGCGGCGGAGAACTTTGGTCCAGTTCTTAAGGTTCGTCCATGTTTCTTCGGGCGTACTGCCGCTGAACGGGGGGAAGCCGGACAGGAACTCGAAGAGGATGCAGCCTAGGGACCAGTAGTCCACGGAAAACGTGTACGGTTTGCCCCGTAGCACTTCCGGGGCCATGTAGTCCGGCGATCCGACGATCGAGTCTGCGTAACGCGGGTCTTGGTTGCGTATGGATCGATAGATCGAACGTCTCTCCATCGTTGACCTGTGGATGATCTGGTTGTCTTTGACTTTGTCGAGCTAGTCGACGGACATGAGAATGGCCCAGGGATAACGGTATGACTGACATGCTTACTTTCACCTTGAGAGACTCGATGCGTTGGGGGTTCAGCGCACCAGTGGCGAGACCAAAGTCGGTCAACTTCACATGTCCTGTTCCGTCGACCAGAAAGTTCTGTAGAGGCGTCACAATGTCAAGCGACGTCGGTCGACGCGACTAGCGATTGTAAGCTGACCTCTGGCTTAAGGTCCCGATGGATGTATCCTAGCTTGTGCAACTCGTTGACACCGGCGAACATCTCGCCGATGTAGAATCGAGCGTGTTCTTCTTTCAGGACACCCGAGTTGTTGAGCAACGTTCGGAAGTCTCCTCCTGGCACGTACTCCATGGCGAGATACACATGCGCGGGATCTTGGAAAGCATATAGCAAGCGCACAAGCCACGGTGTTTTTGTGGCGGTGAGAATGTCCCGTTCTACAAGGACGTGACGGACCTGCTTCAGACGTCAGTGTCTACGTCTGCCGAGCCGTCGTCTAGCCCACCTCGTCCATCTTAAACAACGTTCGCTTCCGCATCTTCTTCAGAGCACAAACCTCCCCGAGTCCTGCTTTCTCGCCAAGAAGACCTCACCGTACCCTCCCTGGCCGACCTGCGCGATGATATGGAACTGCTCGACCTTCAACTTCGTCCGGCGTTTGCGCAACACAACGCGTTCTCTGCCGCAGTACGACTTATACTCCTTGGCGTATTCAGCAGACGTAAGCTGTCGTGCGGCGGTGTCCTCATCGAACTTGACCCGTCGTTCCTTGCGAGCCGCTAGATATCCGAGTAATTGAAAGTAATAGTCCAGGAAGTCTGGGATGCGATGCGTCAGAACGTAATCTTTATCTTGGGTCTTACTGATTCGACGGCCGTAGATCGAGCACATCCAGCATAAGGTAGGATTTGGCATACAGGTTGTGCACAGAGACGAGCACGAAGAGGATGTTAGGGTGATGCACTCACATAGTTGAGCCACAGTAGCTTTCCGCCTCACTTCAGGGCTCTCGATGAGCTCCTTCTCCCACAGCTGGAAGCCATTCTGCTTCACGGTCGCGCCAGCTTTGGCTGTCTCCATTCGTATGTCGGAATCGAAACCTTTCGCCGTAGCCATATGGATGTCGTTTGCCGCCACTGTCAATCCCCTAGCGGTGTTCATATGAATGTCTGGTATGCCACTATACATTTTCTCCTTCTGGATCGGACGAGCCATAGTACACCAATCAATGCAACGAACCAGAGAGAAAGGAGCTAAGTAGAGAAACTGGCGTGGGCGCGGCTCGGGGAGCGAACCCTCAGTTTCGTAGCGTGTGGGTGTAGCACTTAGCGTAGCGTCCGGCAATTGCCGCGAATCGAATCGTAGTGTAGTGGGCGTGCTCAATTCTTGCCGCCCGTTCGCTCGCTCGCACCTCGCTCTCGGATATCTCCCGGCTGATAAGCTCTTGATACGGGTATCGTATCGCGTAGCTAACGAGATCAGTTAGCCCTGTCCCCGCATACCACGCAATTTACCACTGCTACCACCGTCCCCTTTCCTCGTCATCAGCAAAAGTGCCGGATGATGATCTCACAAGCGGTGAGTTGTATTGCTCACCTCGTAAGATTTAGTATTCGCTCCAGAGATAACTGGAGAGAACGCGAAGACTGCAAGAGGTGAGATTGGATATAAGCAGCTTTCCGAGATGCCATTGTAATTCGACAACTTACCAGAATTGCGAAGATATGCGCAGAGAATTGGTGCCGCTTGGTGCGGCTTTTAAGATGAGCGCAGACAACGAGAGCAGCTGCGTGATCTGTCTAGAGACTAAGAGGATCATTTCGTACAGACTCGGGCGAGGTGTGACTAGTTAGTGGTGACTGAGGTCAGCATGTCAGCGCGATCTCTGAACTAAATTCAATTAGGAATTCGTTTCAGGCAGCGCGGCGTGTACCAGTCATGTACGACACCATTCCTGAGGTATCTGCCGACCTACCAAAATAGATTTTGGTCATGGGGAAGTTCCAGGCATGTACGGGCCTATGCGGCAGCGCGGGCAGGCTCAGAGCGGCGACGAGGCACATACTACAGGCTGTTCCGAGACTCAGGCCATCCTTCGGGCACAAAAGTCGCTCTTGGGGCCTAATATGCAGACAGTTGCGAACGAGGGCATGAAAACAGCGTAAAGGATGGGGAGGTACCCTCATGGCACGGTGTAACTTAGCAGCAAATCGAAGTCCGCGTCCTGGGCCTCAGCCGCAGTGCTCGACTGTACGCGGTCACGTGTGCGCATATAGCCAGTCTTGAGCTGCGTCGTCTCTCGACTTCTTCTTCCATAACCACCATCGTCTCACTTACCCACTCTGACAATCTCCTCTTCTCGAAGTACCTCGTCCTTGCCATCCCTTCTAATATCTCCTCCATCATCACCACTCTCGCGCCCCCGCGGGTCTTGCCTGCCCGTTCTCTCGCCCGCTCTCGTCACTCTTCTTGCCCTTCTTGCTTGCTCACTTGCGCTGGGGTTGCTGCTCCTGGCGCATATACACATTGTGCTAGTTTTCAATGAAGTCGATACGGGAATATTTGTGAGTATCCGAGTCCTGTGCTCTACCCGTACTTATACCTGCTGAGGCACAAACCCGCCGCAACGGGTATGGGTGTGGCACGGGTCTGCGCGGCTTACAGCGTTGCATGGGTGGCATAGGCAAGTGGGTAAGCAAGCATGCAAGTCGGCTCGCTAGCAGAAGGACAAGGACGAGCGGGCAGGTAGGAACGGGCGAGAACTTGAAGGCTACTGACGAGTGGGTGAGAAGGCCACGGACGAGCTGGCGAGAATGCGAGTGTGGATGGGCAAATAAGAACAAGCGGCCGGGCAATGAGCGGGCGAGCAGGTGAACAGGCGATAGGTCGGGGGAGAGCGGACGAGAAGGCAGGCGAGGAGGCGGCTGGGCGGACGAGCAGGCGGGCGAGCCAGCATGAGGGTGAGCGCGGGCAGGCAACAACAGCAAGCTCACGAGTCACTGTCACTGACATCCCAGGCCCCAGCTTCAGTGACTATTGTCAAGATCCGTGACTCGTGGACTCGCGCTCCCGTGTTTCCTCTTCTCCCGGCACGCACGCATGCTCGCCACCTTTCAACCTCAAACTGTCCATAGCGGATTGTGTCCGGCGTCACTACGCTTCCCTCCCTGGAGGATCACCTTCGAGTCCCAGTCAGTCGAGGTTGCCGCGATGACGACGCTTCCCTCCGCTGACCGCGACCGCGCCCTACACTGACCTTCTGGTGAGCGTCGACTGAACAGCATTCACCCGCCGCTTAATGTTCTGTACAAGGCCCGAGACGATGAGAACTTCATCGGTGCCGCATTCTGGGCGAACATAAAGTCTCTTCGAGACAAGGCGTGGCGAGATAATATCACGCATGGTGGAATAAGTGCCATGTATACTGTGTGGTTCATACTGATGTCTGCGACAGGAACATCTTCAGTATCAAGCGGCCAGGCGTCTAGAATTCGACTGCCGCGATCTCACGGAATGGCCCCTCGACAGTCACCAAGCTGCAGGAACAGCACGCAGCCCGCCTTCAACTTCAACGCCAGAACTCTGCCGCCTCCTCTGCTTGAATCTCGGTGAGTGTATATAGTACCTTCTTCTGCTCATGTTATCATCTAGTAGTCGTGCTTATGCCATGTTGTTCAGCTGTCCGATGCACATTGTTGCGCGTCTCCATTGCTCAAGCCTTCTATTTGCAGTTCATTCGTTCTCTCGACTCAGTGTCCCTCGACTCGGACTCATTCTGTCCCCTTTACTCCGTCCGTCATTCCAACCCCAATCATCTGCTCATCTGCCTCGCACCGGTGTTGGCTCGTCACGTCTGGCGCTTGACTCGTTTCATCCCATTTCCGTCTACTCAGTTTCTCTCTCTCTCGGCTTTGACCTCGCGGTCTCGTCTCGTCAGCACGTCAGTAGCAAAGCGAGTGTGTAAGCTATTCTGCGGTGGGTAAACAGTGTATTATATTTTATGTACTTGCATATGCGGGCACGAATATCCGTCAGTGATGTACAATGTATGTAGTAAAGCCAAATACGTTGAAGGGTGAAGACAGTGACCGAAATAGACATGCAGTCCAACTGTCTGGTCGAGACAGTACGTACTTCTTGTATTGCCTACGCATTATCTTTCCTTCGCTGATGCATGTCTTTTCGGCCAATAGCACCGCTGCATGACGTGGCGAGGGAATTGAAGATGTCAAATAGAAAGAAAGCTATGGCAACCCAGGACGAAAGTTGTACCAGAAAGAGTGCAACTTAGAAAGACGTGCAAGATAAGAAAGATGAGACATACAACGCTTGATAATGTGAGATCTGCGACCTGCACTTTTGGTGATGGTTAAGGTAATCATCCCCTCCTCCTCTCCCATTGCCCAAGTCCGGTATCCCTCGAGCAGCGCACGTGCTACGTGGCTGAGGGCGCTCCCCTCAAGATCACGGATCTCTCCCGATCCCCGGGCGTCGCGCCCGACGTTCGGTAAGCTGACGCCACGCCCGCTGAGCTCGCCGCCACCGCGCACGGGCCCATCGCATCGCGCTCACCGTCGACGACCATGGCGGGCCCGTGCGGAGATCGGGTCCGCGTTGACTCTGATGCGCGGCTGGGTGGCGCGTTCCCGAGCCTCGCGGGCACTCCCACGGTCGTTGATCGGGTGATTCCCACGCGCGCTCGCCACCGCGTCGGGTGCTGTGCTCGCTGTCGGCGACGACGAGCACGAATATCTCGCTCCCCTCTCCGTTTATCGTCGCGATTTCGTGCTACATACATATAGTATCAATTTGAACGCTGCATATGGGCTTCTACTGTATATAGAATCAGTAGTTACCTCGGAATTGTATGATTTTGCATCCAATCATGCCTCTGCATTATGCATGGATAGAGCGGTCAAAAGCGAGCAGAATGTGCTCTTTTATACTCATTACTACTACTATTATGATACACAACTAGTCTCTCAGTACTATAGGCAAGTGTTAGGATCGTGCGCTCGAGACGAAGTCCGAGGTCGGAGTTACGAATTCCGGAGTTTCGGAGCGCAGTGGAATGAGGACTTGGCGAAGCTATTAACAACGCCCCTGGGAGAACTCGACGAGGTCCTCTATTTGGACTTGGACGGAGGTGGACTATGACGGAGTCCGGAGATAGAGTCGGAGGAAGGAGGAGGAGAAGACGAGAGCGAGAGAGAGAAGAGAGAAACTGGACAGAGGTCGGACGGAAGTCCGGAGTTCAGACAGGAGTTCGGAGGAAAGGAAATCGGATTGGTTAGACGAGGATAAACGAGATATTCGAACTGGAGTACAACAGTGCTACAGTTCGGTCTTTTATACTAAGAGTCCTAATTGTGAACGGAAGACAATAAGTCGGAGGAAGGGATACGGAAAACAATAACGGGAGACCGGAGATGTTAGTAACCGGAGTGAATACAATAAGCTAATTGTCCGTGCAAGATAGAGACCATGCGGTACGCTAATTGTAATGCGGGAGAAGATAGGCTAAGCGAATACAATTAGACCGGAGTTCGGAGAAACGGAGACGGAGAAAACGGAACTGGAGTTCGGAGGTGGTCTTGGTGGCACGGAACGTGACAGTGCCTCCCAACTGGATCGAACCCCTGAGATCCATAGGCGATGGCAAGTGGCCGAGATCTGAGATCTGAACGGATATAAGGCTGAAAATTTTCGGAGTCCGCATCTTCACAACTTGACCTCCACTCCCCACCATCTCCTCGCCACTCCCGTACTCCGTTGCCCCCACCATGTCCGACGCTGTCACCCACAACCCCGACCCCGCCGCCGACGACATCGAGGAGCTGGAGAAGAGGCTCAACGCAGCGAAGGCCGCAAAGGAGGCGCGACGTCGCGCGGAGGCCGAGGCGAAGGAGAAGGCGGAGGCCGAGGCAAAGGCGCGTGCGGAAGCGGAGGAGCGGGAGCGGAAGGAGGCGGAGGAGCGCGCTAAGCGCATCGAGGCGGAGCAGAGGGCGAGTGCGGCGGCGGAGGAGAAGGCCGTGGAGGAAAAGAGGGCGGAGGAGTTGAGGAAGGCGCGGGCGGAGAAG